GTAGGTCTCTGGGGATTCCAACCCAAAATTATCTCCATCACCCTTCATCCAGCTCGCCCATTCCCCACAGTCCCACTCCCCACAGTCCTCAATATAATCCAAAATGTATTTAAAATCAAATTTCAAGATCTCTCCAAAGCTAGGAACCTCCTCATCTCCAGACTCCCCTTGGCCCACTCCAACTTCAATCTTCAATAACAGCGGCTTATGCTCCTGTAGGGCCTCGGGTCTCTCCATTTGTACTATTTGAGGTGCAGCCGCATCCTCCTCCATTGTCATCTGCACTTGCCCAGTCAGTACAGATTCATAGGTTGGTTCCTGAATGATTTCTGTATCAATGTTCCCTGTTTGTCCACAGTTATTAACCACAACAGTCAAATCCATTTTCTCATTCATCAAGTCCATCTTCTCATGCATCTGTTCCAGCAAAGCATTTGTCTTACATAAAGCAAGCACCCAGTCTTCCTCCCAGCTCATCTTTGTTCAAGGTCAGAAAAGACTGTTCCCACGGTCTTAATCTCACAGATGTTAGGTCTCAAATATACTACAGCAACAATTTAGCAAGCTCCCTCTAGGGGAGACAATCTATTTGTATCCATTTTTTTTTTTTTTGAAGACAAAGGAAAGTTACTTTCATTTTTCAGATATTTCAGATGTTTTTCAGGTATTTTGTTTCTTTAAAATGCAAAAGGCAACATTAGAATCAACTTGTTTCTCTTCATTAGCTATCTGTCAAAGTATTACGTTCACAGTCAATGAACCTCTCCAACAGTTTCTGTCTCTGACACCCCGTTCCCAGGTTAGAGATGGTGGAAACTTATCCTTCTTCACTCCCTCTCCTGCTAGGGTTAAACAGAGTCCCCCCCCCCTTTTCTCCTGCTTCCAAGGGGGGTTTCAGTGATTCTGAATGAAGGAAATTTAGTCTTTTTTGACAGCTCCCGGCTTTAGCTTGCAAAGTTTTTGCTTTAGTCTATATACAAAAAGCGGAAGGCGGACTTCCTGTTTGCACCTTCCCGCTTCGATACCAAATTAAACAATTTCTTGATCCAATTTTCCGTTTCTACTCACGGGTACTTGTTTTAAGTCCAATTGTCCACAGGAAAAAGTCAGCGCTCTCTGGCAATGGCTGTGCGGCTTCACTCCTTGAAAGTAGCAGTCAGTTCGTAGCACCGCGCTTCTCACCCCACTTCTCTCCGGAGCCCCTAGATGGGATTCCCCGTGAGTAGGGGGGCGCTTCTGGTGCCCTGCCGAACCCCACGTTCCTCCGCCTGGGATTTCTAGCGGGTCCCCACCTTCGCCGCGGCAGGAAGACCCAGTTTCCACGGAGCCCGTTCCTCCGATCGGAGGAACTCCGCCATTCACCAATGGCGCTGACCCGGAAGTACGATTTCTGTTCTCATCCTGGGGCAAAGTTCTCAACTCGATGTAACTCTTTCAGGTTAGTGGAGTTTGTAACCTGAAGCGTTTCTAATCTGAGGCATTTGTAACTCGAGGTACCATTGTATAGGGTGCCTACATTCTGCATGGACTGGTTGCATGGCAACACGGGCAAATGGCTTGAGATACCTATTAGGTCCATAAATTACCATATAGCATATATTCCACACAAAAAACAGCAACCATTTGTTGTTGCCAAAGGACAGCTGGACATAGAAAGGGCCCCATTGCCTTCGGTAGCTTAGGGCCTCATCAAACCTAAATCTGCCCCTGTGTGACTGGCAGAAGGAGAGCACACGATGCAAATTGGGAAAGGTATGTACAGTTTTCTCAGGCTCCAGAATTTATACAGATTGCAGAATTTCGCCCTTATGGGCACAGAATTTTGATTTTTTTGCTTCAAGCTCACAAAACAGGGAAATTAGCAAATATTACAGTTATGGAGATCTTTGCCTCCCTGCCCCCTATAAAGCCCACCAAGCAGAAATGGGAAAACCCACACTTCCCAGCCTTGCTTCAACTCACCCACACTTAAGACAACTGGATAGACTAAGGGGAATTCAGCCGAAGAATCTGGGAACAGGGAGAACCAAAGGTGTAGCCGCCTCACTAAACCCAGCCCCCCAGCTCTGAGGACATTCCCATCAAACCTAAATCCGGCCCTGGCTACAAACTAAGTACAAGTCTTCAGACATCTGACAAACTCTAGTTCGACTCTAGAGTTCGAGCGCATGGGAGCACTTTCCATGTGGGCTAAGCAAAACGGTGTGAAAGAATGCAGGTGGAAATTAATGAGTAGATGAAACCCATGGCAGCTGCGAGGCTGGAGCTGTTGAGTGGTTGCCAATCCCCTCACTGTCTCTGCTTTCTCAAGCTACTTTCCGCACCTTTTCTTTCTTTTTGTAGCATTTTGCAAGTGACGAGAACGGCCCTTGCCCCGCATTTCCTGCCTCCCATACACAGCTGCATCCTTGACCTTGCTGGGTGCCCACCCACATTAAGAGTTCGAACCAGGTCAGGGGTGGGAAGAATCAAACATCCAGCTTCCAGCAAGGAACATGAAGTGCCTGTTCTGTCAAATCAAAGGAGCTGCTGGGCTGTGGGCACCATTTTGGCTTTCCACCTCTGCAGCCTGACTTGCCCGGTTCCTGCATTTTTGGCTGCCTCCAGGCTCATTATTTCGTGGGAGGAGAAAGATAACCCAGATGATCAAGGGGAATCAAGAAGGTTGCAGAGTTGGAAACTTTTAAGGCCACTTCTGCACCAAACTTTTAAAGCAGTATCACACTGCCTGAAGCAGCCATGGCTTTCCCCAAAGAATCCTGAAAACTGTGGCTTGTTAAGGGTGCTGAGAAATACTCGTTCCTGTCCCGGAGCTATACTTCCCAGCATTCCCTGGGGAGAGGGATTGATTGTTCATAGGAGTCTCCTATCACCTTCCAGCATGCGGGTGGCGCCTACAGAGCCTAGGACTTGCCGATCAGAAGGTCGGCGGTTCGAATCCCCGCGACGGGGTGAGCTCCCGTTGCTCAGTCCCTGCTCCTGCCAACCTAGCAGTTCGAAAGGACGTCAAAGTACAAGTAGATAAATAGGTACTGCTCCGGCGGGAAGGTAAACGCCGTTTACATGCGCTGCTCTGGTTCGCCAGAAGCGGCTTAGTCATGCTGGCCACATGACCCGGAAGCTGTACGCCGGCTCCCTTGGCCAGTAAAGCGAGATGAGCGCTGCAACCCCAGAGTTGGCCATGACTGGACCTAATGGTCAGGGGTCCCTTTACCTTTAACACCTTCCAGCAGCCTTAACAAACTACAACCCCCAGGATTCTTTGAGGAAAGAATGGAAATTTATGGAAGTACACATGCATGGGAAAAACAGAGAACAGTTTTCTCTATCTAGAGGGGCTGGGAGCTGGGGGGCATTGTTATACAGTGGTTCCGCTCCTTTCTCCTTGGCCGTGTCCAGAAAGTGGTGGTCGGGGATGAGTGTTCAGACCCCTGGGCTCTCACTTGTGGGGTGCATCAGGGCTCTGTCCTCTCCCCCGTGCTTTTTAATATTTATACGAAGTTGCTGGGAGAGATCATCAGGGGGTTTGGGCTAGGTATCCATCAATATGCAGATGATACCCAGCTCTACTTCTCTTTCAAATCAGAACCAGTGAAGGCAGTGAAGGTCCTGTGTGAGTGTCTGGAGGCGGTTTGTGTTGTGTTTTATGTTTTATTTATGTAAATTGTTTTGCAATTTTAAAAAGTTTTTAAAAGATGTTGTTGGAGGCATCACTCTGAAAAGTTAACATATTATATATTCCACCCACCACGTTCAGTTTGTTCGGACTTTTCCGTAACCATTAACTGCTCACTTGCCACGGGGTTTTTGCGTGGGATCACGGTGCTCGCATTTGATGCCTGCAACAGAGGCAAAAGCCGTCCCTGCAACTGTTGGTCTATAAATGCCCCAGGAGGGTTGAGAATTCTCTAGAGGAAGGAGAGAGGTTTCGGCATTTTGGACAACCGCAGCAGAGGGACAGGTGAGTAGCCTTTGCGGCTGGGTCTCCTTGGTTCTGCCAGTAATTGCAGCTCCTTTGACGAGATGAAACCCAAACAGTGCTACCTTTGAAATGTAGACGCCTATTCTCATTTGCTCTTGATGGATGCATATATTAAATTATCTGAGGTATTGCTGATTAACTTTACAGAAATGCCACGAACCACTTGCCAAATTCAAGTCTGTGTATTGTTTTTGGGTTTTTTGTAAAAAAGAAAAGAAAAAGAAAATTGAGGGGCAATGCAGCTTTGATAAGCAGGGAGAAAGAAATCTATGAATATGATTTACCCACCCGGGAAGAATGGCAGATGAAGGTGATGGACTATATGGAACTGGCGGAAATGACTGGCAGAATCCGAGACCAGGGAGAAGAGTCGGTGGAAGAAGATTGGAAGAAATTTAAAGACTATCTACAGAAATACTGCAAAATTAATGAATGTTAGAATGATGTCAGAATGAAGTTAAGTGGTTTTAGCAGCAATGTTATTAAGGTGTATGTAAAAATGGATTGTTAACAGGTGTAAATCCAAAGTTATACTATATTAAGTTAAAGGATTAAGACAAAAACAAAGAGGGAAAGGAATTGCTGAATTAATTAATAGAACTGGAATACAAAAAAGGGAGGTGTGAGGAGGTCAGGGAAGCAAGGAAATGAAATGTAAGGCATGGAAAGATTGATGTGTTTTTTAAGTGTTTTTTATCTTGTTTCTGTATTTTGTATTTTTTTTCTTTTTTATTTCTTTCTTTTTTTCCCTTTTTATTTATGTAATCTTTTCTTTGAAACTTTAATAAATATCATTTAAAAGAAAAAGAAAAAGAAATCTATGAATATGAGTGGGGAGAAGGGAAAAGAAATTCCGGTAGGATTCTTGCATTTGTAGGGGGTTGGATTAGATGATCCTCAAGGTCCCTTCCAAGGTTCTGTGATTCTAATAACTGGCTGGTTCAGGCTGGTGGCCCACCTGTTCAAGCATCCTGTTCTCACAGAATTAGAAGAAAATGTTCTCTCTCCACAGGTGCAGATGGGGCCGTTCTCTCCCTTCAACCTCTCCCTTGTGGTTTTCCTGGCTTTCATTTCCCTGCAAGGTATGACTAAGTTGGGCTCATCAAACCCTGGTTGAGACGAGCCAAGTAAAGTCTTCTCCAAAGCCAAGTGGGCTTGGCACCCGGCCACCCCAGGGGGCGCTTCCTCTTCAAAGGACAACCACTTGCTCCACCCTCATTGCCACTTCCCCCCAGGTCAGCCTTTGCCAACCTGGTGCCCCCCAACTGCTTGGACTACAACTCCCAGCAGCCTCAGCACCACACAGCTGGGCTGTGTTTTAGCCCAACGCATCTGGCAGGCACAAGGCTGCTCTAGGGTTTCCTTCAGCTTCTCGGTCTTTATTAGGCTTGCATTGCCATCCTCCTTCCCTCCCTCTTAAGACCTCACCCACCCTCGACAGGGCCCTCATCCTGCTCCTTCCTTCCTTACAAGCCAGCTGTGGCCCCACCCCTGATTTTCTTTGTTCCACGGAGCGTCCACTAAGGCTGCGAACAGCTGGACTGCTGTGGCGTCCAGTCCGCTTCCTTATTATTTATACCCCGCCCATCTGGCTGGGGCCCCCCAGCCACTCTGGGTGGCCTTCAACAAAACATTAAAATACCATAATACATCAAACATTAAAAGCTTCCCTAAACAGGTCTGCCTTCAGATGTCTTCTAAAAGTCTGGTAGTTGTTGTTCTCTTTGACATCTGGTGGGAGGGCGTTCCACAGGGAGGGTGCCTCTACCAAGAAGGCCCTCTGCTGGGTTCCCTGTAGCTTTGCTTCTTGCAGCAAGGGAACTGACAGAAGGCCCTCGGCACTGGACCTCAGTGTCTGGGTAGAATGATGGGTGTGGAGGTCAAGGTCAGCACCAACACTTTGAATTGTGCTCGGAAACATACTGGGAGCCAATGTAGGTCTTTCAAGACCGGTGTTATGTGGTCTCAGCAGCCGCTCCCAGTCACCAGTCTAGCTGCCGCATTCTGGATTAGTTGTAGTTTCCGGGTCACCTTCAAAGGTAGCCCCACGCAGAGTGCATTGCAGTAGTCCAAGCGGGAGATGTCAGCTTGCCAGCTGCATCGCGTTGCTGCTCTCAGCAGAGAAAGCACTCCAGGCAGCCAGCCATAAATTCCATTCTTTATTTCCTCCTGACTCAATTACAGGCAGAAAAAACAAAGCGATCCGTCTTTCATGATGCGTTGCTTCGACTGGTCTCTTTTTCCCCTCGCTCCTGAGTCCAGCACAGCCATCGGCCCAACCCCTTCCGTCTTTCCCTGTGACGTGGAGCCCCCTCTCTAGGAAGTACCCCCTCCTGCTCAGACTCACTCTCCTCTTCTCTTTCCTCTGAGGATGAGCCAGTGCTAATCAGAGGGGATCGTTCTCTGTATCCTCCCTTTCTTTCCTCACTCGCAGCCGGCAGTTCCCTGACAGGAGATAACCAGAGCATGCACCACTCTGGCGAGGCAGTCCGCAGGCAGGGATGGTCTCATCCTGCATACCAGATGGAGCTGGTAAACAGCTGCCCTGGACACAGAACTGACCTGTGCCTCCATGGACATCTGTGCGTCCCTGTGCCAACCTGCTTCTCCCGGCTACAGCAGACTTATTTGTGCAGAGGTGACTGTGTGGAAGGAATCTCAGCCATGCAGTAAAACTCTTGTACAACAGCTCCTTCTATTCTGAGAAGCGTTTATTGTACAGCAGCAAAACAACAAATCAGCCAGAAGATAGCAAAGGCATGATGCTTCTCTTGTCGCAGCAAAACAGAAAGTAAAAACGTTCACATAACAAAGATGCGAACACACCCCAGTGACAGGACGTCTTTTCCCTTGAGCTACTAACCCTGTAAGCTCTGGGTATCCTCACATCCCCTCTCGTCCTGTACCACTGGGGAAGAGTGCAAGTACTGTAAGTACTACCAGTTACCCCAGACACAACCCTTCGCAGAACTCCCCATGTCTTTGGAAGCTCAAAGGTTTTGTGAACCCATCCGCTAGGTTCTTCTGACTTGGACAGTACTTCAGCTTTCCCTTCTCTTTCACCAGGCGCAGACTCCAGCTGCCCCACAGGCTGGGTCAAGCGAGGAAATCAATGCTTTGGGTTCTTCAATGATACTATTCAATGGCAAGATGCAGAGGTATGGGACCAAGAGTGGCTTGAACCAGGGATGTATTTCATTAAAAACTTAAGCACAGTAAAAGAGCCGGCAGGATCAGGCCAACACATCTAGTGAAATCTCCTGTTCCTAAAGTGGCCAACCACAGGCTTACAGGAAGCCTGCAAGATGGATTTGGGTGCAAGAGCACTTTCTCTTCCTGCGGTTTCCAGCAACTGGTATTCAGAAGCTTACCGTATTTTTCGCTCTATAACACACACTTTTTCCCTCCTAAAAAGTAAAGGGAAATGTGTGTGCGTCTTATGGAGTGAATGCAGGCTGCGCAGCTATTGCTGAAGCCAGAACAGGAAGAGGGAGCACTGCGCAGCGATCCCTCTTGCTGTTCTGGCTTCTGGGATTCAGAATATTTTTTCTTGTTGTTTTCCTCCTCCAAAAACTGGGTGTGTCATATGGTCTGGTGCGTCTTATAGAGCCAGAAATACAGTAACTCTTTGTGGGATGCATCCCCCTGGGGAAAAAATGGCTTTCCAAACTCCCAGGCTGTGCTTGCCTTGACTTGCGTCCTTATCAGGGATGGGGCTCACTACTTGTTTGTGCTTGTGGTTCTCATGAGTGGGATGCAGGTGGCGCTGTGGGCTAAACCACTGAGCCTCTTGGGCTTGAGCTCCCGTTGCTCTGTCCCAGCTCCTGCCAGCCTAGCAGTTCGAAAGCACATCGAGTGCAAGTAGATAAATAGGCAGTGCTTTTTTCTGGGGGTACGCATACCCCTAAACATTTTGTGAATCTAAATTTGGCCTCACTGAGGGGTAGTATTTCAATATGAGTCAGAAAATGAGAGTACCCCTAAACATTTTTTAAAGAAAAAAAGCACTGTAAATGGGTACCGCTGTGGTGGGAAGGTAAACAGTATTTCCATGCGCTCCAGCACTTCTCATGGTCCTCTGTGCACCAGAAGCGGTTTAGTCCTGCTGGCCACATGACCCGGAAAGCTGTCTGTGGACAAACGCCAGAGGCCCCCTCAGCCTGAAAGCGAGATGAGCGCCACAACCCCAGAGTTGCTTTTGACTGGACCAAACTGTCCAGGAGTCCATTACCTTTTACCTTCTCATGACACCAACTCAGTTCATGCTGGTACTTAGTGCATTCTAGAGCATGGTGCTGATAATACAAAGGTCACAGGTTCGATCCCCGTACGAGATCGTTGCACATTCCTGCATTGCAGAGGGTTGGACTAGATGATCCTTGGTGTCTCTTCCAACTCTACAATTCTAGATTTCTGTAATTTTTGCAGTACAGTGGGACCTCGGGTTAAGTACTTAATTCGTTCCGGAGGTCCGTTCTTAACCTGAAACTGTTCTTAACCTGAAGCACCACTTTAGCTAATGGGCCCTCCTGCTGCCGCCGATTTCTGTTCTCATCCTGGAGCAAAGTTCTTAACCCGAGGTACTATTTCTGGGTTAGCAGAGTCTGTAAGCTGAAGTGTATGTAACCCGAGGTACCACTGTACATGCTCAGCCCGTGGTGGTTACATGGACTGCAAATGTCTCCTCTTACTGCTCAGAAGTTGCTGTCCAGGCACAGGGACAGAATGAAGTAGAAGCCTGCTGAGATGGTCAACCCAATTCCAATGGCAGCTCCCATTCTCTGGGGTGCTCTTTTTTGGTCTCTCTCAGGTTGCCTGCCAGGCCTTTGGTGAGAATGGCCATCTTGCCTCCATTCACAATGAAGATGACATGAAGGCCCTGTCGCAACATCTGAGCCAGAACTATAAAGGGGGTCAACATGTATGGATCGGGTTGCACAACCCCAACACTGGGAGTGAAAACGTGAGTCTGGGCAGGCGGTCCTCCTCTTTCTAATCAATATTCAGGGACTGTTCAGAATGGCAGCCGCAAGGGGCAGGGAAACCAGCTGAAAATATTGAAATTTCAGCTCCGGTTGTCCGAACTGATAAGGCTCATCTTTTTGAGCCCTCCCAGCAGAGCATTAAAACAACAAAGTCCACAACGGAAGGATGAGGCAGGTATGGCTACATTGCTATGCTTTATTACTAAGCTATGCAGAGAGTAAAGAAATATACATGTTCTCTCTATGAGAGCAGAGAGCAACTGAACAAAGGAAAACGAAAGAACAAAGGAAACAGGAAACCAGTAACGTCACATCCCGTCTCCCTTTCCCGTGAGAATCCAACAGTATCTGGACTGTGGAATGTAAACACAGTCCTGTGACTTGCAAGCAGCTGCTCAGTGAGGAAACAGAAACTAACAGTTCCTGCATGGAGGGAAAGAGCAGAAAAGGGAACACAGGTGTCAGGTGAGCGTTTAGGAAAATGGTTAGCCATCCACCTTTCTGGGAAATACCTAAGAGTCCAGCATGCGAGTCAGAGCTCTGTCTTAACTTTGACCATACGGGGCTGTCTTTCATAGAATCATAGAATCATAGAATAGAATCATAGAATCATAGAGTTGGAAGAGACCACAAGGGCCTTTGACCATTTTGGTTGCCCTCCTCTGGACATGTTCCAGTTTGTCAGTGTCCTTCTTGAACTGTGGTGCCCAGAAGTGGACACAGTACTCCAGGTGAGGTCTGACCAGAGCAGAATACAGTGGCACTATTACTTCCCTTGATCTAGATGCTATACTCCTATTGATGCAGCCCAGAATTGCATTGGCTTTTTTAGCTCCTGTGTCACACTGTTGGCTCATGTCAAGTTTGTGGTCAACCAAGACTCCTAGATCCTTTTCACATGTACTGCTCTCAAGCCAGGTGTCACCCATCTTGTATTTGTGCCTCTTTGGAAGGTGGCTGGATGGAGAAGATGACAACTGGTCTCCCACACCTTTATCATCTCTGAAGAAGAGGGCATCGCGGCAAGTGTGCTTTTTGTGAAAGTGGGGCTGCCGTGGGGGGGGGGGGAGAGAACAGCTGTACCTGCCAAGATCCCCTCTTCAGCATGAACATTGGAGGACCAAGTCTTGATCCTTTCCAACAAGGTGTGGGGGGGAGAGAAATCCTTTTTTTCCTTTTTCTTTTTTTGCAAATGGCATAACCATTTTCTCAACATTTGCAAATTTCTGCAGTGCATGCATGCTCAGAGGCAAGTTCCACTAGCTTTATGTCTCTGCTGTCTTATCCCCGTGCTTTTTTTCCTGGGGGTACACAGGGGTACACATACCTCATTTGGCCTCATTTGGGGCAATATTTAATATGAGTAGGAAAATGAGAGTAGCTCCTAAACATATTTTTTTAAAAGACAAAAGGCACTGTCTTATATTTTGAAGGGGAAAAAATGAATGAATTCCTGTGCCCCACAAATAACCCATTGGTGCATTTTAAATAAAAGCACACATTCTACTCATGTAAAAACACGCCGATTCCTGGACCGTTCGCGGGCCAGATTTAGAAGGCAATTGGGCTGGATCTGGCCACCGGGCCTTAGTTTGCCTACCCATGGTGTTATCCTATGCAATAGCTTCAGAAATCTCTAGGCCTCAAGTTTTAGGATAACATTATCAGGTTGACACAAGTTAACCGGATGCAGTCTGCTTTCCAACTATGCCAAATTTTAGTAAGCAGGGAGTGGAAAAATGAGGAGGAAACGCTTTCTCTTCTCTTTTATTTATTAAAATGTATGCACCCCTATATTGGTTCTTTTAAAACAAAAGCAAACCAACAAACCTCAAAGCTGTTTTGTAGTGGTGGTTAGGAACATGACTGCAGGAAGGACTTTTAAAAAATGAAGGACCCAAACCAATGCGTTACAAGGAAGGAGATTCCGACTAAACATACGGAAAAACTTTCGGACAGTAAGAGCTATTCAAAGCAATGACAAACAGACCTATGGTCACGTAAAACATACTCAATAAACACATGAGGTGTAACCGGCTGTGTTCTTAGATAAATAAGATATACTACTCATAGTATCAAATTGTAAATTTCAACAGAAATAACTCATAAAGTTCAAGAAATGAAAAAAGCAGAAGACCCAGTGGATCAGATCATTCTATAGCCAGTTCATGCATAAGGTCCATCTGTGTAATGGTGTCCATTCCACCTGTCTGTTCATAAAGTCCAAACCATCCACATGAAAGGTTGTTTTGTTGTTGTTTAGTTGTTTAGTTGTGTCTGACTCTTTGTGACCCCCTGGACCAGAGCACGCCAGGCACTCCTGTCTTCCACTGCCTCCCGCAGTTTGGTCAAACTCATGCTGGTAGCTTCGAGAACACTGTCCCACCATCTCATCCTCTGTCATCCCCTTCTCCTTGTGCTCACCATCTTTCCCAACATCAGGGTCTTTTGCAGGGAGTCTTCTCTTCTCATGAGGTGGCCAAAGTCTTGGAGCCTCAGCTTTAGGATCTGTCCTTCCAGTGAGCACTCAGGGCTGATTTCCTTAAGGATGGATCTGTTTGATCTTCTTGCAGTCCATGGGACTCTCAAGAGTCTCCTCCAGCACCAGAATTCAAAAGCATCAATTCTTCGGCGATCAGCCTTCTTTATGGTCCAGCTCTCACTTCCACACATCACTACTGGGAAAACCAGAGCTTTAACTATAGGGACCTTTGTTGGCAAGGTGATGTCTCTGCTTTTAAAGTTGCTGACTAGGTTTGTCATTGTTTTTCTCCTAAGAAGCAGGTGTCTTTTAATTTCGTGACTGCTGTCACCATCTGCAGTGATCATGTCTAAGACAAGGATTTCCAGAATATTGGCCTTGTTTCGCCATCCTGGGCTTCATCAGTACTTAAAGCTCTAAATAATGCAAATAAATACAATATCATGATCTCACACATTTTACAGAAAAAATAATATAAAACCATAAATAGCTGTACATACCATATGTGATATTACAGGACAGTGGATCTGATGGCATATTAGTAGCTGCAGTAAGCAGCAACTGTTACAAAGTAGGGTTATATGGACAAGCACAATATTGATTGGGTTGCAGGTTTGGCAATCCACTATTCTGCAGTGGAACAGATTCCCACGAGAGATGATGGACTCTCCTTCCTTGGAGATCTTTAAGCAGAAGTTGCGTGACCATCTGCCATGGATGCTTTAGCTGAGATTCCTGCTGAGATGAGCAGAGATTCTATTATTCTAAGTCCCTGCAACGTGGGAACTGGGATTCTGAGTCTCCAGATGTTCTTCTTATTCCCATTGATTGGACAAGGGAAGAATGGGCTGGAGAAGTCCCTTTCTTCCTCAGCAGTGACGATGTCTCTTTTGCTGTCTTTCTATAGAACTGGCAGTTCAAATGGACAGATGGCACCACTGGAAGATACACTCCTTGGGCGCCTGGGCTACCCACTATTGACACTGACGAACACTGCGTGGAACTCTTCAGCCAAGGTGAGGAGCAAGAGGAGGAAGCCATGGGGTGCTTCAGAGATGGAGGCTGAAGCACTGGAGGAAGAGGCAGGGAAGGGAAGGGCCAGGTGTTTCCCCACCCTCTCCTGCACCACTGGCTCCCAGAACCAGGAGGTGACTGAAGTGGGAAGAGCAGAGGATGTTTCCATGTAGGCATAGTCTCTGGCTACATGTGTGCAACTTGTCAGAGGAAGGTACATAAACTGGTGGGGCAGGATGGCCCCCTGTTGCTGCAACTGTTCCATCAAGACCCACCTATGAATAGCTGCCTAGATGCTACACTGGGGGGTGGGTGTTTATCTACAACTGTGAAAACTGTGCTGGGCCCGGGGGTTAACCCGAGCAATGCGGTCCAGGTTCGGTCCCGAATCCAAGGATTCTGTGAGGAGTCAGTCCAACAGGGCCAAGGCAAGTCTCAAGGCAGGAAACTAGGTAGGTCAGACACAGGGTCTCAGGCAGGTTCCAGCAAGCAGCAATATTGCTCCCGCAACCTGGGGCAGGGCCCGACAGCCTTTTATCTCTGTCGGAGTAACGGTCGTCCTGATCCCCCGGTGACTCACCTCCCTGTCTCGCCCGAAGACGAGCACTCCTCCTGCGAGTACTCAGGTCTCTCCTTCTTTCAGACCTTAGTCTCTGCAGCTGGGGAGATGTTGGTGGGTTACTAGACCCAGAGGCCACCTCAGCCTCTCCTGACCCAACTGGTAGTGGAGCAGCTGTAGGTGATGGCCCAGCTAGAGGCAACAAAGTCATCCCCGCATCTGGAGCCAGGGCAGGCTCAGGCCCCTGACTCGGTCCAGCTGGTGCTTGTTGCAGGGGAACCTGTGCAGACTGGGGCTCTTCAGAATCAGGCCCCAGACTTGGTTCAGATGATGCCTGAGGCAGAGGATCCAGTGCGGATTGAGACTCCTCTGGTTCCGAATCCGAGCCCGAGTCCCAGGCCATCACAGAAACTACTGTGTCAGCTTTGACAATAGAGAGTTAACTATCTGCCCTGGAGTCCCTTTGGGTGGGAAGCACCCTTGGCGTCACAGCTGAAGAACGGTGCATGGTTTCAGAGCACTGGGTTGCTGCTAGTAGGCCCCTGTAACTCCCTGCCAGATGTTTCCAAGACCTCCTGCCGCCCCAACAAAGTTGGACACTGAGGTGGCTGGCTGTGAGTGTTAGTAACATCCTCCCACATTGTCTTCCAGACTACATGAACTGGAATAACCACTATTGCATCGTAAATCACCCCTACCTGTGCAAATACACTTTCTGAGGCTGAGAAAAGACTCTGACGTGCTCAGTAGCACCTGGGAGACTGACCAAGATGCATCTTCTACCTGCAAGAATCCAAGTCTTTCCATGTATTGTGCTCTGAAGCCCAAGCCCACGCTTCCCCAACCTGGTGCCCTCCAGAGGTTTCGGATTAAAACTCCCATCGCTCAGTGGGACAGAATTTCTCTCCTGTGGTCAATAAATTCTCTTCCAAATACACCTGTTGTTAAGTTATGGGCGAACATATCACACAACACAGCGATTCTTCAAACAGCTCTTGTTTATTCAGAGGCCAGAACAGAACTGAACTGAAGAGCTCAGTCAGCCTGCTTATACAGAGCTCCAGAACAACGTAACTGTAGCAACTTTCTAAAACTATCCAATCACTGAACGTCACTTTCGATCCTTCATTTGCATACAAACTATCCAATCTCTGAACGTCACTTTCAATCCTTCATTTGCATAACTATCTACAGTATCCCCCTGCTGGCCCAGGGTGAGAACTTCAGTACATAACACCCCTCCCCACCGAGATAAGGCGTTAGTTACAATTGTAATGGTTTCCTTATATATAGCATTACACGTAATGGTTCAATTAGGCACAAAAGCATATCGGTTACATTTCACATACTTAGACCAACAGTGATACATGTCCAACAACATAGTCCTTTAAATAAGTTGGGCTCTTGGAAACTCTGCCAGACTGCCAGGGACTGGTAGCCAAGTCCGGGGGGCCACCCAATTCTTGCTGAGGCTGTGATGCAACCCTAGGTGGCGTTGAAACCAAGTCCCCTGGATCCGCTGCTGTGGGTGGAACCTCCGCAAGTGGAGTTGGCGGAATTTCAGGCACAGCAGTGGTCTGAGTCTGTAGTAAGTCTGGCAGACCCTCTGAAGTGGCTTGGTTCAGCTCCACACCGGCAGTTTGTGAGAGAGGTATAGGTGGAGCCTCACCATCTGTAAGTGTTTGTTCCGGAGCCACGAGCGCAGTTGGGGGCACCACGATAGTGTCCAAGTCCCCAACCCTGCGCCTAAGCTGGTCTATGTGCCGGTGCCCAAAGCCTCCATCTGCGAGTGCCACCTGGTACGAGCGAGGTCCAGTGACTCCCACTACTGTGGCTGGCACCCAAGGAATGTCCCCCACAAAGTTACTGGCAAAGACCTGGTTTCCTGGAAAAAATGACCGTGGCACGTTGGCACAGCCTGGGGGTTCGGCCACGACAAAGTCTGGGTGCAGCCGGTCGAGCAGGGACCTGAGGCGGCAGCCCATAAGCAGGTCGGCAGGACTCTGCCCTATGGCTGCATGAGGGGTGATGTGTTGCACGAGCAAGTATTCGGCGACCTGCTCGTGCCAGTCTCCCCGGTCCAGGCGCGCCAGTGCCTCTTTTGCCAAGCGCACCATTCTCTCCGCTTGCCCGTTGCTGGATGGATGAAAGGGTGCCGTTAGGGCATGGCGGATGCCCACTCCCAAAAGATACCGCTCAAAAGTGCCTGACGTGAACTGCGGTCCGTTGTCGGAGACAAGGACATCAGGACACCCATGCGTCGCAAAGAGGCCTCGCAGCACCCGGATGACGGCCTCGGTAGTGGTGGAGGGCATCAGGGCCACCTCCAGCCATTTGGAATAGGCGTCCACCACTACCATAAAGGTCCAGCCGTGAAAGGGGCCGGCCAGATCGATGTGCACCCTCGACCAGGGTGTCTTGGGCGTCTCCCAGGTGTGTCCCTTAGCTGCCGGTGGCGCAGGCTTTGATTCTTGGCACGCTTGACAGGCGGACACCCAGGCAGTGTTGGCATCGTCCATGTTAGGCCACCAGACGTAACACCAAGCCAACGCCTTCATTTTGACGATTCCCGGGTGGCCAATGTGCAGAGCCTCCAGGACACGTTGACGGAGTCTCTGGGGAATCACGACGCGGTCTCCCCACAGCAGACAGCCGCGATGAGCCGAGAGTTCATGTTGTCTGGTTGTGAACGGCTGGAACTCCGATGCAAAAGGCCCTTGTGGCCACCCCCTCCACACCCAGTTGAGCACACGGCTGATGGTGTGATCCTGGGCAGATGCGGAGGCCACAGTGGCAGCAGATACAGGCGCTGCCGGAAGATCCTCAATCAGGAGGAGTGATGAAGCAGGAGCCGGGTCTTCCACAAACGCTGGAAGAGGGCAACGGCTGAGGGCGTCGGCATGGCCCATCGATTTCCACGGGCGATGGACGAGCCATTAGTGATAGGCAGCCAGGAAAACAGTCCATCACAGCATGCGCAGCGAGAGGACCGGTGGAGTTGGACGATCACCGGCGAGGAGGCCCAGGAGTGGCTTGTGGTCAGTGATGAGGTCAAAAGTCCTGCCGTAGAGGTATTCATGGAACCTCTTCACTCCAGCCACAAGCGCCAGTGCCTCCTTGTCGAGCTGGCTGTAATTCCGTTCAGTCAGAGATAGCGTCCTGGAAAAGTAGGCAAGCGGTGCTTCTCTTCCGTCTGGAAAACGGTGACTAAGGACAGCGCCGATGCCAAAAGGTGAGGTGTCGCAGGCAAGGACCAGCGGCCTGGCTTCACTGTACTGTACCAGCACACTGTCCGATGAAAGGAGAGCCTTGACCGCGTTGAGGGCCGCCGTCTTCCGATGACCCCAGGACCAAGGTGTCTTTGTGCTGAGGAGTCGGTGAAGAAGCTCAGCCACCGTGGCTTTGTGGGGCAGGAACATGTTATAAAAGTTCAGCAGTCCCAGGAACGCCTGCAACTCCGTCTTGTTCTTTGGGATGGGGGCCTGCTGGATAGCGCAGATCTTGGATGTGATCGGGTGAAGGCCGGAGGCGTCAATAAGATAGCCCAGGAACTCCACCTGTGGAATGGCGAACTGGCACTTCTCCCTCTTTAACTTGAGCCCGGCCTCCTGGAACTTGGTCAGCAGGGCATGGAGGTGCTCGAACAGCTGCTGGTATGAGTCTGCGGACACCAAGACGTCATCAAAATATGGTACCACACCCGGAAGCCCTTGCAGGAGTCGCTCCATAAGGCTTGGGAAGATGCCAGGAGCCACACTCACCCCGAACTGCAACCAGCAGCAATGGAATGCCCCTCGGTGGGTGACGATCGTCTGGGCTTCAGCAGTGGCATCATCAACGGGCAGTTGTTGATAGGCTTGGGCAAGGTCCAGCTTAGCAAAGACCTTACCCTCACCCAGGGAATGCAGCAGGTGTTGGACAACAGGAACCGGATAAGCGTGCTGCTGAAGTGCCTTGTTGATCGTGCACTTGTAGTCAGCGCAGATTCTCACCGACCCATCTGGCTTGACAGGCGTGACGATGGGGGTTTCCCACTTGGCATGGTCAACCGGCTTCAAAACTCCTTGGGCGATCAGCTTGTCCAGTTGTTCGTCCACCTTAGCCTTGAGAGCAAAGGGAACACGGCGTGGCTTTAGCTTGATGGAGCCGACTTGTGGATCAAGGCTAACGGAGATGGGTGTACCTGTATATTGCCCCAAAGTGTCGTCAAAAACCTCGGCAAAGTCTTTGACCAGACCCTCAGTCTCTGCATTAGAGATGCAGTTGATGCCGGTGACTTCCAGGCCGAGGGCATCAAACCAGTCTAGCCCTAGGAGGCTTGGCCACTGACCTTCGACCACCACCAGTCGGAGCAGGCCCAAAAAATCCTTGAAGGCGATCCGGAACCGGCCAACGCCTACCACGGGAATGTCGTTTCCCTGGTAGTCTCTCAGGTGTACGCGGTGAGAGTCGAGTTGCCTTTTGGACACTCTGGGTACCAGTCTTTTGATGGTGCTCCAAGACACGATGGACAGGGCAGACCCGGTATCGATCTCCATGTCACATGGAGCTCCTTCAATGAGCACCGTGACGTTCAGCTTGCGTCGCGTAGGCGAGTCAGTTTGGCCACTCGTGGTTCCAGACGGGCAGCGGCAGTTGGTGAGAGCGAAACAGCTTTCCTTGGTGGACTGGAGTGAAGACTTGGACTTGCGAGTCGATGAAGGGGGGGGTGTCAGACGGAGCCGATCGGCAGACCTTAGTGATGTGGCCCCTTCTGGAACACTTCCGACAGATGGCATCTCTGAATTGACCCTTGGCATGGGGGTGGTTGCCTCCGCAGCCGGCACATTCCGATTGGCCCTTGAACTTCTTTTGGAACTTCCTGCACTCCCGCTTTGTCTGGTGCACGTCATCGTCTTCACTGGAGGATGCCTCATCACTGCTGGCCTCTTCATGATGCACTGGAACTGGCTTCCTAGCAAAGCGCAGGCTGCTGGCCTTGCGGATCTCCTGGGCGGAGCGTTCGGCAGCTTCTGAGGCCACGGCCTCCTTTCTGCAGCGTGATGTCTGGCTTGGCGAGGAGACGCCGTTGCAGATGGATGTCCCGGACCCCACAGACGATTCGATCCATCAGGGCATCGTCTAAGTCTCGGAACTCGCAGTGCATTGCAGCTTGTTGGAGGGCGGCAGTGTAGTTGTTAACTGACTCCCCCTCTGACTGGTTCCAGTGGTAGAATGCATGGCGGGCAACAATCTTGGACAGCTTTGGTGCGTAGTGGTTGCAGAGCTTCTCTTGAATCGTGTCCCACGGTGTTGCCTGGACTGCTTCAGGCACAACCGATGCTCGGGCCGTCTCAAACACATCTGGCCCATAGAGGCTGAGGAATAGGCCCCACTTCCGTTCCTTTGATACTTCTGTCCGCTCGTTGGCTTGGAGGTAGCAGTCGAAACAAGCGAGGTAGGAGTCCCATGATTCAGAGGCTGGCGCAAAGGGCGGTAGAGGCACAAGTGAAGCCATGATTCCGATGCCGGCGTGAAGGGCGATGGATGGAACACAGTGCTCTAGCCAGAACAGTCAGCTCTGAATTGGTTCTGTTCAGTGATTTCGCTCAGTGATTTCGCTCAGTGATTCAGCTCAGTGATTCAGCTCAGTTCAGAGGGTGGCCGCATCTGGCTGTGCTCTGATGTCCATCGATCCCATCCTCGTCGCCAGTGTTAAATTGTGGGCGAACATATCAGACGACACAGCGATTCTTCAAACAGCTCTTGTTTATTCAGAGGCCAGAACTGAACTGAACTGAAGAGCTCAGTCAGCCTGCTTATATAGAGCTCCAGAACAACGTAACTGTAGCAACTTTCTAAAACTATCCAATCACTGAACGTCACTTTCGATCCTTCATTTGCATAACTATCTACAGTATCCCCCTGTTGGCCCAAGGTGAGAACTTCAGTACATAACACCTGTGGCTCTGAGTTTCTCCTGTTTTCATTTATGCCACCTGTTATAGGAATTCTAAGGTGATATATAATGTCCATAAATTTACAAGGCAAACACATACATATGTATATAAACCACGTGTCTGAAATAGTGCAGGAGAGCAAGCCTGAAACCATTTTGATTCTCTCAAACTGACCTCAAGTATTTCTCTGCAAGGAGGAAGGAAATGGGAAAGCCACCCCATTGTCTTTTGCTTAGCTGTCTTAAGGGCGTAAGGTAAAGGGACCCCTACCATTAGGTCCAGTCGCAGACGACTCTGGGGTTGCAGGGCTCATCTCGCTTTACTGGCCAAGGGAGCCGGCGTACAGCTTCCGGGTCATGTGGCCAGCATGACTAAGCCGCGTCTGGCAAACCAGAGCAGCGCACAGAAACGCCGTTTACCTTCCCGCCGGAGCGGTACCTATTTACCGTATTTTTTGCTGTATAAGACTCACTTTTTCCCTCCTAAAAAGTAAGGGGAAATGTGTGTTGGTTCCTATTTCCCTCACTGTGCAGCAACTGCTTGTCACAAGGCATTGTTTACATTCCACAGTCAGAGTTACTGTTGGGTTCCCATGGGAATGGGAGACTGGATGTGACGTACACTGGTTTCTTGTTTTTCAGTGTTCTCTCGGTTTCTTTGTGTCGAGAGTGAGTTGCTTCTCTGCTCTCACAGAGGCAGGATGCATGTTTGTATGCTCTCAGCATAGCTTGTAAATAAAGTCAGCATGTAGCACATTTACCTGCTTATCCTTTTGCTGCGTGGACTACGCTCTGCTTGGGCTCAAGATAAGACGAGCCTGTACCAGTTCCAGATGGGCCGGAGCTGGTCAAATCTCACAATGTGTGCGTGTCTTATGGAGCGAAAGCAGGCTGCGCAGCTATCACAGAGGCCAGAACAGCAAGAGGTATTGCTGCTTTCACTGCGCAGCGATGCCTCTTGCTCTTCTGGCTTCTGAGATTCAATCTGAGATTGGCTACAAACTAAGTACAAGTCTTCAGACATCTGACAAACAGGACTCTAGTTTGAGCGCAAGGGAGCACTTTCCATGTGGGCTAAGCAAAACGGTGTGAAAGGAAACAGGTGGAGATTAATGAGTAGATGAAACCCATGGCAGCTGCGAGGCTGGAGCTGTTGAGTGGTTGCCAATCCCCTCACTGTCTCTGCTTTCTCAAGCTACTTCCCGCACCTTTTCTTTCTTTTTGTAGCATTTTGCAAGTGATGAGAACGGCCCTTGCCCCGCATTTCCTGCCTCCCATACACAGCTGCATCCTTGATCTTGCTGGGTGCCCACCCACATTAAGAGTTCGAACCAGGTCAGGGGTGGGAAGAATCAAAGATCCAGCTTCCAGCAAGGAACATGAAGTGCCTGTTCTGTCAAATCAAAGGAGCTGCTGGGCTGTGGGCGCCATTTTGGCTTTCCACCTCCGCAACCTGACTTGCCCGGTTCCTGCATTTTTGGCTGCCTCCAGGCTCATTATTTCGTGGGAGGAGAAAGAGTAACCCAGATGATCAAGGGGAATCAAGAAGGTTGCAGAGTTGGAAACTTTTAAGGCCACTTCTGCACCAAACTTTTAAAGCAGTATCACACTGCCTGAAGCAGCCATGGCTTTCCCCAAAGAATCCTGAAAACTGTGGCTTGTTAAGGGTGCTGAGAAACGCTTGTTCCCGTCCCAAAACTATAATTCCCAGCATTCCCTGGGGAGAGGGATTGATTGTTAAACGACTTTGGGAATTGTAGCTCAGGGAGGGGAATAGGAGTCTCCTAACACCTTCTAGCAAGGGACGTGGGTGGCACTGTGGGTTAAACCACAGAGCCTAGGACTTGCCGATCAGAAAGTAGGCGGTTCGAATCCCCATTACGGGGTGGGCTCCTGTTGCTTGGTCCCCGCTCCTCCCGACCTAGCAGTTCGAAAGGACGCCAAACTGCAAGTAGATAAATAGGTACCGCTCCGGCGGGAAGGTAAACGGCGTTTCTGTGCGCTGCTCTGGTTTGCCAGAAGCTGGCCACATGACCCAGAAGCTGTACGCTGGCTCCCTCGGCCAATAAAGCGAGATGAGCGCCACAACCCCAGAGTCATTCAGGACTGGACCTAACGGTCAGGGGTCCCTTTACCTTTAACACCTTCCAGCAGCCTTAACAAACTACAACCCCCAGGATTCTTTGAGGAAAGAATGGAAATTTATGGAAGTACACATGCATGGAAAAAAACAGAGAACAGTTTTCTCTATCTAGAGGGGCTGGGACCTGGGGGGCATTGTTATACAGTGGTTCTGCCCCTTCCTCCTGGGCCGTGTTCAGAAAGTGGTGGTGGGGAATGAGTGTTCAGACCCCTGGGGTGCCTCAGGGTTCTGTCCTCTCCTCCATGCTTTTTAATATCTATATGAAGCCGCTGGGAGAGATCATCAGGGGGTTTGGGCTGGGTGTTCATCAGTATGCAGATGATACCCAGCTCTACCACTCTTTCAAATCAGAACCAGTGAAGGCCGTGAAGGTCCTGTGTGAGTTTCTGGAGGCTGTTGGAGGTTGGATGGTGGCTAACAGATTGAGGTTGAATCCTGACAAGTGCGTATAGACCAACAATGTGTAAAAAGTGCAATGAGATGAATCAGAAGTCAAAAGTGTGTGTGATGTTAAATGATATGTTGTCAGTTGGGGTCTAGTTGTTATGTGGGTATGGTAATGGTCAGTTTGTGTTGTGTTTTATGTTTTATTTAGGTAAATTGTTTTGCAATAAAGGAAATTTTAAAAAAGTTTTAAAAAGATGTTGTTGCAGCCGTCACTCTGAAAGTTAACATATTATATATTCCACCCACCACGTTCCGTTTGTTCGGACTTTTCCGTAACCATTAACTGCTCACTTGCCACGGGGTTTTTGCGTGGGATCATGGTGCTCGCATTTGATGCCTGCAACAGAGGCAAAAGCCGTCCCTGCAACTGTTGGTCTATAAATGCCCCAGGACGGTTGAGAATTCTCTAGAGGAAGGAGAGAGGTTTCGGCATTTTGGACAACCGCAGCAGAGGAACAGGTGAGTAGCCTTTGCGGCTGGGTCTCCTTGGTTCTGCCAGTAATTGCAGCTCCTTTGACAAGATGAAACCCAAACGGTGCTACCTTTGAAATGTAGACGCCTATTCTCATTTGCTCTTGATGGATGCATATATTAAATTATCTGAGGTATTGCTGGTTAACTTTACAGAAATGCCAGGAACCTCTTGCCAAATTCAACTCTGTGTATTATTTTTGTTTTTTTGTAAAAAAGGAAAAAAAGAAAATTGAGGGTCAATGCAGCTTTGATAAGCAGGGAGAAAGAAATCTATGAATATGAGTGGGGAGAAGGGAAAAGAAATTCCGGTAGGATTCCTGCATTTGTAGGGGGTTGGACTAGATGACCCTCAAGGTCCCTTCCAAGGTTCTGTGATTCTAATAACTGGCTGGGTCAGGCTGGTGGCCCACCTGTTCAAGCATCCTGTTCTCACAGAATTAGAAGAAAATGTTCTCTCTCCACAGGTGCAGATGGGGCCGTTCTCTCCCTTCAACCTCTCCCTTGTGGTTTTCCTGGCTTTCATTTCCCTACAAGGTATGACTAAGTTGGGCTCATCAAACCCTGGTTGAGACGAGCCAAGTAAAGTCTTCTCCAAAGCCAAGTGGGCTTGGCACCCAGCCACCCCAGGGGGCGCTTCCTCTTCAATGGACAACCACTTGCTCCACCCTCATTGCCACTTCCCCCCAGGTCAGCCTTTGCCAACCTGGTGCCCCCCAACTGCTTGGACTACAACTCCCAGCAGCCTCAGCACCACACAGCTGGGCTGTGTTTTAGCCCAACGCATCTGGCAGGCACAAGGCTGCTCTAGGGTTTCCTTCAGCTTCTCGGTCTTTATTAGGCTTGCATTGCCATCCTCCTTCCCTCCCTCTTAAGACCTCACCCACCCTCGACAGGGCCCTGATCCTGCTCCTTCCTTCCTTACAAGCCAGCTGTGGCCCCACCCCTGGTTTTCTTTGTTCCACGGAGCGTCCACTAAGGCTGCGAACAGCTGGACTGCTGTGGCGTCCAGTCCGCTTCCCTTAATAACAACAACAACAACAACAACAATTTATTATTTATACCCCGCCCATCTGGCTGCCCCCCCCCAGCCACTCTGGGTGGCCTCCAACAAAACATTAAAATACCGTAATACATCAAACATTAAAAGCTTCCTTAAACAGGGCTGCCTTCAGATGTCTTCTAAAAGTCTGGTAGTTGTTGTTCTCTTTGACATCTGGTGGGAGGGCGTTCCACAGGGCGGGTGCCACCACCTAGAAGGCCCCCTGCCTGGTTCCCTGTAACCTGGCTTGTCGCAGTGAGGGAACCACCAGAAGGCCCTCGTCACTGGACCTCAGTGTCCAGGCAGAACGATGGGGATGGAGACGTTCCTTCAGATATACTGAACCGAGGCCATTTAGGGCTTTAAAGGTCAGCACCAACACTTTGAATTGTGCTCAGAAACGTACTGGGAGCCAATGTAGGTCTTTCAAGACCGGTGTTATGTGGTCTCGGCGGCCGCTCCCAGTCACCAGTCTGGCTGCCACGTTCTGGATTAGTTGTAGTTTCCGGGTCACCTTCAAAGGTAGCCCCATGCAGAGCGCATTGCAGTAGTCCAAGCGGGAGATAACCAGAGCATGCACCACTCTGGCTAGGCAGTCTGTGGGCAGGGAGGGTCCCATCCTGCATACCAGATGGAGCTGGTGAACAGCTGCCCTGAACACAGAATTCACCTGCGCCTCCATGGACAGCTGTGAGTCCCTGTGCCAACCTGCTTCTCCCGGCTACAGCAGACTTATTTGCGCAGAGCTGACTGTGTGGAAGGAATCTCAGCCATGCAGTAAAACTCTTGTACAACAGCTCCTTCTATTCTACGAAGCATTTATTGTACAACAGCAAAACAACAAATCAGCCAGAAGATAGCAAAGGCATGATGCTTCTCTTGTCGCAGCAAAACAGAAAGTAAAAATGTTCACATAAGAAAGATGCGAACACACCCCAGTGACAGGACGCCATTTCCCTAGAGCTATTAACCCAGTAAGCTCTGGGTATCCTCACACACCCCTCTCGTCCTGTACCACTGGGGAAGAGTGCAAGTAATAATAATAATAATAATAATAATAATAATTTATTATTTATACCCCGCCCATCTGGCTGGGCTTCCCTGGCCACTCTGGGCGGCTTCCAAAAGAATATTAAAATACTATAATACATCAAACATTAAAAGCTTCCCGAAACAGGGCTGCCTTCAGATGTCTTCTAAAAGCCTGGTACTTGTTGTTCTCTTTGACATCTGGTGGGAGGGTGTTCCACAGGGAAGGCGCCACTACCGAGAAGGCCCTCTGCCTGGTTCCCTGTAACTTGGCTTCTCGCAGTGAGGGAACTGCCAGAAGGCCCTCGGCGCTGGACCTCAGTGTCCGGGTAGAACGATGGGGGTGGAGACGCTCCTTCAGGTATAGTGGACCAAGGCCGTTTAGGGCTTTAAAGATCAGCACCAACACTTTGAATTGTGCTCGGAAACGTACTGGGAGCCAATGTAGGTCTTTCAAGACCGGTGTTATGTGGTCTCTGCGGCCGCTCCCAGTCACCAGTCTAGCCGCCGCGTTCTGGATTAGTTGTAGTTTCCGGGTCACCTTCAAAGGTAGCCCCACGTAGAGCGCATTGCAGTAATCCAAGCGGGAGATAACCAGAGCATGCACCACTCTGGCGAGGCAGTCCGCAGGCAGATAGGGTCTCAGCCTGCGTACCAGATGGAGCTGGTAAACAGCTGCCCTGGACACAGATTTGACCTGTGCCTCCATGGACAGCTGTGAGTCCAAAATGACTCCCAGGCTGCGCACCTGGTCCTTCAGGGGCACAGTTACCCCATTCAGGACCAGGGAATCCTCCACACCTGCCCGCCTCCTGTCCCCAAAAACAGTACTTCTGTCTTGTCAGGATTCAACCTCAATCTGTTAGCCGCCATCCAACCTCCAACCGCCTCCAGGCACTCACACAGGACCTTCACTGCCTTCACTGGTTCTGATTTGAAGGAGAGGTAGAGCTGGGTATCATCCGCATACTGATGAACACCCAGCCCAAATCCCCTGATGATCTCTCCCAGCGGCTTCATGTAGATGTTGAAAAGCATGGGGGAGAGGACAGAACCCTGAGGCACCCCACAAGTGAGGGCCCAGGGGTCTGAACACTCATCCCCCACCACCACTTTCTGAACACGGCCCAGGAGGAAGGAGTACTGTAAGTACTACCAGTTACCCCAGACACAACCCTTCGCAGAACTCCCAATGTCTTTGGAAGCTCAAAGGTTTTGTGAACCCATCCGCTAGGATCTTCTGGCTTGGACAGTACTTCAGCTTTCCCTTCTCTTTCAGCAGGCGCAGACTTCAACTGCCCCAGAGGCTGGGTCAAGCGAGATAAACAATGCTTTGGGTTCTTCAATGTTGCTTTGAAATGGCATGATGCAGAGGTATGACGCTGAGGGTGGCTTAAACCAGGGACGTATTTTATTAAAAACTTAAGCACAGTAAAAGAGCCGGCAGGATCAGGCCAACACATCTAGTGCAGTCTCCTGTTCCCAAAGCGGCCAACCACAGGCTTACAGGAAGCCTGCAAGATGGATCTGGGTGCAAGAGCACTTTCTCTTCCTGCATTTTCCAGCAACTGGTATTCAGAAGCTTACCGTATTTTTTGCTCTATAAGACACACTTTTCCCCTCCTAAAAAGTAAAGGGAAATGTGTGTGCGTCTTATGGAGCGAAGGCAGGCTGCCTTGACTTGCGTCCTTATCAGGGATGGGGCTCACTGCTTGTTTGTGCTCGTGGTTCTCATGAGTGGGATGCAGATGGCGCTGTGGTCTAAACCCCTGAGCCTCTTGGTCATCCCACTTGGAAGGTCGGCGGTTCGAATCCCCGCGACGGGGTGAGCTCCCGTTGCTCTGTCCCAGCTCCTGCCAGCCTAGCAGTTCAAAAGCTCAGCAGTTCAAATAGATAAATAGGCAGTGCTTTTTTCTGGGGGTACGCAGGGGTACGCATACCCCTAAACATTTTGTGAATCTAAGTCTGTCTTCACTGAGGGGCAGTATTTCAATATGAGTCAGAAAATGAGAGTACCCCTAAACATTTTTTTAAAGAAAAAAAGCACTGTAAATGGGTACCGCTGTGGTGGGAAGGTAAACAGCATTTCCATGCGCTGTGGCACTTATTACGGTCCTCTGTGCATCAGAAGCGGTTTAGTCCTGCTGGCCACATGACCCGGAAAGCTGTCTGTGGACAAACACCAGCTCCCTTGGCCTGAAGGCGAGGAGCATCTCAACCCCATAGTTGCCTTTGACTGGACCGAACTGTCCAGGGGTCCCTTACCTTTTACCTTCTCATGACACCAACTCAGTTCATGCTGGTACTTAGTGCATTCTAGAGCATGGTGCTGATAATGCCAAGGTCGCAGGTTTGATCCCCGTATGTTGCACATTCCTGCATTGCAGAGGGTTGGACTAGATGATCCTTGGTGTCTCTTCCAACTCTACAATTCTAGGTTCCTGTGATTTTTGCAGTACATGCTCAGGTCGTGGTGGATACATGGACTGCAAATGTCTCCTCTTACTGCTCAGAAGTTGCTGTCCAGGCACAGTGACAGAATGAAGGAGAAGCCTACTGAGATGTTCAACCCAATGCCAATGGCGTCCCCCATTCTCTGGGGTGCTCTTTTTTGGTCTCCCTCAGATTGCCTGCCAGGCCTTTGGCGAGAACGGCCATCTTGCCTCCATTCACGATGAAGACGACATGAAGATCCTGTCGCAACATCTGAGCCAGACCTATAACGGGGGTCAACATATATGGATCGGGTTGTACGACCCCAACACTGGGAGTGAAACCGTGAGTCTGGCCAGGCGGTCCTCCTCTTTCTAATCATTATTCAGGGACTGTTCAAAATGGCAGCCGCAAGGGGCAGGGAAACCAGCCCTGAGGTGGTTCCTACATAGAGGGAAAGAGCATAAAGGGGAACACAGGTGTCAGGTGAGCGTTTAGGAAAATGGTTAGCCATCCACCTTTCTGGGAAATACCTGAGATTCCAGCATGCGAGTCAGAGCCCTGTCTTAACTTTGACTTTTGGAAGGTGGCTGGATGGAGAAGATGACGACTGGTCTCCCACACCTTTATCATCTATGAAGAAGAGGGGATCACAGCAGGTGTGCTTTTTGTGAAAGTGGGGCTGCCGTGGGGGGGGGGGAGAACAGCTGTACCTGCCAAGATCCCCTCTTCAGCATGAACATTGGAGGACCAAGTCTTGATCCTTTCCAACAAGGTGGGGGGGGGGGAGAAATCCTTTTTTTCCTTTTTCTTTTTTTGCAAATGGCATAACCATTTTCTCAACATTTGCAAATTTCTGCAGTGCATGCTTGCTCAGAGGCAAGTTCCACTAGCTTTATGTCACTGCTGTCTTATCCCGGTGCTTTTTTCCCTGGGGGTACACAGGGGTACACATACCTCATTTGGCCTCATTGAGGGGAAGTATTTAATATGAGTAGGAAAATGAGAGTAGCTCCTAAACATATTTTTTTAAAAGACAAAAGGCACTGTCTTATCCAGGGGTCAGCAAACTTTTTCAGCAGGGGGGCAGTCCACTGCCCCTCAGACCTTGGGGGGGGGCGCTGGATTATTCTTTGAAGAAAAAAATTGAATGAATTCCTGTGCCCCACAAATAACCCATTGGTGCATTTTAAATAAAAGCACACATTCTACTCATGTAAAAACACGCCGATTCCTGGACCGTCTGCGGGCCAGATTTAGAAGGTACTTGGGCCAGATCTGCCCCCCGGGCCTTAGTCTGCCTACCCATGGTCTTATCCTATGCAATAGCTACAGAAATCTCTGGGCCTCAAGTTTTAGGATAACATTATCAGGTTGACACAAGTTAACTGGATGCAGCCTGCTTTCCAACTATGCCAAATTTTAGTAAGCAGGGAGTGGAAAAATGAGGAGGCAACGCTTTCTCTTCTATTTATTAAAATGTATGCACCCCTATATTGGTTCTTTTAAAACAAAAGCAAACCGACAAACCTCAAAGCTGTTTTGTAGTGGTGGTTAGGAACATGATTGCAGGAAGGACTTTTAAAAAATGAAGGACCCAAACCGATGCGTTACAAGGAAGGAGATTCCAACTAAACATATGGAAAAACTTTCGGACAGTAAGAGCTATTCAAAGCAACAACAAACAGACCTTTGGTCACGTAAAACATACTCAATAAACACATGAGACGTAACTGGGTGTGTTCTTAGATAAATAAGATATACTATTCATAGTATCAAATTGTAAATTTCAACAGAAGTAACTCATAAAGTTCAACAAATGAACAAAGCAGAAGACCCAGTGGATCAGATCATTCTATACTCAGTTCATACATAAGGTCCAACCTTGTAATGGTGTCCATTCCACCTGTCTGTTCATAAAGTCCAAACCAACCACATGAAAGGTTGTTACAGTTCCACAAAATCCTTTCACAAAGTCTAACAAAAGGATTTCCAGAATATTGGCCTTGTTTTGCCGTCCTGGGCTTCATCAGTAGTTAAAGCTCTAAGTAATGCAAATAAATAGGGACGCGGGTGGTGCTGTGGGTTAAACCACAGAGCCTAGGACTGGAAGGTCGGCGGTTCGAATCCCCGCGACGGGGTGAGCTCCCATTGCTCGGTCCCTGCTCCTGCCCACCTAGCAGTTCGAAAGCACGTCAAAGTGCAAGTAGATAAGTAGGTACTGCTCCAGCGGGAAGGTAAACGGCGTTTCTGTGTGCTACTCTGGTTTCGCCAGAAACGGCCTAGTCCTGCTGGCCACATGACCTGGAAGCTGTATGCCGGCTCTCTCGGCTAATAAAGCAAGATGAGCGCTGCAACCCCAGAGTCGGCCACGACTGGACCTAGTGGTCAGGGGTCCCTTTAGCTTTAATGCAAATAAATACAATATCACGATCTCACATATTCCACAGCAAAAATAATATAAAACCATAAATAACTGTACATACCATATGTGATATTACAGGACAGTGGATCTTATGGCATAGTAGTAGCTGCAGTAAGCAGCAACTGTTACAAAGTAGGGTTATATGGACAAACACAATACTGATTGGGTTGCAGGTGTTGGCAATCCACTATTCTGCAGTGGAACAGATTCCCACGAGAGATGATGGACTCTCCTTCCTTGGAGATCTTTAAGCAAAAGTTGGGTGACCATCTGCCATGGATGCTTTAGCTGAGATTCCTGCTGAGATTAGTGGAGATTCTATTATTCTAAGTCCCAGCATCGTGGGAACTGGGATTCTGAGTCTCCAGATGTTCTTCTTCTTCCCACTGATTGGACAAGGGAAGGATGGGCTGGAGAAGTCCCTTTCTTCCTCCGCAGAGACGATGTCTCTTTTGCTCTCTTTCTATAGAACAGGCAGTTCAAATGGACAGACGCCACCACTGGAAGATACACTCCTTGGGCACCTGAGGAACCCAATAATCCCAGAACCGAACACTGCGTGGAACTCTACAGCCATGGTGAGGAGCAAGAGGAAGAAGCCATGGGGTGCTTCAGAGATGGAGGCTGAAGTACTGGAGGAAGAGGCAGGGAAGGGAAGGGCCAGGTGTTTCCCCACCCTCTCCTACACCACTGGCTCCCAGAACCAGGAGGCGACTGAAGTGGGAAGAGCTGAGGACGTTTTCATTTAGGCATAGTCTCTGGCTACATGTGTGCAGCCTGTCAGGGGAAGGTACATAAACTGGTGGGGCAGGATGGCCCCCTGTTGCTGCAACTGTTCCATCAAGACCCACTTATGTATAGCTGCCTAGATGCTAGACTGGGGGGGGGGTTATCTACAACTGTGGAAACTGTGCTGGGCCCGGGGGTTAACCCGAGCAATGCGGTCCAGGTTCGGTCCCGAATCCAAGGATTCTGTGAGGTGTCAGTCCAAAAGGGCCAAGGCAAGTCTCAAGGCAGGAAACTAGGTAGGTCAGACACAGGGTCTCAGGCAGGTTCCAGCAAGCAGCAATGTTGCTCCTGCAACCTGGGGCGGGGTCCCGTAGCCTTTTATCTCTGTCGGGATAACGGCTGTCCTGATCCCCCGGTGACTCACCTCCCTGTCTCGCTCGAAGGCGAGCACTCCTCCTGCGAGTACTCAGGTCTCTCCTTCTTTCAGACCTTAGTCTCTGCAGCTGGGGAGATGTTGGTGGGTTACTAGACCCAGAGGCCTTAGGCTCTCCTGACCCAACTGGTAGTGGAGCAGCTGTAGGTGATGGCCCAGCTAGAGGCAACAAGGTCATCCCTGCATCTGGAGCCAGGGCAGGCTCAGGCCCCTGACTCGGTCCAGCTGGTGCTTGTTGCAGGGGAACCTGTGCAGACTGGGGCTCTTCAGAATCAGGCCCCAGACTTGGTTCAGATGATGCCTGAGGCAGAGGATCCGGTGCGGATTGAGACTCCTCTGGTTCTGAATCCGAGCCCGAGTCCCAGGCCATCACAGAAACTACTGTGTCAGCTTTGACAATAGAGAGTTAACTATCTGCCCTGGAGTCCCTTTGGGTGGGAAGCACCCTTGGCGTCACAGCTGAAGAACGGTGCATGGTTTCAGAGAACTGGGTTGCTGCTAGTAGGCCCCTGTAACTCCCTGCCAGATGTTTCCAAGACCTCCTGCCGCCCCAACAAAGTTGGACACTGAAGTGGCTGGCTGTGAGTGTTAGTAATATCCTCCCACATTGTCTTCCAGACTACATGAAGTGGAATGACGAAAAATGCACCGAAAAACACCCCTACCTGTGCAAATACACTCTCTGAGGCCGAGAAAAGACTCTGATGTGCTCAGTAGCACCTGGGAGGCTGACCAAGATGCATCTTCCAAGTCTTTCCATCTATTGTGCTCTGAAGCCCAAGCCCATGCTTCCCCAACCTGGTGCCCACCAGAGGTTTGGGATTAAAACTCCCATCGCTCAGTGGGACAGAATTTCTCTCCTGTGGCCAATAAATTCTCTTCCAAATACACCTGTGGCTCTTTCTCCTGTTTTCATTTAAGCCACCTGTTATAGGAATTCTAAGGTCATAGCAAACACATACATAAGTATATAAACCACATGTCTGAAATAGTTGTTGTTGTTTAGTCATTTAGTCATTTCCGACTCTTCGTGACCCCCTGGACCAGAGCACGCCAGGCACTCCTGTCTTCCACCGCCTCCTGCAGTTTGGTCAAACTCATGCTGGTAGCTTCGAGAACACTGTCCAAACATCTCATCCTCCATCATCCCCTTCTCCTTGTGCTCTCCATCTTTCCCAACATCAGGGTCTTTTCCAGAGAGCTCTTCTCATGAGGTGGCCAAAGTCTTGGAGCCTCAGCTTCAGGATCTGTCCTTCCAGTGAACACTCAGGGCTGATTTCCTTCAGAATGGAGAGGTTGGATCTTCTTGCAGTCCATGGGACTCTCAAGAGTCTCCTCCAGCACCAGAATTCAAAAGCATCAGTTCTTCGGCGATCATCCTTCTTTATGGTCCAGCTCTTACTTCCATACATCACTACTGGGAAAACCAGAGCTTTAACTATACAGACCTTTGTTGGCAAGGTGGTGTCTGCTTTTTAAGATACTGTCTAGGTTTGTCATTGCTTTCCTCCCAAGAAGCAGGCGTCTTTTAATTTTGTGACTGCTGTCACCATCTGCAGTGATCATGGAGCCCAAGAGAGCAATCCTGAAACCATTTTGACTCTCCCAAACTCACCTCAAGTATTTCTCTGCAAGGAGGGGGGAAACGGGAAAGCCCCTCCACTGTCTTTTGCTTAGCTGTCTTAAGGGCTTATGTGTGTGTGTGAGTAAGATGAGCCTGTGACCTGGACTCGGGAATTAAAGCATTTACATTCACAAAAGAATGGCCAGGCTGCCCAGGTAGAGCAATGTTTGACCATTATCAGGTTTCCTGGCAAACAGGATTTCTGTGGAACACCGCCCCCCTGTGATGTACAGTGGGGGGGGGGAGTGTTTGATCCCCTGCTAAATTTGCCCGTTTGCCCTCTGACGAAGAAATGACCAGTCCATAATTTTAATGGTAGGTTTATTGTAGTTGTGAGAGACAGAATAACAACAGGAAAACCCCCAGAAACCCAGAAGACAAAAGTCAGAGGTTGATGTGCATTATAATGAGTGAAATCAGTATTTGATCCCTTTGCAAAAGATGACTTAGTACTTGGTGGCAAAACCCTTGTTGGCAATTACAGAGGTCAGACGTTTCTTATAGGTGGCCACCAGGTTTGCACACATCTCAGGAGGTGTTTTGTCCCACTCCTCTTTGCAGATCCTCTCCAAGTCAGTAAGATTTCGAGGCTGATGTGTAGCTACTCAAACCTTCAGCTCCCTCCACAGATTTTTGATGGGATTCTTGAGCCACTCCTTTGTTGCCTCCCAGTCCAGCCTTGTGCAGGTCTACAGTCTTGTCCCTGACATCCTTGGACAGCTCTTTGGTCTTGGTCATGGTGGCTACTTTGGAATCTGCTGGATTGATTGCTTCTGTTGACAGGTGTCTTTTGTGCAGGTACTGTAAGGAGCTGGGGTTACAGGTAAGACCTCTCCCTTACAACAGGTGCTTCTAATCTCAGCTCGTTACATACAGTGAAGATACCAGGTAGCCTGACATCTGGCTGGTTGATAGGGGATCAAATACTGATTTCACCCATTCCCACCACCCTTCTGAGTAATACCCCTCCCGACAAGCGGCCCATGGGGGTCGTTTAACCGGCCCATGGACCCCTGCCCCCCACTCGGGGACTCCCGCCTCCCACCCGGTCGGCTCCTGTGTGCCACGCTAGACCAGCATGGAGCAGAGTGCTGACCGTCTTCCATGACGCTGGCCGGCTTCCCATTGGCTGCAGGAAGCTACTGCAGCCAATGAGTAGCTGTGCACGCCTCCTCTGTGCCAGAAGGAGCACCAGAAATAGCATTTGTGCATTTGGGACCGTGAACCGGCCCAAGCCACAAAAACTTTGCCAACCCCTTCTCTAGAGGAGAGGGTGTGCAAGCCTGTGGCGTGTGCCATGAAGGCCATTGCTCTGGCCAGAGGGCTGAAGAGCAGTGAGACAGAATGATTTTTTAATATACTTTATATGTTTCTTTATTGGACCAGTAGTATAATTTGTAATATTGCAAGTTCAACAAATTCTTTAAGCAGAACAGAAATAGGTGAGCTGTTTATTCCCACATGGGAGATCCCCAACAGATGAGCTGAACTGAGGACGAAGATTCTTGAAGATTTGCTGGGTGACTCTGCTGACTTATAAAAGGTAAAGGTAAAGGGACCCCTGACCGTTAGGTCCAGTCGTGGCCGACTCTGGGGTTGCGGCGCTCATCTCACTTTCTTGGCCGAGGGAGCCGGCGTACAGCTTCCGGGTCATGTGGCCAGTATGACTAAGCCGCTTCTGGTGAACCAGAGCAGCGCACGGAAATGCCGTTTACCTTCCCGCCGGAGAGGTACCTATTTATCTACTTGCACTTTGACATGCTTTCGAACTGCTAGGTTGGCAGGAGCAGGGACCAAGCAATGGGAGCTCACCCCGTTGCGGGGATTCGAACTGCCAACCTTCTGATCGGCAAGTCCTAGGCTGTGTGGTTTAACCCACAGCGCCACCCGCGTCCCCTGCTGACTTATAAGGAACCCCAAAGGGCATAAATGCCACCAGCAGGGCAATGGTCTGGGATGACACAGCTTTGTTCCATCTGAAGGTCTACAGAGATCGTTCATCCTTGCCTCACAGGGGAAGGTGCTCTTGCACTCAGTCCTACTTCCAGGATTCCCATGGGAACATCTAGTAGGCCATTGTGAGAGCAGTAAGTGGACCATGATCTAGTGGGGCACTAAAAAGGTACAGCTGGAAAGGCAGGGCTGGGGGACCTCAGCAACTAAGTGGGATGGAAGCCTCTTGTGTTTGATGGAGTTATCCAGGGGCAGGGATGAGGTCACGGACCCCAACACTTTGGCTTATGCTCACAAACGTAGGACACAACGTATGGGCAACGGTCAGTTCTAAATTTCTGAAAACCTGGAAAGAGAAAGAGAGACAAGCTTAGTCAGAGTCAACACTTGTCCTGAGCACATCCAGCCCAAGGAAAACAAACAGGTGGCAGTTCAGTTCTTTTTGGCAAAACACTCTGATCACAGCAAGGTATTTTGAGCAGCATGTCCTCCTTAGGTAAAGGTAAAGGGCCCCCTGACCATTAGGTCCAGTCGTGACCGACTCTGGGGTTGCAACGCTCATCTCACTTTATTGGCCAAGGGAGTCGGCGTACAGCTTCTGGGTCATGTGGCCAGCATGACTAAGCCGCTTCTGGCGAACCAGAGCAGCGCACGGAAACGCCGTTTACCTTCCCGCCAGAGTGGTACCTATTTATCTACTTGCTTTCGTACTTCTAGGTTGGCAGGAGCAGGGACCGAGCAACGGGAGCTCACCCCATCGCGGGGATTCGAACCGCCGACCTTCTGATAGGCAAGCCCAAGAGGCTCTGTGGTTTAACCCACAGCGCCACCTGCGTCCTCCTTACAGTGTTCCAAAACAGTTTAGGTTCTAGCCAAAAGGCAAGAGCCTGAGGCAAACTTGCTGCAAACAACAGGTATTTATACTTTATATTGTGCTGACTCAGTCTGACTCACTCTCATGTTTGCTGACTCACACCTAGCCAGCTGCAGGTGCGGCGGAAGCACACCTAGATTAACCCTTTCTTGTCCTTTCTCTCTGCGTGCACAAAGTAACACTCACAGCCTATTCTCTGCCGTAAAGGTAAAGGGACCCCTGACCATTAGGTCCAGTCGTGAACGACTCTGGGGTTGTGGCGCTCATCTTGCTTTACTGGCCGAGGGAGCTGGCGTGCAGCTTCCGGGTCATGTGGCCAGCATGACTAAGCCACTTCTTGCGAACCAGAGCAGCGCATGGAAACGCTGTTTACCTTCCCGCTGGAGCGGTACCTATTGATCTACTTGCACTTTGACGCGCTTTCAAACTGCTAGGTTGGCAGGAGCTGGGACTGAGCAACGGGAGCTCACCCCATTGCGGGGATTCGAACCGCCGACCTTCTGATCGGCAAGCCCTAGGTTCTGCGGTTTAGACCACAGCGCCACCCGCATCCCCCATTCTCTACCGTACCGCTGTGCAAACTATTAAATTCGCTTGCAAGAGGTGTTAAGGCATCAGAGTCAAATGTAGATCTCAAGACTGCATGCCCAGTTGTTACGCTCACATATCTGAAGGAGCTTCTCCACCTCCATCGTTCTGCCTATACAGCTCCAAGGGCCTTCTGGCGGTTCCCTCCCTGTGAGAAGTGAGGTTACAGGGAACCAGGCAGAGGGCCTTCTTGGTAGTGGCACCCACGTGGACTACTGCAATGTGCTCTATGTGGGGCTACCTTTGAAGGTGACCCAGAAACTACAACTAATCCAGAATGCAGCATCCAGACTGGAGACTGGGAGCAGCCACCAAGACCATATAAGGTCAGTCCTGAAATACCCAGATTGGCTCCCAGTACATTTCCAGGCACAATTCAAAGTGCTGACCTTTAAAGCCTTAAACAGCCTCGGCCCTGTAGACCTGAAAGAGCGTCTCCATGTCCATCATCCAGCCTGGACACTGAGGTCCATCTCCGAGGGCCTTCTGGTGGTTCCCTCACTGCTAAAAGTGAAGTTACATGGAACCAGGCAGAGGGCCTTCTCGGTGGTGGCACCCGCCCTGTGGAACACCCTGCTATCAGATGTTAATGAAATAAACAATGATCTGACTTTTAGAAGACATCTGAAGGCAGCCCTGTTTAGGGAAGTTTTTAATGTCTGATGTTTTATTGTATTTTTAATATTCTGTTGGGAGCTGCCCAGAGTGGCTGGGGAAACCCAGCCAGATGGATGAGTGATTGATTGATTGATTGATTGATTGATTGATTGATTGATTGCTGTGTAAACACATTTGGCTAGCAGGTATCACTAGCAAAGCATTTGATAGCCACCTAACTCCCCCAACACAAAGACCAGGTCCTGAAAGCTGACTCCTTACCATCTTGGTGAGACAAGAAGACACAAAACTTGACGCCAGAATTGTCAGGTTCCCCCTCACCCCAAGGCATGAAGGAGGCTTCAGATCCATCTGACCACTCCCATTTTCCATCCTGTAGGGATGCAGAAAGAACAGGTCACAAACAGACCCACCAGTACACACAACTTGCTACGTGATCATTCTACCCAAATGAACCATAGAAAATCTTCCTTGACTAGCAGGACATCAACCAGGAGCCCACAATGACCCTTTGGGGTGTGGAGGAGGGAGCAAGGAGAGTTGGGGTGGGGAAGACAAGCACAATTCTGCTCCCCCCCCCAGGAAATATTTGAGTTCTTTTTTATATATATATATGATTTTTATTAAGATTTCAGTAAAAGATTAAACAGAAAAACGTAAGAAAGAAATACACAAATACACAATACATAATCCAAAGAAGAAGAAAAAACAACACAGAGAACAAAAAACAAAAAAAGAAACAGAACAATTAAAAACAATATCACCTTTTCATTACCGTTTTTAAATTTACTTATTTTCTGGACCTCCTCATACCTCCCTCTTTTGTATTCCAGTCCAAATTGTTTGTCCAGCAATTTCTTTTCCACTTTTTAATCCCAATCTTTAATCTTAATGTAATATAGCATTAAAATTTTACCTCTTAAATACCAAATTTCCATTTCCTTAAACTTCTTTAATCCTAATCTTTAATCTTAGTCTATCTATAACTTTAAATCCTGTACAGCTGGAAACCACTTATTTTCAATCCAACATCACTCTAGCATTCTTTAATTTTGCAGTGTTTAATTCTTTAATTTTGCGAAACACTGCGAAATATTTAATTTTGCAGTGTTTAATTCTTTAATTTTGCGAAACACTGCGAAATATTTGAGTTCTTAAAAACTGTGTGAAACTAAAATGAGAAAGAGTGGCTGATCTTCCCATTGTGGGAATGTTCAAGGTGGCAGAAGAGGATATATTTATTATTAATATCCTTCATGACTTGTGCTAGCAAGTTCCTTTACTTAGCAGAGTGCATTCCCCTTTACACAGCAGAAAACTAGTTGCAAACTCGTGTGAGTTTCTTAAGACAATACGCAATTCAATCTGGCTTGTCCAGACTGAAATGTGTTTTAATTAGGGTAATATTTTCCTGGTAAGACCCCTTGAATCCCTCCTAAAAGAATAAAGGCACCACAGTCTTATTCATAAGCAACAAAAAGAAAGTTTGCTCATGATCAGGCAGAGCATAGTGTGATCCCTGAAGGCAGGCTTAAGGCTTAAAGTTACAAATTTATACTAACGGGATTAGCCTGTAAGGGAGATGACCTGGGGCAGCCAGCAGTTCAGTCCAGGAAGTTTGCAGGATGAAAGGAAGATGGGAAAGAGAGAGAGTGGAGGCATGCTCTTGCCTTTTACCAGGTCTGGAAAGGTCACGCCTACCCACTAGTCACATGCAAAAGGAAGGATGCTCCAGGCCAGGAGGAACAGGAAGTTTCGACAGGCTGGACCAAACATTCCCTTGCATGTCCACTCTAGGAAAACAAGGAATGTTGTACTTGACTGCTTCCAGTGGGTTACATTCCCACACCCATTAGTTTTGAAGGAATGGGCTTCCCAAATCTAAAAACCTGACTGTGTAGTCAGTCTGGAACGGGCCCCAAAATCCACATTTTTCCTTCTCCAAGGGAGCATTTCTAAAATGCATTAACTTGAGCTGTTGAGCAAATGCATAACAGTAAGCCAGCTGTATAAACAAAGTGCTCTCCTTTATCAGTCTGTGACGGCAATGGATGGCCTTGGCTGTTCCAGTGGAGCAGGGATGGCACGTCTGGGTCTTATTTTACATCCTGACCACACTCTGACGCACAGACCTAGTCCTGGAACAGCGCCAGGAGAGTTGGTGACCTTCTTACCCCAAGATAAGAGTGCCGGAACAGGAATACCCTTATATGATCAAGAGTACAGGAAGAGGAACACCCTTTTATGGTTAAGAGTACCGGAGCAAGAACATCTGTGATGTCAACCTGCGTGTATAAGCTGACGTGGCTGCGCATAGCCGTTGCCGGAGAGCGCTGCCTTTTTCCTGGGACAATTTGGCTTCTAAAATAAGCACCCGTGAGTACTTAAACTTTGAACAATCGGACTTTAAATAAGGACTTGCGAGCAGAAAGGAATTGGACTTAAAGATTTACTTCAATTTGGTACTGAAACGGGAAGGTCTAAACAGGAAGTCAGCCTTCCGTTTCTTTGTAGTCAGAATAAAGCAAAGACAACGTAAACTAGAGCTTAGAAAATCGCTTCTAAAGGATTGGCTTTCATCATTTAAAATTGTTGAACCCCCCTTCGGCAGCAGGAGAAGAAGGGGGATCTTTTTTGGACTGTTTAAACCTGCAGAAGTGAGTTTAAAGTAAAGTAACTTTCCACCGTCCTGATCCTGGAGCGGGGTGTCAGGACTGACGTTTGAAGCTCATTGACCAGAGACAAACGTTTTTGACAGATAGTTAGAAGAAGAGAAACATAGTGATTCCACTGTTTCCTTTCGCATTTTAAAGGAACAAATATTGACCAAATATCTCAAAAAGGATACTCTGTTGCAAGAACAAATAGAAGTTCTCCCCCTAGAGGGAGACTGTGAAATTGTAACTAATTCTAGGGAGCTTGCAGCTGTCACAGATTACAATCGTGGGAATGGACTTGTGACCTTGTAGGACAATGTATTCAGAGGCTCTGTTGTGTGCTCTCTGTAAAATAAGTGCCCTACTGGAACAGTTAAGTGAGAAGACGGATTTGATGACTAATGCGGTCAGAATTTTTGAACAGGAAGTGGGAAACTATGTGGAACCCACCCAGGAATCAGATCAGGAGTGCGTCCTGACAGAGCAGATGAGAGAAGAGGATGTTGCTGAATCTTGGGCGCCAGAGATGGAGGGAGCTGCGGCCTTGCAGGAACATGAGCTTTTGGATTTGACAAATGAACTTGGAAAAAGCCAGATTTGGAAAGATAAAGTTTGGATTGGTTTGGAAATGGGGGGTTGGATAGACCCCCCTATGCAGGGATGTTTGGACTTTCCGAGTCTGGCAATGGGCCGTGAGATGTCTGGAGCTGTGGGGGCTCTCAATTTTGGAGGGATTCTGAAACATGTTTTTAAATACCACATGGAATTGAGTCTGGATTATGGAAAAGGGGCTGATTTGTTGAAAAGGGTCAAAAACATCACCAAGCTGGAGTTCCCACGAGTGAAAGGAGAATATGAAGAAGAGCTGCGGAAGGGACATGGAAGTGACTTAAGGGCCTCGGATATAAGGTTACCAGGTTAATGCGCTAGATCGATGGGAAAAAAGGACTGACAAAACCCGGGACCAGGAGGAAGGGACGCTGGATGAAGATTGGATTGTTTTTATTTCTTTTTCTCTTATTACCAGGATTGTTTTATAAAATGGATGAATGTTAGAAAAATGTTGGAACGAAATTACCTGGCTCTAGTAAAAATGTTTAAAGAATTAGGTAAGAATATTATGGTTGTGAGAAGTCGGTAAAAATAAGATTTAAGTTTAAGTTTTAAGGTTTCTTATAAGAGAAGATGAAAATAGATTAAGGTAATGTAAAGACAGAATATTATGAAATATGGAAAGGATTTGCTGCGATAATTATTAACTAGGATACAAAAAAAAGGGAGGAGGAGGTCAAAGAAAGAAGGTAATGAGAGTTGAGGATTTGAGAATGATGGATTTATTTTTGTCTGTTTGCGGTGTATTTTTTTGTGTGTTTTTTTTTGAATTTGTATTGTTGGATGTGGTTTGCTTTTTCTTTGTTTTTTCTTTTTTCTTTTTCTGCTTTGTTTTTTCTCTGTAATTCAAAAAAATTTCAATAAATATCATTTTAAAAAAAATAATAAGCTGACGTGGCTGGATTCCTGGGGAAGGGGGGAGAGGGTGCCTGGAGGATATATATACTGCATGAAATTTCTTTTCCTTTGGACTTGCTGTGAACTGATCACGCAAGTGCCTTCTGCTATCCGGAGAGCAGAATAAACTCTTTCTCTGAATCAACCTCAGTGTCATTTGACTTCCTTTCTCCCTCCCGGGAGCAACGCAGACGCCACCAGTCGGTAAAGTCTAATAAGGCTACAGTTTTAGCTTTCACAGTATTTTCACATGTTGGTTTTAAAAGGTGTTTAGGGCAGGTGTAGCCCAGAACATCTCAAGGGCATCAGCTGTGGAAGCTTCATGGAATACCCTTCCCACAGAATTCATTCACTATTAGCTCTGACAGGGCAAGGAGAGAAGAAGAAAGGCTTGGATGCTCACCTTATCTTGGTCAGATAGTCCGATCCAAACGTGTTGCACTTGTGAAGCTGAAAGGTGGAGAGCTAATAAGCTCAGGTCTTCTGCATCACGCAGAGATGCGAGGTGGTCATTGGGATCATATTTATGGCAGGCTTCCTGAGAGGTAACAAAAATATGAGTTTAATGCAACTAGGTGTGCCTTAGAAATGTCCTGAAAGTCAGGCTTGGGTTGAATATTGGCTTGAATATTGATTTCAATACATTGAAATCAAGGTCCAACGTCCGACAGCCTGGAAATGCAGGTTTTGTTTGGCCGCTGCAGAAGATAGATGGGATAACCTGCCCATTTATATCTTTGTTTCTTCATCTTCACACTGCACCTTTCGATGTTATTGTCAGCAATATCTGCATTATACCCATTTCCCCCCAAATATGCACGTTTGCCCCATATTATTTTCTGGGAGAGCCGCTTTGCAACTTTCAAAAGATAGATGTGTTTTGGTTTGTGTGTTATTTCAGGACAAGTGAAATAAGGAGGGTCTCCTCAACGTGCTAATCGCACCAAATTTATTCTAGGTTCATCCCCCCCCCAAAAAAAGCACCCAGATGCCCTTCTCACTTCTGCCTCATCCCATGAAAGTGGTGGGTCGTCAAAGACTTTATAGCAGCCATCACCCCATCCCTGCCAGTCCAGGAGACAACCTGGAGGTAAAGGAAAGGGAGGGCATTAGCATTCAACATGACAATAGCTGCGCATGAAATGAGCAGAATAAAATCTGCTCAGGGCGATCACCGACCCCACCTCCTGTTGAAAGAATGTGGGGAAGAGTCACAACCCATATCACTCACTTTATTTTTGTTGTTCTTGTTGTTGTTGTTTTTTAAAAAAATCACCGTATTATTCCATGTATAAGACTAGGGGGGTTTTTTTACTAAAAAATTACCGTATTTTTCGCTCCATAGGGCGCACCTGACCATAGAGGGGGAAATCAAGGGAAAAAATATGATCCCCCCCCCCCAGCTCTGGGAGCAGTGGACAGGCTGCAGGCAGTCTGTGCGCTTCTCCCAGACCTTCTTCCTGCTTTTGCGGGAGGTGGGGGAATTCCCCCATCTCCCGCAGAAGCCCGCAGAAGCTGTGCGCTCTTTAAAGGGGCTGTGCGGCTTCTGCTGGCTTTTCTAGGAGGTGGGGAAATTCCTCCACCTCCCGCAAAACTGGCAGAAGCCGCACGCTCTTTAAAAGGGCTGCACGGCTTCTCCTGGCTTTTCTGGGAGGTGGGGGGATTCCCTCACCTCTCGCAAAAGCCCACAGAAGCCGTGCGCTCTTTAAAGGGTGTGTGGCTCCTGTGGGCTTTCTACGAGGTGGGAGAAGGGACTGATGCGGCCAGTCAGTCCCTTCTCCCTCCTGGGGAAAAGCCCGCAAGAGCGCACAGAGCTTGTGTGCGGCTCTTGGGGGCTTTCCCCGCCTGCCTCCCCCCTGCATTCGCTCCATAGGATGCACACACATTTTCCCTTGCTTTTTAGGAGGGAAAAAGTGTGTCCTATAGAGCGAAAAATACGGTACGTTTGAAATTTGGTCTCGTCTTATGCATGGGTTCCTGCCAACCTAGCAGTTCGAAAGCACGTCAAAGTGCAAGTAGATCAATAGGTACCGCTCTGGCGGGAAGGTAAACGGCATTTCCGTGCACTGCTCTGGTTCGCCAGAAGCGGCTTAAGTCATGCTGGCCCCATGACCCGGAAGCTGTACACCAGCTCCCTCGGCCAGTAAAGCAAGATGAGCGCCGCAACCCCAGAGTCGGCCACAACTGGACCTAACGGTCAGGGGTCCCTTTACCTTTACCTATACATGGGTAGTGCTGAGGTGTGACAGGTGATTGGTTGCAGCCCCGAGGAGGAGATTATCAGCGACGATAGGGTGGGTGATTGTTGATTGTGGCAAGTGCTGTTGGCGATTGTCTGCCTTTGTGGCAATTGGGCATTTGATTGGAGTCTGTCGTCAGAGATTGGGCAGTCTGTTGGTGGCTTTGGCAATGCGTGCGATTGTAAGTGTCAGTGCATTGAGTGAGCGACTTTCGGCAATCCGCCCCCAAAAAAGCTTAACAACTCTTGGCAATCTCCCCCCATTTTCTTAATTTTGAGTCCCCAAAAATAGGGGGCATCTTATATCCAGGGGCGTTTTATACACAGAAAAATACGGTATATGCCGTTTTCCTGGCCAGGGCAAGCAAATGAACAATAAAGAAAGCTATTCCAAAAAAATGGGGCAAAAATGACTCGGGGAAGGCTATTTGAAACAAGTGCCTCTCTGAGGCCTTCTGAAAGGCATGTCTGTCTGCTGCAGCTGTACCGGGAGCTTCAAAAATGCAGAGCCGCCACAGAAATGGCCTTTTCTCATATGGTCACTCACCGGACAGGTCAAGGTGGTGGACACACCAAGACAGCTTCTAATTGGGAAATCGGTGTGCAGGCAAGATGGTAAAAGCATGAGAAGTTCAATAGATATAGCATAGGACTGACTCATTCAGGGGCCTCAAAGGTCAAAACCAAAATGTTAATCTCGGCCAGCACAAGTACTGGAAGCCGGTACGGCCAGTACAACATACAAGTGCTATTTAAGCTGATGGCTGCAAGCGGGTTAGGAAGCACATTGCAGTAGCATACAGCACATTGCAGTAGCATAGCTGTCAACGTTTCCCTTTTTTAAAGGGAAATTCCCTTATTCCGAATAGGATTCCTCGCAAGAAAAGGGAAAAGTTGACAGCTATGTGCAGTAGTGAAGTCTGGAGAATGAGATGCATACAGATCACATCTACCACTCGTGAGATGCAAAGATACATTACCACCTGATGGGTTCTCCTCGGAGCCCACCAAGAGCTCACAGAACAGAACAAGGCTGGTGATGAAGAGGCTGGGCCAGCTGGAGGATATGGGCTGCATCTGTCCTTGGCGAGAGAAAGAAGAAAAGCTGAAAGAAAACAGCTTTCCAATCTTGGCTAAAAGAAGGTGGTGCATCACTGCTGCTTTTTTAAATACCATCTGTCAGGAGTCCAAGTTCCCAACTTGATAGCACAGTAAGCGTAGATAATTAAAAAGGAGGATTTGTTGCAAATACAAAGAGATAGCTCCGGAAGTGTATGTATGGAAGTGAGAGCTGGACCATAAAGAAGGCTGATCGCCGAAGAATTGATGGTTTTGAATTATGGTGCTGGAGGAGACTCTTGAGAGTCCCATGGACTGCAAGAAGATCAAACATATCCATTCTTCAGGAAATCAGCCCTGAGTGCTCACTGGAAGGACAGATCATGAAGCTGAGGCTCCAAGACTTTGGCCACCTCATGAGAAGACAAGACTCCCTGGAAAAGACCCTGATGTTGGGAAAGATTGAGGGCACAAGGAGAAGGGGACAACAGAGGATGAGATGGTTGGACGGTGTTCTCGAAGCTACAAACATGAGTCTGACCAAACTGCGGGTGGCAGTGGAAGACAGGAGTGCCTGGCGTGCTCTGGTCCATGGGGTCACGAAGAGTCGGACACGACTAAACGACTAAACAACAACAACAAAGCTCCGGACGGCTCTAACAAAGCCTCTGGCATCATTACTCAAGATGACCCTTCTGAAGACTGCTTCCGGTGTCAACAGAAGATATTGAACTTACAATCATTGTGCCTCGTCTTTTGCTTCCTATCTAGCAGCCCTCCCATTTGCCAACTCTTCGGACTCAGTGGATCAGCTCCAACCTCTTTGTGTTCTGAGAGGCTATCTCTTAGTCTGTGCCTGTTTGTGCTTCCTGTGAGCTTTGGCTGTGTTCTAGCCTGCTTTCAGCCACCAAGGTCAGGAAGAGCCAAAGTCTGCAGCTGCCGGCTCTCCACTGCCTGACTAACATCTAAGCCTCTCTGTTCCTGGCTGCTTTCTGCAGTTGGTTGCAAACCTTTGCTTGGAGCTGGCTCATTCCTGACACCATCCAAAGAAGTCTTTAATGCCACCAGAGCCCCACATGAGGCAAGTGTCTCCACACTCTCCACTTGCCGTGATGGAGAGTCAAAGAGATCAAAAGCGGAAAGATTACTCACCTGGTTCATCAGTTTGTCTCTCTCTGAGTTGATTCTTGTTCCTTATTCCAGCAAATGTTGAAAGACTTCAGGCTAGAAAATGGGTGGTTATGAGGCATTTATAGCCTAAAAAGTGGGTAAGAGAATGTGGTGGTAGACACTTGGCAGCAGAAGTGAAGCCAAACACACAGCAAGATCTTTTACATCTGAGCACAAAAGTACACAGAGATCTATTTCATCTGAGAGCTACCATTGACGGCCCAATATCCAACTGCTATGAAGCTGAGAGATTAGCCAAGAGAATCATCCTAGAGGAGGACAATGCAGGAACGTAGGAAGAGTCCTGCTAACATCAGCCCACGCGTTGGACAAGATGAGGTGAAGGCTGTTCCTCTCCTACTTTTCAAACAATTTTACGAGCTTCAAAACAGAAGGGGACGACAGAGGACGAGATGGTGGGACAGTGTTCTCGAAGCTACAAACATGAGTCTGACCAAACTGCGGGAGGCAGTGGAAGAAAAAAGTGCCTGGCATGCTCTGGTCCAGGGGGTCACAAAGAGTCGGACACGACTAAACGACTAAACAACAACAATGTGTAGCTCCTCACTTTGTTCTCTGTGGGTGAAATAGGTGCGCATTGTCCTGCTGGAAAGAAAGAGAATGCCTTGCCTTCTGACTGATGAATACAGAAAACTCAGCCTAGCAATTGTGTGTTTTGTGTTTTCTGTCTCCAGGAACAGATGCAGCCTTCCTCTGACCCCAGGCTCAGACTCCTTTGCACCTGCCTTGTTCTGATATGTCAGCTCTCTCTTGTCTTAAACAGAGAAATAGTTGGCGACACCGGCGTCTACTCCCCAGAGACGGGTACTGTATCTTTTCATCTCTGAGGTGGTTGCTGCCTTCTTGAGGGAAGGAACACCTTTTGGCAGCCTTAGAAAGCCAAAGGTAGATTCATTTACTGAAGAAATGAACCTATGCTGCCAATTCTCGTAGTAGACCAGTATAAAGTAAGCAGCACATAAGCAACACACAAAACGCTACCAAACCATTATACGTTCTAAATTGAGAGAGCTATGTACAAGATCTACTACAGAAGCCACAAACAGAAAACTCATTCAAATTGTGTCCGGCACCCTGTCTAACTCTTGATCAAACTTACCTTTGTTGATATTGAAGGGACAGGTTACCCCACCTAGGCCTGTGTATTCACCCCAGCTAGGCCCAACTAGGCCCCAAGACTTCCCAAATTCTTTCTTTGAGGATTCAGTAGCTAAAATACATTAGCTTTTGCTGTATAACATATTTTTTTAAAAAAAATAATATTTATTACTTTTCCAACAATTTAGACACTACAAATCCAATACAATACAATACAAAAACACTACATAACACTAACACTAACACTAACACATTAAACACATTAAACTAACAAAACAAAACAAAAACAGTTTAAAACACATCAAATAATTTCAATATCTTATCTTTCATTCACTTATTTCAATGACCTCCCCACACCTCCCTTTTTGTATTCCACTTCTGTTAATTGTTTCAGCAATTTCCATCTTCCTCTGCTTTCTATCCATTAATTATCTTAACAGATTCTAACCTTATTTTTCCCTTTAATACTCTATTAATCTATTTGTACTTAATTCCTTATAACATTTCTACTAAGGCCATATAACTTCATTCCAACATTTTTCTAACATTCATTAATTTTACAATATTTCTGTAAATAGTCTTTAAACTTTTTCCAGTTTTTTGGGTTGAACGGGATGGGAACTAGGGTTTTGGAGAAGGACTTAACTGTGAGTGGGGGAGAGGGGTTTCAGGAGGAGACAGGACTAACATTGGTTAAGAGGGTGAAGTATTTAGGGGTTGGCATGGCTGCTAAAGATGTGAACTTAAGAACAATTATGAGGGATGTTGGATTGAGGTGAAGGAGGATTTAGAAATGTGGACAAATTTGAAGTTATCATTGTTAGGCCGAATCGCTGTGGTAGAGATGAATGTGCTTCCAAGGATGTTGTTTTTGTTTCGAACATTGCAAATTTTGGATGGGATGGACTGTTTCAAGAGGTGGCAGAAAGATATTTCCAGATTTGTCAGCAGGGCAAGAAGCCTCGAATAAAATTTAAGATACTAACTGATGCCAAAGAAAGAGGCGGATTTGCCCTGCCAGACCTTAAACTTTATTATGAATCAGCTTTTGCTGTATAACATAAAGTAGCTGAAATAAACAAAGCCTTCTCCCCTTCTCAGTAAAAGATGGCCTTGTCAGTCCCGAGTAAGAGACGGGATGGCGCATCCAACCAGGTTGCAACTATTCTGACTGCGCTGATGCACAGACCCCAGGAATGGCGCCAGGAGTGACTGTGGCGTTCGTACGGAGCCCCTGGTCGTCTCACGTACTATTGACCCGTACACCACTAATCCGCTGCCACCAACCAGGTCCTCCCTGGTAAAATCACTTCAGTCTCAGTCAGCTTTTCAATTCATAAAGAAGAGTGTCTTTTATTTCAGACTTAAAACAAAACTATTACAGCATTCCAAATAGTGTTCCTCTTTACTTTCTTATTCTTATGTTCCTCTCTCTATCTCTGCTACCTCCCCACACTCAAGGACCAACTGCCCTGTCTCTCTATAACCAACTGCCTTTCCCAACCAGCCAACCCACTCAAACCAACCAACTACCCACCCACAACTCCCAACGAACTAACCCCCACAACTCCTCCCAGAACTCCTTTATAGACCCACTGACTCCACCCCCCGGGTCCTGTCTGTGCAACCCATTTAACTATTTCCCCTCCAGCACTCTCTCATATATGGTAACGTCACATACCTCCCCCCTTAAGAAGTTTCGATTCAGGAGGGTTAACTTCTTAAAGTTACACTCCTGATCAAACAGTTTTGTATGTGGTTTTGTTTTTTATCTATCTATCTATCATCTATCTATCTATCTATCTATCTATACATACATAAACAAGCAAATGGTTGATTGTCTTTGTTCATCCTTCACTCTCTGGTTTTCGTGATAAGGCATCCGCCACAATGTCCAATGATTCTTTCTCAACCGTCGAGAGGTGCTTTTTTCTAGGCAGTAACTTCTTGCTGATGTAGGTGATTGGATGTAGGTCTCCTTCTGGTCCTGGCTGGCTTAAGACGGCCCCATTTCCAGTGTTTGAAGCGTCCTCCTGTTACACGGTAGGGGTTCACAACAATGGGTTTGGCTTCCCCTGTGTCGATCCAATGTTCCACACCTTTGGCCACTCCTGGAATATTACTGAACAAGGATTCATATTCCAGCAAGATCTGTTTTGCTTCCTCTGGCTGTTTAAGGGTTAAAGTCGGAGCCAATTTTATGTCTGTTAATCTACTCTGGGACTCTTCTCTTGTTCCCCCAGCATGGTATGTCTGGTTCACATGAATCCTCTCATAAGGGATACAGTGTCCATTTTTCTGTTCTAAAATACAGTTTGATCATATTTACATGCACCACTTTTCGCCCTTCCTCTCCTTGCTGGATCACATAATTTACTTCATTCATTTTGGCTTTTGTTTTGTCTTGCCCGGTGCCTCTTCTCTGACATATGTCACAGGCTTGACAGTATTGTTTTATTTGTTTCCCCATTCCTGGCCAATAAAAATTTTGAGCCACTCTCTGTTTTGTACGTGTAATACCCATATGCGCTCCAAATACACTGTTGTGAGCGTGCTGGATTACTAATTCTCTTCTCACTTCTTCACGCCCCCTGCATGGTGGGTCAAGGACTTCTCGATATAAAAGGTCCTTGCTCAAACAAAACTGTTCTGGGCACTCAGGAGTTAACGGCCTCTCCGACTCGGCTGCCTCAAAGTACTTTTGTATCTCAGTATCTTCTTTTTGCTTTTTGGCAAAACTTGGGGTTTGACTTTTAGTCAAAGGAAATAAAAAGGTGTCTTTTCTTTCCTGATCATCCCCTTGCTGTCCTTCAGCACTGTCTGCCTCTGCTACTGTATCCACCCCCTCAGGATTAGGTGACTGTGGGCTCCCTTTTGCTCTGGTAACTATGAAAGAACTCTGCACATGTTCTAAAATGCCCCAACCAATGAGCACAGGGACGGGAATTTCTTCCGAAAGGGCTACCTGCCCAGTTTTTGAACCTGACATCTATTTCCACCACCTTTAGGATCTCTGCCTGTTTCAAAATTCCTTTTAATTTCATTACTTTTCCTGGAATTATGGCCTCATCCCTGATTATTTCTGGGTGGACTATGGTGACTTGCGATCCCGTGTCCTTTAACCCAAGATATCTTTTTCCGTCTATCCGGATATACTCTCCAGCGTTCTTTAACAAGAGATTATCTTGTTGAATCGCACAACAGTGCACGACTTCGGCCTCTACTACCTCAGCAGGCTCCGGCCTAGTTGGCATGTCCGTTTCCTTGACAACCTGACTAGTTGGGCCCTGCTCCACAGGCTGCATATAATATGTCTGTTTCTGTGTGGTGCTATAACTAGATGTTTCTTTTCCTGGCTTACAATCAAAACTTTTATGCCCTAACTTTCCACATCTCCAACATGAAATGTTTTTAGGTCCTGCATAACTTGTTTTATTGACTTTTCCCTCAGAAAACTCTGTTTGGGTGTGTGCCTTCTCATGTGGGCTTTCTGATGAGGGGCTGCTTCTCTCATCGGTTTCTGAGGTAAACTTCCTTTGGTTTGCTGAAATTTATTTTTGTTTGTTTCCCAATATCTTCCACCAAATTTTGGCCCATCAAATCCATGGTCTCTGATTTCATTTATTTTATCGGCTAAACCCACTGCTTCCTCTATTGTCTTGGGGTTGCTTTCTTTTATTGGCCCCAGACACACTGACCAGATGTTTGGAAGCTGTGGCTGGATGGTTACGTGGGAGCCGGTTGAAGTTAAATCCTTCGAAGACAGAGGTCCTGTGGCTGGGACGGGACGATATGGGATTGGGGGGGGCAACTCCCATCTCTTGCAGGGGTGCAATTAGTGCCAGCACCGTCCGTTAAGAGTTTGGGTGTAATCTTCGACACCTCCCTTTCCATGGAGGCGCAGATTGCAGCTACAACAAAGGCGGCATTTTCCCATCTCCGCCAAGCTAAGCAGTTGGCTCTTTACCTCTCTCGCCCTGACCTAGCCACTGTGATCCACACGACGGTCACCTCCAGACTGGATTATTGTAACTCGCTCTACGTGGGGCTGCCCTTGAGACTGACCCAGAAACTCCAGCGGGTGCAGAATGCTGCGGCGAGACTCCTTATGGGGTCTTCGCTGCGTGATCACATTCATCCGGTACTAGACTGTGATGGGATTATGAGCTGCTTGTGCGTAAAATCGTATTCCCTCAGAGTTTGTTCAAGTCCACAAACCTCTGTCTGTGACTGAGCCCCTCTGACATGGCTCCTCTAGTCACTAGAAGATTCCGACAGTGGTTGCTTTCGTAGTCGCTTCCAACATAAAAGCTCCTTAACGGAAACACGTCTTCTGGACTCTCTGCGTGACAGTTTCCGGCGAGGAGTGGGTGTCGCTACAGGAGGTCCGGAAACCTCACCACTGTTTTCGCTGGAAGTATCTCTGAGCCATCCCCCAGCTCCCTTTCCCTCAGTTCAGCTTCTCTCCCCTGCTGGTTTCCTCTTCCGCTGCTGAGTCTCTTCCAACCTGTCTGAGCCCTTTCACCTCCCTCAGTTCAGCTTCTCTCCCCTTGCTGGTTCCCTCTTCAGCTGCTGAATCTCTTCCAACCTGTCTGAGTCCTTTCACCTCCCTTCCTTCCGATGGCAGTTCCCTGACATCCACCTCCCCTCCAGGGCCCCCTTCACCCCCTCTCGCCCCCTCCTCTACGGGCGGTGAGGAGGCAAAACCCGGAATGAACTTCCTTCATCTTCCGATGTCTCGAACACTTCTCTCCACCTGTTGCGGTTCCTGGTCTCGAAGCACTCCTCCTCCTCCGAGTCCATCTCCCCTTCCCCTTCCGATTCTGGGAATCCTTCCAACTCCTCCTCCTCCTCAGTGGTCCCAAAGTATTCCCTCCGGAACCTCTCCACAGGCTGAGGTTTCCGCGGGAACCTTTGATGGAACATTTCTATCAATACCTCGTCATTGATATCTTTGGCCATTACCCACGCTACCAAATACTCCACCTGATTCCCCTTCCACCTGGCATCAAGGATTTCTGCCACATGACTGCTGCATTCTCTTTCTTCTATGACCGGTCCCCGAGTGGCCATCCCTTCTCGTCCCCCCTCGTACGGTGACAGTAACGACCTGTGAAATACTGGGTGCAGTTTCATGTGGTTGGGTAACCGGAGCCTGAAAGCCACTGGGTTGACCTGTTGAATGACCTCAAAGGGACCCAACCTCCTGGGTCGTAATTTCTTACAACCTCCTTTGAACGGCAACCCTCGGGTTGACAGCCACACCCTATCTCCAACCCTTATGGTTTCACCTTCCCTTCGGTTCTTGTCTGCCTGCCTCTTGTATTCTTCCTTCGCCCTTTCTAAGTTGAGTTGGAGCTGACGGTGGATTGCTTCCATTTCTTCTACAAAATGCTCGGCTGCCGGTACGCTCCATCTCTCCCCTTCTCCCCTGGGAAAGCCCTGGGATGACACCCATAATTAGCCAAGAAGGGCTCATCCCTGTGGACACATTCTCGGCATTGTTGTAGGCAAATTCCGCCAGCGCCAACTTTTCTACCCAGTCATTCTCTCTGTCATTGACATAACACCTCAGGTATTGCTGGAGGACACCGTTTGCTCTTTCCGCCTGCCCGTTGGTTTCAGGGTGCCGGGCAGTCGAAAAGTTGACCTCCACCTGCAGTAAGCTCATGAGCTTCCTCCAGAACCTGGAAGTAAATTGTTTTCCTCGGTCTGAGACCACCCTCAATGGCACCCCGTGCAACCTAAAAATGTGTTCTACAAATAACTTCGCTGTCTCTTCCGCCGTGACTGCATGCGAGCAAGCTACAAAGTGGCACATCTTTGTTAGTAGGTCTACCACCACCATGATGGCTGTTTTCCCTTTGGACTTCGGCAGATCAGTCATAAAATCTATCGACACTGCCTCCCAAGGTCGTTCTGGTGTTGGTAAGGGTTCTAATAGCCCCGCCGGCGCCCGCCTTTCCCCTTTGGCTCGCTGGCACTGCTCGCACCCTCTTACATACTCACGTACATCCTCCCTCACCTTAGGCCACCAAAATTCCCTGGTGACCAACCACATGGTTTTGTGTTGCCCAAAATGCCCGCCGTGGGGCTGTCATGCAACTGCTTGAGTACCCTCCCGCATCTGTCTCCTTCAGGGATATACAGTGCCCCTTTGTAATACAAAGCTCCATTTCTTTCCTCGAAACCCCTTGATTCCTCTCCCTCATCCCTAAGACCTCTGAGCTTATTCTGGGCGTATTCATCATTCTCTGTTTCTTCTACCAGTTCTCTTTGTCCCACCAATGCCGCCCCACACACCCAGCGGTCCTCTGGAATGACATGTCTCTCTTCGGGTGCTCCCTCCCCTCCCAATATTCAGGTTTGCGTGAGAGGCGTCCGCCCTAATGTTCTCTGGGCCTGGCACGTAACAAATCTCAAAGTTAAATTTGGAGAATTCCTGGGCCCATCTCACTTGCCGTTGGTTGAGCACTCGTGCCGTCCTCCAATACTCTAGGTTCTTGTGGTCAGTGCACACTTGCACCTTATGTTGTGCGCCAATTAGCAGGTGCCTCCATCTCCGGAACGCCTCATGAATGGCTAGTAGTTCTCGGTCATACACCGTGTAGTTCCTCTCGGATTTGTTCAGCTTTCGCGAAAAATAAGCACACGGTCTCCACTCTGACTCCTCCTTCCCTGGCTGGAGAAGCACCGCCCCAACCGCTCTGTCTGATGCGTCAGTTTCCACTCTCATCGGTTTTTGTAAATCCACATGCAGGAGCTGTTGTTCCGAGGCGAAGGCCCTTTTTAGTTCCTCAAATGCTTGCTCCGCCTCCTCCGTCCAAACGAACTTCTTCTTACTGCTGAGACAGTCCGTAATGGGCGCCGTCAGGTGGGCAAAGTTTGGGATGAACTTACGATAGAAGTTCCCAAACCCTAAAAACCTCTGCACATCCTTCCTTGTTTTGGGTGTTTTCCATTCCAGTACCGCCTGGACCTTGTCGGGATCCATGGCCAACCCCTTGTCAGACAGGCGATACCCCAGGAATTCCACCTCCTTGGTATGAAACTGACACTTCTCCAGTTTCACCCACAGCTGGTTGGCTTGCAGCCTGCTCAACACTTCTCTGACGTCTCTCACATGCTGCTCCTCATTCTCAGAATACACCAACACGTCGTCTAAGAAGGCCACACAATTCTTGTAAAGCAACGGCCCCAGGACGTGGTTCATAAACGATTGAAATGTTGCGGAGCCTGCTTGTAGACCGAAGGGCATAACTAAGTATTCAAATGCCCCTAAAGGGGTGAACATGGTGGTTTTCCATTCATCCCCTTCCTTATTCGTATCAGGTTGTACGCCCCCCTTAGATCCAGCTTGGTAAAAATCTTTCCCTTCCGCACCCTTGTCAAAATGTCGTCAATCCTGGGCATCGGGAAGGCCACTGGTTCTGACACTGCATTTAAGGCCCTGAAGTCACACACCAGTCTCGGCTTGTTCGTGTTTTTGTCCACAAAAACACTGGGCTGCCCCCACCGCCCTGGACTCTCTGATGAACCCTCTCTTCAGGTTCTTGTCAATGAACTCTCTTAGCTCCTGCATCTCTCTGTCTGACATGGCGTACAGCTTGCCCACAGGGAGCTGTGCCCCAGGGAGCAAATTGATTTGACAGTCAAAGGCTCTATGCGGTGGTAGTTGGTCAGCTTCCCTTTCGCTGAAGACGTCGCGGAGATCTGCGTATTGTCGTGGTACCTTCACGTTCTCCGTCACTTCAGTCCCTGCTAGAGTGGCTTGGGCCCCTGCCAAAACCCTTCCCTCTTTGCAATGTTCTAAGCAATGTGCTGACCCAAAAGAAACCACTCTTTGATGCCAGCCCACCAGCGGATCATGTAACGCTAGCCAGCTCATCCCCAATATAATGGGAGCTCCTCCCAAGGTGGCCACATTAAATGCTATTAGTTCGGTGTGCCTTGCCACCTTCATTATCATTGGGACGGTCTGCAAGCTGACTTCTCCTCCCAACAGCTCCCTGCCATCGATCGTGGTTACCTGCAGGGGTTGCTTAAAGGAGCGTCTGTATCTGGTGTTCAGCTGCAAACTCTTTGCTCATGAAATTGCAGGAGCTGCCTGAGTCCAACAGCGCCTTTATCTTTAGAGGGTGTCCGTTTGGCAGCTCTAGTGTCACTTCTATCACTAGGGCGGGTTTAGGAGGTTCTGGAGTGGGCACTTTCACTGCTCTTTGGCCTGGCTGCTGTGCCCCGACAATGGCAGCCAGGCGTTGGCTTTTAGTTGCTCCGGTATTTTATCCTCTCTTCCCTCCACAGCTCCCACCATCCCTTGCCATTCCTTCCTCTGGGGGCAGACTCTGGCAAAGTGCCCTGGCTGTTGGCAGAGATAGCATTTCCGGGCGCCTTTTCCATCCTTCTTTCCCACCTCACTGGGCTTTGAAACAGCGCGCGCGCGCTGTTCCGATTTCCATCGGCTCTGCCGGCGGGACAGTTGGCTCTGGAATGTCTGGAATGCGGAACTCCTTCCAACGTTCCCCTTTCCCTTCCCGCCTCTCCAATGCTCTCGCCTCCTGGCGCGCTCCTATGGCCAGCGCTGATTTGGTCAGCTGGTCCATAGACTCCGCCCTGGGCGCCCGGGAAAGTTCATCTTTCACAGCCGAAGAAAGCCCTTCTTCAAAGAGCATTTGAATGGGTTCCGCCGATAAGTCCCACCCCAATCTGTGTATCAGCATGGTGAACTCAGTCCAGTACTCACGTACAGATCGGCTCCCCTGTTTGCAAGCCATTAACTGTCTGCGCACCACTCCCTTTTCAATATCGCTGGAAAACATCAGATCCATGGCGCGAAAGAACTTCATCGTGTCCTTTAGGACGTCACTATGCGCTGCCATCAGGGGTCTCACCCAGTCTCTCGCCCCCTTTTCAAGATGCCCAATCACAAAAGCCACTCGTGATTCCTCATCAGGAAATCATCAAACTGCAGATTGAGGGCATATTGCATTTCTGTCCGAAAGCTATGATAGTCTTTGGGCTCCCCCCCAAATTTCTGCACCAATCCTGGTACCTTTCTGGCGAGCTGGGTGGCTTTCTCCCTTTGTCTGCATCTTGAGCCCTCCTCTCCTCCAGCCTCGCCGTCTGCAGCGCCAGCTGGACCTCCAACACCCGGTACCTTTCTTCCAGGCTTGGACCCGCTCCAGCCCCTGCTTCTCCGGTTCCTGCTGGGTTGCTCATTATGCCTTCTCCTGCACAAGCTGCGTTCAAAGACTGTCGGAATGCTGTGATGGGATTATGAGCTGCTTGTGCGTAAAATCGTATTCCCTCAGAGTTTGTTCAAGTCCACAAACCTCTGTCTGTGACTGAGCCCCTCTGACATGGCTCCTCTAGTCACTAGAAGATTCCGACAGTGGTTGCTTTCGTAATCGCTTCCAACATAAAAGCTCCTTAACGGAAACACGTCTTCTGGACTCTCTGCGTGACAGTTTCCGGCGAGGAGTGGGTGTCGCTACAGGAGGTCCGGAAACCTCACCACTGTTTTCGCTGGAAGTATCTCTGAGCCATCCCCCCAGCTCCCTTTCCCTCAGTTCAGCTTCTCTCCCCTTGCTGGTTCCCTCTTCAGCTGCTGAATCTCTTCCAACCTGTCTGAGTCCTTTCACCTCCCTTCCTTCCGATGGCAGTTCCCTGACATAGACCAACCGCACTGGCTCCCGGTGGAGTACAGGATCAGGTTTAAGGTGCTGGTTTTAACCTTTAAAGCCCTATATGGCCTAGGACCCTCGTACCTACAGGACCGCCTCTCCTGGTATGTCCCACAGAGAAACTTACGGTCTTCAAATAAAAACATCTTGAAGGTCCCAGGCCACAGAGAAGTTAGGCTGGCCTCAACCAGAGCCAGGGCTTTTTTGGCTGTGGCTCCTATCTGGTGGAACACTCTGTCACAAGAGACCAGGGCCCTGCGGGACTTGACAGCTTTCCGCAGGGCCTGCAAGATGGAGCTGTTCAGTCTGACTCCCTCCCCCTTTCATAAGAACTTGCATGAAAATGGCTTCCCAATTTTTTCTCACAGGCCCATATAAGTTCAGCACAAACAGTTGGGCCTGGTGAGCATTTAAGGTCCATAACCCTAATCTGCGGGTTGCCATCCGATTGGATTTTATTCTGATCCTGATCTGATTTGAGGATGTATTTTAATTGATTGTCTGATTTTATGTTAATGTATTATACATTTGATGTTAGCTGCTCTGAGCCCGGCTTCGGCTGGGGAGGGTGGGATATAAATAAAAATTATCATTATTATTATTATTATTATTATTATTATTATTATCAGGTACTTCAATTGGCCATTTATTGTGTCGTAAAATTGCTCCAACGCCATCACTTCTCTAATCTTAGGTACCGTGTCTGCATTCTCTTGCTCTAACCATCTTGTGAGGTAAGTTTTTATCTTTGCCCCCATCTGCGCATAGGTTTCCTCCCTCACCTTTGTCACACTTCTAAATTTTTTCCTCAACTGCTCTGTGGTAATCTCAAAGCGTGTATATACTAACTGCTTGTACACCTCAAAATTTCGGGATTGTTCCTCAGTCATCTGAGCGTATAATTTGGCTAGAGGACCGCTTATCCTAGCTCTCAACATCATCATTTTATCTTCCTCTCTTACTTGAAAATCGTGACAGGCCCTCTCGAAGGATACTAGAAAGGCTTCTGGGCTATCCTTATCTCTAAACTCAGGAAAGCGTTTTAAATCTATCTTCATTTGATTCTGTCCATCGGTGTTATTACTATTATTACTATTTTCTAAAACCGTTAATTCCAACCGTCTCATCTCTAACTGAAACCGCTGCTGTTCCCTTTCCTGCTCAGTCCTCAATTTTTCTTTTTCCCATTCTTGCTCAAGCCTAAATTGTTCAATTTCTTGCTCAGCTCTCAATTTTCAGCCCTCAATTTTTCTTTTTCTAATTCCTGCTCCAGCCTAAATTTTTCTTGCTCAGTTCTATTTTTATCAAGCTCTAATTTCAAGTTATATTCTTGAATTAATTTCCACTTTTCAAAATCCTCTGAAAACTGTGGAACTTCTACTTCAGGCGGGGTTTTGGTCATCTCTTCTATTCTGGTTTCTTCCCCCTGGGGATTCCCATTCTCTTCTCCAGAACTTTCATATGTGTTTTCTCTCACTGGGTGCTTGATCTTTTTGGGTGGCATTATGGCTGAGTCCGTATTTTGCACAAATTAAATAAGGGACTTTCACTCTCAGCACTGTTCCTCCCGGCTTGGCTTTCCAAGACCCTGGTCCTCAAAGTATAGCTTTAGGTTTTTTCCCCCTCTAACCTTTCAAGCTTACTTCCTCTGACCCTGAGCCTAAGCCTCTGCCAGAACAGTCTTTTGAGATCTCTTGCTCTTATTGTTATCTCGGCCACACGACAATCTGGGGTTTATCCTTCATCACACCCTCGGGCCAGGTAATCTCTTCACCGATTTACCCTGCCCCTCTCCAGGTGTATTGCTTCCCCTCACAGGCTCTTAGACTTATCAAATCCCGCCGCTGCCGCCAATTTTGTGGCGTTCATACGGAGCCCCCGGTCGTCTCACGGACTATTGACCCGTACACCACTAATCCGCTGCCACCAACCAGGTCCTCCCTGGTAAACTCACTTCAGTCTCAGTCAGCTTTTCATTTCATAAAGAAGAGTGTCTTTTATTTCAGACATAAAACAAAACTTGTACAGCATTCCAAACGGTGTTCCTCTTTACTTTCTTAGTCTTATGTTCCTCTCTCTATCTCTGCTACCTCCCCACACTCAAGGACCAACTGCCCTAACTGTCTCTCTATAACCAACTGCCTTTCCCAACCAGCCAACCCACTCAAACCAACCAACTACCCACCCACAACTCCCAACGAACTAACTAGCAGAACTCCTCCCAGAACCAGTTTTATAGACCCACTGACTCCACCCCCCGGGTCCTGTCTGTGCAACCTATTTAACTATTTCCCCTCCAGCACTCTCTCATATATGGTAATGTCACAGGGGGACACACAAATGAGCAGCGCAACAGTAAAATCGGAAGCTCGGGACTCAAAACGGAGCATGTTTGGCTTCTGAGGCAAAGTCCACAAACCGGAACACCTACTTCCAGGTTTGCAGCATTCAGATTTGAAATATACTTGGAGTCGAGAGTGGATTTCATGCTCTTTATTCAGCTCATAGTGGTAAGGAGGAAATGGAAGTTCCCCCAGAATGTCTGCTTTATAGACATTATGGGCCCCACGTGATTGGCTAATTTCGGGATTCACCTGTAGGCCAATCCGGTTGTGGATTCACTTCCACCTGGAGCTGGATTGAGTGGCTCCTGTGGACCAATCAGATTGCTGCATTCTGAATCCTATTGTTCTAGGACCAATCAGACTGCTGCCTTTTGGATCCTATTCAACTCAGTACATAACAAAATTCCAAGTTGTTCATGAATTAAGCTGTTGAAAAACCAAGGTACCACTGTATTGCCAGTACAATATTCAATCTTGAGCCAGATTTTTAAGAGATTTCATAGGATGTCCAGCTGCATAAAACTCATTCTTTCCTTTTTCTTTTCTTCTTAGGACCTCTGCACAAAATTTGGCACCAATGGTCACCTTGCCTCTATCCTTGATGTGGAAGAACTGCATTTCTTGGCTAAAATCATTAAACAGTCAAAACACGAACATGTCTGGATCGGATTCTCTGACCTAGATTTTGTGAGTCCCCAAGGCTTTCTCCTCCCCCTCCGTTTGCACTGTCAGAGCTGATAATAAAAGAATTCAGTGGGGAGGCTGTTCTATGAAACTTCCCCGGTTGATGTCTTTTAGATGTTAAGGGCAGCAATTCCTACCCGCCAAAGACACATTTCCAAAATAGCATGCGAACATTATGTGAAAATTGAAAGTCAACTGAGGAACACCTGAGAATACAGTCACTTCCGTTGCTCATTCTTGTTTTATTTTTATTTTTTTTAAAATAATTTTTATTAAAGTTTCAATCAAAAATTGAACAACAAAGAAAGAAAAGAAAAACATAAAAAAGATACACAAATACACAATACAAATCTCAAAAAGAAAATAAAAAACACACACAAAGCAAGAATCAACAATAAAAAGAAACATAACAATTAAAAACAATATCTCTTTTCCATTTCCGTTTTTAAATTTACTTATTTTCTGGACTTCCTCATACCTCCCTCTTTTGTATTCCAATCCAAATTGTTTGTCCAGCAATTTCTTTTCCACTTTTTAATCCCAATCTTTAATTTTAATATAATATTAAAATATATAACTTCAACTTCTTTAAACCTAATCTTTGGTCTTAATGTAATATAACATTAAAATTTTACCTCTTAATTGTCAAATTTCCATTTCCTTAAACATCTTTAATCCTAATCTTTAATCTTAGTCTATCATTAACTTTAACCTGTACAGCTGGAAACCGCTTATTTTCAGTCCAACATCACTCTAACATTCTTTAATTTTGCAATGTTTCTGAAGATAGTCTTTGAATTTCTTCCAATCTTCCTCCACCGACTCTTCTCCCTGGTCACGGATTCTACCAGTCATTTCTGCCAGTTCCATATAGTCCATAAGTTTCATCTGCCATTCTTGTTTTAGTTTTTGACTGCAAATGGGTACCCCTGTTTGGATGCTATTCTTCTGGGCACTCAAAGATCTCCTGGATGGGGAGCTGAACTGTGCCTGGTTTCCCCATCACCACCACCTTCCCTGCTTCCTCCTCCATTCCAACTATCCAACCATCCCAATCCCAAGTTGAGAAGGAAGATCTGAAGGGGGATCCTGCATGACTTAGTATGCCCAGAGATGGAAATGAGTTTCCTCTGGCTGGTGGTGGAGAGTGTAAAGGACATACGAGGAGAGCATTCTCAGCATTCAACATGTTGTTATTTAGTCATTTAGTCGTGTCTGACTCTTCGTGACCCCCTGGACCAGAGCATGCCAGGCACTTCTTTCTTCCACTGCCTCCCACAGTTTGGTCAGACTCATGTTTGTAGCTTCGAGAACACTGTCCCACCATCTCATCCTCTGTCGTCCCCTTCTCCTTGTGCCCTCCATCTTTCCCAACATCAGGGTCTTTTCCAGGGAGTCTTCTCTTCTCATGAGGTGGCCAAAGTCTTTGAGCCTCAGCTTCAGGATCCATCCTTCCAGTGAGCACTCAGGACTGATTTCCTTAAGAATGGAGAGGTTTGATCTTCTTGCAGTCCATGGGACTCTCAAGAGTCTCCTCCAGGAGCACCATAATTCAAAAGCATCAATTATCCGGCATTCAATATACTTGACCACAAAAGAGTCATGGTGGGACCCTAGCTGATGTTCTGCAACTCAAATAATCTTGTCTGTGGTTTGTTTGGGTGGAATCATCTTTCTTTCTTTTTTAATATGCTTTTTATTAGTTTTTCATTTCACATAAACAAACAAAATACAATAATGTTCCAAAATCATATACCCACTTTCTTTCTCAACGCCCTATGGAGCACTGATTTCCCTCCCTCCCTTCAGTAGGTTTTCTTACTTTAATCCCTTTCCCACAATTCCTTAATAATATCCAGTCCACGTCATAAGATTTATTTCAATCCTGCTAATGTCTTCAGATTTCTACAGTTATTACTTATCTAGTCCACAAATTTACAGTCATACCTCGGGATAAATATGCTTCAGGATAAGTATTTTCGGGTTGCGCTCCACAGCGACCCAGAAGTAACGGACTCCGCAGCGACCTGGAAGTAACTTTACTTCTGGGTTACGCTGCTCGCGCATGCCCAGACGGTCAAAATGACATCACGCGCATGCGCGGAAGCGGCAAAATGCGACCCGCGCAAGTACAGATGTGCAGTCGTGTCTTACGTTCTGTTCAGGATGTGAACGGGGCTCCGGAATGGATCCCGTTCACATCCCGAGGTACCACTGTACTCCAATCTCTTTGGAACTTTGTTTCCTCCTGATTACGAATCCTGCAGGTCAGTTTTGCTAGTTCCACATAATCCACCATCTTCGTCTGCTACTCCTCCACTGTTGGTAATTCTTATACTTTCCATTTAGGCTAACAAAGTTCTGGTGGCAGTTGTAGCGTACATAAATAGTCTTTGACCTACCTTTTCTATTTCCTCTCCCATCAAGCCTAGCAAAAAGGCTTCTGGCTTTTTTGGGAAGGCATATTTGAACATCGTTTTCAGTTCGTTGTAAATCAATTCCCAAAATTGTTTCATTTTTTCACATGTCCACCACATGTGGAAAAAAATCTCCATCCTTCTCTTTACATTTCCTGTTTGGGTGGAATCATCAAGGAGCGTGTTGTGTCCTTGGAAGTTTCTCCTTGTGATCTGTTCTTTCTAAAGAGCATCCCACCTCTCTTGTCCCTACAGGATGGAAATTGGGAGTGGACAGATAGCTCTCCAGCTGCATTCAAACCATGGGCTGAACATCCTGGTCTCAGGAGATGTGCCTCCTTGTTTCGCATGGATGGTAAGGGTTAGTTCTCAGAACTGGTGCTTTGGAGCTTCCATGCTTGATGCAGGGAGGTGCCAGTATTCTCTTAATTTCTACTGTAGGTATGAGATGTGCTTCTTGCCTGCTCTTAGGCCAAGAAGTCATGAGAGAAGGACTTCCTTTGGTGCCCTTTCATCTGCTTGATTGAAATATTTCTCAACTGCCTAGCATGTATCTAGCCTTCCCAAGACAACTCATATTGACTGCAAAGACCATAGCGTCCACCATAGTGTTGGCTGGGTGGTTGGGCCTCTTCTGAATGAGGAAATTCTTTGTGGCAACGATGGGGTGGGTGTGCATGTATGTGTTTTGGGGTGTGGGGTCCCACTGGCAGCCACATGCCATGGAGCCCCTGGTGTCTGCTGTTAACTCTCCCTGAGCTGGTTTCTCTTTTTCTTTCCAGGCTATATGCTATATAGAGCTCAGCATTGCAATAAAAAATATGGTTACATTTGTGAACATGAGCCAAAGTCTGAGCCCGAGTAACCTCTCCACTCTCTCTGACTGACCCCATCAAATCTCAGAAGCTTCCATTCAACACTGTCTTTCTACCTGTGCCTTTTTCAGAATATGACAACGTCAGAGGTGCCCTTCTGCCCCATTCCAGTGGCCCATCTCTTCCAGCATCCTGCTCTCACTGTAGCCTGCAATAGATCTAATTGAATCCTGCAAGAGTCCACTTCCCTGGGAGCCCAGGATGAAGAACCTTTGTGGCCTTTCAGATGTTGCTTGAGCACCACTAGCATCATCCTAGACAATTGGCCATGGTGAGAGTGGGAGTCCACCAACGTCAGGAGGACAACAGTCTCCCCATCCCTAATAAATGCTTCAGCCCATTGTGAATTTAAACACATGCCCCTGAAACAAGAGTCAATTACTTCCCTTTATTTACTTCTCTCCACTCGTTTCCCCCTCTGTCTCTTGTACCTTTTTTCAGACTGTAAGGTGTTTGGGATATGGAACTTGTCCCTTTTACTCTGCAATGAACCTATGCACTCTTGTGGCAATGCCCTGGGAAACCAGTTCTGATAGTTGGGCTGGATCCAACCTCCCCAACCAAGTACGTGAAGACGTGGAAATGAGTTGCTGGAAGCAAACCATCTGCAGAGAAGAAAAGTCTGTTTGCAGGTGCAGCTTGAATCCAAACCACACCTGCAAAAAGACAAAGTGGGACTTTCAGCCAGCCCCCTTGCAGCTGTGCTCTCAGTGCAAACCAGCTGCTTGTTGCTGAAAGGGTGTCTCCAAAGGGGCTGGGGTCCAGCACTAATTAGATGAGAGCAAGGCCCCCCCCCCTTGGCTGCAGTAGGACATTCCCAATGGGGTTTGCTCTTAGCACCGATCAGTGGTAAAGAGGAGATGCACTTTCAAATCTGTAAGAGAAATCTATGGGGGGAAATCTGTAATGCAACCAATTCAAGGAGTGCTTGCTGTCCCCATTCCTGCCTGCAAAGGATTAATTAGGAGCTCACGTTCAGCTCCCAATTGTCCCATTATCAACACCTAATGTTACACAACTGGGACGTGGGTGGCGCTGTGGGTTAAACCACAGAGCCTAGGACTTGCCGATCAGAAGTTCAGCGGTTTGAATCCCCGTGACGGGATGAGCTCCCGTTGCTCGGTCCCTGCTCCTGCCAACCTTGCAGTTCAAAAGCACGTCAAAGTGCAAGTAGATAAATAGGTACCGCTCCGGCGGGAAGGTAAACGGCGTTTCCGTGTGCTGCTCTGGTTCACCAGAAGCAGCTTAGTCATGCTGGCCATATGACCTGGAAGCTGTACGCCGGCTCCCTTGGCCAATAAAGCGAGATGAGCACTGCAACCCCAGAGTCGGCCATGACTGGACCTAATGGTCAGGGGTCCCTTTACCTTTACCTAATGTTACACAGAACCATAAAATTGTGGAAGTGGAAGGGACCCTGAGGGTCATCTTGGCCAATCCCCCTGCAATGCAGGAATCACAACCAAAGCATCCCTGGCAGACAGTCATCCAACCTCTTCTTTGAAACCTCCAAGGAAGAAGAATTCACCACCTTCTGAGGGCGTCCATTGCACTGTCAAATAATTCTTACACTCAGAAAGTTATTCTTTGTGTTTGGTTGGGATCTCCTTTCTTTTAACCTGAATCCATTGGGGATATAGTTGGGAGGGGAACAGCCTTGCAGGTGCCCCATCCCTCGTATAATATATATAAGATGATGGGGACTGAGGTGAGATGCCAAGAGTTCTACTGGACAATGAGCAGATCCCTGACCTTTTTGTCATTCTGATGGGGAAGCATAACTTTTTAAATATGTACATGCCTCTACAAATATGCTTCAGTAATAAATGCTCCTATATTGCATCAGCCTCAGTGGCTTCTCTGTCATGTGTGCACCCGCTTCAAAGTGCTGGCTGAGACCTTTGACACATTGGCAATATGGTGCTGTCAGGGAACTGCCATCAGCTCAGAGGCGAGAGGTGGAAGGGCAGCTGGATTACAGAGAGCCTCCAAAGACCGTGGGAAGCAGCACCTCCTCAGCGGAGGAGGGAAGCCCTGCCTCAAGTGGGGAAGAGCTGCAGGGCTCAGAAGATGCAAGGCGGTGCCAGGACACCTTGCCTGAGCAAAGCGGGGAGGAGGGAGGTCCCCCTTTACCCAAGCCTTCCCTGCACAGTAAGGTTTTCACACAGAGAGGGGAGGCGTCGGCTGGGGGTCAAGAGACTACTCTGCTGGGGAAAGTTTAAGGACCGCCCACTCTCAGATTCTGCTAGTGACTGAGTCAGACATGGAATAGAGGTGTTCTGCATTGTAAACGTTTTTGCACCAATAATAAAGCCTTTGAAAAGACCAGTGAGGGATCTTGCCTGTTCGCTCTCGAGCAACCACACCGATAGGCGTAACAGGTGCCTTGAGGGCAATCAGCTCCTCTATAAGTTTTGATATTCTTGAAGGCATCTCAGGGAGTCTCCCCTACAAGTATACCCGAAACCCTCCAAGCAAGACGCATGGCAAAAAGAGGCTAATCTGGAGTTCTGCGTCAGATTCCCAGCTATTTTCTGTGTCAGAAGGGGCGAGGAAACACACAAATTTACAGTACCAAAGAAAGCAGAGGCCTATATCCAAGCATTAATGGGAAATAGTCTCCAGGTGGGGCTAGCAATTGAGCACAAGAAGATTTTTATTTTTCATAACAACTCACAAGTTCAATATGCAGACTGTAAGAGATGATTGGAATAAGGAACTGTAACTTTCATTATTACCCAGACATTGGGGAAATATATTAGCTCCAATACCGAAGGTGTTATTAGATTTAAAATTAGGACTAATACAACAGAAAATAATATTTAGTGTTTATTGGACCCCTTTATGGTTGCATAAAAAAGGGTTAGCTAAGATAGTTCAGTGCTGTAGATGTGGCAAGGACAAAGAAAAGATTGGAAATTTTGGCAGAGATAAAGGAAAATGAAAAAGATTTATGCCAAACTCCAGGAAACATGAAAGCGAAACAAAACATTAAAACGTTACAAACTCAGATTTCAATACTCTTGAACCAGGAAACTGAATGGAAAATAAAAATGTCAAAACAAAGAAACTTTGAATTCTCTAATAAACTGGGAAGAATGTTAGCCTGGCAATTAAGGAAAAAACAAAAAGAAAGGTGATAAACAAATTCGAAGATAGAGGGAAATTATTGATGATCCAAAGGAAATAACTAAAAAAACTGAAAACTACTTTAGGGAATTATATCAAGAAGGGAAAGAAAACCAAGACAAGTCAAAATAATTTCCCAAAGATACCAGATGAGAAAATTAAATAGTTAAATTCTCCAGTTATTATGATGGAAATTCAGCAGGCAATTTCCAATGCAAAACTTGGGAAAACACCAGGTCCAGATGGATTACCAGCTTCTTTTTATAAAAAATTCGAAGAATCCCTGGCACAACCGCTTAAGGAGGTTATGAATGAGATACTATGTAAAGGGAAATTGCCAGAATTGTGGCAAGATGCATTCATAACACTAATCCCAAAGCAAGGTACAGATTCAGCAACCGTTCAAAATTATAGACCAATATCCCTCTTAAATAATGATTATAAACTCTTTGCACATATTCTGGCAAATAGATTGAAAAGTATACTAAAAGACAAAATAAATAAAGATAAAACAGGTTTCCTACTGAGACGCCAAATGAAAGATAACATAAGAACTATAATTGACATATTGGAGTACTTGGAGGCAAGAAGTGACAAACAGCCGGTATTAATTGTCCAGAACAAACTTAGTTGGTCTCTAAGGTGCTACTGGACAATTTTTTATTTTTTTTTGACTGCGTCAGACCAACAAGGCCTGAAGCCGGTATTAATGTTTGTCAATGTAGAAAAGGCATTTGACAATGTGTCATGGAATTTTATGAAAAAACGATAAAATCAACGGGCCTGGGGGAGTCTTTTAGTAGGGGCACAGACACCATTTATGGGAATAAAAAAGCCAAACTGATTATCAACAATGGAATAACAGAAAGCTTTAAAATAACTAAAGGAACAAGACAGGACTGTGCACTGTCCCCATTACTGTTTATTTTGATCTTAGAAATGTTGACAAGGAGGATAAGAGCAGGTGAAGGCATAGTGAAGAGGATAAGAGCAGGTGAAGGGGATAGTGGTGATGGGGAAATAATTTAAGCTAAAAGCTTTCGCAGGTGATCTTATAAGAACAACAGATAATCCATTAGAAAGTCTGCCAAAAGTTTTGGAAAGAATTAATGAGTTTGGTCGGGTGGCAGGATTCAAACTTAATAAAAATAAAAATAAATTGTTGGTGAAAAGTATTTCAGAACGCTTCCAGGTGGAAAAATCAAAATTAGAAACAGAACTGTTAGAACCCAAAACCAAGATTTTGTCAAAGATGTATAACTTGCTGTTGAAATGGAATACTCAGGATGAAACGGTGAAATCTGCTATGATTAAATGGGCACAAGATGTTGGACATAACATAATGATGGCTGACTGGGAACAGTTATGGACCACAGGTATGAAGTTTACGGCATGTAATGCCTTAAGAGAGAATATTATGAAAATGATATACAGGTGGTACATGACACCAGTCAAGCTTGCAAAAATCTATCATTTGCCCGATAATAAATGTTGGAAATGTAAAGAGACTGAAGGTACATTCTTTCACCTTTGGTGGACATGCCCAAGGATTAAGGCTTTCTGGGAGATGATCTATAACGAAATGAAAAAGGTATATAAATATACCTTCCTGATGAAACCAGAGGCCTTTCTCCTGGGCATGGTCGGCCAATTGGTGTCAAAGAAGGACAGAACTTTATTTATGTATGCCACAACAGCAGCAAGAATACTTATTGCAAAGTACTGGAAGACACAAGATCTACCCACTCTGGAAGAATGGCAGGTGAAGGTGATGGACTACATGGAACTGGCGGAAATGACTGGCAGAATCCGAGACCAGGGAGAAGAGTCGGTGGAAGAAGATTGGAAGAAATTTAAAGACTGTTTACAGAAATACTGCAAAATTAATGAATGTTAGAATGATGTCAGAATGAAGTTAAGTGGTTTTATCAGCAATGTTATAAAGATGTATGTAAAAATGGATTGTTAACAGGTGAGAATCCAAAGTTATAATATATTAAGTTAAAGGATTAAGATAAAAACAAAGAGGGAAAGAAATTGCTGAATTAACTAACTGAATTGGAATACAAAAAAGGGAGGTGTGAGGAGGTCAGGGAAACAAGGAAATGAAATGTAAGGCATGGAAAGATTGATTTGTTTTTAAGTGTCCCTTATTTTATTTTTTTGTATTTTGCATTTTTTATTTTCTCTATTTTTTTTTCCTATTTTTTTTCTTGTCTATGTAACCTTTTTTTGAAACCTTAATAAATATCATTTAAAAAAGAAAAGAAAAGTATTTCAGAACAAGATAGAGATGATCTGCAAACAATTACTGGTATTACAATCAGTAAAAAAGTTAAATATCTGGGAATTTGGCTTACAACGAAAAACATTAATTTATTAAAGGATAATTATGTAAGGTCGTGAAAAGAGATTTAAAAAGACCTAGAGATTTGGGGTAGACTGAATCTCACATTTTGGGGAAGGATATCTGCAATCAAAATGAATGTGCTAATGAAGACGCTTTTTTTGTTTCAGTCGATTCAGGGGGGAGGGAGGATGCTTCAAGGAGTGGCAAAGGGATATATTGAGGTTCACCCTGATGTTGGGAAAGATGGAGGGCACAAGGAGAAGGGGACGACAGAGGACGAGATGGTTGGACAGTGTTCTCGAAGGTGCCAACATGAGTTTGATCAAACTGCGGGAGGCAGTGGAAGATAGTAGAGCCTGGCGTGCTCTGGCCCAGGGGGTCACAAAGAGTCGGACACGACTAAACGAATAAACAACAACAACCTTGAAAAACAAGATGTGGGCTTTGAAGTGCACTGTTGGGGGTGTGAACACTCTGTACCTCTACTGCAGAAGACCAGGGGCAGTTCTTCTGAAACTAACACCCCCTTCCCCCAAGTATATCAGGATGTGCTCATAACAGCTCACAAACTGCATCAGCTGGTGGGCAGGATTTCAATCTATATTCTGATTAGGCAAAGGAATGTGATGTTTCATGCTTTGTCTTATCTGCTGATGGAGAATGGATTCCTCTTGATGATGCCAACTGAGTTGCAAGAACATTTGCTGATGTTGACAACATTGGGAAAGTATACACCAGTCTTATGCACTTGTGCATTTGGATCAGAAGAGGACAGCAAGGAGGGAAGGAAGGAAGGAAGGAAGGAAGGAAGGAAGGAAGGAAGGAAGGACACAGTGGATCGGGGACCACACAGCCCTGCCATTCCACTTCAGTTGCACCCTGCGCAGAAGGTGATAATCCCCCCAATTCCATATCAGGAAACTGAGTGGACAAAAATCTCACCCAGCCATTCATGATCACTCTGGAGATGTGTTTGTGGTAGAACAGACACTCTCCTTGTCCATCTCAACCAGATCTGAAGAAGGACCCCCTTTTTCTTCCTTAAAGTGAGGGAAAGAGGTGGGGCTTCATTAGCTAACACAATACACTCAAAGTAAGAGGCGCTGTGGAGAGAAGAAGCAATGGCCACATTTTGCAAAATGGGTGGGCAGATCCAGCAGCACTCTTCTTACCTTCTTACTTTCTCCTTGCCTAGCATGACTCTCCTCCTTGCTAATTTCCACTTCAAAGCAGCTGGATATTTTTCAATCCACAGTGGCTTTCATGTGAAAGAGATCTTTCTGGACTTCTGTGTTCTGATGCAAAAGATCTCAGTGTATGATTGCGTTGAACCATTAGGCTTCCCTTGTGCTGCCAAGTGTCTCTCACCACATGCCATTGCCTACCTATCAGATTATAAATGACGCATAAACACGAGCTTCCCACCCAGGCGTAGCTCAACTGGAACACTTGAATAAGGAAGAATCAGCAGCTCAGAGAGAGAGAGAGAAGCTGAAAAACCAGGTGAGTTATCTCCCCCTTTCTGATCTCTTTGACCCTCCATGCTGGCCTTTGAATGGCAGCTATATCTCCAAAGTCCTATGCGGCCTAGGACCCTTGTACCTACAGGACCGCCTCTCCTGGCATGCCCTGTGGAGGACCTTAAGGTCCACAAATGACAACACTTTGGAAGTCCCAAGTCGCAAGGTGGTTAGACTGGTCTCAACTAGGGCCAGGGCCTTTTCAGTACTGGCCCCGACTTGGTGGAACGCTCTGTCCCAAGAGACTAGGGCCCTGCGGGACTTGACATCTTTCCGCAGGGCCTGCAAGACAGAGCTGTTCCGCCTGGCCTTTGGCTTGGACTCGGTTTGACCCTTATGTTTCCCTCCCCTTATGGTTTTGATTTATGGGCTACTTTTAAAACGAGGCTGCATTTTAAATTGCATTTTAACCCATATTTTAATAAACTGGTTTTTGTTTGTTTCTTTGTTTGTTTTCCCCTATTATGTTTTATTGTAATTTTATTGGTGTTAGCCGCCCTGAGCCCAGCTCTGGCAGGGGAGAGCGGGGTATAAATAAAAAATTATTATTATTTATTATTATTTATTAAAGTGAGCAGCACACTAACAATGGGGTACCTTTGCATCTCATGGACCAGCTCCCCAACAAATCAAAGAGTTGATAAATCTATAAAGTGAAATGCTTTGATCTTGAGGATTTGTAACTCCTTACTTTGTTCTATCACCGCGACGGAGTGAGCTCCCGTTGCTCGGTCCCTGCTCCTGCCAACCTAGCAGTTCGAAAGCACGTCAAAGTGCAAGTAGATAAATAGGTACCACTCTGGCGGGAAGGTAAACGGCGTTTCCATGCGCTGCTCTGGTTTGCCAGAAGCAGCTTAGTCATGCTGTCCACATGACCCGGAAGCTGTACGCCGGCTCCCTCGGCCAGTAAAGCAAGATAAGCGCTGCAACCCCAGAGTCAGTCACGACTGGACCTAACGGTCAGGGGTCCCTTTACCTTTACCTTTACCTTTACCTTTACTTTGTTCTGTGTGGATGAGATATTGTGTTTTTTTTTCTGTTAGAAAGAAAGACAAAGCCTCGCCTTCTGAGCGATGGATGCAGGAAACTCAGCCTAGCAATTGTGTGTTTTGTGTTTTCTGTCTCCAGAAGCAGATGCAGCCTTCCTCTGACCCCAGGCTCAGCCTCCTTTGCACCTGCCTTGTTCTGATATGGCAGCTCTCCTTTGGCTTCGCAATGAAAATAAAAGAAGCAGAAAACCCCTACGGTCCCGCTGGTAAGGTATCATTTCATCTCGGAGGTGGTTGATGTCTCCTTAGAGAAAGAGCAGCTTCTGGCAGCATTAGAAAGCCAAGTGTAGATCCATTGGCTGTTTGGTTCAAAATGACAGAATCCTGTTCTGTTTACAGCACGCAGCTTCAATAGCACTTAGATTGTACCAGTTTTAATGTCTCCCAGTGCACTTCAACGTGCTGGCTCTAACCTTCAGGCCCCTGAATCGGATGGACCTATGAAATCTGTTAAACTGTTTGTGCCTGTATCCTCTTTCCTGCACGCAGATGTTTCAGTTGGATATTGATCTTTCCACCATCTTCATCTGTCAGTTGAGCTATCACCAATAGAGGGGGTCTTTTCTGTGGTGACCCCACCCCACGTATAGTTGCAGTGAACAGCTACACTTTTCAGAAGGCCTTAAAGAGCCAAAGAGCCTTCCCATGAATCATTGTTTCCCCCCTTTTTTTTTTGGAACAGCCTTTTGCTATTAGAATTTCAACTTTTTTTTGCTGTGAATCATTCTTGGTTTGGTAGTATTTATTTCCTAGTGGTTTTTATTATTGGTTGAAATAAGATTATCTATTGCTGTTAGTCTCCTTAGCTTCCATTGGCTGGAAACTAGGCAGGTAAATAATTTAATACAATACAATGAAAATATTGTATGTGATATTGGACACCAAGAAAGTGGTGAACCCCGTGACCTGGGACGTCTTTGAGGCTGTTCAATTTCCCTTTGACTTTTATGGCACCCCAAAGATACTGTATTTTTAGGTGTATAAGATGTGCTGGTGGTGCTGTGGGTTATACCACAGAGCCTAGGACTTGCCGATCAGAAGGTTGGAGGTTCGAATCCCTGCGACGCGGTGAGCTCCCGTTGCTCGGTCCCTGCTCCTGCCCACCTAGCAGTTCGCAAGCACATCAAAGTGCAAGTTGATAAATAGGTACCACTCCGGCGGGAAGGTAAACAGCATTTCCATGCGCTGCTCTGGTTCGCCAGAAGCGGCTTAGTCATGCTGGCCACATGACCTGGAAGCTATACGTGGCTCCCTCTGCCAATAAAGTGAGATGAGCACCGCAACCCCAGAGTAGGTCACGACTAGACCTAATGGTCAGGGGTCCTTTTACCTTTACCTTTATTGACCCAAAAATGAGATTCAAAATTTAGGCTCGTCTTATACATGGGTAGTGCTGAGGGGGGAATCCTGAAAATCGCTCACCCGCTGGAACACAGCACACAACCACTCACATCGTAGCTTCCTGATTGCCACCATTAGCCCTCCTGCTTGCTGCTGTGGCAACCAATAGACAGCTGCCCTTGTCACAGCAAGCGCGAGCATGATTGGCGGCCACTGGCCATGGTGCAGAAACCACCTATCAGCTCCCTTATTGCTGCCAGCGGCCACCAATCACGCTCCTGCTTCCTGCGACAAGGGCAGCTGTCTACTGGGTGACACAGTGGCAAGCAGGAGAGCTAATGGCGGCGATCAGCCAGCTGCAATGTGAGCGGTTGTGTGCTCCGTTCCAGTGCGCAAGCGATTTTCGGTATTCCCCCCGCCCACAACAATCAGGTGGCCAATGCCGGAAATTGCTCACCTGCCAGAACGAAGCGTTTTTAAGCGGTGATTAGCCACTTGATTGTTGGGGAGAAGATGCCAAAAATTGCTCACTCGTCGGAACGAAGTGTGAGCCCAAGATTGTAAGCAGCAATTGTAAGCAACACGAGTGGTTGTGTGCTGTGTTCTGGTGGGTGGGCGATTTTTGGCATTCCCCCCAAATAATCCTCCCCAAAAGCTCAATCCCCCCTTTTTTCTCAATTTTCAGGCCCCCAAAAGAGGGGGGGTCTTATAGATGGAAAAATACAGGAATTTTATGTCCACTGTTTCCTGTGCTGACATGACCATGTTGAATGCTAATGTTCTCCCTCTCTGTTACCTCAAGGCTGCCTCCGGGGCTGGACCAGAATAAAGGGAAGCTGCTATCGAATCTTTTCCGACTCTTTGAGATGGCTTGACGCAATGGTAAGAGGGGCCTCTAGGGGCTTTGAGTGGGTCCAGAAAGAGCAAGGGCACAAGATATTCTTGAGAGTCTCTGCAGAAGACATGTTATGAATCTCAATCCCATGGCCATGATTTTTATCCCAGGAGGCCATCTTTTGCATCTCAAGAGCTGATGAGATGTCATTTATGGATATGAAGTGAGGTTTTCCTTCACTAGGCCTTGGGCAACCAGCTCAGTTTATCAGTTTATCTTTCTTCTCAGATTCAGATGAGGCTGAGGAAGCTCAGGACCATTGCCTGGAACCACTAGGGGGCTGGATGAAGGCCACTGAAACTCAATCCTGGAAAGGTTCTGTGGGATAGTGATTGGATAGATACGCTGTTCATAGGCTGGAAGTAGGCAGGCCTTCTTTAAGATGGCTTGAGATGGTGGGCTCATCATCCCAGAAAAGACCCATTGACCCCAAAGATTGGAGTACTTACTCAGGTTTGATGAAGGCTCCAACATGTTCTGCTTTCAAGTGAGCCCCCAGGGACAGGTAGGTTCATAAATGATGCCCATTTGTTGGGAATAGCATGGAGAACCCAAAGTACGTTAGAGAGAGTCAGAACAGCTTATGCAAGATCCACAACAGCCACTAAACACACTTTTAAAGAACATGGCATTCCCCTAAGAGTCCAGGGAGCTGTAGTTGCTGTCCACAGGGCTACAGTTCCCATGGTCCTTGGGTATAAGCTACATGTTTATTAAAGGTGCTTGAAATGTTTGGTGTGGGAGTCATTGAAGCCCACCAGGAAAATAACAGCCGTGTGAGCACCCTGAGGGACACCATCTGATGCACCAGCTAGTTGGCTTGCTCAGCTCTGACCTCAAGGCTGCCCTGTCTAAATAAACAGCAATGATGTTCCTGCTATGGTAGGGCACATCCCTGGCATTCTCCTACCATGTCCTGATTTGCCAAGCTCATCCGAATAGAATGGGTATTTTGCCAGGTACTGTTCCTCCTTCCGGGAAGGAATATATTAACAGATCAACACAGCTACCTGCACTTTTTCATTCTTTCAAGGCAAGGCTTTCAGTTCTCCTTGGGGACAGGTTGACTGTTGTGTCCAGCTTCTGCACAAACATAAAATGACCACTACGCCACCGGACATTGCCCAAGCATGCTGCATGATGGATCTGGCAGCCTTAAAAGTGCACATGCAATTCATTAGATGGGCATGATGGGGGAAAATTTGGCTTTGAAGCACATCTTAATGAGAGCAACTCGATTTGGCATGTCCTGAAATAACACACATCGAAACAGAGGTATCATTTGAAATTTGGTTCTCCCCCAAAATATTTTGAACAAACATACATACACTTCACACAACATGGAGTGTACGTGAGTAAGATAAGCACGTTAGGAGGCATGCACGCACAGACACCACAGAATTTTGAGGGGCCCCGGGCACATCCTTGAAGATTTGTGGGGCTCTTGGCCCCCTGCCCAGCAGTTGGCCCCACTGTATTAGAGGAAATTGTGGGTAAAGTGTATTCTTGAAAATAACACCCAAAGCTGCAGTATATGAGGTGAAATTGCAAACAAATGTTTTTATACTGGGGCAATGTCCACTCAAATGCTGCTCAGTTCTCCTGAGAACTTTTCTTTTATAAACAAATTCACAAACTGAAAGTGGAGAATCTAATTAAAAATCAGACAATGAAGAAACTGAGCGAGACACAAATGGGGATATTGCATCATGCTGGATCTCAGTTGGCCCAACAAAGCTTGCATTTCAAGCAGTCACATGTCCGGAGCTGGATTTCCACGTATTGCGACTGCACTATTCAACCTTGAGCCTGACTTTGAGGAGAATTCAAAGTTAAGTGTAGTTGCATAAAACTCATTCTTTTTTCCACCTCTCAGAAAATCTGCCGTATATTTGACCCGACTTCTGAGCTTGCCTCTATCCATGATATGAAAGAACTGCGTAGGGTGTCTGACATGCTTCTAATTCCAAAGGTACTACGTGTCTGGATTGGATTGTCAGTCAATGATAAGGTGAGTCTCCAAGGCCTTCTCCTCCTCCTCCTCTGTCAGCACTGTTGGAACTGATAGTAAATGAATTCAGTGGGAAGATTCTTCTATGGGGCTTCCCCAGCTGATGAAATGCTACGAGAAGGTTTTCTGGACTCAACATACTGGAGGCCAATACAGTCATGGTGGGCTCCTGGCTGATGTCCTGCAACTCAAATAATGTTATCTGTGGTTCTTTTGGGTGGAATCATCAAGGTGTGTGCTGTGTCTTGGAAGTGTCTCCTTGTGATCTGTTCTTTCCAAAGAGCATCCCACCTCTCTTGTCCCTACAGGATGGAAATTGGGAGTGGACAGATGGCTCTGTTCCCGAGTTCCTACCATGGACTAAGGGAGAACCTATGAGTAGTGGCATCAACTCATGTGCCTACTTGTTTCGTGCAGACGGTAAGAAGTCCGCTCTCAGGGCTGGTACTTTGGAGGTGCCATGCTCAATGCAATGCGGGTTGCAATATTTTCTTGATTTCTACTGCGGGTATGAGATGTGCTCCTTGCCTGCTCTTTGGCCAAGAAGTTGTGAGTGAAGGACTTCCTTTAGAGCCCTTTCATCTGTTTGGTAGAGATATTTCCAAGTTGCCTTACAAGAATCTAGCCTTCCTGTCAGGGAACTGCCATCGGAAGGAAGGGAGGTGAAAGGACTCAGACAGGTTGGAAGAGATTCAGCAGCTGAAGAGGGAACCAGTAAGGGGAGAGAAGCTGAACTGAGGGAGGTGAAAGGGCTCAGACAGGTTGGAAGAGACTCAGCAGCGGAAGAGGAAACCAGCAGGGGGAGACAAGCTGAACTGAGGGAAAGGGAGCTGGGGGATGGCTCAGAGATACTTCCAGCGAAAACAGTGGTGAGGTTTCCGGACCTCCTGTAGCGACACCCACTCCTCGCCGGAAACTGTCACGCAGAGAGTCCAGAAGACGTGTTTCCGTTAAGGAGCTTTTATGTTGGAAGCGATTACGAAAGCAACCACTGTCGGAATCTTCTAGTGACTAAGAGGAGCCATGTCAGAGGGGCTCAGTCACAGACAGAGGTTTGTGGACTTGAACAAACTCTGAGGGAATACGATTTTACGCACAAGCAGCTCATAATCCCATCACAGCATTCCGACAGTCTTTGAACGCAGCTTGTGCAGGAGACGGCATAATAATGAGCAACCCAGCAGGAACCGGAGAAGCAGGGGCTGGAGCGGGTCCAAGCCTGGAAGAAAGGTACCGGGTGTTAGAGGTCCAGCTGGCGCTGCAGACGGCGAGGCTGGAGGAGAGGAGGGCTCAAGATGCAGACAAAAGGGAGAAAGCCACCCAGCTCGCCAGAAAGGTACCAGGATTGGTGCAAAAATTTGGGGGGGAGCCCAAAGACTATCATAGCTTTCGGACAGAAATGCAATATGCCCTCAATCTGCAGTTTGATGATTTCCCTGATGAGGAATCACGAGTGGCTTTTGTGATTGGGCATCTTGAAAGGGGGCGAGAGACTGGGTTAGACCCCTGATGGCAGCGAATAGTGACGTCTTAAAAGACACGATGAAGTTCTTTCGCGCCATGGATCTGATGTTTTCCAGCGATATTGAAAAGGGAGTGGTGCGCAGACAGTTAATGGCTTGCAAACAGGGGAGCCGATCTGTACGTGAGTACTGGACTGAGTTCACCATGCTGATACACAGATTGGGGTGGGACTTATCGGCGGAACCCATTCAAATGCTCTTTGAAGAAGGGCTTTCTTCGGCTGTGAAAGATGAACTTTCCCGGGCGCCCAGGGCGGAGTCTATGGACCAGCTGACCAAATCAGCGCTGGCCATAGGAGCGCGCCAGGAGGCGAGAGCATTGGAGAGGCGGGAAGGGAAAGGGGAACGTTGGAAGGAGTTCCGCATTCCAGACATTCCAGAGCCAACTGTCCCGCCGGCAGAGCCGATGGAAATCGGAACAGCGCGCGCGCGCAGTTTCAAAGCCCAGTGAGGGGAAAGAAGGATGGAAAAGGCGCCCGGAAATGCTATCTCTGCCAACAGCCAGGGCACTTTGCCAGAGTCTGCCCCCAGAGGAAGGAATGGCAAGGGATGGTGGGAGCTGTGGAGGGAAGAGAGGAAAAATACCGGAGCAACTAAAAGCCAACGCCTGGCTGCCATTGTCGGGGCACAGCAGCCAGGCCAAAGAGCAGTGAAAGTGCCCACTCCAGAACCTCCTAAACCCGCCCTAGTGATAGAAGTGACACTAGAGCTCCCAAACGGACACCCTCTAAAGATAAAGGCGCTGTTGGACTCAGGCAGCTCCTGCAATTTCATGAGCAAAGAGTTTGCAGCTGAACACCAGATACAGACGCTCCCTTTAAGCAACCCCTGCAGGTAACCACGATCGATGGCAGGGAGCTGTTGGGAGGAGAAGTCAGCTTGCAGACCGTCCCAATGATAATGAAGGTGGCAAGGCACACTGAACTGATAGCTTTTAATGTGGCCACCTTGGGAGGAGCTCCCATTATATTGGGGATGAGCTGGCTAGCGTTACATGATCCGCTGGTGGGCTGGCATCAGAGAGTGGTTTCTTTTGGGTCAGCACATTGCTTAGAACATTGCAAAGAGGGAAAGGTTTTGGCAGGGGCCCAAGCCACCCTAGCAGGGACTGAAGTGAAGGAGAACGTGAAGGTACCACGACAATACGCAGATCTCCGCGACGTCTTCAGCGAAAGGGAAGCTGACCAACTACCACCGCATAGAGCCTTTGACTGTCAAATCAATTTGCTCCCTGGGGCACAGCTCCCTGTGGGCAAGCTGTACGCCATGTCAGACAGAGAGATGCAGGAGCTAAGAGAGTTCATTGACAAGAACCTGAAGAGAGGGTTCATCAGAGAGTCCAGGGCGGTGGGGGCAGCCCAGTGTTTTTGTGGACAAAAAAACACGAACAAGCCGAGACTGGTGTGTGACTTCAGGGCCTTAAATGCAGTGTCAGAACCAGTGGCCTTCCCGATGCCCAGGATTGACGACATTTTGACAAGGGTGCGAAAGGGAAAGATTTTCACCAAGCTGGATCTAAGGGGGCGTACAACCTGATACGAATAAGGAAGGGGATGAATGGAAAACCACCATGTTCACCCCTTTAGGGGCATTTGAATACTTAGTTATGCCCTTCGGTCTACAAGCAGGCTCCGCAACATTTCAATCGTTTATGAACCACGTCCTGGGGCCGTTGCTTTACAAGAATTGTGTGGCCTTCTTAGACGACGTGTTGGTGTATTCTGAGAATGAGGAGCAGCATGTGAGAGACGTCAGAGAAGTGTTGAGCAGGCTGCAAGCCAACCAGCTGTGGGTGAAACTGGAGAAGTGTCAGTTTCATACCAAGGAGGTGGAATTCCTGGGGTATCGCCTGTCTGACAAGGGGTTGGCCATGGATCCCGGCAAGGTCCAGGCGGTACTGGAATGGAAAACACCCAAAACAAGGAAGGATGTGCAGAGGTTTTTAGGGTTTGGGAACTTCTATCGTAAGTTCATCCCAAACTTTGCCCACCTGACGGCGCCCATTACGGACTGTCTCAGCAGTAAGAAGAAGTTCGTTTGGACGGAGGAGGCGGAGCAAGCATTTGAGGAACTAAAAGGGCCTTCGCCTCGGAACAACAGCTCCTGCATGTGGATTTACAAAAACCGATGAGAGTGGAAACTGACGCATCAGACAGAGCGGTTGGGGCGGTGCTTCTCCAGCCAGGGAAGGAGGAGTCAGAGTGGAGACCGTGTGCTTTTTTTCGCGAAAGCTGAACAAATCCGAGAGGAACTACACGGTGTATGACCGAGAACTACTAGCCATTCATGAGGCGTTCCGGAGATGGAGGCACCTGCTAATGGCGCACAACATAAGGTGCAAGTGTGCACTGACCACAAGAACCTAGAGTATTGGAGGACGGCACGAGTGCTCAACCAACGGCAAGTGAGATGGGCCCAGGAATTCTCCAAATTTAACTTTGAGATTTGTTACGTGCCAGGCCCAGAGAACATTAGGGCGGACGCTCTCTCACGCAAACCTGAATATTGGGAGGGCGAGGGAGCACCCGAAGAGAGACATGTCATTCCAGAGGACCGCTGGGTGTGTGGGGCGGCATTGGTGGGACAAAGAGAACTGGTAGAAGAAACAGAGAATGATGAATACGCCCAGAATAAGCTCAGAGGTCTTAGGGATGAGGGAGAGGAATCAAGGGGTTTCGAGGAAAGAAATGGAGCTTTGTATTACAAAGGGGCACTGTATATCCCTGAAGGAGACTTAAGGGGAGGGTACTCAAGCAGTTGCATGACAGCCCCACGGCGGGCATTTTGGGCAACACAAAACCATGTGGTTGGTCACCAGGGAATTTTGGTGGCCTAAGGTGAGGGAGGATGTACGTGAGTATGTAAGAGGGTGCGAGCAGTGCCAGCGAGCCAAAGGGGAAAGGCGGGCGCCGGCGGGGCTATTAGAACCCTTACCAACACCAGAACGACCTTGGGAGGCAGTGTCGATAGATTTTATGACTGATCTGCCGAAGTCCAAAGGGAAACAGCCATCATGGTGGTGGTAGACCTACTAACAAAGATGTGCCACTTTGTAGCTTGCTCGCATGCAGTCACGGCGGAAGAGACAGCGAAGTTATTTGTAGAACACATTTTTAGGTTGCACGGGGTGCCATTGAGGGTGGTCTCAGACCGAGGAAAACAATTTACTTCCAGGTTCTGGAGGAAGCTCATGAGCTTACTGCAGGTGGAGGTCAACTTTTCGACTGCCCGGCACCCTGAAACCAACGGGCAGGCGGAAAGAGCAAACGGTGTCCTCCAGCAATACCTGAGGTGTTATGTCAATGACAGAGAGAATGACTGGGTAGAAAAGTTGGCGCTGGCGGAATTTGCCTACAACAATGCCGAGAATGTGTCCACAGGGATGAGCCCCTTCTTGGCTAATTATGGGTGTCATCCCAGGGCTTTCCCAGGGGTAGAAGGGGAGAGATGGAGCGTACCGGCAGCCGAGCATTTTGTAGAAGAAATGGAAGCAATCCACCGTCAGCTCCAACTCAACTTAGAAAGGGCGAAGGAAGAATACAAGAGGCAGGCAGACAAGAACCGAAGGGAAGGTGAAACCATAAGGGTTGGAGATAGGGTGTGGCTGTCAACCCGAGGGTTGCCGTTCAAAGGAGGTTGTAAGAAATTACGACCCAGGAGGTTGGGTCCCTTTGAGGTCATTCAACAGGTCAACCCAGTGGCTTTCAGGCTCCGGTTACCCAACCACATGAAACTGCACCCAGTATTTCACAGGTCGTTACTGTCACCGTACGAGGGGACGAGAAGGGATGGACACTCGGGGACCGGTCATAGAAGAAAGAGAATGCAGCAGTCATGTGGCAGAAATCCTTGATGCCAGGTGGAAGGGGAATCAGGTGGAGTATTTGGTAGCGTGGGAAGGAGAACCGAGTCAGAAAACACGTGGGTAATGGCCAAAGATATCAATGACGAGGTATTGATAGAAATGTTCCATCAAAGGTTCCCGCGGAAACCTCAGCCTGTGGAGAGGTTCCGGAGGGAATACTTTGGGACCACTGAGGAGGAGGAGGAGTTGGAAGGATTCCCAGAATCGGAAGGGGAAGGGAGATGGACTCGGAGGAGGAGGAGTGCTTCGAGACCAGGAACCGCAACAGGTGGAGAGAAGTGTTCGAGACATCGGAAGATGAAGGAAGTTCATTCCGGGGTTTTGCCTCCTCACCGCCCGTAGAGGAGGGGGCGAGAGGGGGTGAAGGGGGCCCTGGAGGGGAGGTGGATGTCAGGGAACTGCCATCGGAAGGAAGGGAGGTGAAAGGACTCAGACAGGTTGGAAGAGATTCAGCAGCTGAAGAGGGAACCAGCAAGGGAGAGAAGCTGAACTGAGGGAGGTGAAAGGGCTCAGACAGGTTGGAAGAGACTCAGCAGCGGAAGAGGAAACCAGCAGGGGAGACAAGCTGAACTGAGGGAAAGGGAGCTGGGGGATGGCTCAGAGATACTTCCAGCGAAAACAGTGGTGAGGTTTCCGGACCTCCTGTAGCGACACCCACTCCTCGCCGGAAACTGTCACGCAGAGAGTCCAGAAGACGTGTTTCCGTTAAGGAGCTTTTATGTTGGAAGCGATTACGAAAGCAACCACTGTCGGAATCTTCTAGTGACTAAGAGGAGCCATGTCAGAGGGGCTCAGTCACAGACAGAGGTTTGTGGACTTGAACAAACTCTGAGGGAATACGATTTTACGCACAAGCAGCTCATAATCCCATCACACTTCCCAAGCATAGCTGTCAACTTTTCCCTTTTCTTGCAAGGAATCCTATTCGGAAAAAGGGAATTTCCCCTAAAAAAGGGAAACGTTGACAGCTGTGTTCCCAAGGTGGCTCAGACTGACAGGAAACACCATCCTAATCCACTTTTGCTTTCCACTCAAGGTCCTCCCCATAGATGCCACCACCCACCTTGGCCAATTTAGTATTGGATGAGTGGCTGGGTTTCTTCTGAATGGGAGAAGAAGAAAGGACATTCCCTGTGGGGTACATGTGTTTTGAGGGTGTTGGGGTCCCAACAGCAGCAGCAGCATGCCAAGGAGCCCCTGATGTCACTCTGCCTAAGCTCATTTCTCTTTTTCTTTCCAGTTTTCTTGAGATTTAGAGCTGAGGATTGCGAATATGAAGAACCCTTTATTTGTGAACATGAGCCAGCATCTGCATCCTCCTGACCTATTCACTCTCCCTGGCTGACCCCATCAAATCTCAGAAGCTTCCATCCAACGCTGTCTTTCTACCTGCGCCTTTTTCAGAATATGAAAACGTCAGAGGTCCCCTGCTGCCCCATTCCAGTGGCCCATCTATTTCAGCGTCCTGCTCTCACAGTAGCCTGCAATAGATCTAATTGAGTCCTGCACATAGCAGAGCCCCCTTCTCTGGGAGCCCAGGATGAAGAAACCTGGGGTTCACCAATGTCAGGAGGACAACAGCCTCCCCTTCCCTAATAGATGCCTCAGCTCGTTGTGAATTTAAACACATGCCCCTGAAACAAGAACCAATTACTTTCCTTTATTACTTCCTGCCCCTCCCAACTCACATGTCTCCAATATCCTGATTCAGATTGCATTTAGGACATTCAACTGGTCTCTTTTACTGTGCAAAGAACCAATGCACTTTTATGGCAGTGTCTTCTAGAGCCCTGGGAAGGGTGAAGCCTTAGTGAAAGCAATCCCTCTGCAGAGGAGAAATGACTGTTTGCAGGTGAAGCTTGAATCCAAACCACACCTGCAAAAAGACAAAGTGGGGCTTCCAGCCAGCCCCCTTGCAGCTGTGCTCTCAGCGCAAACCAGCTGCTTGTTGCTGAAAGGGTGTCTCCAAAGGGGCTTTGGTCCAGCACTAATTAGATGAGAGCAAGGCCCCCCCTTGGCGGCAGTAGGACGTTCCCAATGGGGCTTGCTCTTAGCACTGATCAGTGGTGAAGAGGAAGGCCTCTGAGGTGCACTTTCCAATCTGTAAGAGAAATCTATGGGGGGAAATCTGAAATGCAACCAATTCAAGGAGTGTTTGCTGTCCCCATTCCTGCTTGCAAGGATTAATCAGGAGCTCACTTTCAGCTCCCAATTGTCCCGTTGTCCACCCCTAATGTTACATAGAACCATAAAATTGTGGAAGTGGAAGGGACCCTGAGGGTCTTCTAGGCCAACCCCCTGGAATGCAGGAATCAGAACGAAAACATCCCTGGCAGGCTGTCATCCCACCTCTGCTTTCAAAGCTCCAAGGAAGGAGAATTCACCACCTTCTGAGGGAGTCCATTCCACTGTCAAATAGCTCTTATACTCAGAAAGTTCATCCTTGTATTTAGCTGGAATCTCCTTTCTTTTAACTTGAATCCATTGAGGATATAGTTGGGAGGGGAACAGCCTTGTAGGTGCCCCATCCCTCGTATAATAAGTATAACATGATGGGGACTGAGGGCAACAGAGGCACTTGCAGAAAGAAATGTCACAACCATTTTGAGATGCCAAGAGATCTACTGGGCAATGAGCAGAAGAAGGAATCCTCCTTCAGTGCAGATCCCTGACCCTTTTGTCATTCTGATGGGGAAGCATAACTTTTAAAATATGTACATGCTTCTACAAATATGCTGCAGAAATAAATACTCCTATATTGCATCAGACTGAGTGGTTTCTCTGTCATTTGTGCACCCACTTCAAAGTGCTGGCTAAGACCTTTGAAACGTTGGCAATATGGTGCCTTGAGGGTAATAGACTCCTCTATAAGCTTTGATATTGAGATGGAGGCATCTCAGGGAGTCTCCCCCTTACTTCCTGGTGCAACTGGACTTCTCCGTGACCCTTCCACTCTGCAGGGAGGTGGGACTGATTCGGATGGTCCGCCCCCGCCACTTAATGGATCCAGGTGGTTTCCAGAGAATGGTAGAGGGTGTTTTATTCACATGTTGATGGCCTTTCAGCTGATTCCCTGGTGGCCCGCTGGAATGTGGAGTTAACCAGGGCTATCGACTGTCTAGCTCCGATGCGCCCTCTCCAATTGCATTATTTATATATGTTTGTTTGTTTAGTCGTTTAGTCATGTCCAACTCTTTGTGACCCCATGGACCAGAGCACGCCAGGCATACACACACACACACATTATATATATATATATATATATATATATATATATATATATATCTCCGCACCATCAGAACTGCATCTGTTTGGGAAGCCAGTGGTGCCATGTGGATGGGTATGCATTTGCCATTTGCAAAGGAATGATGGCATCATTGGAGGGTTCATCAGGGTAGCTGATCACTGATTAGTGTTGATACAAAGATTTTAACAGCAACCATAGCAAACAGTATCCAGCAAGCCATAGCGTCAGTTGCTAAGAATGACCAAACCAGTTTTATAAAAATGAGACAAGCAGCAGATTATATCAGATTGGTATGGCTTTGATAGAATTAAACAAAAGTAAGGATCAATTCCTAACTTTATCATTAGATGCTGAAAGGGAACGGTATATGAAGGCAGTTTTCAGTAAATTTGGCTTTCCTTTGGACTTTAAACACCAATTGAAATATTGCATGACTCGCCTACATCTAGAATGAAAGTTAATGGCATCATGTCTGCTACTTTCCCACTGTCTAGAGAAACAAGACAAGGATGTCCACTTTCACCTTTGTTTTTTAATATTTGCCTAGAACCCATGGCCTCTGCTATTAGACAACATTGTGAGATCTACGGAGCAGATCACAACATAGCTGTCAACTTTTCCCTTTTCTTGCAAGGAATCCTATTGAGAATAAGGGAAATTCCCTTAAAAAAAGGGAAACGTTGACAGCTATGGATCACAATTGGTTTTATTTGCCGATTACACACTTTTGCTTATTTTGAAACCTCAGACTGCTGTTCCTATGTTGATGAAAACAGTAGATGCCTTTGGTAAAATATCAGGGAATTCTATTAATTGATCCAAGTTGGAATTTGTGCCAATAGGTGAACATTTGATGACGCCCTCTGCTGTGTGGGACTATGGCACCACACTCACCTCCACCTCAGATCCCTTGCACCACCTTCCCCCCTGTAAGGTGTACAGCCCTGAGGTTATTTAATTACATATACCTTCAAAAGCAAGATGTGGCCTTTGAAATGCACTGTTGGGGGGTGAACACTCTGTACCTCTGCTACAGAAGACTGGGGGCAGGTCTTCTGAAACCAAACTCCTCCTGGGTATATCAGGATGTGCTCATAGCAGCCCACAAACAGCATTAGCTGGTGGGCAGGATTTCAATCTGTACTCTGATTAGGCAAAGGAACATGGTGTTTCATGCCCTGTCTTATCAGAAGATGGAGAATGGATTCCTCTTGATGATGCCAACGGAGTTGCAAGAATATTTCCTGATGACGACGACATGTGGGAAAGTATGCGCCAGTCATGCATTTGTGCATTTGGATCAGAAGAATCATAGAATCATAGAGTTGGAAGAGACCACAAGGGCCATCGAGTCCAACCCCCTGCCAAGCAGGAAACACCATCAGAGCACTCCTGACATATGGTTGTCAAGCCTCTGCTTAAAGACCTCCAAAGAAGGAGACTCCACCACACTCCTTGGCAGCAAATTCCACTGTCGAACAGCTCTTACTGTCAGGAAGTTCTTCCTAATGTTTAGGTGGAATCTTCTTTCTTGTAGTTTGGATCCATTGCTCCGTGTCTGCTTCTCTGGAGCAGCAGAAAACAACCTTTCTCCCTCCTCTATATGACATCCTTTTATATATTTGAACATGGCTATCATATCACCCCTTAACCTCCTCTTCTCCAGGCTAAACATGCCCAGCTCCCTTAGCCGTTCCTCATAAGGCATCGTTTCCAGGCCTTTGACCATTTTGGTTGCCCTCCTCTGGACACGTTCCAGTTTGTCAGTGTCCTTCTAGAACTGTGGTGCCCAGAACTGGACACAGTACTCCAGGTGAGGTCTGACCAGAGCAGAAGACAGTGGCACTATTACTTCCCTTGATCTAGATGCTATACTCCTATTGATGCAGCCCAGAACTGCATTGGCTTTTTTAGCTGCCGCGTCACACTGTTGGCTCATGTCAAGTTTGTGGTCAACCAAGACTCCTAGATCCTTTTCACATGTACTGCTCTCAAGTCAGGTGTCACCCATCTTGTATTTGTGCCTCTCATTTTTTTTTGCCCAAGTGCAATACTTTACATTTCTCCCTGTTAAAGTTCATCTTGTTTGGTTTTGCCCAGTTCTCTAATCTGTCAAGGTCATTTTGAAGTGTGATTGTGTCCTCTGGGGTGTTAGCCACCCCTCCCAGTTTGGTGTCATCTGCAAATTTGATCAGGATGCCCTTGAGTCCATCATCCAAGTCGTTGATAAAGATGTTGAATAAGACCGGGCCCAAGACAGAACCCTGTGGCACCCCACTAGTCACTCTTCTCCAGGATGAAGAGGAACCATTGATGAGCACCCTTTGGGTTCGGTCAGCCAGCCAGTTACAAATCCACTGAGTGGTAGCATAGTCAAGACCGCATTTTACCAGCTTCTTTACAAGAATATCATGGGGCACCTTGTCAAATGCCTTGCTGAAATCAAGGTAGGCTACATCCACTGCGTTCCCTTCATCTACCAGGCTTGTAATTCTGTCAAAAAACGAGATCAGGCTAGTCTGACATGACTTATTTTTCAGAAATCCATGCTGACTATTGGTGATCACAGCATTCCTTTCTAGGTGCTCACAGACTGTTTGCTTAATGATCTGCTCCAGTATCTTCCCTGGTATTGATGTCAGACTGACTGGGCAGTAATTATTTGGGTCCTCTCTTTTCCCCTTTTTGAAAATAGGGACAACATTTGCCCTCCTCCAATCTGCCGGGACTTCACCTGTTCTCCAGGAATTCTCAAAGATGACTGCCAGTGATTCTGAGATCACATCTGCCAGTTCTTTTAATACTCTTGGATGCAGTTCATCTGGCCCTGGAGATTTGAATACATCTAAACTAGCCAAGTATTCTTTTCTCTTTTTTTTAAATAATATTTATTGCTTTTAAAAGTTACAAAAAGGTAGAAAAAAAGAGAAAAAACAAAAAAGAAAAAAGGAGAAAAACAATACAATATATAAACAATACAAGCCCACCCTAAACCCATTAAACTAAACACATGAACAAAGCAAGACAAAAACAATTTAAAAACATCCCTCCTTTTCCATACTCTGTCCTTCATTCCCTTGTTTCCTCGACTTCCTCACACCTCCCTTCTTGTATCCCGCTTCTAGTACTTGTTTCAGCAAATCCTTTCCATCTTTCTCTATTTTATGTCATATTATAAATAACATATTCTTTAACCTTATTTCCCACTAACGGGTGATTGCTTATATACACCCAACTTCTTATAGCATTTCTGCTAAATCCATAAAATATCATTCCACCATTTTTCTGACAGTCATTACTTTAACAAAGTTTCTAAATAAACACTTTAAATTTTCCATTAATCTTCCACTATCTCCTCTCCCTGGCTTCGGATTCTGCCAGTCCTTTCCGTCAGTTCCATATAATCCATCAACCTGGAGCCCTAATATCCGAGGCTCTTAAATCTCTTCCAAGTCCCTTCTGCAGGTCTTCTTCATATTTTTTGATGCTCAGGAGCAAATCTAGGGAAAACTCCAGCCTAGCCATACTTTTGTTCCTTCTGGGCAGTTCAGCCAAATTTCCAAAGTTAAAAGTAAAGTCCATAGAGTGTTTCAGAACGTATTTCAGGATTCCTCCAATTCTAGCGACCCCCAAAACTTCAAACTCCTCCAAGCCCAGGTCCATGTCCCAAAAGTCAGTCAATCCCTGGATAGAGGGTTCTTTCCAACTTTCCTTCTTCAATCCAAGCCGGGATCCTAACCTCGAAATTTGACTTTTGCTAGATTCAGTCATGAAAGACCTCAATTTATAATCCTCCATCTGCTTCTGAGAAATTAAGGATCCCGCTTGTACTACTTTTGGTTTCACATCATCAACTTTCTCCTTTTTCTCCACCATTTTCACATCATCGGCTTTCTCCTTTTCCTCCACCATTTGTCCAACCAGGATACGTTCCTGTAGCAAATCCTGAGTTGTTTCTGTATTAACACTCACTTTTTGATTCAAATTAATCACGTTCTGTTCCAAGTTGTCAATTTTAGAGATCGTGTCATCTGTCTTTTTATGTAGCTGTTCCAGCTCGTAGTTTATCTTGTATAATGCAGTCACAATGGCTTCTCCTATCAACATTTTGAATGATCCAAGGTCAGACTCTATTTTTCAGAATCTTATCTTGCAGCTGGAGCTCTCCCTGTTGCACTCCTGTAACAGTTTCACATGCTCCCTCTAGAGGGAAACAGTCTCCGTTTGTATCGATTCTTTCAAACACAACTCAAACAAGTAACAATAGTTTCAATTTTCGGTTACTTTTCCCTCCATTTTTAAATGCAGAAGAGGACAATGGAGACAGTGCCTTTCTTATTTTAGCTAGCTGTCAAATCCGTTCTGTCAATAAACCTTCCCCGAACTTCATCTGGCAGCCCTTTTCCAGGTTCAGAGCAGTGGCAATTAATTTTGACTCTCTTCTGCAGGCACACTAAATTCAAAACTTCCCCTCTCTTCTCCTGCTTCCAAGAGGGGTTATATATTCTTTTCCGGTGGGGATTTAATCCTTTATCAAAAGCTTTCAAAGACTTTAGCTTGTAACGTCTTTGCTTCAATCTATTTACAAAACGGGAGGCGGACTTCCTGTTTAGAGCCTTCCCGCTTCAGCGCCAAATTAAAGTGTTTCAAAGTCCAATTTTCCGTTCTACTCACGGGTAGTCGTTTAAAATCCAATTGTCCGCAGGAAAAAGTCAGCGCTCTCTGGCAACAGCAATGCGGCTTCACTCCGTGAAAGAAGCGGTCAATTCAAAGCACCGCGCCACTCACCCCACGTCGCTCCGGATCCCCAAAACAGGGTTTCCCCGCGAGTAGGGGGGGCGCAAATGGTGCCAGCCGAATCCCAAGTTCACAGGCTTCTCCCGCCTGTGATTTCTATGGGTCTCCGCCTTCACCGTGGCGGTCAGACCCTACTTTTCACGAAGCAAATTCCTCCCGATCGGAGGAATTCAGCCATTGCCGGAGGCGCCTCCCCGGAAGTCCAAACTAGCCAAGTATTCTTGTACTATCTCCTTAGTTATTCTGGGCTGTGTTTCCTCTGCTGAATCATTTGCTCCAAATTCTTCAGGTCGGGCATTGTTTTCTTTATCGGAGAAGACTGAGGCAAAGAAGGCATTGAGGAGTTCAGCCCTTTCTGTGTCCCCTGTTTGCATTTCACCATCTTCTCCTCTGAGTGACCCCACTGTTTCTTTGTTCTTCCTTTTGCTACGAACATACCCATAAAAGCCTTTTTTGTTGCTTTTAACCTCTCTAGCAAGCCTGAGTTCATTCTGTGCTTTAGCTTTTCTGACTTTGTGTCTACATCTGCTGACTATTTGTTTGAATTCCTCTTTGGTGGTTCCCCCCTTTTCCATTTTTTGTACACATCCTTTTTTAATCTTAACTCAGTTAAAAGTTCTTTAGATAGCCACCCTGGCTTCTTTAGGCACCTTCCATGTTTCCATCTCATTGGTATTGCCTGAAGTTGTGCTTTTACCATCTCCCTCTTAACAAACTCCCAGCCATCATGAACTCCCTTTCCTTTTAGTATTACTGTCCATGGGATCTCACCCAGCACTTCCCTAAGTTTTATGAAGTCGGCTTTCTTAAAGTCAAGAAATTGAGTCCTAGTATGCTTGGCTGCTCCTTTCCGCTGTATAGTAAACTTCAGAAGAGCATGATCACTCGCGCCTAATGATCCTTCCACTTCTACCCCACTAACCAGGTCATCAACATTGGTTAGGACCAGATCTAAAATGGCTGTTCCTCTTGTTGCTTCTCCCACTTTCTGGACAATGAAGTTGTCTGCAAGGAATCTCTTTGACCTTATGCTCTTGGCTGAGTTTGACATCCAACAAATATCCGGGTAATTGAAGTCCCCCATTACTACTATCTCCCTTCCTTTTGCATGCTTGGCCATCTGTTCCAGGAAGGCATCATCTATGTCCTCCGTTTGGCTTGGGGATCTATAGTAAACTCCCACAATGAGGTCACTGTTATTCTTCTCTCCCTTAATTTTGACCCAAATGCTCTCACTTTGGCTTTGAGGTTCTAAATCTTGGATCTCTTCACAGGTATACACATCCCTGACATATAATGCCCCTCCTCCTCCTTTCTTGTCTGGTCTGTTTCTCTGAAATAGATTGTATCCCTCCATTATTACATTCCAATCGTGGGACTTATCCCACCAGGTTTCAGTGATAGCAAGAGGATAGCAAGGAAGGAGGATAGCATGAAGGAAGGTGCCATTCTGGCCGACACCTTGGGCCAGGAACAGTTTTCATGCCAGAGTGATGAAGTTCCGAAGAACAGATCTCACTCCTTCATGTTTGGTCGACGCACAGCTACATCTGGCTCTGAAAGGAAGCAGCTCTCCAGGCTTCTAGCCCTACTGGAAGAGGGTGGGGAAACAAATCTGGAGTCTTCTGTCTCCAAAAGCAGAGGCTCCACCACAGAGTTATGCCAACCCCGGAAGAGCTCCCTGCCTTTCATCAAGTAAGAGGTGTTCACTGACACTGCTGTTATAGCAAGCACCTTACCTTTAAGGCAAGCTCTGACCACTGTTCCACAATCCCAGAGACCCAGTGGATCAGGGGACCACACAGCCCTGCCGTTCCACTTCAGTTGCACCCTGTGCAGAAGTTGATCTCCCCCCCTCCCATTCCAGATCAGGAAACAGGACAAAATCTCACCCAGCCATTCATGATCACCTTGGAGATGTGGAACAGACACTCTCCTTGTCCATCTCAACCAGATTGTCTCACTCTGAAGACACACACACACACACACACACACACACACACACACCACTTTTCTTCCTTAAAGTGAGGGAAAGAGGTGGGGCTTCATTAGCTGACACAATACACTCAAAGTAAGAGGCGATGTTGTCTTTGTCCATGGAGTTTTCTTGGCAGGGATACTGGAGTGGCTTGCCGGTTCCTGCTCCAGGTGGATCACGTTTGGTCAAAACTCTCCACTATGACCTGTCCATCTTGGGTGGCCCTGCACGGCATAGCTCATAGCTTCTCTGAGTTATTCAAGCCCCTTCGCCACGGCAAGGCAGTGATCCATGAAGGAGCCATGGTGACAGCAGTCATGAAATTAAAAGATGCCTGCTCCTTGGGAGAAAAGCAATGACAAACCTAGACAGCATCTTAAAAAGCAGAGACGTCACCTTGCCAACAAAGGTCCGTATAGTTAAAGCTATGGTTTTCCCAGTAGTGATGTATGGAAGTGAGAGCTGGACCATAAAGAAGGCTGATCACTGAAGAATTGATGCTTTTGAATCATGGTGCTGGAGGAGACTCTTGAGTGTCCCATGGACTGCAAGAAGATCAAACCTCTCCATTCTGAAGGAAATCAGCCCTCAGTGCTCACTGGAAGGACAGATCCTGAAGCTGAGGCTCCAAGACTTTGGCCACCTCATGAGAAGAGAAGACTCCCTGGAAAAGACCCTGATGTTGGGAAAGATGGAGGGCACAAGGAGAAGGGGACGACAGAGGACGAGATGGTTGGACAGTGTTCTCGAAGCTACCAGCATGAGTTTGACCAAACTGCGGGAGGCAGTGGAAGACAGGAGTGCCTGGCGTGCTCTGGTCCATGGGGTCATGAGGAGTCATATACGTCTGAACGACTAAACAACAACAAAGAGGCAATGTGGGGAGAAGCAGCAATGACCACATTTTGCAAAATGGGTGGGCAGATCCAGCAGCACTCTTCCTACCTTCTTACTTTCTCCTTGCCTAGCATGACTCTCCTCCTTGCTAATTTCCACTTCATAGCAGCTGGGTATTTTTCAATCCACAGTGGCTTACAGGTGAAAGAGATCTTTCTGTACTTCTGTGTTCTGATGCAAAAGATCTCAGTGTATGATTGCGTTGAACCATTAGGCTTCCCTTGTGCTGCCAAGTGTCTCTCACCACATGCCATTGCCTACCTATCAGACTATAAATGACACATAAAGACCAGCTTCCCACCCAGGCGTAGCTCAACTGGAACACTTGAATAAGGAAGAATCAGCAGCTCAGAGAGAGAGAGAGAAGCTGAAAAACCAGGTGAGTTATCTTCCCCCTTCTGATCTCTTTGACTCTCCATGCTGGCCTTTGAATGGCAGCTATATCTCCAAAGTGAGCAGCACACGAACAATGGGGTACCTTTGCGTCTCAAGGACCAGCTCCCCAACAAATAAAAGAGTTGATAAATCTATAAAGTGAAATGATTTGATCTTGAGGGTTTGTAACTCCTTACTTTTTTCTGTTTACCTTTACTTTATTCTATCTGGGTGAGATAATGAGTGTTTTTTCTGTTAGAAAGAAAGACAAAGCCTCGCCTCCTGACCGATGGATAGAGGAAACTCAGCCTAGCAATTGTGTGTTTTCTGTCTCCAGAAGCAGATGCAGCCTTCCTCTGACCCCAGGCTCAGCCTCCTTTGCACCTGCCTTGTTCTCATATGGCAGCTCTCCTTTGGCTTCGCAATGAAAATAAAAAAAGCAGAAAACCCCTACGGTCTCAATGGTAAGGTATCATTTCATCTCAGAGGTGGTTGATGTCTCCTTAGAGAAAGAGCAGCTTCTGGCAGCATTAGAAAACCAATTGCAGATCCATTGGCATTTTTGCCCAACCTCTCGTGTGCCATTTTGGTTAAATTATCAGATCCAGCAATTCTAGCCAGTCTTGTTTCCTAGGATAAAATAGTTTCCTAGGATAAAATAGTTGTATCCCTTTCTGAAGAGGTGAGTTTTAGCCACTGTGATCCATGTGCTGGTCTTGGTCCAGGCTAGACTACTGTAATGTGTCGTGTGTGGGTCTGGCCCTGTAGACTGTTTGGTTCAAAATGACAGGATCCTGTTCTGTTTACAGCACACAGCTTGAATAGCACTTAGATCGTACCAGTTTTAATGTCTCCCAGTGCACTTCAACGTGCTGACTCTAACCTTCAGGCCACTGAATGGGATGGACCTATGAAATCTGTGGACTTGTTTGTGACTGTATCCTCTTCCTTGCACAGACGTTCCAGATGGATACTGGTCTGTCCACCATCTTCATCTGTCAGTAGGTCTTTTCTGAGGTGGCTCCACACCTTTGGAACCTGCACCGTCAGTATAGTTGCAGTGACCAGCTACACTTTTCAGAATCATTCTGGGTTTAGTAGTATTTATTTCCTAGTGGTTTTTTTATTGTTGGTTGAAATCAGATTATCTATTGCTGTTATTCTCATTAGCTTTCCTTGGCTGGAAAATTGGCAGGTAAATAATTTAATACAATGAAAATATTATATGTCATATTGGGCACCAAGAAAGTGGAGGACCCCATGACCTGGGACGTCTTTGAGGACGTTCAATTTCCCTTTGGCTTTTATGACACCCCAAAAATATTTTATTTCCACTGTTTCATGTGCTGACGTGACCATGTTGAATGCTAATGTTCTCCCTCTCTGTTACCTCAAGGCTGCCTCCGGGGCTGGAAAAGAGAAATGGAAAGCTGCTATCATGTCTTTTCCAACCGGCTAACATGGCACGAGGCAGTGGTAAGAGGGGCCTATAGGTGCTTTGAGTGGGTCCAGAAAGAGCAAGGGCACAAAACACAAGATATGTTTGAGAGTCTCTGCAGAAGACCTGTTATGAATTTCAATCCCATGGCCATGATCTTTATCCCAGGAGGCCATCTTTTGCATCTCAAGAGCTGATGAGATGTCATTTAGGCATCTGAAGTGAGGCCTTGGGCAACCAGCTCAGTTCATCAGTTTATCGTTCTTCTCAGATTCAGATGAGGCTGAGGAAGCTCAGGACCATTGCCTGGAACCACTAGGGGGCTGGATGAGGGCCACCAGGCTGAAACTCAATCCTGGAAAGATACAGGTTATGTGGGATAGTGATTGGATAGATACGCTGTTCATAGGCTGGAAGTAGGCAGGCCTTCTTTAAGATGGCTTGAGATGGTGGGCTCATCATCCCAGAAAAGACCCGTTGGCCCCAAAGGTTGGAGTACTTACTCAGGTTTGATGAAGGCTCCAGCATGTTCTGCTTTCAAATGAGTCTCCAGGGACAGGTAGGTTCATAAGCAACATCATTTTATCAGGAACAACTTGGAGAACCCACCATACCTTAGAGACGAAGTGAGCAAGATCCCCAACACCCACTGAACACACATTTGAAGAACACGAACTTCCCCTAAGAATCCTGGGAACTGTAGGTTACTGTCCGCAGGGCTACAGTCCCCACGGTTCTTGGGTATAACCTACATGCTCTGAATGTTTACTAAAGGTGCTTGAAATGTATGTTGTGGGGGTCACTGAAGCCCGCCAGGGAAATAACAGCCCTGTCAGCACCCTGAGGGATGCTATCTGATGCACACAGCTAGTCTGCTTGCACTGCTCTGAACTCAAGCCTGCCCTGTCAAATCAACAGCAGAGATACAGCAGCAGAGCCAGCGGCCCATGGGACAAGGCCAGCTGGGGCAGGACTCTCAGGTGAGCCTCCAAGGAGTCTGCCTGTCTCCTCCCATTCAGCCACCCTACAGCTGGTGGGGAGGTGGTGGGCGGACCGTTTGGGGCAGCGCAGAGCCTGTGGACACCCAAGCCACCACGTCACTCCCAGGAGAGATGCATGGCTCAGGCGCACTACAGGCCCCGTGGTGAGTGCTGCCTGGCATTTTGTCACCCCCCTCAGAGGTGACACCTGGGGCAGCCCACACCCACCGCAGAGATGCCTCTGCTATGGGAGGGCAATTTTCTGGCATTCTCCTACTATGTCCCAATAAGCCAAGTGGATCCCAATAGATTAGGCCTTCTACCCTGTACTGTTCCTCCTTCCGGGAAGGAATATATTAACAGATCAACACAGCTACCTGCACTTTTTCATTCTTTCAAGGCAAGGCTTTTAGCTCTCCTTGGGGACAGGTTGGCTGTTGTGTTCAGCTTCTGCACAAACATAAAATGACCACTACGCCACCGGACATGCCCCAAGCATGCTGCATGCTGGATCTGGCAGCCTTAAAACTGCACATGAAATTCATTAGATGGGCATGATGGGGAGAATTTGCCTTTGAAGCACATTTGAATGAGAGCCACTCCATTTAGCATGTCCTGAAATAACACACATCGAAACAGAGGTATCATTTGAAATTTCGTTCTCCCCAAAAATACGTTGAACAAACATACAGTGAACAAATATACAGTGGTACCTTGGGTTAAGTACTTAATTCGTTCCAGAGGTCCGTTCTTAACCTGAAACTGTCCTTAACCTGAAGCAAAACTTTAGCTAATGGGGCCTCCTGCTGCTGCTGCACCACCGGAGCACGATTTCTGTTCTCATCCTGAAGCAAAGTTCTTAACCCGAGGTAATATTTCTGGGTTAGCGGAGTCTGTAACCTGAAGTGTATGTAACCTGAGGTATCGCTGTATAAGAGAAAGTGTACCAGCTTGCCCCTGTGATTGAGGGGGCCAGGATTGTGCATCATGGTGATTCCATGCAGGTAAGTTCCTAATGTCTGTCGGGATTCACAGAATGTTGTGTGAGATAGTAAGTCTGCAGGCTTGAGTTTGCTAGCTGATGCAACTGGCTGATGCAATCAGCCTGCAATACTTTCTATGGAGGTGCTGGGTCAGAAAGACTCAGCAGTAATGTGCTGTCAGTTGATCGGCTGTCATTGGTTTAAAAGGGAAACCTGTCCAGCAGTAAAGTGGTGGTGTAGAGGAGTGTGGTCAGAGAGAGAGTTAGAGGTCTTTCTATTTGTCTTAATACCTGCAGCCAGGTACTCTGACTTTATGAACTGCCCGTGTGTTATAGCCTGTAGATATTTGTATATATAAAAGGTAAAGATAAAGGGACACCTGACTGTTAGGTCCAGTCACGGCCGACTCTGGGGTTGCGGTGCTCATCTCGCTTTATTGGCTGAAAGAGCCGGTGTACAGGTTCTGGGTCATGTGGCCAGCATGACTAAGCCGCTTCTGGCGAACCAGAGCAGCGCACGGAAACGTCATTTACCTTCCCGCCGGAGCGGTACCTATTTATCTACTTGCACTTTGACGTACTTTAGAACTGCTAGGTTGGCAGGAGCAGGGACCGAGCAACGGGAACTCATCCCGTTGCGGGGATTCGAACCACGGAGCTTCTGATCAGCAAGCCCCAGGCTCTGTGGTTTAACCCACAGCGCCACCCGTGTCCATTTGTATATATAGCTCACAATAAATATACTGCACTGAAGAACCTGGAACTCTGAGCATTTCTGCTAAAGCGCCGCGGAGAATTCGCGACAATGTCATGCATGCATGCCATGCAGCATGCTGACGTGTTTTGCACACAACATGCAGTGTATGTGAGTGAGGTAAGCACATTAGGAGGCATGCACGCACAGACACCACAGAATTTTGACGGGGCCTGGCCACTTCCTTGATTTGTGGGGCTCTTGGCTTGCCACCCCCCAGTTGGCGCCACTGTATTAGAGAAAATTGTAGATAAAGTGTGTTATTGAAAATAACACCCAAAATAACACCCAAAGCTGCAGTATATCAGGGGAAATTGCAAACAATGTTTTTATACTGGTATAAAATGAGCTCAAGATTTTGGTCACAACATCCCTATGGATGTTAGATATGAAGTTCACTGCATGTTACGCTTTGAAAGAAAATTTTATGAAGATGCAATTCCACTGTTCTTGTGCCATCAAGACTATCTAAAATGTATAAAAACACCTCAAGTAAATGGTGGAGATGTGGGGAAGCGGAAGGTACAATACTACATATATGGTGGAACTGTAAGAAAACAGAGGAATTTTGGGAGGTAATCTATAATGAGCTCAAAAAGGTGTTTAAGATTTCCTTTATTTAAAAAAACATTAGCTTGGGAATATTTTGTCCAGACATACCTTAGAAAGCAAGGGAAATATTCTTGTATGCCGTGGTAGTTGCAAGAATGTTGATCGCTATGAATTGGAAAGGTGAAAAAATTCCAACTAAACTGGAGTGGCAAAGTAAATTAAATGGTAGATACAGGATGAGGTAACGATCAATCAACATAGATATAAGAAGAATTTATTGTTATCTGAGGTAACAATTACAACTATTGTCTCTTTTTTCTGGATAAATTTTTTGTTTGCTGTTTCTTTTTAATTTCAATAAAGCACTAAAAAATTCAAAAGAAAATAACACCCAAAGCTGCAGTATATGAGGTGAAATAGAATTTTACAAGCTAGTAACAAGAAGAAATTCCAATCGGAAGGAAATGATATTATTGTCCATAAGATTATCCCAAATCGGTTGATAAAAAAGAGAGAAGCTTACAGACCTCTGGCCGAGGCACTAAAGGCAAAGGCAGTGGACTATAGGTGGGAGTACCCTGAAGGCATCTCCTTTTTCTTTAAAGGGAAACGTAGAAAGTGCTTGTCGGCACTAGATGCGGATAAATTCTGGAGAAAGTATCGGAAAGAGCTCGGAGGAAAAAGGCAATTGTTGGGAGAATCAGAGGAAATTGAACAAACAGTTGAGAGTTAGGAGACAGATCTAAGAAGGGAATTTACTAAACGTAGACTGAGACCTTGAATGTGTAATTTTTTTATTTTATTTTTTTAAACCCGTTGACGTATCATAAGAAATAAAGTATGGATTATAAATTTATTACTTGGAACATAAATGGTCTAAATGAAAAATCAAAAAGGAACAAGGTGGAACATATTCTGGTTAAGCAAAAATATGATTTAATCTGTCTGCAAGAAACCGATGTAGCGGAAAAACATAAAAGAGTGTTAATAAATAAGAGATTGGGGCTTGAGTTTATTACATCAAGTAGAGAAAAAAAGAGAGGGGTGGTAATCTATGTAAAACCTCAGCTGGAGCCAAAACTGCTTTACAGTGATGAAAAAGGTCGAACAGTGATTATAGAGGTTAAGATCAATAATGAAAAAGTGATAGTTATTGGAATTTATGCACCAAATGAAAGAAAATCCGAATTCTATCAATACCTGGGAGAAAAAGTCATAGAATATTTAGGGGGGGAAATTACATTATTAGGATATTTTAATGGAGTAGTCAATCCAAACATGGACAGAACAATAAAGAAGAAAGAAAAGAGGCAGAACAAACTCCCAACTACATTTTTCCAATTAATAGAACTCCTGAATTTGTTTGACGCTTGGAGGTTTAAGAATCCAACGGAGAAAGAATTTACACATTATTCAGAGCCACACAAATCGGCGGGACGAATCAACGCGATCTGGACAACAAAGGATTTATTAAATAATATTACAAAAGCAGAAATTCATCCAAGGACAATTTCAGATCACAGCGCGGTCTGGGTTAACTTTAAAGGAAAAGAAGAAAAGGTTAAAAGGTGGCAACTTAATGAGAGTATGCTAAATGATGAAAAAACTGTACAGAAGGCCAAGCAAATCTTAGAAGAATATTTTAAGTTCAATTTAAATCAAGGAGTAGATCTAGAGACGGTTTGGGATGCGGGTAAAGCCGTCATAAGAGGCTTCTTTATCCAACAAAACGCATTCCAAAGGAAAATAAGGGAGAAGAAGAAAATGGAGATATGGGAGGAAATTAGAAAAAGGAAAGGATCCTTTTCCAAAAACCAGATGATGAACTAATTAAGCAAAGTATAAAAATTTTACAGACGCAATTCTCCATGATAATAAATGAAGAGATAGAATGGAAGATAAAATGGCTGAGACATAGAAATTTTGAGTTTGCAAATAAACCTGGCAAACTTTTAGACTGGCAATTAAAGAAGAAAAAGGAAGATAGAATTATCAATAAAATTAAAATTGAAGACAAGTGGATTCAAGAACCGAAGGAAATTAGTAAAAACTTTGCTAGTTTTTTCGGAGAACTATATAAAGAAGGCCCAGAGACTCTAGAAAAAATAATTGATTATTTGGGCAAAAATAAACTACCAATAATACCTAAGGAAAAAACTGAAATCTTGAACTCACCAATAACAGCTATGGAGGTGCAACAAGCTATACAGAGATCAAAAGTAGGAAAGACACCAGGCCCAGATGGTCTCCCAGCTAATTACTATAAAAGTTAGAACAAGCATTATTTCTTCCCATGAAAGACCTAATGAATAACATTTTGGCAAATGGAAAGCTACCGAAAACCTGGAAGGACAGCTTTATTACTCTTATCCACAAACAGGGAACAGATGCCTCAAACATGGCCAATTATAGACCCATTGCACTGCTAAACAACGATTACAAGATATTCGCAGACATTCTTGCAAATAGATTAAAAATGGTGCTGAAAGAGATAATTCATAAAGATCAAACTGGATTTCTTCCCGGACGATTTATGCAATCCAATATTAGATGTGTGATTAATGTATTAGAATATTTGGATATTAAAATTGATAAACCAGCAGCTATTATGTTGGTGGATGCTGAAAAAGCTTTTGATAATGTGTCCTGGAAGTTTATGAAAAAATTAATGGAAGAAATCGGACTGGGAGAAAATATTTGTAAAGGAATAAATGCCATCTATTCGGAACAATATGCAAAATTGATCATCAATGGAAGAATTACTGAGGAGTGCAAAATAAACAAGGGAACCAGACAGGGCTGCCCACTGTCACCACTGATATTTATCTTGGTGATGGAAGTCTTGAACAATCAGATAAGAAGGGATCAGCTTGTTAAAGGCATCACTCTGGGAAACAAAACATATAAAATTAAAGCTTTCGCGGACGATCTACTTGTTATGACTGAAAACCCTAAAGAAAGTCTGAAAAGAGTGCTGGAATTGATTAAAGAATTTGGAGAAGTGGCAGGCTTCAAGCTGAATATAACAAAAACAAAAATGCTTGTTAAAAATGTAACCACAGAAGAAAAGGATGATTTAGAAAAAATATTGGGCCTGAAAATCTCCTCAAAAGCGAAATACCTGGGTATTTGGATCACCCCCAAGAACATAAACTTATTTCAGGATAATTACACCAAAACTTGGTTAGAGATTAGAAAAAACTTTGTAACCTGGAGTAAACTAAAATTAACATTTCTGGGTAGGATTTCCATTATAAAGATGAATGTACTTCCAAAATTAATCTTTTTATTTCAAATGATTCCAATACTGGGCGAAGCAGGTTGTCTCAAGATATGGCAAAGAGAAATTTCCAAATTCCTGTGGGAAGGGAAGAAACCTAGGATTAAACACCTGATCTTAATAGACATAAAAGAGAGAGGAGGCTTTTCCCTACCCGACCTAAAACTTTACTACGAGGCAGCCTGTTTCACCTGGCTAAAAGATTGGTGCACGTTGCAGGTTTCGGACCTCCTCGACCTGGAAGGTTTTGACAACCGTTGGGGATGGCATGCCTACCTAATATATGTAAAAGCGAAAATTCGTAAAAACTTTACCAACCATATAATAAGAAAGTCACTCTTTGCTGTATGGGAAAAATATAAAGACCTGATGGAGCCTAAAGTCCCGTGGTGGACTTCTCCAGTAGAAGCCATAGCAGTAAAACGGAAAAATACTCAGGAAAGCTGGCCAACATATAAAATACTTCTAAAAATGAAGATAGCCAAATAAAATTAAAAACTTTGAGGAAATAAGAGACCACATTTCAGACTGGTTCCAATACCATCAGTTATTTGAAAAATTTAAATCTGACAAACAAAAGGGGTTCTCAACAGAAATTTCCCGATTCGAATCTGATCTTCTAAATTCTAAAAGAAAAACTCTTTCCAAAACTTACCGACTCCTCCTTGACTGGACAGTCAAGGAGGAGGAGGTAACAGTGGCAATGGTGAGGTGGTCCCAGGATTTTGGCCACTCAATAACCATGGCCCAATGGGAAAATTTATGGAAGATCAATTGGAAATTCACAAATTGTTACACGATTAGAGAGAACTTTCAAAAATGCAACATCGATGGTATCTAACACCATGGAAGCTTTCAAAAATGTATAAAAATGTATCAAGTAATTGTTGGAGATGCGGAGACTTAGGAACATTCTACCATATGTGGTGGATATGTAGGAAAATACAGGTATTCTGGGAGAGTATACATGCAGAACTGCAAAAATGCTAAAGATCTCTTTCAATAAAAAACCAGAGGCCTACCTCCTGGGAATAACAGATTTGGATATTCCACAAAGGAGGAAGGGTATCTTTTATATGCGACGGCGGCAGCAAGAGTTTTGATCGCAGCAAAATGGAAGAGTAATGAAATCCCCTCTATTCAAGATTGGATCCAAAAGCTGACAGAATATGCTGAATTAGATGGTTTATCAGAAAAATAAAAATAAATCAAAACAGGAATTTGTTTCTAAATGGGAGGTTTTTAAAGAATATCTGAAAAATAAATATAGTAGTTTAAATTCTGTTGCAGCATTCGAGGAACTTCAGTAATAGTTGCAAGGTAGATATAAGAAATTAGATTTAATGAGAATAAGTTTAATTATGAAAAAAGTGTATTGGCAATAAGTAATATGAATTTGAAGTATGGAATAGACGGGAGGTTGGGTCTTTAGTGTTAAGACCAATAGATGTTTTATTGTTTGCTAAGAATATTAAGTGTCTATGGTTATTTTTGTAATTTGTGTGTAATTCAGTATTTGTGTTTTTTGTTTGTTTGTTTTTCTTGTTGTATAAATCAAATTTTTTTAAAAAAAAACACACCCAAAGCTGCAGTATATGAGGTGAAATTGCAAACAAATGTTTTTATACTGGGGCAATGTCCACTCAAATGCTGCTCAGTTCTCCCGAGAACTTTTCTTTTTATAAACAAAATCACAAACTGAAAGTGGAGAATCTAATTAAAAATCAGACAATGAAGAAACTGAGCGAGACACAAATGGGGATATTGCACCGTGCTGGATCTCAGTTGGCCCAACAAAGCTTGCATTTCAAGCAGTCACATGTCCGGAGCTGGATTTCCACATATTGCGACTGCAATAGTCAACCTTGAGCCTGACTTTGAGGAGAATTCAAAGGTAAGTGTAGTTGCATAAAACTCATTCTTCTTTCCACCTCTCAGAAAACCTGCCGTGTATTTGACATGACTTCTGAGCTTGTCTCTATCCGTGAAGCAACAGAACTGGATTTATTGGCTGAAGACCTTAAAAGATCGATGGAACTAAGTGTCTGGATTGGATTGTCAGACGAGGATAGGGTGAGTCTCCAAGGCCTTCTCCTCCTCCTCCGTCAGCACTGTTGGAGCTGATAGTAAATGAATTCAGTGGGAAGATTCTTCTATGGGGCTTCCCCAGCTGATGTCCTCAAAATGTTATGAGAAGGTTCTCTGGACTCAACATACTTGAGTCCAAAACAGTCATGGTGGGCTCCTGGCTGATGTCCTGCAACGCAAATAATGTTGTCTGTGGTTCGTTTGGGTAGAATCATCAAGGAGCGTGTTGTGTCCTTGGAAGTGTCTCCTTGTGATCTGTTCTTTCTAAAGAGCATACCAACTCTCTTGTCCCTGCAGGATGGAAATTGGAAGTGGACAGATGGCTCTGCTGCTGAGTTCTTACCATGGGCTGAGGGAGAACCTAATAAACATGGCATCAACTCATGTGCCTCCTTGTTTCGTGGGGACGGTAAGGAGTCCGCTCTCAGGGCTGGTGCTTTGGAGCTGCCATGCTCAATGCAATGTGGGTTGCAGTATTTTCTAAATTTCTACTGAGGGTATGAGATGTGCTCCTTGCCTGCTCTTTGGCCAAGAGGTCGTGAGTGAAGGACTTCCTTTAGAGCCCTTTCATCTGTTAGATAGAAATATTTCCAAGCTGCCTTACAAGAATCTAGCCTTCCCAAGCATAGCTGTCAACTTTTCCCTTTTCTTATTAGGAATAAGGGAATTTCCCTTTAAAAAGGGGAAACATTGACAGCTATGTTCCCAAGGTGGCTCAGACTGACAGGGAACACCATCCTAATCCACTTTTGCTTTCTACTCAAGGTCCTCCCCATAGATGCCACCACCCACCTTGGCCAATTTAGTATTGGATGAGTGGCTTGGTTTCTTTTGAATGGGAGCAGAAGAAAGGACATTCCCTGTGGCCACCGTGGGGTGGGGGTACATGTGTTTTGAGGGTGTTGGGGTCCCAACAGCAGCAGCATGCCAAGGAGCTCCTGGTGTCTGCTGTTGACTCTGCCTAAGACCATTTCTCTGTGTTTTTCCAGGTTTTGAGAAATTTAGAGCAGAGAGCTGCAAGAATGTAGAGTCCTATGTTTGCAAACATAGGCCAAATTACGGATCCTCCTGACCTGTTCGCTCTCCCTGGCTGACCCCATCAAATCTCAGAAGCTTCCATCCAACGCTGTCTTTCTACCTGCGCCTTTTTCAGAATATGAAAACGTCAGAGGTCCCCTGCTGCCCCATTCCAGTGGCCCATCTATTTCAGCGTCCTGCTCTCACAGTAGCCTGCAATAGATCTAATTGAATCATGCAAGTAGCAAGAGCCCCCTTCTCTGGGAGCTCAGGATGAAGAACCTTTGGGGTCCACCAACGTCAGGAGGACAAAAGTCTCCCCTTCCCTAATAGATGCCTCAGCCCATTGTGAATTTAAACACATGCCCCTGAAACAGCAGTCAATTACTTCCCTTTATTACTTCCTGCCCCTCCCAACTCACATGTCTCCAATATCCTGATTCAGATTGCATTTAGGACATTCAACTGGTCTCTTTTACTGTGCAAAGAACCAATGCACTTTTATGGCAGTGTCTTCTAGAGCCCTGGGAAGGGTGTAGACTTGAAAGTCGATTAATGAAAGCAACCCCTCTGCAGAGGAGAAATGACTGTTTGCAGGTGCAGCTTGAATTCAAACCACACCTGCAAAAAGACAAAGTGGGACTTGCAGCCAGCCCCCTTGCAGCTGTGCTCTCAGCGCAAACCAGCTGCTTGTTGCTGAAAGAGTGTCTCTAAAGGGGCTTGGGTCCAGCACTAATTAGATGAGAGCAAGGCAGTAGGACGTTCCCTATGGGGCTTGCTCTTAGCACCGATCAGTGGTGAAGAGGAGGGCCTCTGAGGTGCACTTTCCAATCTGTAAGAGAAATCTATGGGGGGGAATCTGTAATGCAACCAACTCAAGGAGTGCTTGCTATCCCCAAGTCCTGCTTGCAAAGGATTAATTAGGAGCTCACTTTCTGCTCCCACTTGTCCCATAGGATTACCTGCTCCACACCTAACACTGGATCTACTGGACAATGAGCAGAAGAAGGAACCCTCCTCTGCAGATCCCTAACCTTTAAGTCATTCTGATAAGGAAACATAACTGTCTATAATGTGTGGATGCCTCTACAAATATGCTGCAGAAATAAATACTTCTATATTGCATCAGCCTCAGTGGCTTCTCTGTCATTTGTGCAAACACTTCAAAGTGCTGGTTAGGGCCTTCAACATGTTGGCCTTGAGGGCAATCTACTCTTCTATAAGCTATGAAACTCATGGAAGCATCTCAGGTAGTCTCCCCTTCAAGTATCCCCAAAATCAGAACTGTATTTGGGAAGCCAGTGGTGCCTGTCGAAGCTTCTGTTGCGACCGAGCTGAAATGGCTCTGCTCCACATCATATCTTTGGACTCCATCAACCTCTGCTCCGATGGTGATTAACAACCTAAGCCTTTAATGAGGCTTCAGGCACGCTCCCATTACGCAGATTATCCAAACAGCAGCAGAAGGAGAGATAAAAATATGTGCTACATCACTATGTTTATTTCTACCTACTCAGGACAGAAAGAATATGCATCTGCTCTCTGTGAGAGTCAGTGAACAACTGAAACAAAGAAACAGGAAACCAGTAACATCAACATCCGTCTCCCGTGACTTCCAACAGTCTGGAATGTCAGCAGTCTTGTGACTCCAAAAACTGCACAGGGGCACAGGAACAGAAATCTAACAGTGCCATGGGAATAGGCACTGCTCTTTAGATATTGGAAGATAGCTATCATCTCTCAGTCTCCTCTTTTCCATGCTAAACATACCCAGCTCCTTCAACCATTCCTCATAAAGCTTGGTTTGCTGTCAGGTCGTTGTTTAATTCATTGACATTTGATGGGAGGGCGTTCCACAGGGCAGGCGAGGATAAGAGAGAGAGAGAGAGAGAGAGAGAGAGAGAGAGAACTGGCTGCAGACATGCAGAGAAGTGAATTTAAGAATTGAAAAATGAGAATTGGAGAAGAACCAAAATGGAGAGGCCCCCCCATCCCTACCTGAGGGGGCTACTGTACATTTGGGCCTCCCAGCTCCATGCTCACATTCATGTTCTCTGCATTTTCATAATCTTCCTTGAGCACAATTGTGCTGGGCCCATGGGTAACCCGTGAAATGTGGTCCAGGACTGGTCCAGAATTCGAAGGTTCTGCTAGGAGTCAGTCCAACAGAGCCAAGGCAGGACATGAGGCAGGAAACCAGGCAAGGACAGGTACAGGATTTCAGGCAGGATCTGGCATACAGCAATGTTGCTCCCACAACCTGGGGCAGGGTCCGACAGCCTTTTATCTCTGTCGGGGTAACAGCCGGTCCTGATCCCCCGACGACTCACCTCCTTGTTTCACCTGAAGGCAAGCGCTCCTCCTGCGAGTACTCAGGTCTCTCCTTCTCTCAGACCTCAGTCTCTGCAGCTCGGGAGACGTCGGTGGGTGACTAGACCCAGAGGCCGCCTCAGCCTCCCCTGACCATACCAGTAGTGGAGCAGCTGTACGTGATGGCCCAGCTAAAGGCAACAAGGTAATCCCTGCATCTGGAGCCAGGGCAGGCTCAGGCTCCTGACTCGGCCCAGCTGGTGTTTGTTGCAGGGGAACCTGTGCAGACTGGGACTCTTCACAATCAGGCCCCAGACTTGGTTCAGATGATGCCTGAGGCAAAGGATCCGGTGCAGACTGAGTCTCCTCTGGCTCTGGCTCTGAGTCTGAGCCCAAGTCCCAGGCCATCACAACACCTTTCATTCCCTAGTCATCCAAGGATCCAACCGCCTCTCTAGCTAGTCCCCTGCTTCTCCTCATGTATTTAAAGGTTGCTTTTGTTTGTGACCTTTCTGTTTTTAGGAAAATGCTCCTCAGCTTCTATCAGCATCCTTCCTTGCCTGCTTGCATTCCCTTTGCCAGAATCTATGTTCCTTTCTTGTTCTCTTAATTTGGACAAGACTTCGCCTTAAAAGAATTTAGGATGAGCCCAGGGCCGTAGCTAGGGGGCAGCGAGGTGGGGCCCCCACAGGGGCGCAGGCAAGGGGGGGCACAAAATCGGCTTAAAAGATGTCTATAAATATGTCTATAAATAAAAATATCAATTATTGCCTCATAAAAAAAGATTTTTAATAGAGAGTGAATTGAATGTGGGGTTGGAGGAGAGGCAGAAAGAAGAGCTAATTTGTTCATTGTTGGGGGCACACTCTGGACGGTTCTACCTGTTAGGATATAGTTCCATTCCACCTTTAGAACAGGCATGTGGAGTTGTTGTAAGTCACATGTCTGTTTACTTCCAGTACAGTCTGCTGGGAACTTCCGTTGTATATAGCTTTTGCCTATGCTTTTTGCTTGGGCACGAAGGGAAGCAGACATGTGTTTCCTTTGTCCTGCTGCTGAATAAAATGCTGTAAATATGCTTACATCTGCCTCTGTCCGCCTCTTCCATTGTGAAGATTTATTCACTCTGCTGATAAGAGCGTGCTCAGTCTTTAAAGGTTTCTGAGGCTCGAGTCGCTGATTGACGCTGTTCCAAGAACCGGAGTTCGCTCGACTGCTGGCCGGTGGCTGGAGCCAGCTGAGGGCCTGCCAGATGCCCCCGTCTCGCCAGATGCATCCCAACACCGCCAGAGGCACAAGATCACCTAGCTATGGCTCTGGATGAGCCTGCTGGATTAGGCCAATGAACCACCTAGTTTAACATCCTGTTCTGCCACTGGCTGACCACATGTCCTAATGGGAAACCTGCAAGCTGGACAGACAATCATAGAATTGTAGAGTTGGAAGGAACCCCAAGAGTCATCAAGTCCACACCCCCCCCCCTACAATGCAGGAATCTCAGCCAAAGCATCCAGGACAGATGGCCACCCAACCTCTGCTTAAAAACCTCCAAGGAAGGAGAACCCACCACCACCCAAGGGAGACTGTTCCCCTGTCTAACAGCTCTTACTTTCAGAAAGTTCTTCCTGATGTTTAATTGGAATCTCCAATGAGAGCAATCTTTTTTTTTAATTCATTTTTATTAAACTTTAACAATCCAATCAAATCACATTCAATATTCCAAATTATAAATATACATATCAAAGTATCCGAATATTCTGCCAAATTATAAAGTTTTAATAGGACTTCCCATGCTTCAAGTTCGGAGGGTTCTGATCATCTCATACTTCTAGTGCTTTTCATAGTCACTTCTGATGGTTCCTCTAATTCTTTCTGTTGTTAACCTTCCTTCTTTCACAGCCTCTGAGTTGTTCCCACAAGCGAGTTAAAACAAGCAATGGTGTGTTTCTGTGTGGATTTTATGTCTATGATTCCCCTCTATAAGTTCACAGCATCTCCTCACACGCTGGTGTTCCTGCCGAATCAATCCAAAGGTCTTTTTGCTGCTGGCAGCCGCCATCTTCACTCAGTTCCAGTGAGAGCAATCTTAGTTGACAGGGCCCCCAGATTGGACTGCCTGGGAAAGTAGAGAGCATATTTTCTCGGGAAAGTGATCACCTACACATCAGTCAGTGTGTGTCTCCTTCAGACGCACTGGAATGGCGGGAGGGGCAGTGCCCAGTTTCCTCCTCCTTAAATTGGGCAGCATTTGGGAAAGGTCATAGTGTCAGTTTGCATTTCTTAGTGCAGAAAGTATTGATCTGATGTGTAGAGATCTTTCCTATTCTCATTAATTCAAAAGGGTTCTGGAAGCTTCTCTGTGTGAAAGAAACAAGCAGAAGGTTTGTGATGTTTGGGTTATTCCTTCTGAGAAGCTGACTACAGCTGGTTTAAAGTGGTTCTGTTATCTCTTCTGTCAAGGTCATGCTAATAATAATAATAATAATAATAATAATAATAATAATAATAATAATATGATAATAAGACCAGAAGGTGCCTGGGTTTCACGTTCTCTTTCTATCTCTTTTCCTTCTGGTGTGGTCTGTACACAGTATGCTTAGTGTTAAGGTTTAGTCTTACTATAAGCACAAAAATCATACATCCACTGTTTCATTCAGAATATTTTTTTCTTGCTTACCTCCTCTAAAAACTGGGTGCGTCTTACAGTCAGGTGTGACTTATGGAGCGAAAAATACAGTATATGCCAGAGTTCTGCTCTGGATCATACTGAGTAGAATTTCAATGACACATAGCTCAGCGGCCGAGAATCTGCCCTGCATTCAGAAGCTCGCAGGTTCAGTCCCCACAATCTCCAGCTGGGACTGGGAGAGAATATTGTGTGGAATCCTGGAGAGCCCCTGACAGTCGGCATAGAAAGGACTGAGCTAGATAGACCAATGGGTCTGGCTCAGTGCCTGGCAGCTTTCTATGGTACCTCCTACTTGCAGGACACGGGTGGCGCTATGGGTTAAACCACAGAGCCTAGGACTTGCCGATCAGAAGGTCGGTGGTTCGATTCCCCGCGACGGGGTGAGCTCCTGCCAACCTAGCAGTTCAAAAGCATGTCAAAGTGCAAGTAGATAAATAGGTACCACTCCAGGGGGAAAGTAAAGGGCGTTTCCGTGTGCTGCTCTGGTTCGCCAGAAGTGGCTTAGTCATGCTGGCCACATGACCCGGAAGCTGTACACCGGCTCCCTCGGCCAGTGAATCAAGATGAGCGCCGCAACCCCAGAGTCGGTCACAACTGGACCTAATGGTCAGGGGTCCCTTTACCTTTACCTTTACTTGCAGGTGTCCATTTGCAGGCCAGTCCTTTTTCAGGGAAGTGTCATCAGCATGAGGTCACAATGCGACCAAATCACCTCTCCTGGCAAGCAGGCAGGCACAGGCCAGAGTGGACGGGAACAGTCTCTAAACTGAGGTGGACAACTCTAAGAGCACACAACCATCTTCTTTGCTGTGACTGAGGTGGGATTCTTTTTTAAAAAGATGTTCCCCCCCTCCTTTTGGAAAAGAAATATTCGAATACAAGCAAGAAAAGGGAAGCAAAATATTATGTACCAAAATTACAGGGTGGTGGGTAGAGAAGAGAAGGCTGAATATTTTAAACCAGTAATGCAGCCAAAGGGCTTGTAAAGGCAAGCAAATTGCCCATGTGAATCTCTTCTGAATAACTGGATTTGGAATAAATGTGCAATTAGTTGTTATTGCTTTGGCTCCGACTTGCACAGGCCTGTGGCTGGCTGGCCCCTGCGAGAACAGGATTCTGGGCTAGGTGGGACATTGGCCTGACCCAAAAGGCTCTTCTGATGTTCCTCTGTTCTGCACAGAGCAAAACCAAAGTGGAATCCCAGCACTCTGTGGTCCTCTGGCCCATTGGTGGTGTGTGACTCTGGACCACAGCCTAACCTAAAGATGATGTGCAATGATAGCACTACCCACTGGCAAAACCTATTGGTGTTTCGCAACTTTCTGACTAGTTGCAGGACCTTAGCCAGACCTAGCAGAGTAAACGCAGAATCCACGGAAGCAATTGGCGACTTGGCTGCAGACAGGATAGACGAAGCAGGAACCAGGAACTTGTAGTTACGTGTTTATTATATACAGTGGACTATTCACAGGAACAGAACACGGATCTTTAGCTAGCTCTCTCATACACGACTCACAACTCCTACCCTGACACACAGAACTCTGAACTACTGAACCAACACATTCCAGTTAGTGGACCATTAATTATCACTCCCTTGAGAGAACCTGACCAATCAGGAGGCTGTCTCCATGTCTCTGTTATCACCAGGCAGACTTACTCCTTCAGACTGCCTTCTGGCTGTCTGCCAAACCTTAATTGACTCTGTGTGAGTAGCTGCACGTATTCAGATTCCCAACATACCACCGTTCATTTATATGGTACAAATCAAGAAATCCCAAAGACATGTTTCTACTGAAGATGGGTCCTACCATCTGTTTCAGCAACCATTGTGAGTCAAGGTTGTTTCATGAGAGTGTGGCCTGGATTAGAAACTAGGTTGGAAGCAAAATCCAGCTCACCTCCTTTTCCCCATCTCCCTACCCCAGGATTTACCTTACAGGATGTGATTAATAACTACAACACTCTTTGTTTATTTTCTCCCAGAAAGCTTTTTCAGTTCTGGATCAGCATAATTCATGACAAGTTGATTTGGGTCCATTCGTCCTGCTCTGCAGCAACTGTAGTTGCCTCAGAATGATATGCATTTGACTTAAATTGATCAGATCCAGTTCAGGATTTGCATGCATTAGCTTCACAGCCCTGATAATCTCCTTTCTCCTCCTGATCTCCTTTCAGGGCAAGAAGAAGAATAGTACAAAGATTTCAACATGTCTGCAGATGTGTGGGTGGGGTCCTGGCGCCCTCACCGGCCCAGAGGGCCAATCGCTGCCCTCTACAGCAGCCCCGGACCCAAATATGCTCTCCCAACAAATGTAGGTAAGTGAAAATCAAGGAGTCCAGATACTGGCCCTAGCCTGTTTCTGTAAGAGGTGATATAGTCCAGCATCAAAATCCTAGAATGGGAGAAGTCTGGGTTGCTGCTTTTGCAGATATTAATATTGTGCAGCTTGAAGCAACTGGATGCATAAAAAACAACTCCTTTGGGGGTAAAACATTGATTCAAAGCTTTACTTGCAGAACTTTCTTCCAAACAGATCAAAAAGCAGTAAATGATACATCCAAACAGTTCCTTAATATCAAGAGCATGTCCAGCACAAGCTCAGCATTTTATAAGAAATAACTTTACTTCTTCCAGAAATCAAAACTGTGCCTCTCTCCCATTCTAGGCTGCATTCACCTGCTTAAGGCTATGCATCTCCTGGAGAGCTTCATTATCACATCTTACTCCCACTTTTGCTGGGAACAAAAGACCAAAGACCAACTCCCCAAGATGCTGATTTGCAATTGAATACTTTAATCACCTGATCTAAGGTTAAACACTCACGTGTTAGTTGGCAGAGAACAAATACAGTTAGTTATCAGCCCATCTAGGTGCAAAGAGAGCTCTTCTTGCTCTTCTTTTGTTCCAATGGAATCTTCCAGTTAAACCCTTTCAGCAAAACACACAGGTACTCTCCATTTCAGTGTGAATTCAACAAATATACTTAACAGTTGCTTCTTTCCCCAGCATCGAATCAACTTGTAGAACTCCTCACTACTGGATGTTGTGATGAGCAGGGGTGTAGAAGGCTGAACAAAGATGTAGAGAGTGGAAAGGTCTACTACTTGCAAAAATAAAAGATTGTCCCTGCTCTGAGGCAGTATAGCTCCTCCATCTCATGGAGGAAAAAAAGGGGTGGGTTGGAAGTTACCACTTTGCCCTTGGTTGCTGTTAATGGACAAGATGGATTCCATCCATCTCAAGTTCTCCTCTTCCCTCTCTGTGCTCGCTCTTCCTTTCAGGCTACCCGCTACACGACCCTTCTCGCTACCGGGCTCCCGCATACAGCTTTGGGATCCGCCGGCCCCAAGAGCTAGTGGGTTGCTCCCCTGGGCCAGGCTACCTCATCCCAACCAACATGACTATGAGGGGCAAGGACGGAATCCCTGCATTCTCCATCTACGGACGCCCCAGGGATGTGATGTCTTTTATGACTCCAGGCCCAGGTCAGTCTTGAAATCTGTTATACAACAAACCAACAGCACCAAAACTGGCTTATGAATATAAAGGACCATTTTACTAGAATAAGCTCCCTCAGCCAGTAAATGCTGGCTCCCTTGGCCAGTAAAGTGAGATGAGCGCTGCAACCCCAGAGTCGTTCGCAACTGGACTTAACTGTCAGGCATCCTTTACCTTTTTAAATGTGTTGTGGGGGGAAGTTGTTGCTTTGTTCATTGTTATGTTATGCGTGTTTCTGTTTTTGAACTGTAAACTGCTCTTGCAATCCTAGGATGAAGAGCGGTGTTTAAATTTAATAAAAAATAGTAACAGAAATGCAGGGCAGTGTTGTGAATTCAGCCTTCAGCTGTGTGCTTTGCTTTTTGCAGGTCGGTATTCTCCAGAGAAAGCAAAGAATTTGGCCTACCCTTCTGCCCCCAACTACTCTCTCGCTTCCCGGACGAAGAACTTCGATTACGACCAGTCACCAGGTGAGAGAGCAGCAACCGCAGAGAAGCTCCCTCCATCTGGCTGCTGACCTCCTGTTATACTAATATAGGGTGCATGTGCATCAATGCAGATCTATAAATGCATATTCCCTAAGCTTAAAAGAACAAGATCTATTGCAAAACAGCCCCATCCAACAAGATCTCTTTGCAAAGGCAATCTGCAAAAGAGCTCAGCTGAGCTGAAACTTACAATGTCTCCACTTATCTGTCAGTTGCTTGCAGGTACTGTCAATCAATCCCTTTTTCTCAATGAAAGGGCCAATTTATCAATGAAACAATACTTTACTCGATTAAAGCAAGCAAATATACAGATGTATAGCCAGTCGACCTCAGGAAATTCTTCCTGAGTCTCCCCTCTTTGAAACTGGTTTAACAAGCATCAATAACTATCCAAGCATACCAGTCTAAAAGGGCAGATCGCTGTGTACGAATGAAACCTGCCTTTGTCAACGGATTCTGGAGCCAGGTTGTTCAACATTTCTAAAGGATGTCTGGGGCAGCCCAGGAAAAGCAGGTCAAGCACCTCGAAGGACAGACTTGCAAATATTAGAGAAAAACATATATTCTGTACCATGTCCTGATATACGTGTACAACCCATTATTGTGACTATTGTGTTTTCTGGGTGGTTTTTAGACATTGTCCAAGAATTTAAAAATTGTGGCATACTTTTGTTTGGACGTCTTACCCTTCCTCTTGTTTGTGGGTGCCAGGGCCTCTGTTGCAACAGATCAATAAAGCTCAAAGGCTTAGTTGCCACCTTGCTTTTTATATACTTGGTTGCCATCTCAGATTTCTTCTGACCAACAAGAGGACCTTGAGGGGAATCACAGATCCCTTGAGCTAAGGGGAAGAATTCAGAAGTCTCCAAGGTTTTTCTTTCCTAATAAAACTTCCCCTTGGGTGGTTTTTGATTCAAATCAATTACCTCATTTGGATTTCAGTCACATGTGGATCCTGTCTGGGTGCAGGATCTCTTTACTTAGCCAACTAAGAATATCACAAAATACGTATCTGAAGAAGTGTGCATGCACACGAAAGCTTATACCAAGAACAAACTTAGTTGGTCTCTAAGGTGCTACTGGACAATATATATATATATGCGCATATATATATATATATAGTGGTACCTCCATTCCGGAGCCCTGTTCACAACCTGAAAGGAATGCAACCCGCACCTGCGCACGTGCAGGTTGCGATTCTCCGCTTCTGCGCATGTGCATGACATCATTTTGCGTGTCTGCACATGCGCGAGTGGCGAAACCCGGAAGTAACCCTTTCCGGTACTTCCGGGTCGCCGCAGGACGCAACCTGAAAAAACGTATCTTGAAGCAAACGTAACAAGAGGTATGACTGTATATATATTTCGACAAAATACTGTGCAAGCATTCAAGTTCTCTGGAACTCTTCCAGAGACGAGATAAACAGAGCAATTTGCAGGGGGTAGTGGAATAGGAAAGTTCCCCAGATGCCGTAACGCACTGAATCCCTTCTCTCCCATTTTCCTCCTCTAGGGCCTGCAGCCTACGGCCTCCCTCCCATGCTTGGGCCCAAGGTGATTGGCAAGAGCACCGCCCCCAATTACTCCATTTTTGGACGCAGCATGATTGGGAGTTTCTATGAGGACCTCAGCAAGGTGAGCAGCCGAACAGCCAGGAGTGAGAGATTTAGGAGACCCTGAAACGATTTGATGAAAGCAAAATCAAGAAAACGGGGGGAATTCTTTAAATATGTGCTGAGGAGTCATCTTCTGCTTCTTCGGTGACCGAGGGGCTCAAGTGTGAAGTTTTCTTGGGGCTGGTGTGTGAGGAATATGCAGGACAAAGTGGGGGGCTATGCTTTGCATTCAATGTTCTTTCTTTTTTTTGCATGTAAAATTTTTAACTGAATCTTTCATAATGCAATAAGATATAGAAAACTAATCTAAAAAAACAGCTACACAAAAAACACAAGCAGAACAAGTAGAATATGGATATAGAATAGATATTCTATAAGTAGAATATTCTATAGAATATTTTATAAGTAGAATAGAATATTCCGAACGGGATCTGTTCTGGAGGCCGTTCGCATCCTAAAAAGGAACGTAAGATTCGACTGGGTGTCTGCGTGTGTGCGGGTCGCGTTTCGCCGCTTCCGCGCATGCGTGTGACGTCATTTTGAGCATCTGCGCATGCGCAAGCAGTGAAACCCGGAGGTAATGCAGTCCGTTACTTCCGGGTCGCTGCAGAGCGCAACCTGAAAATGCTCAACCTGAAGCGTATTCATCCCAAGGTATGACTGTAGAATAGAGAATAGAATAGAATAGAATAGAATAGAATAGAATAGAATAGAATCTTCTTCTCCTTCTTTGGCGATCACTCGTAGCCAAGTAAGATTGTCTTCCATAAACACGGTTTTAACAATGAGTCCATAAGTGACTGTGGAGGCCAATTCTGGATCCACACGTCCTTCCACAGTGGGGACACAGGTTTCTGGGTGGGAGTTGATCACGGTGTCGATTTGCCAAGCATGCCTTATACAATCCAGTGTGGAGACTCCAAGACTGTTGGATAGTGCCTTGTGGTCAGTGTGGTGTAGTGGACTCATAATCTGATGAACCAGGTTCACTTCCCCGCTCCTCCACATGCAGCTGCTGGGTGACCTTGGGCCAGTCACACTTCTCTGAAGTCTCTCAGCCCCACTCACCTCACAGAGTGTTTGTTGTGGGTGAGGAAGGGATAGGAAGGGAAAGGAGATTCATAGCCGCTTTGAGACTCCTTAGGGTAGTGATAAAGCGGGATATCAAATCCAAACTCCTCCTCCTCCTCCTCCTCCTCCTCTTCTTCTTCTTCTTCTTCTTCTTCTTCTTCTTCTTCTTCTTCTTCTACACCTCCTTCTGGCAACTCCTGCAGCCAAGCTGGGGCCAAGCGTCTTCGGACCACATTAGCGAGGCTGAGAGGTCTTGTCGCCTGGGCAGCCCAGGACCTCCAGACAGCCGGCTCAGGCTTGTGCCCCAGAGCGGTCCCTTTGGGGCTGCTACTGGAGCAGCTTGGCTTCACCCTCAAAAGTGCACTCCATTGTCTCTCGAGACAGACGGATGCCAACCATAATGAGAAGGGAAATGGGGTTCTTCTCAATGACTTTCACATGCCCATAATCAGAGGACATTGAAGCACCCTAGAAGGGGCTGGAGAGGTCCAGGGTGGGTGGCTGAGACTGATCTTGGGCATGCCTGGCCTAAAAGGTAAAGGGACCCCTGACCATTAGCTCCAGTCGCAGGCGACTCTGGGGTTGCGGTGCTCATCTCGCTTTACTGGCCGAGGGCGCCGGCGTACAGCTTCCAGGTCATGTGGCCAGCAGGACTAAGCCGCTTCTGGCGAATCAGAGCAGCGCATGGAAATGCCGTTTACCTTCCCGCCAGGGTGGTACCTATTTATCTACTTGAACTTTGATGTGCTTTCGAACTGCTAGGTTGGCAGGAGCAGGGACCGAACAATGGGAACTCACCCCGTCGCAGGGATTCGAACCGCTGACCTTCTGATCAGCAAGTCCTAGGTCCTGTGGTTTAACCCACAGCGCCACCCATGTGACCCTTTTTCTCCCCTTGCTCAACAGACGCCAGGGCCCTGCAACTACCGCCTGGTGGATCCCAGTGTCTACAAGAACCGCCCGCCCCACTTCAGCATGCTGGCCCGCAACATGCCCCCAGGAGACAACACTCTGAAGCCGGGTCCAGGAGCCTACAGCCCCGAGAAGGTGAGGGCAGGTGGCAGCAGAAGGCTTGGTATTGTTCTGGGGCGAGGGGTGCAGTTCTCCTGCAGCAAAGATATGGGTCTGGTGGGAGAGGCGGATAGCTCTTGCCCCAACATTCAAATGTGAATGGGCAAGGTGATCTTCATTAGCATCACCTCCAGACTTGATTATTGTAACTCACTCTACGTGGGGCTGCCCTTGAGACTGACCCAAAAACTCCAGCAGGTGCAGAAGGCTGCGGCGAGACTCCTTACGGGGTCCTCGCTGTGGGATCACATTCACCTGCTGCTATACCAGCTGCACTGGCTCCCGGTGGAGTACAGGGTCAGGTTTAAGGTGCTGGTTTTGACCTTTAAAGCCCTATACAGCCTAGGACCCTCGTACCTACGGGACCGCCTCTCTTGGTATGTCCCACGGAGGACCTTACAGTCTTCAAGCAAAAACATCTTGGAGGTCCTGGGCAACAGGGAGGTTAGGCTGGCCTCAACCAGAGGTCAGCCGTGGCCCTGATCTGGTGGAACGCTCTGTCACAAGAGACTAGGGCCCTGTGGGACTTGACATCTTTCCGCAGGGCCTGCAAGACTGAGCTGTTCCGCCAGGCCTTTGGCCAAGGCACAGTCTGACCCCCTCCTTTGGTAATCCTCATAGAACTCTAGCCCAATGGTTGCCATTAATTTGATTTTGAATTGATTTTCGAATGAATTGATTTTAGAATGTATTTCAATTAATTGATTGAGATTTTATGTAAACATGTGTTACTTTTACTGTTATTAGCCGCTCTGAGCCCAGCTTCGGATGGGGAGGGCGGGATATAAATAAAAATTATTATTATTATTATTATTATTATTATTATTATCCCTCCATTGTGGAACCAGCAGAAGCCACAATCTCTGCAAGCAGGAGCATGCATGTTGACCACCTAACCAAAAATTAAATATACTCTCGGTCTCCCTCCTCTGCCCACCTTGCAGCTTGTCAACATCCTTCTTAAACTGTGGTTCCCTGAACTGGACACCGTATTCCAGGTGTGGTCTGACCAAGGCCTAATAGAGCGGGACTATGACTTCCCTTGACCTGGACATTCAACTTCTGTTGATGCAGCCTAAAATTGCTTGGACCTTTTTTGCTGCTGCATCACACTCCAGGCTAAACATACCCAGCTCCTTCAACCACTCCTCATCAGGCTTGGTTTCCAGACCCAGGATTATCTTGGTCTTCCTCCTCTGCACACCTTCCAGCTTGTCAACATCCTTCTTAAATTGTGCCCAGAATTGGACACCATATTCTGGGTGTGGTCTGACAGAACAGAGTGTGATGTGAGATCTTGGCCTGCCAAGAGCCTTCCATGCCCCCATCCCTTCCCTTCCGCTGGCGGTGCCTAACCCTGCCCCTCCCTCTCTCCTTCCTCCTGCAGCACACCCCGCAACGTGGCTTGACCTTCGGGATCCGCCACTCGGACTATGTGGCTCCTCTCATTGTGGACGTGGCAGATTAAGCTGGCCCCACCGGCGGAGATGGTCTGGACAAGAAATGTTCCTTTGGAAAGACGTGAATCTCTCAATGCTTTGTGTTGTTGGTGGTGATTGGGGCCTGGGGAGGGAACTGGGGAGGGCAGCATCCGAGGCCTGGGAAGGTCCTCAGAGCTGGGGAGCTGGGTTCCGCGAGACGGCTGCGCCTTTGGGTCTCCCTGTTCCCGGATTCTTTGGCTGGATTCTCCTGATTGAATCACCCCTTAGTCTATCCAGTTGTCTTAAGTGTGGGTGAGTTGAAGTGGGGCTGGGAAGTGTGGGTTTTCCCATTTCTGTGTAGTGGGCTTTATAGGGGGCAGGAAGGCAAAGATCTCCATAACTGCAGTATTTGCTAATTTCCCTGTTTTGTGAGCTTGAAGCAAAAAAATCAAAATTCGGTGCCCATAAGGGCAAAATTCTGCAATCTGTATAAATTCTGAAGCCTGAGAAAACTGTACATACCTTTCCCAATTTGCATCATGTGCTCTCCTTCTGCCAGTCACACAGGGCCAGATTTATGTTTGATGAGTCCCTAAGCGACTGAAGGTAATGGGGCCCTTTCTATGTCCAGCTGTCCTTTGTCAACAACAAATGGTCGCTGTTTTTTGTGTTGTATATATGCTATATGGTAATTTATGGACCTAATAGGTTTCTAAAGCCATTTGCACATAACAAAAATGTATTTTATCAAAGTAATTGTTGAACTGAAATATAATTAAGAAGAAGTATATTAATAGTGAAATAAGTATTAAGCACCAACTTGATTTTTTATTCATAACGAACTTAATAATGCAAACACATGGGCATTTTGCAATAACAAAAGTTCCTTTTGAAACACAATTTACAAAGACTCGGAATCTAGTCTCTAGAAACTTGCTATAACGTGAAATAATAATAGGTGTAAATATGTGATGCAAACTACTAATAATTATAAAGAGCAGAATGTAGGCACCCTATATATAGAAAGGAGCAAACCAGTGATATTTTAGGGAGCAGGCTAGCAGGCGGGGCCCATTGCTTACATCATAGGAGCCTACACAACACAAAACACTGTTGCTGTAGGTAGGTTTTGTTTTGTTTTTTATCTTATATTTTGGAAATGTACACCCAGGTTGTTTTTTTCCTTTAATTTTTCTTGGGGGCCCCAATAGAGTGGGGCCCTAAGCTATAGCTTATTTACTTTATATGTAAATCTGGAACTGCAGTCAGTTGTCCCACCCCTCTGACCGCAGGAAGCCTTAATCAGCCAATCCTCTGGCTTCCTACAATGTGCTTGCCATGGCTCCAGTGCTCCTAAGAACATCTCTGCAGCCATCTTGGCAAGGTTCTTGGGATTGTTTCAAAGAGAGAGCGAGTTTCTTAGGAAGCTGAACTGTGTGCCTAACACCCTCTGTTCTTTTTGCTCTGTAGAATCCAGGGCCTATCCACAACCTTGGCTAGAAAGACCATTCAAGTACACAACCTGAATTTGCCAGGACATGACTAAATTCCACCCGCATAGTACCAGAATTCTGAAGGTGCCCCTAATAATGGTTTTCTTAAGCATACACAGCAGAAACTTCTCAGAAGTGGACCTGAGTACCATTCAAGAATGGGCATTATAACACAGAATGGGCATTATCACACAGGGACATGGAAGTATACTGCAAATTTCAAAACACGCAACAAAAATTGCATTGTGCCACCTCTATAAGAGAAAGGGGGGGGAGCACTGCAAAACTCATATTTTCTCTTTTTAAATTTTTTTTAAATTCAGTTTTACACTATACATTTTAATTCAAACGGTAATCACAATAATCAACATTTAGGATTCCCTAGACTTCCCTCTTCCCCTCCATGGTTTCCATCATCAAACTTTGTCTACTGCATCATATAATCTCTCCATTTTTCTTAAAGTACGGTAATCCCTTTTTACCTTAGTTTTTTAGTACATTACAAGTATTACTCAAATCCTGCCAAATCAAAACTCACATTCTTTCATCCTGCCAAGGGTTCAGTAAAAAAAGAAGCAGCTCCCCATTCCGAGGCTGTAGGTGATTCAAGAGCTAAGCGCAGTGATCATAACATAATCAGTCCCATATCCAATCTCGTCCCGCACCCTGTTGACAGTCGACAGGGGACTGACTTTGTTCAGCCCTCTTAAGTCCTGCTAATCTTTATCTGCCCTGGCCCACTGGCCCTGCGGGAGAATAGTCCTTGCCACCTTTGAACCAGGAATGAAGGGCTCAGAGTCTTCCAGGATCAAAGCCTCCTGCAACTCACGCCGGCCAGCGTCACCCAACTCTGGATTCTCATAATGGATCCGGATCCATGGATCCCCTGGAAGGGAGGGGAAAGAAGCAGTTGTAAGGACATAAGAAGAGTGTGCTGGATCAGGCCAATGGACCGCCCAGCCCAGGATCCTGTTCTCACTGGGGCCAAACAGATGCCACAAGCAGGATTCAAGGACAAGAGCAAATCTCCTATCCTAAGGTTACCAGATTTTTTTCAATGACTTCAATGACTCCAATGACTCCAATGACAATAAATAAATAAATAAATAAATAAATAAATACATACATACTACATGTTCGGGTCATTGATGCTGCGGCGATGGCGGTGGCAGAGGGGCGGCCGCCGCCTTGACCTCAACCGCCACGTTTCCCCTTCCTCCGAGGCTTCTGTCTCCTTTCTCCATGAGGCTGGGCAGCCCCTGAGTTGTTGGTTCATTGGTGGTGGTGGTGGTGGGGAAGTGGTGCGCAGTGGGTCAGGCATGGAAGGCAGAGAAGGACGGCCGAAGCGGCAGCGGTGGTGGCGAGGCTCGGGCAGCGCGATGCCTCCCTTCCCATCGGAGCAGCCCCAATCCCATTCCTACTTGCGTGCAAGCAGGAGGGGGTGGGGATGGGGATCTCTCAGCTCGGAAGGGAGGCTTCCCGTTGCCTAACCGAGAGATCCCTGCCCCCTCTTGCTTGCACGCAAGTAGGAATGAGATTGGGGCTGCTCCAATAGGCAGCATGAAGTCTCCCTTCACAGCTTAGTTGCCGGGGTCAGGGAAGGTGGAGGCAGCCCGGAAGCTGCATCTGAGAGCCCCTGCACCACCATCACATGGGGACTTCCAAGCACCTCCTGAAGCCAGCCAGTTGGCTAATCTACTTTATTTACATATAAACGCACACGGAGCACTGCAACATGGCTCCCTCTCTCTCTAGCATCAGACAGCAAAGAGAAAAAGAACAAAGGACAATAGCCCCACTTCACGAAACACAGTAACACAAACATCCTGTCTCCGTCACTTCCCACTCTGTGGAGTCAAAACATACACCGTCATGTGAAAGGCAACAATCCCATGACTGCAATCATGGAGCAGGAATTCTAACACCATGACCCCTATACACACTGGCTAAGGCTGATGGAAGTTGTGATGCAAAACACTTGGGAGGACACCCTACTGACAGGGCTGGACCAAGAAATTCTGCCTGAATCAAGATTGTGCCTCCCCCATGTTATAAGAGCGGGGAAAACCTGCTCCTTTTCCCTTATGGGGTATCTAAGAGCCCATATATAGTCCTTAAGTGGGTTCCGTATCGGAAGGAGAAAATAACAGAGGCCAAGCAGAGAATATTGAGAAGCAAAGCAACTGGTAAGCCTGATCGTTATTAAACTGTTGCAACAGGGTCCCCACTCACCCCACGCAGGAGGGAGGAGGAACCCAGAACCAAGGTGTGCCCGCCTTTATACAGACTTTTGAAATTGCCCACCCTGTAGCCCAAGACCACCCACCCCCCAAAACATCATTCATACATCACAAAAGGTCTACAGCAGAAATCCTGTTTGCCAGGATATCTGTTAATGGTCACTGACTGCTTTAACTGGGCAGCTTGGCCATTCTTTTGTAATGGTTAATACTTTATTTCCTGAGTCCAAGTCACAGGCTCACCCTATTCATACACAAATATGCCCTTAAGACAGGGAAGGAAAAGACAATGGAGTGGCTTTCCCATTTCCTTCCTCCTTGCAGAGAAATATTTGAGGTCAATTTGGGAGAGTCAAAATGGCTTTAAGATTGCTCTCCTGTACTGTTTCAGACATGTGGTTTATATACTTATGTATGTACCTAAATGGGGCACGGGTGGCGCTGTGGGTTAAACCACAGAGCCTAGGACTTGCCGATCAGAAGGTCAGTGGTTTGAATCCCCGTGATGGGGTGAGCTCCCATTGCTCGGTCCCTGCTCCTGCCAACCTAGCAGTTCGAAAGCATGTCAAAGTGCAAGTAGGTAAATAGGTACCGCTCTAGCGGGAAGGTAAATGGCATTTCCGTGCGCTGCTCTGGTTCGCCAGAAGCAGCTTAGTCCTGCTGGCCACATGACCCGGAAGCTGTACGCCGACTCCCTTGGCCAGTAAAGCGAGATGAGAGCCGCAACCCCAGAGTCGTCCGCGACTGGACCTAATGGTCAGGGGTCCCTTTACCTTTACCTTTATGTACCTAAATATAGATGGTCGTTTACCCTCACTAGCTTCAATGTACTGCCGTCCACCTTGTTGCAGGGCAGATATGCAGGTAAACTGCACGTGGAACGAATCTGCCCCTGCAGCTTGATAGAGGTGGAAACTATCTCTCATGTCCTGCTAGGATGCCATTTTTACAGGGATATACACTAGGTTTTTATCACCCTTGTTATACAGAAAATTCCAAGCTGTGCTATTATAAAGACTAAGGCCTTAGAAGCAAATTATAGATAATATTGTAGAGATTAAAACTTAAACCATATTTTACCTGCTGCCATAACTGTCTTGTTTATCGTTATATTGATTTAATTTTAACTTAATTTTACTGTGTTTCTGATTTGTTTAGTACGGTATGTGAGTCTGGTCTGGGACTGTAATAAATTCAATTCAAATACTTATGTATGTGCACCCTTGCTTTTTTTTAAAATAATATTTATTAGTAGTTTTCAGAATTATAAGAAAAAAAAACATTAAAAAAACATTAAAAAACAACACTATAATAGACAAAAAGAAAAGAAAAAACACAAAAACCAATACAACAATACAACAAAAAATAAAAAGAAAACAACACAAGTCCCAACTCACATACCTAAAACTTCCATTTACTTGTTTCATTGACTTCCTCACACCTCCCTTTTGGTATTCTAGTTTAATTAGCTATTTCAGCAAATTCTTTCCATCTTTCTCAATTTTTGTTAAAAAATTCATCCTAACCTAATTTAATCTAATAATTAACTCAACAAATCCTTTCCATCTTTCCCCATATTCTATTATTCACATTACCTTAATTAATTTAACCTTATCTTACCCTAAAACACCTTAAAGCTTGAGTCTTAGTTATCAAATATACATTACTCCTGATATCATTTCTGCTAAAGTCATATAGTTTCATTCCAACATTTTCCCTAATATTCATTAATTTTTAGCCAATTCCCCAATTAGAAAATTTTCTTTATAAATTTTCTTCCAATCTTCATCCAGCGTCCCTTCTTCCTGGTCTCAGATCGTGTCAGTCCTTACTGTCCATTCCATCTAGTCCATCAACCTGGAAGCCTTATGTCCGAGGCCCTTAAGTCTCTTCCATGTCCCTTCTGCAATTCTTCTTCTTCTTGTTTATACTTGCCCTTTTCCTTGTCTTTTGTTGGTCTCTTTCTTAGTTTCTTTCCTTTCTCATTGAGGAGTAGGCCTCTGGGGGGTTCCAAGCCAGAATTGTCTCCATCTCCCTTCATCAAACCCGCCCATTCCCCACAGTCCCACTCCCCACAATCCTCAATATAGTCCAAAAAGTATTTAAAAGCATGTTCCAAGGTCTCTCCAACGTTGGGAACCTCCTCAACTCCAGACTCCCCCTGGCCCACTCCAACTTCAATCTTCAATGACAGCGGCTCATACTCCTGTAGGGCCTCAGGACTCTCCATTTGTATTATTTGGGGTGCAACCGCATCCTCCTCCATTATCTTCTGCACTTGCCCAGTCAGTACAGATTCATGAGTTGGTCCCTGGATAATTTCTGTATCAATATTCCCTGTTTGCCCACAGTTATTAACTGCAACAGTCAAATCCATTTTCTCATTCATCAAGTCCATCTTCTCATGCATCTGTTCCAGCAGGGCACTTGTCTTACATAAGGCAAGCACCCAGTCTTCTTTCCAACTCATCTTTAGTCAAGGTCAGAAAAGCCTGTTCCCACGGTCTTAATCTCACATCTGTTGAGCCCTCAAGTGTACTGCAGCAACAATTTGACAAGCTCCCTCTAGAGGAGGCAATTTCTATTTGTATCCATTTTTTTTTTTAGGCAAGTCCAACAAAGGAAAATTACTTTCGTTTTTCAGATATTTTTCAGATATTTTGTTTCTTTAGGATGCAAAAGGCAACATTGGAATCAGCTTGTTTCTCTTCTTTAGCTATCTGTCAAAATATCCCATTCACAGTCAATGAACCTCTCCAACAATTTCTGTCTCTGACACCCGGTTCCCAGGTTAGAGACAGTGAAAACTTATCCTTCTTCACTCCCTCTCCTGCTAGGGTTGAACAAAGTTCCCCCCCTTTTCTCCTGCTTCCAAGGGGGTTTCAGTAATTCTAAATGAAGAAAATTTAGACTTTTTTGACAGCTTTCCAGGCTTTAGCTTACAAAGTTTTTGCTTTAGTCTATATACAAAAAGCGGAAGGCAGACTTCCTGTTTTGAACCTTCCCGCTTCGTTACCAAATTAAGAAATTTCTTGATCCAATTTTCCGTTTCTACTCACGGGTACTTGTTTTAAATCCAATTGTCCACAGGACAAAGTCAGCGCTCTCCGGCAATGGCTGTGCAGCTTCACTCCGTGAAAGTAGCAGTCAGTTCGCAGCACCGCGCTTCTCACCCCACTTCGCTCCGGAGCCCCTAAATGGGATTCCCTGCGAGTAGGGGGGCGCTCCTGGTGCCCTGCCGAACCCCACGTTCCCAGGCTTCCTCCGCCTGGGATTTCTAGCGGGTCCCCACCTTCGCCGCAGCGGGAAGACCCAGTTTCCACGGAGCCCGTTCCTCCGGACGGAGGAACTCCGCCATTCACCGATGGCGCTGACCCGGAAGTCGTATGTGCACCCTTGCTTGACTCCCTTTGTGGCTGGTACAGATCCTGTAAATTGGCCATTTGTAGAGCAATGCGCTTTCAGCACAGTGTCTTTATAAAGGCAGTTAATCAGATATAATAATCTTTAGTCTATGCTTGAGGTGTTCAGTTTAGCTCATAGTCTTCCCCATCTGCCCCATCCCATGTATGAAAGTGGAACAAACTAGAAGATGAATATGAGCATTTGGTTCTCTCTCTCTCTCTCTCTCTCTCTCACACACACACACACACACACACCCCGCTTGAAGTTCTTACCTTTCCTCACTTTCTGCCCCACAGAGACCAGCACCTCAGCTCCCACTCTGTGATTGATCATTTGCCCCTTCTGGCTGCGGCCGCCTCCCAGACCATGTATCACCCGGGCAATGGGGAGGCCAAGGATCTGCTGGACTGTCCCTGTGGAGGAAAGTCAGGACGGTGGTTAGCATAGGGTTACCAGGCATCCCCATTTCCTGGGGACAGTCCCCGGATTTGCAAATAAGTCCCCGGACAAATTCCATCCCCGGAATGTCCCTGGATTTCATATAATAATAATAATAATAATAATAATAATAATAATAACAACTTATTACTTATTCTTTATACTCCGCCCATCTGGCTGGGTTTCCCCAGCCACTCTGGGCAGCTTCCAACAAAGACCAAAAATACACTAAAATGTCACACATTAAAAACTTCCCTGAACAGGGCTGCCTTCAGATGTCTTTTAAATGTCAGGTAGTTGATTTTCTCTTTGACATCCGATGGAAGGGCGTTCCACAGGGCGGGCGCCACTACCGAGAAGGCCCTCTGCCTGGTTCCCTGTAACTTGGCTTCTCACAGCAAGGGAACCGCCGGAAGGCCCTTGGAGCTGGACCTCAGTATCCGGGCATAACGATGGGGGTGGAGACGCTCCTTCAGGTATACTGGACCGAGGCCATTTAATGTCTCCGGGAAACGCAGTAGCGGCAGTCTCAGCAGCCCGGAGCAGTTGGCTCTTGCTGGCTTCAGGAGCTGCTCAGAAGTCCCCATATGATGGTGGTGCAGGGGCTCTCAGATGCAGCTTCCGGGCTGCCTCCACCTTCCCTGAGCCCAGCAACTAAGCTGTGAAGGGAGGCTTCATGCTGCCTATCGGAACAGCCTCCCAGCGTGCAAGTAGGAGGGGGCAGGGATCTCTCAGTTAGGCAACGGGAAGCCTCCCTTCCCAGCTGAGGGATCCCAGCCCCCTTCTGCTTGCACGCAAGTAGGAATGGGATTGGGGCTGCTCCGATGGGAAGGGAGGCATCATGCTGCCTGAGCCTCACTGCCCCCACTCTCTGCCTTCCTTTTCCACCTTCCATGCCTGACCCACCGCGCACTGCTTCCCCACCACCACCATCAAAGACTCAACAACTCAGGGGCTGCCCAGCCTCATGAAGAAAGGAGATAAAAGCCTCAGAAGAAGGGGGAACATGGCGGTTGAGGTCAAGGCGGCAGTCGCCCCTCTGCCAACGCCATCACTGCAGCATCAATGTTCTGAACATGTAGGATTGATTGATTGATTGATTGATTGTGTCCCCAGATTTATTGGGGAAAAAATCTAAAGACATGTAATGATGGTGCCAGGCGAGCTTCTCTGGGGTGATCATTCTGCGAACGGGGAGCCACCACAGAAAAGGCCCTGCTCCCTTGTTTTATGGCTAAATACCCTAGTCAGAGAATTTTGAAGGAGGACCTGGGAGTTCTGCCCAGGCTCACCCCCATCCTTACCATCACTCAGAGCCACCAATTCCTCCTGCGCCCGGGCTTGCCCCAGCACCTGGAAGCGCTCTTCCTGACCCTCGGAACATAGGGCACGGGCCACTTTGGCCTCCACCCCTTGCGCTTCCAGCATGGCCTGGAAAGTCCTCAGAGCAGAGCCATTGTCCAGGGCTTTGGCAATGCGGGCAGCGCCTTGGGAAACAGAGCTAGCTCTCCCACACTGCCACAGTAAGGTTCCTCCTGGAGAGATGGAAGAAAAATGGATGAGTTGGGTGGTCCATGGAGAGAGAGGCTTCCTTTCCCCACCCCCAACTCACTCCTCATGCCCTGCAAGTGTCCTGATTTCCCAGAAACACAGAAGATCAAACCTCTCCATTCTGAAGGAAATCAGCCCTGAGTCCTCACTGGAAGGACAGATCCTGAAGCTGAGGCTCCAAGACTTTGGCCACCTCATGAGAAGAGAAGACTCCCTGGAAAAGACCCTGATGTTGGGAAAGATGGAGGGCACAAGGAGAAGGGGACAACAGAGGACGAGGTGGTGGGACAGTGTTCTCGAAGATACCAGCATGAGTTTGACCAAACTGCTGGAGGCAGTGGAAGACAGGGGTGCCTGGCGTGCTCTGGTCCAGGGGGTCACGAAGAGTCAGACACGACTAAACGACTCAACAACAACAGAATAGAAGAAGCTGTTGTACGAGAGTTTTACTGCATGGCTGAGATTCCTTCCACACAGGCACACCGCTGCTCAAGATACTCTGCTGTAGCTGGGAGAAGCAGATTGGCGCAATGGAAGTGGACTGGACGCCACAACAGGTCCGCCATTCACAGCCTTGATGGACATTCAACAGAAAACTTCCCTCTCTCCCTCCCAACACAACATAGTGAAACGTTTTATAATGCCACTTGGGTGCCCCCCCCCCCAGTGCAGACCTAGCGTGGTCACCAGCTCACGGAGATCCCCAGGTCCTTGTCCTTCCAAGCACTCCAAGGATTCAAGGACCTCCAAGGAGTGACCCACTCGAGACCCCAAAGGTCCGTCCATCTTGCTGAGCACCGCCGATGTGCATATCCCTAGCTGGGTCCCAACACACACCTTTGAGAGAGAGAGAATGAATGAATGAATGAGACCGGAACATGGTAAAGGATAAAGTGTTCTATGATTTGCACCCAGGAAAGAAAGCACTGCTCCCTCTTTAGATAAAGAAAAGACATCCCTAAATTTTTTAAACTCCTTTGCACTAATGGGAAGTTAACGCAGACATGACCGCCCGGAATTATTCTTTTGCTTCTATGAAAATGTTGTCTCTCCTCAATGGGCTGCCAGGGGAGAATGTGACACAAACAAAGGTGTCCCTGGACGCCACTTATGCCAAAACTCCCCTCAGCAAGAGGCATTTTCTGTCTGCCTTCCCTCTGTGGGATTATTATTATTATTATTATTACATATAATTTTTATTAATTTCTTTTTTAACACAATATTTCCAACATTACAATAGCAAATAAAATTACTCTTTGCTCTGCCGAGCTCGTCACTTCCCTCCATCCCTTCAACTGGTTTTTTGTTTTCAAGACTTTATAAAGATAAAGGTAAAGGTCCAGTTGTGGCCGACTCTGGGGTTGTGGCACTCATCTCGCTTTACTGGCCGAGGGAGCCAGCGTACAGCTTCCGGGTCATGTGGCCAGCATGACTAAGCCACTTCTGGCAAAACCAGAGCAGTGCACAGAAACTCCATTTACCTTCCTGCTGGAGCGGTACCTATTTATCTACTTCCACTTTGATGTGCTTTGGAACTGCTAGGTTGGCAGGAGCAGGGACCGAACAATGGGAGCTCACCCCATCACAGGGATTCGAACTGCCGACCTTCTGATTGGCAAGCCCTAGGCCCTGTGGTTTAACCCACAGTGCCACCCGCGTCCCTCCATCCCTTCAACTGGTTTTTTGTTTTCAAGACTTTATATCGCACTTTAAAACCTCCACTTATGACTTTTATGTCCTTATAGTCAACGCTGTCTCTTTGATCTAGAAAGTTATAAAATGTTTTGAATTTCATTTCAGGATTTATTTCAATCCCGCTAGTGTCTTCCCATTTTTGCAATAATTATTCATATACCCAATAAATTTACTCCAGTCTCTTTGAAACTTTTGGTTGCATTGGTTCCGGATTCCACCGGTCAACTTTGCTAATTCTGCATAGTCCATCATCTTTGTCTGCCACTGGAAGGATTTAAGGAGAACATTCGGTCTCCAAATCCCCATCCCAAGAAGCAGAACATAAGGAGGGCTTCTTAGATCAGGCCATTTAGACCAGCATCCTGTTGTTGTTCTTCTCACCAGATGCCTGTGGCAAGTCCACAAGCAGGATTCAAGAGCAACTGGGATTCAGAATCACTGCTGCCCCCGACTATGGCGGCAGGGCAGAGCTGTCTTGGCTGGTAGCCCCCCGATAGCCCTCTCCTCCATGAAGGAGCTGAAAGCCCGAAAAGCCAGTGGCCCTTCTCTGAGGACTCACCAGGCTCTCAGCCAGCTGCTGGGCGCTCTCCAGGGTGGGGTAAAGGGCTGCGCTGCCAAACTTCACATCCAGAACCAGGGCACAGATGTTCTCCGCAGCCTTCTTGCTCAGGATGGAGCCTGTGAGGCAAGAGAGAGGCAGTGTCAAGGGGCTGTCAGGAATGCAGGTACATCCACAGGTCAGGAAGAGGACTCGGGACATGAAGTGCTATCAGCTTTTATTCACTGTTGGGTTCATCTAAGCCAGTGTTTACCAAAGTGGGCAATACTGTCTCCTGGGGGAGGGGGCAGTGGTGCTGGAACGATCCAGGGGGCGGTAGTAGCCTTGGGTGCAATTGGGGGGTACACGCTAGACAAAGTAATGAATTCTTCAATTATGAAGAATAATGTAGTCAGTTATGCTATAGGCACATAACTGCTGCTGTCAGGATGATTGGTGGGTGCTAGAAGAGATAACAGCCCGGGACTCCAGCCAGCTTTACAGGATTTATTAAGTCCATTATACTATTTACAATACAGAGCTCTTAAAAGCATGTCCTACTCATTAGGTGTCAGTTGTCAAGACTGGCCCCTCCTTTCTTCCTCTCCAGCATAACAACTTCCTGAAACCTCTCCTCTTCCTTCCTCCCTTATGTAAAGAGCGAAGCTTTGGAAGTTGCCCCTCCCTCCCTGATTCATTGTTTCCTGACAGCCCCTCCTCATCTTCCCTCTCTGACGAGGTGCAGCTACTCATTATCGGAGGCTGCTCTCTATATTTCCCAAGCGTTTCCCCCTTCTCAGCCGACAGTTCCCTGACAGCTGCCTGATTGGAAGAAGCCCATAGCCAGGGCCTCAGCACCCGGAATTTCTCCTGCAACTGGATCTCACCCCATACCTGTGATGAGGGGCAAGCTGTCCACTGTGGCTGTTACATCTCTCAGGGCATAGAGGACCTTGTCTGCTGGGACCAGCTCTGAACTCTGCTCCACAATGCAGCAACCAACCTGTTCCAGAATCTGCTTCATCTGCAAGAGAACAAGTCCTGGGCTGTCTGCATGGGCCACTCGTCATCAGAGTTCTCGGCCGACAGAAACAGACAGCCACATACCCTCAACACATACCGCATAAGCCCCTTTGTCTCCATCACAACCTGGGACACCTCACCTGTTCTGGGCTCTGGGAGACCATGAAGCCAGGTATGGACTCCAGCTTGTCCAGCGTGCCTCCGGTGTGGCCCAGACCTCGGCCACTGATCATGGGCACCTGTTGAAAGGAAAGGAGGAAAGTCTGGGTTGTCTTAAGTTATGAGCAGCATAGGAAGTTGGGTAGGGGGGAAGGTGTTTCTTTAAGAAGCTCAGAGGAGTCTGCTGAATGGCTGACCTAGTTCAGCATCGTGGCTTGAGAACGGGCTGTGGGCCTCTTTCATTTTTGCCCGGGAACCAGAGAGGTTGGAAGAACCTTCTCAACTCACCTTACAGCCACAGGCAGCCAAGGCTGGTGCCAGAGACAGGCTGACTTTGTCGCCCACTCCCCCAGTGGAGTGCTTGTCCACCAGGAGCCCTTGCCATTTCCCCGGCCACTCAAGGACCCTCCCTGATGTAGCCATTGCCTGCGTCAGCACCAGAGTCTCGTCAGGCTCCATGCCCTGTAGTCGGATGGCCATCAGCATCGCTCCTAGAAGACAACAGGTGATGAGGGTGAGGTGCTTAAGCCAGAGAGATATTCTGAGAGGGGCGAGCACAAGCCACAGACATGGCCTGGCATGTCACACATGCTGGATTTGGGTCAGTCAGCAGGTTGTGAAGGTTTTTGTATTGTTTTAAGAACCTGCCCATACTGTGGAACCTTGACCATTCTGATTCTGAGAACAGCGAAGTGTTGGATCACTTTGTTGTTGTTGTTTAGTCATTTAGTCATGTCCAACTCTTTGTGACCCCCTGGACCAGAGCACGCCAGGCACTCCTGTCTTCCACTGCCTCCCACAGTTTGGTCAAACTCATGTTGGTAGCTTCGAGAACACTGTCCAACCATCTCGTCCTCTGTCGTCCCCTTCTCCTTGTGCCCTCCATCTTTCCCAACATCAGGGTCTTTTCCAGGGAGTCTTCTCTTCTCATGAGGTGGCCAAAGTCTTGGAGCCTCAGCCCCACGATCTGTCTTTCCAGTGAGCACTCAGGGCTGATTCCCTTAAGAATGGAGAGGTTTGATCTTCTTGCAGTCCATGGGACTCTCAAGAGTCTCCTCCAGCACCAGAATTCAAAAGCATCAATTCTTTTGATCACTAGCAAGGTGATTATTCTAGGCCACAAGAGAGTCTTCTGTTGTGGCTGCTCACCCAAAGCTCTATTTGTAAAGACATGGCTAAAAAGAGATATGATTGCACAAGTTTTAGGTAGTTTCCCCCTTTTTTTAGTTTTAAAGAAATCATCGGATATTCTACTTACAACTATATAATAAGGAAAAGCATGCAATATTTCAGGAGAATGCTATCCAGCTGCTCAAGATGAAATCAACCAGCTCTTGGTTTCCATAATTCCTTTGCATTAATTATTTCCTTGGTGGACAGAGTGCCTGAAGAACTATGGATGGAGGCTCGCAACATTATACAGGAGGCAGCAACGAAAACCATCCCCATGAAAAGGAAATGCAAGAAAGCAAAGTGGCTGTCCAATGAGGCCTTACAAATAGCGGGGGAGAGAAGGCAAGCAAAATGCGAGGGAGGTAAGAAGAGAAGAAGAAGAGTTTGGATTTGATATCCCGCTTTATCACTACCCTAGGGAGTCTCAAAGCGGCTAACATTCTCCTTTCCCTTCCTCCCCCACAACAAACACTCTGTGAGGTGAGTGAGGCTGAGAGACTTCAGAGAAGTGTGACTAGCCCAAAGTCACCCAGCAGCTGCATGTGGAGCAGCGGAGACACGAACCCGGTTCACCAGATTACGAGTCCACCACTCTTAACCACTACACCACACTGGCTCTCAAACATAGTGAAACCATAGTGAAACAATAGTGAAAGATACAGGAAATTGAATGCGGATTTCCAAAAAATAGCAAGGAGAGACAAGAAGGCAGGACCAGTGGTTGTGTTTTCTGCTGCAGGAATGTCAGTCGGCTTCCACTAGGGCCTCCTTGTAAGTTAAGCAAACCCTATGAAGGCATCCTAAGTCTCCAGTGCTTCCTCATTTGAACCCTGTAGCATTATTCTTGGAGAGCAGTAGAAATAAGTTCTGGCTAAATCCCCACATAGGAAGTCATGGGAAGGGTTGCCTTGTCTGTGCCTGTTTGCAGAGTTTCCTCCTCATTCTTGAATGCATCCTCCTCTTCCCCCCACCCACAATCCCACCCCCCTGATTCCCCAGCCCCAGAACCTTCCTTACCAATTTGCCCTTCCTGCAAGGCCTTCCTGGACACAGCCTGGACAAAGTAGATGATCTCCTCCTGCTGCAGCTTCTCCCCATCCCGCTTCTTCCGGATTATTTCTGGGATGCTGAGCATGCTGCCAGAATTGGGGGCTCCAGAGCCGGAGCTGGTGGTGCGTCCAGAAACTGCAGGGGCATATGCAATGGCATGTACAATTCAGTGGAAACAAGTGTAAAGTGAGGATTTAAAAAATCTTAATTTCACAAATATGCTTGTGGGTCCCGAACTAGAATTGGTGGACCAGGAACAAGACCTTGGGCTTTACTTTTACTTTTTCTTTTTAACTATCAATTCTTTATTGATTAAAAGATTTGCATGTCTATACAAACATTATGTACTATCTCTTAACAGGTAAAAAAAAGAATATTATATAAAATAGAAAATTTATAAAGAAATAAAAAAGTAACAAAGATAAGAAACAAAGAAATCAATTTTTTTAAAAAGAGACAAAGTTATTTACATAGTAAAAGTACTCATCGACGCATTCCTTCCCATCCTTCTCATTATACTGTTTGATATAACATTCTTTTTTTCACAGGTTTACATTGTATAATATCATTTCTTTCTGCTTTGTATACGTTCCTTTGATCTTTTTCTTTACAAATATCACTCAATTTCTGCTAATATGGAGTTATTTGTACAATAAAGTTTTGCATAATTCTTAAATATTATCCATTCTCTAGTTGTTTTTTTGTTTTGATATTCCTGTAACTGATCCCGTCAGTTTTGCTAATTGCAGATATTCTAACATGAGACCTTAGGCTTACATTTAATTTATATTTTTTTTATGCATTCTTTCCTGTCAGGGAAAGGTGGTTGTAGTGAATAGCTCAATGAAGACATTTCTCCATTGTGTGGCAACTGTGAAAAGGGCAAATTCCATGCTAGGGATTATTAGGAAAGGAATTGAAAATCTCAGTGCCATTCTTCAAATCTATGGTGCAACCACATTGGGAGTACTGTGTCCAGTTCTGGTTGCCTTGGGTCAAAAAGGATATTGTAGACCCTGGTAGAAGTCCTTATACTGGACGTGCCCTGCAAGGATTCATAGAATCATAGAGCTGGAAATCACTCCCAGTGGTCATCTATTCCAACCCACTGCAACACAGGAATCTCAACTACAGAATCCCTGACAGAGGGCCACCTAACCTCCCGAGGGAGACCATTCCACGGTTGAACAGCTCTTACCATCAGAAAGTTCTTCCTGACATTTAGTCGGAATCTCCTTTCTTGTCACTTGAAGTCATTGGTTTGAGTCCTACCCTCCAGAACAGGAGAAAAAAAGTATGCTCCATCTTCCATGGGACAGCCATGAAGATATTTGAAGATGGCTCTCATATCGCCCCTCTATTTCCCTTTTCCAAGCTAAACCTAAGTTCTTGCCAGTGGCATAGCTGGGTTTTTGCTGCCCAGGGCAGTCACTGAGCTAGACTGGTGACTGGGAGTGGCAGCCAAGAAAACATAACACTGGTCTTGAAAGACCTACATTGGCTCCCAGTACATTTCCGAGCACAATTCAAAGTGTTGGTGTTGACCTTTAAAGCCCTAAACGGCCTCGGCCCAGTATACCTGAGGGAGCGTCTCCACCCCTATCGTTCTGCCCGGACACGGAGGTCCAGCGCCGAGGGCCTTCTGGCGGTTCCCTCACTGCAAGAAGCAAAGCTACAGGGAACCAGGCAGAGGGCGTTCTCTGTAGTGGTGCCTGCCCTGTGGAAGGCCCTCCTATCAGATGTCAAAGAGATAAACAACTACCTGACATTTAGAAGACATCTGAAGGCAGCCCTGTTCAGGGAAGTTATAGATCTGTGACATTTTAATGTATTTTTAATCTTTGTTGGAAGCCGCCCAGAGTGGCTGGGGAGACCCAGCCAGATGGGCGGGGTACAAATAATAAATTATTATATTATTATTATGAGCTTGCTGCCCCTCTCGCTGTTCCTCATCCAGGAGCCCCAACAGTCCTCCCCTCTGCTTGTTCTTATTACCATTTAAAAATATCAAAATACAAAATACCAACAAGTTCTCTCCACCACCAGCTTTTGTGCAGCTGGGAGAGCCACTGTGGTGTAGTGGTTAAGAGAGATGGACTTGTAATCTGGTGAACCGGGTTCGATTCCCCACTCCTCCACATGCAGCTGCTGGGTGACCTTGGGCCAGCCACACTTCTCTGAAGTCTCTCAGCCCCACTCACCTCACAGAGTGTTTGTTGTGGGGGAGGAAGGGAAACGAGAATGTTAGCCGCTTTGAGACTCCTTCAGGTAGTGATAAAGCGGAATATCAAATCCAAACTCTTCTTCTTCTTCTGAAGCCTGGCTTCCACTCCAGACTTCCCCCTTGCCCCAAGGTGGTGGAACCACCCACTTTGTGAACCACTAATCTAGGGATTTTACACTATTCAGAGGTTACGAGGAGGAGAAGTTAGTCTTTGGGATGACTAATTTCTTATAAAACCTCTTTTCTGTTGTTCTGTTGTCTCTTCCTGAAAGTTCCTGCTTGTTTCTTATTATGTTTACTCTGCTTTGAGGAGTGGAAAGAGTATAAACCTAGTGAATAATGACTAACTGGTCCCCTTGTCTGTTTCCTGAGTTTAACTCCAGTAGATTCTATAGTGTGTGTGTGTGTGTGTGTATGGAATCTGGTGGCAGCAGCAGCGGTGGGAGTTTAAATGAGGGGGAGAACCATATTTGCCACCTTGAGCCCCTTGGAGTAAAAACAAGTGATGTCCTAAGAAAATTGGCATTGGCTTTTACAGGCCAAAAGGGACGTGGGTGGCGCTGTGGGTTAAACCGCAGAGCCTAGGACTTGCCGATCAGAAGGTCGGCGGTTCGAATCCCCGCGACGGGGTGAGCTCCCATTGCTCCATCCCTGCTCCTGCCAACCTAGCAGTTCGAAAGCACGTCAAAGTGCAAGTAGATAAATAGGTACCGCTCCGGCGGGAAGGTAAACGGTGTTTCCGTGCGCTGCTCTGGTTAGCCAGAAGCGGCTTAGTCATGATGGCCACATGACCCAGAAGCTGTACACCGGCTCCCTCGCCAATAAAGCAAGGTGAGCGCTGCAACCCCAGAGTCGGCCACGACTGGACCTAATGGTCAGCGGTCCCTTTACCTTTAAGCTACTGAAGGTAATGGGGCCCTTGATATGTCCAGCTGTCCTTTGTCAACAACAAATTGTTGCTGTTTTTTGTGTGGAATATATGCTGTATGGTAATTGATGGACCTAATAGGCATCTCAAGCCATTTGCCCATGTTGCCTGCAACCAGTCCATGCAGAATGTAGGCACCCTATGTATAGAAAGGAGCAAACCAGTGATATTTTAAGGAGCAGGCTAGCAGGCGGGGCCCATTGCTTACATCACAGGAGCCTACACAACACAAAACACTGTTGCTGTATGTAGGTTTTATTTTATTTGTTTTTTATCTTATATTTTGGAAATGTACATCCAGGTTTGTTTTTTTCCTTTAAATGTTTTGGGGGCCCCCAAGAGAGTGGGGCCCTAAGCTAGAGCTTGTTTAGCTTATACGAAAATCCAGCACTGATGCACACTGTCATTTAACATGGACAGTAATTTTCTTCCTTGTCCTCACGACCAGTAATTCTTCCTTGTCCACACGACATTCTTCTCCAAATCACTGCCTTCCCAGGCTTTTCCTGACCACTTGAGCCCTTCGATCGGTGGCCCTGTCACAGGCGCTACATAATACCCATTATGCATTTGTAAGAAAATGATATATTTTAGTGTAGCAGCACCTAAACTCGATCTCCCTGCCTACTGACACCAAACAGGTGTTGCGATGCCTGCTAAAATCATTTTTGCTTAGACAAGTCTACCTGGGCATGTAGAACATGAATGAGTTTTCATTTTATTGCTGGTTTTATTTTTTTGCATATTTTGAGGAGTTGCTTTCTGGATTCTTCCTGACCATGTTTTTATTGCATTCTCTTTGTAAACTGCTTTGAGGGTTTATTTTTTTAAACAATCAAGCAGTGCATAAATGTTATGGAATAAATAAATCCCTTGGGGGCATGCTGGAGGTATAAATAACTATCAGATTTTGAAAAGCTGGTATCACTGAACCAAGTTCATCAGTTTTGTTGAATTAATCAAACTAAAGTTCTGACTGGATTTGGAACAGATGTGCAACTAATTGTTACTGTTTTGAATTTTATTGTGTTAACCTTCCTTGGTGGGTGGTGCCTAAGGCAGGGGTCAGCAAACTTTTTCAGCAGGCAGCCGGTCCACTGTCCCTCAGACCTATATTTTTTTTGGGGGGGGGGAGAACGAATTCCTATGCCCCACAAATAACCCAGAGATCCATTTTAAATACAAGCACACATTCTACTCATGTAAAAACACACTGATTCCTGGACCATTCGCAGGCCGGATTTAGAAGGCGATTGGGCCGGATCCGGCCCCCAGGCCTTAGTTTGCCTACCCATGCCCTAAAGACCATGATCTACTCCTAGTATAAAACAACTTGCAGTGGTCACTGGAGGGAGGAGAGAAACCAAAGTTGTTCAGCTTTTTTAGGGGAGCCCAAAGTTGTTGAGCTTTTTTGGTGGGTGACAAAGTCGTCTAGCTTTTTTAGGGGGTGTCATAAGATGCGCAAAACCAACACAGACGATAACAGGCGAATGCAGCAATACAGGAAACTAAACTAGCAATAACGACCACCCATTTCACGTAACAGACAGGCAGAGCGAGGACGGAGGTGGGGCAGAGGACGGTGGTGGGGTGCTTCCAACAAGCAATCAGATGGGAGCGATCAGAAGGGAACCCACGGTTGGAAGGGAGCCCGCAATCAACAGCGATCACTCGGGGATCGACCAGTAGATCGTGATATACCTCTTGGATACCCCCAGGGATAAAGTTCCAGGCACTGAGGATACAACGCTTTCCTAAAGTACTCACCAACAAGGGCAGAGTTGCCACTGAAGCCCAATCCAAGCCCAGCGTGGTCAAGCACGGTGAATCTGTCCAGGTCCAAACAGAGATGAAGCCAGAGACAACTGTCCAAGACCTAGAACCTGGGGGAATTCAGGCAAAAGTGCCTGGGCGTCTAGACTCAGTAGCATTTCCAAGAATTAGAAGTCTTGAAAGGCAGACCGTATATCTTCTGTCATCCTGAACCACACCCTGGCCACAAGTGCTGGCAGATATTGCTTCCTCGTGAGTATCTCCCTTGTGCAGAACCCTGGGTCTGTTGGCACATGCTGTGCGGTCGCCCTTCAGCGCCGACCTGAAGCTTCTGGCACCCTCTCAAGGACTGGGTGGTGGGGACTCCACCTTCTCCAGCAGCTCCACCTCCATAGGTTCTTCACCAGATGTCAGCCCAGAGGGCTCCACAGCACTCAATTCAGAAGGCCCTGCTTCCTCCTCAAGGCTATTGACCTGCTGTCATCCTCCGGGGTCTCCAGGCCTGGTACCCATTCAGGACTAGGCACACAGCCTAGAATCATAGAGCTGTAGAGTCAGAAGGGACTTCCAAGGACCATCTAGCAATGCAGGAATCACAGCTGAAGCATCCTCAGTGGCGGGCCATTTGACCTCTGTTTAGAACACCCCCAATGAAGGCAAGTCCATCACCTTCTGAAAGAGTCCGTTCCCCTGCCAGGACATGGAGATGACGGCTCTTGAACAGATTGCTCTTTGCACTTGATCCCACCTGACCTACTTATTCGAGCAACAAGCTGCTTGTTCCACACGCAGCCAAGGCAGGTCAGTGACTTGTGGCTGGCTCTGCACCAAGCTTGTCCACTTGCGCCGCAAAATGCTAAAGTCCGAACAGAATGAGATTCGAGGCCCAAACAAGATTTGGGACCAGAAATGGGAGTAGAAAGGTGTGTGTTAAGAGTTTTTCTTGTTAGGTATATTCACAACAGACATCCCAAAGGATAATAAAAGAGTCTTTCCACATGCAATAATGGCTGCCAGGATTGTATTCTAAAAGTCAGATAGTTGTTTATTTCCTTGACATCTGATGGGAGGGCGTTCCACAGGGAGGGAGCCACCACCGAGAAGGCCCTCTGCCTGGTTCCCCGTAACCTCACATCTCACAGGGAGGGAACCGCCAGAAGAGCCTCAGCGCTGGACCTCAGTGTCTGGGATGGAAGTTGGGAGTGGAGATGCTTCTTCAGGTCTACTGGGCCGAGGCCGTTTAGGGCTTTAAAGGTCAGTACCAGCACTTTGAATGAGTGTTACTGTTGTGCTTGGACCCTGCTTGTGGGTTTACCCCAGGCCTCTAGGTTGTCACTGTGAACACAGGATGCTGAACTAGATGATGGTCCATTGGCCTGATCCAGCAAGCTCTTCTTATGTTCTGATGAGGGCAAATTCTCCCAGAGGCTAATCCCAGCCTCTGAGTGCTGAGTGCTCACTGGAAGGACAGATCCTGAAGCTGAGGCTCCAAGACTTTGGCCACCTCATGAGAAGAGAAGACTCACTGGAAAAGACCCTGATGTTGGGGAAGATGGAGGGTACAAGGAGAAGGGGACGACAGAGGACAAGATGGTGGGACAGTGTTCTCGAAGCTACCAGTTTGACCAAACTGCGGGAGGCAATGGAAGACAGGAGTGCCTGGCATGCTCTGGTCTATGGGGTCACGAAGAGTCGGACACAACTCAACGACTAAACAACAAGAATCCCAGCTATTGCAAGCCCTCTGTGAGATAACAGCTCATTTGGGGAGGTCACAAAGTTCAACGGAAGGAGAGGGTGTTGCTTTAAGTCTGCAGCAGCCCTAAGTGCGCTGCCCACCAGGACCTTCTGGGGCCCATTGTAGCTCTCTCAGCCTCTCTGAGCCCCAGATTCCCTCTCCCACAAGCTGGTCATCAAGCCGGAAAGAAGGTTGTAAGTTGGTCTGCTTGCAAAGTGCAAAAGCCAATGGTTTCTCTTGCAGCACCGACCCCCTGAGAGTGCCTTCGTTCCGTCCTGTCACTTACAAAGCAAAGGTCATCTGTGGCCAGGAGTCCACCTCTTGCTTTCTCCTTTTCTCATTGGCTCCCAGGAGGTTGGGCTGTCGATTAACCTGCCGCAATCAATTATTGCACTGGTCTTGGCTATCGTTGCTCAATCATTTCATGAGAGGAGAAAATGAATGTCTGGGGAGCCCTGTGGACGACTCTGCAATTCTATGATTCTAAGATAGAGCAGGGACGCAGGTGGGTTGTCCTCTCGGTCAGGACAAAGAAGTGTGATTACCTGACGGGGATAACCAGGAACTTGTAAATATTCCTATTGCATCACTTGATGGGTGTGAGGTGGAGGGCAAGGGAGAGATGGGGGCAAACCTGATGATCAGGTTTCTGCCAGAAACCCCCTCCCATAATGTTACATAACCATGATGTATTTGTGATGTATGCATGATGCTTCACTAAGTGTATTATGGGTATAAGGGGAAACTTATAAAAGTGGGAGCCATCCTTTGTTTGAGGCTTCTTCCTGCTTCTTCCATGAGGTGGGTAGAAGACCCACCTGCTTGGGCCGGCCTTTGACCTGCCCTCGGCCAAAAGAAAAGAGGCTGACTCTTTTGCTGTTCTTCCTTCCAGGATCACCCACCCACCCTCCCTCAAATTAATATTTTCTTGCCTCCATAATTTCATCCTAGGTCAGCGGTCTTCAAATTAATGATTCTTTCCTTACAGGCTAATATTTTGTGTTTCAGGTCAGCGGGCACTGCTGCGGTCGTAAGATGGTTGCTGTATTCAGAACTGGGAAGGAATTTTCCCTGCATTGGCAGGTTTCGCCTTCCCCATAGCATTTTGTCACAACCTTGCCGGTTTTAGGCCTTGGCAAGGTATCCTTTAGTCTAGCATCAAGTCGGGGGTGATGCATTCATGCTCCCTCCCCATGCGGTGGCGTTTGCAGGGCCCATTAAAGGGCAAAACCCACGAGTCCCTGGCCCTAGAGCAGCGGTGGAAGGGCATGTTGTGTAAGTTTGCGCTTTGCAGTCCCCTCTCACTGGGCCTCATCAGCCTGCATATCCTCAGCCAGGAGGGCTGAGAGGGTTACCTGCCAAGGCCTGTGCCACGTTTCCCACTTCTGAAGCTCAATAAAGTTGTGGCCAATTTGAACCCATACTCTGGTCTCTTGTCTCATCATTTGGGGACAAGGGGTAGGCACCACAGACAGGGTTTAGCGTGTGTGCCCGCAAGCTGCTCTTTTGCTCCAATATTCTTGGCTGGTGTCTTTGTTTGTCAAATCCAAGTGAGCCCAAGGATTTTCGTACAACAACCCCAAGACAAGAAAGAGTCACACACCATTTGTATCATCCCAATCATCTTGCAAAGTATTTTGTTGGCACCGTTTCTTTTTAATCAATGAACCGGGGACTACACAAGCAGCAACCTTTGCACAGTCTTGGGAAGAAGAGGTCTGCAGGGCTAGCACCTGGCAAATGGGCTTAAGGTGATGAATGCAGGGAGTCAGAGCCAAGGAAAGGTCATTTCACTTCTGGGATGTGAGTCTACCTCGGAGGCATGGAGTCTGGAGAGGCCAGTTTGGCACAAAACTGAGGTGGGATCCCTTGACTGGTGGAAGGAGAGCAGAGGATGCAAACTGGGGAAGATGCGTAATGTTTTCTAACTATGTAATTCATACAGATTGCAGAATTCAGCCTTTCTGGGCACAGAATTTGGATTCAAGCACACAAAACCGAGATGCAGTGGTACCTCTGGTTGCGAATGGGATCTGTTCCAGAGGCCCGTTCGCTTTCGCAACATGAAAAGCCCGCAACCTGAAACGCCGTATCTGCGCAGGTGCGTGGCATGATTTGGTGCTTGTGCGCATGCGCGAGCAGCAAAACCCAGAAGTAACCCTTTCCGGTACTTCTGGGTCGCCACAGGACACAACCTGAAAAGACGTAACATGAAGCAAACGTAACATGAGGTATGACTGTACAGTGGAACCTTGGTTTTCAAGCGTCTCAGAAGCCGAACGCCAAAAACCCATAAGTGATTGCTTCCGTTTTTGAACATGCCTCGGAAGTCAAATGGCTTCCGGTGTGTGTTTTTCCATTTTTTCAATGGAACCACCCATTGATCCTTGGTTTTCGAACATTTCGCAAGTCGAATGGTCTTCTGGAATGGATTACATTTGAAAACCGAGGTTCTGCTGTAATAGCTGTGAGGTACAAATAGGAAGATATTTCCCTCCTGCCCCCATCTCACTGCACAGCCTTCCTGGACCTTCCTCAGCGCACACATCCTTAGAGAAAACTGGGGTGACCAAGGGGTGAATGGATCAGAGCAATGCAGTCAAAGGATCTGGGAACAGGGAGAATCAAAGCTGCAACAGTTTCCCAAAGGAACTGAGAGGGTAGGCTATGAGCCTCGCTGAACCCAGGCCCCCCAGCTCTGAGGACCCTCCCAGGCCTCAGATACTGCCCACCCCACTTCCCTCCCCAGGCCCCAATCTCCAGCGACAACACAAAGCACCGAGAGATCCGTATGTTTCCAAAGGAATATTTCTTGTCCAGACCATCTTCACCAATGGAGCCAGTTTAATCTGCCACGTCCACAATGAGCGGAGCCACGTAGTCCGAGTGGCGGATCCCGAAGGTCAAGCCACGTTGTGGGGTGTGCTGCAGGAGGAAGGAGAGAGGGAGGGACAGGGTTAGGCACCGCCAGCGGAAAGGAAGGGGTGGGGGCACCGAACAATGGAGAGTAGCTGGAAAGCTGGTGCAGTGGTTAGTGTTGGGATGCTTCCAAGGGAAAGGGGGCAATTTACAAGCACCCAGCTGGATCCAGCCCACCGGCCAGTAATAATAATAATAATAAATTTATTTATATCCCACCCTCCCCAGCCGAAGCCGGGCTCAGAGCGGCTAACCACAATAAAATGATACAACATTCTAAAATCATTTCATTATAAAATCAGTTCAAATCAGATTAATGGCAACCATTGGGCTAGAGTTCTGTGAGGATTGCCAAAGGAGGGGGTCAGGCTGTGCCCTGGCCAAAGGCCTGGTGGAACAGCTCTGTCTTACAGGCCCTGCGGTAAGATGTCAAGTCCTGCAGGGCCCTAGTCTCTTGTGACAGAGCGTTCCACCAGATTGGAGCCACAGCCAAAAAAAGCCCTGGCTCTGGTTGAGGCCAGCCTAACCGTATAGGGCTTTAAAGGTCAAAACCAGCACCTTAAACCTGATCCTGTACTCCACCGGGAGCCAGTGCAGCTGGTATAGCACCGGGTGAATGTGATCCCACAGAGAGGACCCCGTAAGGAGCCTCGCCGCAGCATTCTGCACCCGCTGGAGTTTCTGGATCAGTCTCAAGGGCAGCCCCACGTAGAGTGAGTTACAATAATCCAGTCTGGAGGTGACTGCCGCGTGGATCACAGTGGCTAGGTCAGGGCGGGAGAGGTAAAGAGCCAACTGCTTAGCTTGGCGGAGATGAGGGTAGCCGGGCGATCTCCGGTCCTTGGCTCAGCATGAAACAGTGACTCGCAGCTTCAGAAGCCTTCGGAAGCTGGAGCATGCTCTAATCAGCAGAGTAAATAACACTGCGCAAACAGAAGTGGCAGGAGACGGCTGTGAGAGCATATTTACAGGCTCACCTACATTGCAGGGTTGTTGTGAAGATTTAAAAAAGGGGAGAACTATGCATGCCACCTTGAGCTCGTTGGAGGGATGTGGGATATCATAGAATCATGGAAAGGGGAATAGTTAAGTAAACTATGTGACTACGTGGAGTTAGCAAAATTGATGGACTTAATAAGGCATAAATCCAAAACTATAATTCAGAAACAATGGGAATGCTTAAATGAATATTCAAACAAAAACATCTTGGAGGTCCCGGTCCACAGGGAGGCTAGGCTGGCCTTGACCAGAGCCAGGGCTTTTTCGGCCGTGGCCCCGATCTGGTGGAACGCTCTGTCCCAAGAGACTAGGGTCCTGCGGGACTTGACATCTTTCCACAGGGCCTGCAAGACGGAGCTGCTCTGCCAGGTCTTTGGCCAAGGCGCAGTCTGACCCCCTCCTTTGGTAATCCTCAAAGAACTCTAGCCCAATGGTTGCCATTAATTTGACTCTGAATTGATTTTAGAATGAATTGATTTTAGAATGTATTTCTATTAATTGATTGTGATTTTATGCAAACTGTGTTACTTTTACTGTTGTTAGCCGCTCTGAGCCCGGCTTCGGCTGGGGAGGGCAGGATATCAATAAAATTATTATTATTATTATTATTATTATTATTATTATTATTATTATATAGGGCCCCATTACCTCCAGTAGCTTAGGGCCTCATCAAACCTAAATCCAGCCCTGCTCCTGTTCTCACAGTGGCCAAACCAGTGCCCATTGTAGAAAAGCAGGATTCAGTCACGAGAGTCCTCTCCTCTCCCAGGATTTCCAGCAACTGGGGATTCAGAGGCAGAACTTAGGCATCAAACTGTGGAGGCAGAGCATTGCTAGCAGCCATCAACAACTCTCTCCCCCTCCACGAATTTCTCCAACCCTCTTTTAGAATGAATTGATTTTAGACTGTATTTCAATTAATTGATTGTGGTTTTATGTAAACTGTGTTATTTTTACTGTTGTTAGCTGCTCTGAGCCCAGCTTCGGCTGGGGAGGGCGGGATATAAATAAAATATTATTATTATTATTATTATTATTATTATTATTATTATCTTTGCTGCAGGACAGTCCCCCCCCAACCCCATAATGCCTTCTGCTGCCACCTGCCGTCACCTTCTCGGGGCTGTAGGCTCCTGGACCCGGCTTCAAAGTGTTGTCTCCTGGGGGCATGTTGCGGGCCAGCATGCTGAAGTGCGGTGGCCGTTTCTTGTAGACGCTGGGATCCACCAGGCGGTAGTTGCAGGGCCCTGGTGTCTGTCGTGCAAGGAGGGGGGAAAGGATCACTAGGTGTCAGGGAATGGTCTGGAGACAAGGACTGGGGAATGCCTTCTATGGTAGTGAAATAAAAAATTCAAGGTCTTATATATATAATAAAGGAATGCGGGTGGCGCTGTGGGTTAAACCACAGAGCCTAGGGCTTGCCGATCAGAAGGTCGGCGGTTCAAATCCCCGCGATGCGGTGAGCTCCCGTTGCTCGGTCCCTGCTCCTGCCAACCTAGCAGTTCGAAAGCACATCAAAGTGCAAGTAGATAAATAGGTACCGCTCCGACGGGAAGGTAAATGGCGTTTCTGTGTGCTGCTCTGGTTCGCCAGAAGCGGCTTAGTCATGCTGGCCATGTGACCCGGAAGCTGTACGCCGGTTCCCTCAGCCAATAAAGCGAGATGAGCGCCGCAACCCCAGAGTCAGCCACAACTGGACCTAATGGTCAGGGGTCCCTTTACCTTTACCTTTATATATAATAAATATTCATAAATGTACCAAGCAAACACGTACATAAATATATAAACCACATGTCTGAAGCAGCACAGGAAAACATCCCTGAAACCATTTTGACTCCCAAACTGACCAAATGTTTTCTCTGCAAGGAAAATGGAAAAGCCTCCCCATTGTCTTTTCCTTCACAAATCCTGTCTTAAGGGTATGTCTGTCTGTGTATGAATAGGGTGAGCCTGTGACCTGGCTCAGGAACTAAGTATTTATCATTACAAAAGACTGGCCAGGCTCCCCAGCGTATCCAATCAAGTGACCATTAATAGGTAGCCTGCCAGACAGGAGATAAACAATGCGCTCAGATTTCTGTTGTAGACCACCCTTTTTGTGATGTAGGTATGATATGTTTGGGGAATGGTCTTAAGCTACACCCCTTCTGTGATGTATGTATGTATGATGTTTCTGGGGGTGGTCTTGGACTCCAGGGCTTGCAATTTAAAATGTCTATATAAGGGGGGGCCCACCTTTGTTCAGGGTCCTCCTCCTTTCCTGCGTGTGAAGGGGGCGCATAAAGATCAGGCTTACTAGCTGCTTTACTTCTCAATATTCTCTGGTTGGCCTCTGTTATTTTCTCTGACAGATGGAGAACCTACAAAGGACTCTATAAGGGAATAAGGGAATTCCCCCATAAGGGAATAAGGGCATATTTTTGTTTATTACAGATGACCAGCTTCTCTCCGATGGAGAGCTGGAGGGGGATGAGTCACCTGCCCCTTGTCCACAGCATGTTGAGAAGCACAGAGAGAGGCAGAAGCTGAACAGCTTATAGGGGAGTTACCCAGTTATGAACTGCTAAGTAGTTTGGATCGTAGGTTTTGGAAACTAAAGCAAAAAAAACCCTTAGGATCTTTATTAAACGTAGCAGAGGTGCTGAGACTAGACTTTACAATCATCAGCGACAGGTGAAGACTTAAGTCAGGGGTTGGCAAAGAGGGTGGCGCTGTGGGTTAAACCACAGAGCCTAGGACTTGCCGATCAGCAGGTCGGCGGTTCAAATCCCCACGATGACGGGGTGAGCTCCCGTTGCTTGGTCCCTGCTCCTGCCAACCCAGCAGTTCGAAAGCACACCAGTGCAAGTAGATAAATAGGTACCGCTCTGGTGGGAAGGTAAACAGCATTTCCGTGTGCTGCTCTGGTTCGCCAGAAGCGGCTTAGTCATGCTCGCCACATGACCCGGAAGCTGTATGCCGGCTCCCTCGGCCAGTAAACAAGATGAGTGCCGCAACCCCAGAGTTGGCCATGACTGGACCTAATGGTCAGGGGTCCCTTTACCTTTACCGGGCATGGGGCGGATCACTCCTGCAGAGATCCTCCGTGAGCTAGGCTGGCACATCACGGCACTGGAAATCACTTCTGCGCATGCCCAGATGCCAAAAACCGCACCTGGGCAGAAGCAATTTCCAGCATCTGGGCATGTGCAGAGGCAATTTCCAGCATCTGAGCATGCGAAGAAGCGATTTCCAGAGCCACAGAAGAGAGTCCCCACGCTGCGCTTTGCTGGTTTAGCGCAGCACGTGGGGATTGGCCAAGCAGGCAGCATGGTTTGGGGCCGGCTCATGGGCTGATTAAGCGACCCTCATGGGCCACTTCTGGCCCATGGGCCTTAGGTTGCTGACCTCTGACTTAAGTGTTTGAAAATAATCTCCTATTTGAAAATATTGTTACTCTTTTGTTTAAGAACCAGATCAATGCACCACCCCACCATACCTGAAGGAGCGTCTCCACCCCCATCGTTCTGCCCGGACACTGAGGTCCAGCGCCGAGGGCCTTCTGGCAGTTCCCTCATTGTGAGAAGCCAAGTTACAGGGAACCAGGCACAGGGCCTTCTCGGTAGTGGCACCCGCTCTGTGGAACGCCCTCCCATCAGATGTCAAAAAGATAAACAACTACCTGACATTCAGAAGACATCTAAAGGCAGCCCTGTTCAGGGAAGTTTTTAATGTGTGACATTTTAATGTATTTTTCATCTTTGTTGGAAGCCGCCCAGAGTGGCTGGGGAATCCCAGCCAGATGGGCAGGGTAGAAATAATTTATTATTATTATTATTATTATTATTATTATTATTATTATTAAATTAAAATAACTACCCTGGATTTCTTGGTTGTGCGTTCATCAGACAATTTCAAGGTCACCGGCAAGGGGGAAGAGGATTTCGTAAATCTCTCACTCCACGGTCTTCAAAACCTGTCCGTTCTGCTACTCACCTTGCTGAGGTCCTCATAGAAGCTGCCGATTGACTTGCGCCCATAAATGGAGAAATTGGGAGCAGAGGTCTTGCCAACCACATTGGGCCCCAGCATGGGAGGGAGCCAGTAGGCTGCAGGCCCTAGAGGTGGGGGGCAGGAAGTGGAGAGAAGTGATTCAGTGGGGCATATGGGAACGTATAGAAGCGTGTGAGAACCTGGAACCTTCTGCACTCAAAGCAAACCTATTGCTGAGCTGCAATGGCCTTTCCAAAATAGAGACGTATGAAACTACCCCATACAGAGCCAAACCACCAGTCCAAGTCCAACAGAGGTATTTTAAGGGTAGCGCGGCCGGTTTGACAGCACTGGGCGCCGCACTGCTGGGGGCGCCACCATAATGCTATAGAACGGAGAGCGAAAGCCGAGGGGGGCACTGAATTTTCACACTGCACAGGACACCACTGAAATTTGAGAGGCCATAGTCCTCCACTGGGTCCATGTCACTCAGGCCAAAGCGATGTTATAAGAATTCTAAGGTCTCAAATATAAATTAAATGTTCATAAATGTACAAGGCAAACACAGATGTAAGTACACTGGTGCCTTGGTTTAAGAGCAGCTTAGTTTATGAACAACTTGGATTAAGAACGCTGCAAACCCGGAAGTAGTTGTTTGGGTTTGTGAACTTTGCCTTGGAAGCAGAACAGGTTGAGTGTGTTCCATTTGTAAATTGAGTCCCCCGCTGCTATGGGAAAGCACGTCTTGGTTTAACACTTTGGTTTAAGAATGGACTTCTGGAACGGATGAAGTTCGTAAACTAAGGTACCACTGTATATAAACCATGTATCTGAAATAGTACAGGAGAGCAATACTGAAGCCATTTTGACTCTCCCAAATTGACCTCAAATATTTCTCTGAAAGGAGGGAGGAAATGGGAAAAGTCTTTTGCTTACCTGTCTTAAGGGTGCATTTGTGTATGAATAAGGCGAGCCTGTGACCTGGATTCAGGAACTAAAGTATTTACCATCACAAAAGAATGGCCAGACTCCCCAGGTAATGCAGTCAGTAACCATTAACAGATATCCTGGCAAACAGGATTTCTGCTGTAGACCGCATCCTTCTGTGATGTATGGATGATGTTTCTGGGGGTGGTCTTGGGCTACAGGGTGGGCAGTTTCAAAAGTCTATATAAGGGCTTGCACACCATTATTCGGGATTCTCCTTCCTACTGTGTGTGGTGAGTGGGGACCCTGTTGCAACAGTTCCTTGAATAAAGATCAGGCTTACTAGCCACTTTGCTTCTCAATATTCTCTGGTTGGCCTCTGTTATTTTCTCCTACTGATAGGGAACCCACTTAAGGACTCTATACAGGCTCTTGGATACCCCATAAGGGAAAAGGAGCAGGTTTGGTTTTTTTCTTATAACCAATAAATGTCATTTTTACCTTTGTCTGCAAACACCCTTCCCACCTGGCGTCCACTCTCTCACCTGGTGTCTGGTCGTTCTGGAATTCCTTCGTCCGGTAGGCAAGGGAGTACATGGGGGCAGAGCGGTAAGCCCATCTCCCAGCTTTCTCCGGAGAATAGCAGCCTGTTGGAAGCAGAGAGCCACAATCTGATCAGGATGCAGAAGGGCACAGAGAAGGGTTGACATTCAGCAGTCCCTTCCAGCTCCTTAACTCTATGATTCTCCGTATGAACCCCTGTTAAAAACCTCCGATGGAGAGTCCACCACCTTCTGAAGGAATCCGTTCCATTGATGAACAGTTCTTTACCACCAGGAAGTTATTCCTAAGGCTCAGTCACAATCTCCCTTCTTGTAACTTGATTCCATCTCCTCCAGAGCTGCAGAAAAGCAAGTTTGCTCCACCTTCCCCAATGGAAGAACACTGGAATACTGCTGAGTTGTTAATAATAATAATAATAATAATAATAATAATAATAATAATAATTTATACCCCGCCCTCCCCAGCCAAGGCCGGGCTCAGGGCGGCTTACAAGGAATAATAAAAACAAGTTGAATGATTACAACTTAAAAACAAAATTAAAATACAACATTAAAATAATGAAACATTAAAATATTAAAATGTAGCCTCATCACAGGAGGAGAAGGAAAAGAAAAAAGAAAGAGGGAGGGAATCAAACTGGCTCCAAGCCAAAGCCCAGGCGGAACACCTCTGTCTTACAGGCCCTGCGGAAAGAAATCAGATCCTGCAGGGCCCTGGTCTCATGAGGCAGAGCGTTCCACCAGGCCGGAGCCAGTGTTGAAAAGGCCCTGGCTCTGGTTGACACTAATCTAACTTCCTTAGGGCCCGGGACCACTAGGGTGTTGCTATTTATGGACCTTGAGGCTCTCTGTGGGGCATACTGGGAGAGGCGGTCCTGTAGGTACGAGGGTCCTAGGCCGTGAAGGGCTTTAAAGGTCAAAACCAGCACCTTAAACCTGACCCTGTACTCCACCGGGAGCCAGTGCAACTGGAAAAACACTGGGTGAATATGCTCCCATGGCAGAGACCCCGTGAGGAGCCTCGCTGCAGCATTCTGTACCCGCTGGAGTTTCTGGGACAGCTTCAAGGGTTAGAAAGGGAGTTTTGGTCTTGCGGCTGCTCCCTTTCTTCCCAAAAGAAAAATGGGGTGACCAGCTTGGGAAGTGCCTCTTCGCTAACTCTAACCCCCATTGAACCCCCTGTCTCACTACTGTTTCCAATTGTTGACTTCTGCTAATAAAAGGAGCCTCTTCAGTGCTAGTCGGCGGCTTGCTTGGAGCATGCTTGCCAGAGTGCTTCTGCACAGCTCACTTGCATTCAACCTCCCGTGGTCCTCGTTATTCCTACAATGGTGTGATGGCCTGGGAATCGGATTCAGAGGCTGAACCTGAGGAATCCCAGCCTGCACAGGAGTCCCCGCCTCCAGAACCAGCTGAGCCGGGGCTGGGGCTTGAACCTGAAGGGCCTTCACCTGTGCCAGATCCTCAGGAGCAGACACCAGCTGAATTCGCTCTGGCTCCGGAGGTGATGGAGGACCCATTGCCTGCAGGTGCTCCACTGTCAGCCCCGTCAGGGGAAGGTGAGGTTGCCTCTGGGTCCAGTAACCCTCCAGCCTCTCCTGAGCTGCAGAGGCTCAGGGCAGAGAGGCGGAGGGAACTAAGTTCCTGCAGGAGGAGTGCTCACCTTCAGGCCAGGAGAGGCGAGTCACCTGTGGACCGGGGCCACCCTATGCCTCAGAGGAGATAAAGGCCAGCCAGCCCAGTCCCAGGTTGCGGGAGCAACATCGTTGGTAACCTGTTCCTGCTGGTACCCTGACCTGCTCTCCTGCCAGAGTTCCTGACCACACCCGACTCCTCGCTTTGGACCTCGCTTCGCCCCTGACAGACAGCCTCCATACCCTCGACCTAGGACCAGACTTAGACCACACCGCACGGTAACCCCCCCCCAGGACCAGCACAAATGGGGTGCCCCAGGCCCAGATTTCAAGACAGACCTGGCCCCGGGGTCCTAAAAGGCGGCACGTCCTTGGGGCGTCCGTAGATGGAATAAGCAGGAATCCCAGCCCTGCCCCTCATGGTCATGTTGGTTGGGATGAGGTAGCCCGGGCCGGGGGAGCAGTTCTCTTGGTCCTGGGAGTGGCGAGTGCCAAAGCTGTAGGCCGGGGCCCGGGTGCGAGAAGGATCATGCAGTTGGTAGCCTGCAAGGAGAAACAGCAGCAGGGAAGGAAGGTTAGACGTTGGGCCAGAGAGACATGGCGGGGGTGGGTGGGTGATGCTCTACCCCAGTGGTTGCCAAACATTTTGGGGCCACTGCCCACTAGGTTCCATAAACACACCCCAGGGCCCCAGGGTGACCCGGAAACTGCACCTAATCCTAGACTGGGAGTGGCCGCCGAGACCACATAACACCAGTCTTGAAATACCTACATTGGCTCCCAGTATGTTTCCAAGCACAATTCAAAGTGTTGGTGCTGACCTTTAAAGCCCTAAACGGCCTCGGTCCAGTAGACCTGAAGGAGCATCTCCACCACCATTGTTCAGCCGGGACACTAAGGTCCAGCACCGAGGGCCTTCTGAAGCAAAGCTACAGGGAACCAGGCAGAGGGCCTTCTTGGTAGTGGTGCCCGCCCTGTGGAACGCCCTCCCACCAGATGTCAAAGAGAACAACAACTACCAGGCTTTTAGAAGACATCTGAAGGCAGTCCTACTTAGGGAAGCTTTTAATGTTTGATGCATTACTGTATTTTAATGTTTTGTTGGAAGCAGCCAGATGGGCGGGATACAAATAATAAAATTATTATTATTATTATTATTACTACTACTATTATTATAAATACATTCTGCAGAATAGCGGCTTTCATCACCCGCTAGGGAAGCTAAGAACCCAACAAAATTCAAAACAGTAACAATTAATTGCACATTTGCTCGAAATCGAATTGAAATCATTTAGTCGATTCAAAAAAAAATTAGTTTGATACGAGATATTGCATGAGAAATATTTTTATGCATTCTCCCTAACGAAAATATACAGGGGAAGGAAATTTTTAGTGTAAAATATCATTTTGGTACAGTTTCTTCCCAACCACCCCTTTTCAAGAATCAGTTTTTAAAATCCTGTGAGCAATCACAGCAAAGCTCAAAAGCAGAGAGAGAAATGACAACTGGCCGTCCCCTCTTGCTTGTCCCAAGAGCGACACTGTCTTGGAGAACTGGTTTTTGTTTTCTGCAAGTGGTTGACATTTCCCTCCTGAGCTGACACCTCCTGTCCTTTTTCAGTCTTTTATTCCCATGCCCGCTGCAACATCTAGTGGCAAGGAGTTTCACAAGTCGTTTCTGTGCTGGGTAGACTGCTCCTGTTTAGCCCATTCTAGGGTTTGAAAGCTGGACTTTGTCCCCACCCCAAATTCACTCACCTACGTTTGATGGGAGAGCATATTTGGGCCCGGGGCTGCTGTAGAGGGCAGCAATTGGCCCTCTGGGCCGGTGGGGGCGCCAGGACCCCACCCAAACATCTGTCGACATGTTCTGGTCTTGGGAGAGGAAGGGAAAGGAGATTGTGAGCTGCTTTGAGACTCCTTTGGGTAGTGATAAAGCGAGATATCAAATCCAAACTCCTCTTCCTCTTCCTCCTCCTCCTCCTCCTCCTCCTCCTCCTTCTTCTTCTTCTTCTTCTTCTTCTTCCTGCTATATAATAGGGGAATGCACTCTGCTAAGTGAAGAACCTTGCTAGCATGAGTTAGGAAAAATAATACTAATCAATATATCCTCTCCTGTTACTCACAACATTCCCACAAAGTCATGCATCCACAGCAGTGACCAGGGGAGGAATGACTGCTGGCAGGAGCGCAAAGATAAGAAATGTAATGGTGCATCCACAGCTGTACATCAGACACCTTCCTCTGCCCTAGCTGCAACAAAACATGTCTCTCCCACATTGGTCTCTACAAACTTCTATCAGTTTGACTTCACCCCCCCAAAGGCAAACTCGTCTGTTGCCTCCCGAGAAATATGGATGCCAACAAACAACGCTGCAAAATCCAACTATTTAGTTTAATTAATGCAACAAATCTGGTGAGTTGGCTCCAGCTGTTCAAAGTCTGATAGTCATTGACACTCACAGTTCCCTTGCAGCTCCCTTCCCTCTTAGTTGCGGGGTCAGGTCAGGCTGTGACCCAGAAGCAGTCCTGGAGCAGGCGACAATTTCCCACTACAGATAATAAAACACACACAAATGCCATCTGTCCTGAATGCTTTAGCTGAGATTCCTGCATTGAAGAGGGTTGGACTAGATGACCCAGCGGGTCCCTTCCAACTCTACAATTCTATGCATGCATAATAATAATAATAATAATAATAATAATAATAAATTTTTATTTATACCCCGCCCTTCTCGGTTCAGAAAACCGGGCTCAGGGCAGCTAACAACAAATTTAAAACAATTGATGCAACAAAAAACAGCATAAAATACAGTATAAAACGTGAATAACAATAAATTCAGAATTCAAAAATCAATTTAGGGGGGAATCCATCCAGTAAACATTAGATGATCACCAGGGCTAGCTGGCTAAATTAGTCCTATTTGGGCCAGCGAGGAGACCAGGGGAGAATTAGCTGTGGGATCCCAGAGCAGGTAATCTTCATAAGAAGGAGAGAGGGAGGGAAGGAAGAGGAATAAAAGATCAGGCTAAGTTCAAGTTGAAAACCAGGTGGAATAGATCTGTCACAGAGGCCCAGCGGAAGGAGGGCCCTGGTCTCATGGCACAGAGCATTCCACCAGGTCGGAGCCATCACTGAGAAGGCCCTGGCCCTGGTGGAGGATAATCTGACTTCCTTAGGGCCCGGGACCCTAAGATAATTCCAGGCATCTGATGAAGTGGACAGAAGCCTGTGCCATAATCATATTCCTTAATGCGCTTTGTATTTGCTTCTTTCTCTGTGCCTGCCAGGTTAGTCTCCCACATGGTTTCCAAACAAAACCAGCAAACACACGCCATTGTCTGGGTCTCTCTCTCTCTCTCTCTCTCTCCCTCCTCTCTCTGGCCCAGTTGCCATGCCAGCGGGGACAGCAAAACAGAGATTGACCATGCGCTGGCAGCAGCTGCGGCAGTGCCCTTCTTTGCACAAAAGCACCCACATACACAGCTAAAGAATGCCTGGCAGATGACCACCCAACCCCTGCCCTTTAAAACTTCCTGGAATCACAGGGCAGTAGAGTTGGAAGGGGCCACGAAAGCCATTCGGTCTAACCCGCCCAGAAATGCAGGAATCTATTTTTTTTTAATAAAAGAAAAAGGCAGTCTCTAGCCCTCCTGGAAGGAGGGTTATGACGCAAAATGCATAGTAAGCGAGAGGTGACGCAGCTTGGCTTCTCCTGCCTCTAAATTAGTTTTTTTTTTTAGCCAAAGTCAGATCTGTCCTGGACGAGTGAGTTGTTTGGATACCAGGCAATGAGGAATCCCCAGGATCCTATCTGGTAATGCTAATAATAATAATAATAATAATAATGGCAAGTCCGATTATTAAAACAATTACCGTATTTTTCGCTCTATAAGACACACCAGACTACAAGACGCACCTAGTTTTTGGAGGCGGAAAACAAGAAAAAAAATATTCTGAATCTCAGAAGCCAGGACAGCAAGAGGGATCCCTGCGCAGTGAAAGCAGCAATACCTCTTGCTGTTCTGGCTTCTGGGATAGCTGTGCAGCCTGCATTCGCTCCATAAGATGCACACACATTTCCCCTTACTTTTTAGGAGGGAAAAAGTAGTCTTATAGAGCAAAAAATATGGTATTTCACATTTTTAAGTCCTTGGGTTTTCTGTTGCTTCAAAGTATTTTGTGCTATCTTATTTTAATTCATCACACACAGAGAAAGAGAGACCCAGCCAGCCTAGCTCTGGAAGCTGGAGCACAAAAAAAAGAGCTGTAAGAAATAAATTTAAAAATGGAGGGCACCAGGTTCCTGTTTGAGATGGGGTTGCCTGAGGCCACGAGAAACTCCTAATCTTCTTCATGCATGTGCGAGAGAGAGGGAAATATTTCAATGAGAGGGAGAGCATAGTAGTTATAAGCAGTGTTTTTTTCTCTCTCTAAACAAATGTTTAGGGTTGCTCTCATTTTCCTACTCCTATTGAAACGCTGCCCCTTAATGAGGCCAAACTTAGATTTGCAAATTATTTAGGGGGGTATGCGTACCCCTGCGTACCCCCAGGAAAAAAGCACTAGTTATAAGGAACCCAACTGTCCACACACACCTCCCACCCTGTAATGCAGGAATCAGGGCTAGAGAGAGGGGCAGGGAACATGACAGACCCCTATGTAGCGCAGATAGATCTTATTGCAATTTAGTTCTAAGGCGGTGTTTTGGAATGACCCCTCACCTGATCTCTTGAGGCTATTGGAGGATCACCTGGCCAGGTCTTCAGGTGGCGCCGGGGCAGGCTGAGCTAGACTCGCCTAGCGGTTTGGATGAGTCCCTTCCGTGGACGGTCCAGGCGAGGGAGTCCCTGCAAGGGAGAGTCATCGCAAGGAAACGAAGAACTGTAACGTCGGAAGGGACCCTAAGCTCTTTGCAATGCGGGAATGACAGCTTAAAAACCCCAGCCTCTGCTGGAAAACCTCCGATGAATCGCTAGAATCAGGGAATCGTGGAGTTGGAAGAGACCCAAGAACCATCTAGTCCAGGCACCCCCAAACTCGGCTCTCCAGCTGTTTTGGGACTACAACTCCCATCATCCCCAGCTAAAAGGACCAGTGGTCAGGGATGATGGGAATTGTAGTCCCCAAACAGCTGGAGGGGCCGAGTTTGGGGGTGCCTGATCTAGTCCACACACACACACCCTACGCGCCAGGCAGGAATCTCGGCTAAAGAACCCCTGGCAACACAGCTGCCTCGAATCCACCCCCCAGTTTCTCCCCCAATACTCTGCCACTCATCCCAGCCAGACACGGGGCGACGGACGAGGGCACCCCACCGCCTTTCCAACCAGCAGAGGACAGATCCCAGGAGATCCAGCGTGGGTGGGGTGGGGAGATCTTGGAAGGAGAAAGGGAGCCATTCAGAAAAGCGATCCCCGACGGGGTATGGGATCCCCAGCACTTAAAGGTCTCATCCCCAGCCACTGAAGAGGCGGAGAAGGGATGGATCCTGCGGGAGACGGGGCTGGGATCCCGGAGCACCGACCTGGGGCTGGGAGCGGACGGCAGGGAGAGCTGCTGGACCCCCGCTCGGCGCAAGGCGGACCCCGGAGAGAGAGAGAGGCAGCCGGACTGAGCCGGCCCGGAGCTGCCCCAACCTCCGTCCCTCCGGCCCGCAGTGTGTACGCTGTTTCCCGGCAACGGCGCCTCCTCCTTTCCCCGGTCCCGGGGCGGCTCCGTCGGGCGGCTTCAGCGCAGCGCCCGCTGCGTCCCTAACCAGCGCCTCTGGTCTGCCTGCGTAAAGTCTGTCCTGGGTTCAAGAGAGCGGGCGGGGAGGGGAGGTGTCAGGCGGGCTCCTAGTAAGTCTCGGGTTTCTTATTGTAACATTTTTACGGGGTTTCTCTTTTGTTGCAATGTGATTGTAATTGAGTTTCCAGATTTTTAAAACAGGTTTCCCCATCGAATGGTTTTATGAACAATTGTTGCAAGCGGCTCTGGTTTACAGTAGTTTGGTTTTATGAATAACTCAGTACAGTGGTACCACGGGTTAAGTACTTAATTCGTTCCGGAGGTCCGTTCTTAACCTGAAACTGTTCTTAACCTGAAGCAGCACTTTAGCTAATGGGGCCTCCCTCTGCCGCCGCGCGATTTCTGTTCTCATCCTGAAGCAAAGTTCTTAACCTGAAGCACTATTTCTGGGTTAGTGGAATCTGTAACCTGAAGTGTATGTAACCTGAAGCGTATGTAACCCGAGGTACCACTGTACTTTATTTCTTTTTTAAAAATGTAGAAGAGGAAGAAATGGAGGCAGTGGGAGATTTTATTTTCTTGGGCTCCATGATCACTGCAGATGGTGACAGCAGCCACGAAATTAAAAGACGCCTGCTCCTTGGGAGAAAAGCAATGACAAACCTAGACAGCATCTTAAAACACAGAGAAATCACCTTGCCAACAAAGGCCTGTATAGTTAAAGTTATGGTTTTCCCAGTAGTGATGTATGGAAGTGAGAGCTGGACCATAAAGAAGGCTGATCGCTGGAGAATGGATGCTTTTGAATTCTGGTGCTGGAAGAGACTCTTGAGAATCCCATGGACTGCAAGAAGATCAAACCTCTCCATTCTGAAGGAAATCAGCCCTGAGTGCTCACTGGAAGAACAGATCCTGAAGCTGAGGCTCCAAGACTTTGGCCACCTCATGAGAAGAGAAGTCTCCCTGGAAAAGACCCTGATGTTGGGAAAGATGGAGGGCACAAGGAGAAGGGGACGACAGAGGATGAGATGGTGGAACAGTGTTCTCGAAGCTACCAGCATGAGTTTGACCAAACTGCGGGAGGCAGTGGAAGACAGGAGTGCCTGGCGTGCTCTGGTCCAGGGGGTCACGAAGAGTCGGTCACGACTAAATGACTAAACAACAACAACTCTCCTTTTGACTCAAGAAAACCACCATTTTATGGTTCAAATTGGGGGAAATAAATACAGTAAGTGGACAAAAGTACAAAGATTCACAAAATGTTTAGGGGTATGCTTCCCCCTGCGTCCCCCCCAGAAAAAAAGCACTGTGAATAACGCTATTTGAATTTAAAGAAATGAAAACCACTGGCTGGAGTTACCCAGAGAGGGAAGGGCATTCTATCCATGCTCAGAGAACTGCCTTTTCCGTTTTCTTTGCTAATGAACTCACATCCCAGTTGACAGCAAAAGCCGTCGGACAGCGGGACGGTCTCTCTTGGGAGGTGGCGAACTCTCCTTCCTTGGAGGTTTTTAAGCAGCGGTTGGATGGCCACCTGTCCTGGATTCGAGAGCTGAGATTCCTGCCTTGCAGGGAGTTAGACTAGATGACCCATGGGGTCCCTTCCAATCCCACAACTATAAAATCAATAGGGTCATACAACTCGCTTATGCTACACAAGGCATAGGCAAACTTGGCCCTCCAGATGTTTTGGGACTACAATTCCCATCATCCCTGACCACTGGTCCTGTTAGCTATGGATGATGGGAGTTGTAGTCCCAAAACATCTGGAGGGCCAAGTTTGCCTGTGTCTGTGCTACACGCACCTTCTGGGGAAACAACGGGCATACTCAAGCCCAACCCTCTACGCGTCTGCTCAGAAGTGAGTCCCGTTGTGTCATTAAAACTACTGCATTCCATATATATATATATATATATATATATATATATATATATGCTTTTTGGCTTTATACATTTCATTAATTTTACAATCATTTTATCATTTCAAAACTTGACTTCCTTCTCTCTCTTTCTGCAGTTCCTTAAATTTATTTTTAATGTCTTCTGTATATCCAAATGAATTTAATTTGCTCATTTATTTATCTATTTTAAATATATACCCTAATAATAATAATAATAATAATAATTTATTATTTATACCCCGCCCATCTGGCTGGGTTTCCCCAGCCACTCTGGGCGGCTTCCAATAAAATATTAAAATACAGTAATGCATCAAACATTAAAAGCTTCCCTAAACAGGGCTGCCTTCAGATGTCTTCTAAAAGTCTGGTAGCTGTTTTTCTCTTTGACATCTGGTGGGAGGGCGTTCCACAGGGCAGGTGCCACCACCGAGAAGGCCCTCTGCCTGGTTCTCTGTAGCCTCACTTCTCGCAGCGAGGGAACCACCAGAAGGCCCTTGGCGCTGGACCTCAGTGTCCGGGCAGAATGATGGGGGTGGAGACACTTCTTCAGGTATACTGGACTGACGCCTTATAAAACTTCAGGTGATTGCAATAACCCTGCCAATGTATTGTGATGCATACCACTGCCCGGTGATTCTGCAAGTTGATATGATTGATTTTTAGGTGATTCTGTAAGTTGATATTATTGATTTTTAGGACAGTTTCTTGCAATGGCTTTTATACGACAGGTGGTTTCGGAATCAAATCATGGCCTTGATTGATTTATGCCTCTGCCACTTTATAGAACAGTTGGCCGGGAGCCATCTACTGGGTCATGTTGGGACATGGCCCTTGAGGGCAGGTCAGCTGGAATGTATACTGATTTTACCTGAACTGTGTGCTTACACAGCACACAGCTTACACAGCACAGTGGCAAAGAATGGGGGACCAGGCAATTATGGTATCAGTTTTTAGCACCTGTGGGCACTGCTCTGTTGTTCTCAGATTATGCACCTGGGCACAGGGAATAAAGGACCGGGAACAAGGAAATCACCAAGGTGCATGTCGGGTGCTGATTCTCAATCCATGTTCCTGGAACAGAGGCTTCACGCCAGGGCTTGTTTATTGCAGATAAATGCCACAGAACTTGCCACAACTTGGCATTGAAACAGAGGCCATGCCCTGGCTAGGGGCGTGTCTTGATTTTGGAAGAATTTGGACAGCTTTCCCCAAGCTTGTTCCCTCTGGATGGGAGGAGCAAAACATATGTTCAAAATAACAATAATCAGTGCTATTTTTCCAGAAAAAGAGGTGCTGGAACTTATCGTGAATACCTCCCTCATTCTCTTCGAACGGCAATGGCGCCAACTTGAGAGTTCTAGCTCGTTCTGGCTGAAAAAAAGCCCTGATGTTGATGATTATACCATTTTAGAAGCACAGTGGTACCTTGGTTCTCAAACGTAATCCGTTCCGGAAGTCCGTTTGACTTTTGAAACGTTCAAAAACCAAGGCGCGGCTTCCGATTGGCTCAGGTGCCCCAGAAACAATAGCCAACAGTCGCATCAGACGTTCGGCTTCTGAAAAATGTTTGAAAACCAGAACACTTATTTCTGGGTTTTCGACGTTTGGGAGTCGATTTGTTTGTCAACTAAGACGTTCAAGAACCAGGATTCTACTGTACGTTTTTCCTAGCAGAATTTCCATCGTATGGATTTAGAGAGGATGACATCTAGACTAACACACAAGCTTGCAGCAATATATAGACTCAACAATGCAGCTGCCTGCATTTTTCTCTGTAGGGATGTTGACCTCAAGATGAGTTCTTGAGCTTCCAGATTTAAGAACGACGGGAGAGGAGAGGCCACTCACGCTCCAGTCCTGCTTATGGGCTTCTCCACATGCATCTAGTGGACCACGGAAAGAACAGGATGCTGGGCTAGATTGAGCTGAATTACAATTTATCACTAAACTGAAAACTATGGAGAGGATTGCTTTGCTTGTAGTATTTATTTTATTTTATTTTATTTTATTTTATTTTATTTTATTTTATTTCTCCAGAGAGAGTGGGGAGAGCAGTGCTTCGCTTGCAGTATTTATTTTATTTTATTTTATTTTTCATTTTATTTATTTTATTTTAATTTATTTCTCTAGAAAGAGCAGGGAGAGCATCGCTTCGCTTGCAGTATTTATTTTATTTTATTTTATTTTATTTTATTTTATTTTATTTTATTTCTCCAGAGAGAGTGGGGAGAGCAGTGCTTCGCTTGCAGTATTTATTTTATTTTATTTTATTTTATTTCTCTAGAAAGAGCAGGGAGAGCAGTGCTTCGCTTGCAGTATTTATTTTATTTTATTTTTCATTTTATTTATTTTATTTTAATTTAATTTATTTCTCCAGAAAGACCAGGGAGAGCAGTGCTTCGCTTGCAGTATTTATTTTATTTTATTTTATTTTATTTTTCATTTATTTTTCATTTTATTTATTTTATTTTAATTTAATTTATTTCTCCAGAAACAGCAGGGAGAGCATCGCTTCGCTTGCGGTATTTATTTCATTTTATTATTTCACTTTCTTTTACTTTCTGCTATCATTGCTCCAGAAAGAGCCCGGAAAAGCCCCGCCTCTCGCGCAGCAGCCCCGCCCTCCCCTCGCCCCGCTCGCCAGCGTCCTTTCTCCCCATGCGAACTACCACTCCCGTCATGCCGCGCGGCGGCAGGAAGCCCGTCCCGGAAGTGCGCCCGGGCTGCAACCGGCGCCCGGAAGCGCGGTTCCCGTGGCGCCCATGGCCGAGCAGGCGGCCCCTCCGCCTCCGCCGCCGCCGGTCTACGTGCACAGCGCCGAGTACCTGGCGCGATGCGACGCCCTCTGCAAAGTCCCCGAGCGGGTGCGGGGCCCGGGGGGCGGGAGGGGGCGGAGAAGTGGGGAGGCGCACTAGCCAAGGCGCTAGTCCTCAGGGAGATCCTTTGGGCCAGCAAAGCGGGGGGAAGAGGGCAGTCCCTCAGGGGGGGACTGGAAAGGGGGGGGAATTGCATGGGGGGGGGAATTGCATGGGGGGGGGACAACCCACCCATCTACCCAAGGCGCTAGTCCTCAGCGAGATCCTTTGGGCCAGCAAAGGGGGGGGGAGAGGGCAGTCCCTCAGGGGGGGACTGGAAAGGGGCGGGAATTGCATGGGGGGAACAACCCACCCATCTACCCAAGGCGCTAGTCCTCAGCGAGATCCTTTGGGCCAGCAAAGGGGGGGGGAGGGCAGTCAATGAAGGAGGGGCTGGAAGGGGGGGATATGCATGGCGAGGGGGGGTACAAAAGGCGCTAGACCTGTCAGGAGATTTGCATTACCACAATACTTTTTAAGATAATAATAATAATAATAATAATAATAATAATAATAATATATCATTTATACCCTGCCCATCTGGCTGGGCTTCCCCAGCCACTCTGGGCGGCTTCCAACAGAACATTAAAATACAATAGTCTGTTAAACATTAAAAGCTTCCCTAAACAGGGCTGCCTTCAGATGCCTTCTAAAAGTCTGGTAGTTGTTCTTCTCTTTGACATCTGGTGGGAGGGCGTTCCACAGGGCGGGTGCCACCACCAAGAAGGCCCTCTGCCTGGTTCCCTGTAACTTGGCTTCACGCAGCGTGGGAACCGCCAGAAGGTTATAATAATAATAATAATTTATTGTTTCTACCCCACCCATCTGGGTTTCCCCAGCCACTCTGGGCGGCTTCCAACAGAACATTAAAAATAGAATTCCTAAGCGAATTCCTAATCTCTTATTGATCAATAAGTATTTTTATTTTTAATATTTTTTCTGTTTTGCCGTTTTTTCTTTTTCTCTCCCCCCCTTCCCCCCTTTTTCTTTTTAATGGTATTATATTTATATACCTAGAGTTACAGTCATACCTCAGGTTACAGACGCTTCAGGTTGCGTGTTTTTTGGTTTCAGTACTTCCGGGTTTCGGCACTCACGCATACGCAGAAACACTAAATGTTTTGCGCATGCGCAGAAGCGCCGAATCGCGACCCGTGCATGCACAGACGTGCCTCCCGCACGGATCATGTTCGCAACCCGAGCGTCCACTGTATCTTAGTTTTTAAATTAATTTTATCATGTACAAGATAACGTTTATTTCAGTCTCTAAGAATAGCTCATGTAAAATCAACTTATTCTTTATGCTTTTCCGTGAAAGTTTCGAAAATAAAAAATGAAACCAAAAAAAAATTCCTGCATTGCAGGGGGTTGGACTAGATGACCCCTGGGAGGGAATCCCTCCCAACTCTACGATTCTATGGCCTCTCCTTCCTTGGAGAGTTTTAAGCAGAAGTTCAGTGCCCACCCAAAAGGGATGCTATGGTTGAGATTCTTGCCTTGCAAGGGGTTGGACTAGATGACCACTGGGATGTCCCTTCCAGCACTGCAGGTTTCTGATTCCGTGAGGATGGTCTGGTTTGGCTTAATTTCTCTCTCCCTCCCTTTTCCCACAGGCCAGCATGGTGCATTCCTTGATCGAATCCTACTCGCTCCTTGATCACATGAGGTAGGCGCAAGCAGCACATCTTGCCATGGGGCAGGTGGGGGTCTTTTGGGCAAGGAGGGGTGTCTCTTCCAGGGGCTCCTGCAGCTTCCACCTGTTATGGAAAGGGGCATTTTATTCTGGATTGTTTTGTTTGATGCTTTAAGGCCGGTTGCAAACCGCTCAGATTTTTTCCTTAAAAATATAAAGTGGGGTAGAAATGAAATTGATCATAAAAATATTTTCTTTAGGCCACATTTCTCAGAGCTCTTGAAGAATACTTGCTAAGCAGCTGAGATCTCTTTGACTGACAACAGGGGGATGTTGCCCTGGGGGGAACTTTGCTGTAGTCCAGGAGATACAGAGGGACAGCCTCAGAGGACTTCTGTTCTGCTCCTAACCCATCCCATAGCAGAAACACCTGCTCGATTTGAGGCTTATCCATCCTTCTTCTTGTCCCACGGTTTTCCTCCTGGGAAAACTGCTCTTTGGCGCTCAATCGGAGCAAAAAAACACGTTCTTTGGCACTCAATCAGAGCAAAAAACCACTCTTTGGTGCTCAATTTGAGCAAAAAAACACTCTTTGGCAATCAATCAGAGCAAAAAAAATACTCTTTGGCGCTTAATCGGGGCAAAAAAACACTCTTTGGTGCTCAATCAGAGCAAAAAAACGCTCTTTGGTGCTTAATCAAAGCAAAAAAATACTCTTTGGTGCTCAATCAGAGCAAAAACCCGCTGTTTGGCGCTTAATCGGAGCAAAAAACCGCTCTTTGGCGCTCAGTCGGAGCAAACAGCAGTTAGGGTTTTTCTTAATGGATTGCCGTTTATTCCAATTTAAAGCCAAAGAGCAGGTTTTCCTTGCAGAGGAGCAAGGCAAGGGGAAGTTTGGGCGAGCCCCTGCAGCGGTTGAGGTGCTGCCTTCCATATTCTGGGTCTGCCCTATCCACCAAGTTCTTCATTTCCATAGGATTGTCCCACCCAAAGTAGCTTCCATGGAGGAGATGGCCGGCTTCCACACAGACGCCTACCTGCAGCACCTGCAGAAAGTGAGCGAGGAAGGCGACGATGACCATCCGGAATCGGTGGGATTTGGACTAGGTGAGGAGGTGGCTGCTTGGGGTTTTTTCCATGGAGAACTCCAGACAAGGTGCCAGGGAAGATCTGCTTCCAGGTTCAGGGTGCTGAGATTTATCTCACAGCCAGGACCGGATTTAGGTTGTTTTGGCCTACAACTCCCATGATCCCTAGCTAACAGGATCAGTGGTCAGGGATGATGGGAATTGTAGTCCAAAGCATCTGGAGGGCCGAAGTTTGGGGATGCCTTCCCTAAGCTCCTGGAGGTTATGGGGCCCTTGATATGTCCATCTGTCCTTTGTCAACAAGAAATGGTCACTGTTTTTTGTGTGGAATATATGCTATATGGAAATTTATGGACCTAAGAGGTATCCAAATTGAAATTGAAATAATTTATTGTCACTTATACAACTTGTATACAGTGAGATTACACGAGCACCCCTCACTCAGCTCTCTTAGTCTTAATTCCCCTCGTTTACTGACGCAGACCCACCAAACCCGAAAGTCAGTTGTCTTGTTGTTATCTTTTCATTCAGCAGCCTAATAGCCCACGGATAGAATCTGTTCTTTACCCTGTTGGCGCGACTAATCATGCTTCTATATCTTCTGCCCGAGGGCAGGAGATCAAGAAAGTGCCGGCCAGGGTGTGAATCATCATCCCTGAGAATTTTCCTCACTTTCCTGAGGCAATGTTCTTCCGCTATTTCATCCAGTGGATTCACGGGACAGCCCATAATATCTTGTGCTGTATTCACCACCCTCTGTAGGCACTTCCTATCAGTTGATGTCAAACCAGCGTCCCATACCGTGATGCAGTAGGAAAGGACACTTTCTATTGTGGACCAGTAGAAGGAGATCATCAGATGTTGACTGACATTGTTATTCCGCAAGACTCTGAGGAGATGGAGTTTATAATAATAATAAAGCCATTTGCACATAACAAAATACGTATTTTATCAAAGTGATTGTCGAACTGAAATACAATTAAGAAGTACAATCGTACCTCTGCTTACGTATCCCTCTGGAATAAATGATGTTACTGCAGTCACACAATCGATCAATCAGGAGCTGAACTGGGTTCCACACGGTCACAAAAACGAAACAAAAAAAAGAGCCACAAGAACACAAAATAAATAGCAGAAACAGACAGACCTCAGCGTAACACTCAAAACAGAGCAAGTTCAGCTTCCAAAAAAAGTTTGCAAACCGGAACACTTACTTCCGGGTTTGCAGTGTTTGGGTTCCAAGTTGTTTGAGTACCAAGGCGTTTCAGAACCAAGGTACCACTGTAAAAGGTTAAATGCAATTAAAGTGGAAAATTGTCCAAATAATAAAAAGATACACCTGGTGTCTCTGATTCTTCTATCACGCTCACCCCTTTCTCCTGCTCCCTCCAGGTTACGACTGCCCGACCTCGGAAGGGATCTTTGACTATGCGGCCGCCGTGGGAGGAGCCACCATCACAGCCGCCCAGTGTTTGGTGAATGGTGACTGCCAGGTTGCCATCAACTGGCCCGGAGGCTGGCATCACGCAAAGAAGTAAGGAAGTTCTGTCTTTTCTTGTTGCTTCTCCCAGAGCCTGCACTGTTAGGCCTAGTCCACCTTGGCATCCGTCAGGCCTGCGGGGAGAGGAATCACAGAATCACAGGACTGTAGAGTTGGAAGGAACCCCAGCGGTCATCTAGTCCAACCGCCTGCAAGGCAGGAATCTCAAGCATCCATGACAGGTGTCCATCCAACCTCTAAATTTGACATAGATTTGGAACCTACTCACCATTAATTCAAAATTTGATTGTCCTGCATTTGTCTGGTTTGGTTGTTTGTCATTCCATTCATTTTACTTTCACGCACCTTAAACTTGATGTGAAAACTTAATAGTTTTTTATTTATACTTTTCAAATTTATACATTTCATTAGTTTTACAACCCATTTAACATTTCAAAGCTTGACTTCCTTCCCCCTCTTTTTTAATACCTTCTACATATCCAAATTCAATTGCTCGTTTGATTTATCGACTGCAAATAGATACTCTTATAAAACTGCAGGTTACTACAATAATCCTGCTAATGTAAAAACCTAATAATAATTTTTAAAACTCCTACCAGCGTCCAAGGGAGGCTGTTCTGCGGTCGAACGTCTCCTACTGTCGGAAAGTTCTTCCTGATGTTGAGTCAGAATCTCGTTTCTTGTAACCTGAAGACGTTGATTTGGGTCCTACCCTCCAGAGCCGGAGAAAAGCAAGCTTGCTCCATCTTCCATGAGGCCGCCCCCTTGAGATATCTGAAGATGTCTATCATATTTCCTCTCAGCTAGCTAAGCAGCTCAGGGTGATGGCCAAGAAGGAGGGCAAGCAGTCCTAGCTGGTTAAAAACCTGACTGAGGTCATCTCTTGCAGCTGCGAATGTTCCAGAGGGGGAGACTTGCCATCAAAAATGTTCCGTCTTCTGGTTTGTCACTATATATATTTATAATATTTTATGAGTTTTCCATTTATCGATATCTAATCACATCATTGGGACGCGGGTGGCGCTGTGGGTTAAACCACAGAGCCTAGGGCTTGCCGAGCAGAAGGTCGGCGGTTCGAATCCCTGCGATGGGGTGAGCTCCCGTTGCTCGGTCCCTGCTCCTGCCAACCTTGCAGTTCGAAAGCACATCAAAGTGCAAGTCGATAAATAGGTACCGCCCCGGCGGGAAGGTAAACGGTGTTTCGGTGTGCTGCTCTGGTTCACCAGAAGCGGCTTAGTCCAGCTGGCCACATGACCCGGAAACTGTATGCCAGCTCCCTCGGCCAGTAAAGCAAGATGAGCGCCGCAACCCCAGAGTCAGTCACGACTGGACCTAATAGTCAGGGGTCCCTTTACCTTTACCTTTTAATCACATCATTATTATCCACTTTATCTCTCTAGCTCTCTAGAGCCTGTCAACTTCCTTGCCTCCCGCCTCATGGCTTTCAAAATTAACCTTTATATCATAGCATTTTATGCATTTTCCAATTCTAATGACACTCTTTACAAAATGGCTCAAAATTTAAGTAAATATAGGAAGATAGAAAACTTCTCCTTGCAAGTCATAGGGCAACCCTGCTGGTGATGTTTAATTGCTTGCAATAATCTTTCAAATATCGTATAAATTTACTCCAGTCCTTTTGGAATACTTGATCATGTTGGTTTCAGATTTTTCTCATCAGTTTCGCCAGTTCTGCAAAGTCCATCGTCTTCATCTGCTCCTCTTCTTTCATTGGTACTTCTTGTTGTTTTCATTTTGGGGCTAAAATAATTCATGCCACAGTTGTCACATACATAAACAGTCTTTTCTCTTCCCTTGGTATCTCTTCACCCACTATACCCAGTAAAAAGGCTTCTGGTTTTTTAACAAAAGTATTTTTAAACATTTTCCTTAGCTCATTATATACCATTTCCCAGAAAGCCTTTTCCCCTCTTTGCAAGTCCACCACATGTGGTAGAAGATACCTTCCTTTTCTTTATATTTCCAACACTCATTAGTTCTTGCCTTGTACGTTTTAGCCAATTTAGCTGGTGTTAAATACCATCTGTACATCATTTTCATAACATTTTCTTTAAGTGCGCTGCCTGCAGTAAAATTGATACCTTCCTTCCACAACCTTTCCCAGGATTCTAACTGGATATTATATCCGAAATCTGATATCACTATAACATTAATGTCACTATAATTTCTTACTCTCCCTATGCCTAATTTTCCTCAACAAAATCTGCCGGAGTGGCAAAGAGCGCCACATTCTTGGCTTGAGGCCAGCTTCATTCGGCAGCTTCTGAAACTTCACATTTCACCAGTCATGTTTATTTGCAGGGACGAAGCTTCCGGCTTCTGCTACCTGAACGACGCCGTCCTGGGCATCTTGCGGCTCCGGCAGAAATTTGGCCGTGTTCTCTATGTGGATTTAGATCTGCATCACGGAGATGGTAAGGTTCCTTCCAGCACACGGGTTGACGTGGCTTGACTTGTTCCTGCTGCTTTGATTTTTTGTGTTTTTTCTACATGGTGCTTAGAGAATAACTCTCACCTAAATACAGTCATACCTCGGGTTAAAGACGCTTCAGGTTCTGCGTTTTCAGGTTGCGTCCCACGGCAACCCGGAAGTAATGGAACGGGTTACTTCCAGGTTTTTTTCATATTTTCATATTTGTATTTCTATTTGTATATTTGTATTTGCTAACCGGGATCAATTCCCATCTGGAAACCAGTGTGCCCACTGTGGAAGGACCTGTGGATCCAGAATTGGCCTCCACAGTCACTTACGGACTCATTGTTAAAGCTGTGTTTATGGAAGACAGTCTTACTTGGCTACAAGGGATCGCCAAAGAAGGAGAAGAAGAATCAGCATACGGGGGGAGGTTCAAAAAGTAGCTACATGGTGCTTAGAGAATAGCTTGCACCTAAATATTAGCAAGACAAAGGAGATGGTGTTGGACCTTCGGAGGAAGCTGTGGCAATCACACAGGGCCCCCGGACGTTTGACCCTGTGCCACCACTGCGTTAGCTTTCTTCGCTGCCCCCACCCCGCTTCTCACGAACAAGCGTATGGTTACAGTTTACTTTTCTCTTGTCAGTTTCCTAATCTTAGTTCCTAACAACCTCAAACTGAATTATTCCCAACTATCTATCTGACTCAACCTAACAATTCCTCTCACTCTCTTACAATACAACTCTGCCAATCCCACACGTAAGCCTCCCTCTTCCTTCTCCAACAACCAAGCCTCAACTCCCAACTGACAAACCTCCCACTCTTATCTTTTACTCCCCCCTTGCATTCTCACTGGCCAACCACATCACACCCATTTTAACCCTTTCCTTGACCCATCCTAGGAGGCCAACGCCACAGAAGCAAGGGGAACTAGCCCCGTTGTATATCAGGGGGTGTTGTGTGGAGAGAGTCTCTTCCTTTAAATTCCTGTGAGTTTACCTTAGTGAAGACCTCACCTGGAAATTCAATACGACCCAGGTGGTTAGGAAGGCCCAGCAGAGACTCCATTTTCTCAGGGTCTTGCGAAAGAACAGTGTTAAACGACAATTGATGACCTCCTTCTAGTGGTCCACAACAGAAAGTGCCCTCTCATATTGTATCACAATGTGGTACGTTGGCTTGACAGCCATGGACGGAAAGTCTTTACAGAGGGTGGTGAACACAGCACATGATATCATGGGCTGTCCCCTGAGCCCGCTAGATGGCTTCACAAAGGATCGTTGCCTTAGGAGAGCGAGAAAAATTATCAGGGACAATTCATACCCTGGCCAGCAACTCCTTAATCTTCTACCCTCGGGCAGGAGATATAGAAGTAATCAGCCGTACCAACAGGCTAAAAAACAGTTTCTATCCGTGGGCTGTTAGGCTGCTGAACGGAAAATAATATAGTGCAACTGACTTTCGGGGTTGGTGTGTTGTGCGACAAGCACACAGAGTGCAATGAGATTGAGTGTTTGTGTGGTGGGGCTTCGTTAATTTCATTGTACACAGGTTGTACATTGACAATAAAGGTGGTATTATTATTATTTTAAATAATATTTTTTTTTATTAAATTTCCATTTTAGCATTCCAATAAAAACCACAATAAAACATTCCAAATTATAATACAATAAAAAAAGCCAAATATTCAATGCCGAATTATATATCTTTTGGGTGACTTCCCATGCTCTGAAGTTCGGGGAGTGATGATCTAATATCATATTGCATTTCTTAATTAGTCCAAGTAGTCCAAATAAAACATTTCCGATGTTGATCCTTCATTTATTTTTAACAGTTACTGAATTGATTTAGGAAGCGAGTTTGTAGTTCTGTGTGAAATATTTTTACTTTTCTTCTTTATTTTCCTATTGTAATCCAAAGTCCTCAGTGATGCCACTTTCGGTTTCTGTACACAAGGGCAAATCTTGGTGTGTTACATCCAACACATACGGTATATGTTACTGTTTTCTCCCCAGGTTAGGTCGTATCTCAACTCCATTCCCAGAAATCGAAACACCAAGACCTGTTCCACACACTTCCCCTCAATAATGAGTGGCTGAATATTCAATTTACATTTCCTAAAGTCCACAATAATCTCTTTTGTTTTCTTTAAGTTAAGGAGTAAGTTGTTTTTCCTGCACCACTCCCCCAACTGCTCAACTTCCTTCCTATAGGCCGCCTCCCCCTCTCCAGCCGTGATTAAACCAACCACCGTTGTAATATCTGTATCATCATATTTTAATCAACTGTTTTTTTGGGGGGGGGGTTGTATTTTTAATGTTTTTACTGTATTTATATTCGATGTTAGCCGCCCTGAGCTCAGTCTTGGCCGGGGAGGGCAGAGTGTAAATAAAAATTTATTATTATAATATCATGGGGGATTTTGTCCAGAGCCTTACTGAAATCAAGATACACTATGCCCCCGCAGCATTCCCCTGATCCATCAAGCTTCAACTCTGTCAAAAAAGGCTATGAGATTGTGTTGTCTTTCAGCTTCCTTCCCTGATAAGCCCCCCTTCTGTTCTGGCTATAGGGTCTCTGGCCTCCAGGACTAGACTCTGTGGCAGATGGGCAAGGAGCCTGTCACAATTATTTCACACCTCTCTCTCTCTCTCTCTCTCTCTTTCTTTCTTTCCATCCAGGTGTAGAAGATGCCTTCATCTTCACCTCCAAAGTGATGACGGTGTCTCTGCATAAGTTCTCTCCAGGATTTTTCCCAGGCAAGTGATTCTTATTTATTTATTTTACTGTGCTTGAGTGTTGCTTCCCTTAAAGGTAAAGGGACCCCTGACCATTAGGTCCACTCATGTCCGACTCTGGGGTTGCGGCGCTCATCTCGCTTTACTGGCCGAGGGAGCCGGCGTACAGCTTCCGGGTCATGTGGCCAGCAGGACTAAGCCGCTTCTGGCAAACCAGAGCAGTGCACGGAAATGCTGTTTACCTTCCTGCCAGAGCGGTACCTATTTATCTGCTTGCACTTTGACGTGCTTTTGAACTGCTGGGTTGGCAGGAGCAGGGACTGAGCAACGGGAGCTCACCCCATCACAGGGATTCGAACCACCGACCTTCTGATCGGCAAGCCCTAGGCTCTGTGGTTTAACCCACAGTGCCACCCGCATCCTCCTTTGCCTTTTTAGTTTTTTATACACCTAGTATATTTATATTTTGTGCATATAATTACACAAACAGTACCCACTGTTTATTTCCCCTGTTCTCTGTTCATATCATTCTCTGAATCCCAAGAGGCATAAGAACCTGAGAAGAAGCCGCTGGATCAGGCCAGAGAGGGCAGCATCCTGCTATCATAATGGCCAACCCTCGATGGGCAGTCCGCAGGCACCACCTGAGGTGTTGCGTTCCAAAAGCAAGGAAGGATTGGATCCTGATTAATAAAATACACACGAGGCTTGACCAGCAAGACTCTGGGAAGAGTGCCAATAATAATCTGTCACACCCTGCCCCAGGCCCCTTTTATTAACAAAAGAACTTATAGCACAGTGCTTGTAAGAAACATTCAGATGTCCTCTGAGCATTTCAAAAAACGTACCATGTGGGTACAAAGTTGATCAAAGAAATCCTTTTAACTGCAAAGAAACTATTTCCTACTTGAGCATTCATACGTAGTTCAGAGTAAATAAAATAGAAATCAATGAGGAATGCTTTTAGCGAACCCCAGAGGCCGTAAACAGGAGAGGAAGGATGGCAAGGAAAGATTGTTTTTAGTCGTTTAGTCGTGTCCGACTCTTCGTGACCCCCTGGACCAGAGCACGCCAGGCACTCCTGTCTTCCACTGCCTCCCACAGTTTGGTCAAACTTATACTGGTAGCTTCGAGAACACTGTCCAACCATCTCGTCCTCTGTCGTCCCCTTCTCCTTGTGCCCTCCATCTTCCCCAACATCAGGCTCTTTTCCAGGGGGTCTTCTCTTCTCATGAGGTGGCCAAAGTCTTGGAGCCTCAGCTTCAGGATCTGTCCTTCCAGTGAGCACTCAGGGCTGATTTCCTTCAGAATGGAGAGGTTTGATCTTCTTGCAGTCCATGGGACTCTCAAGAGTCTCCTCCAGCACCAGAATTCAAAAGCATTATCACCTCTATGTGAAACTATTTCCTGGCCCTAAGATTAACAAAACCAAGGAAAGGTACATCAAAGCTGACTACTATCTTTATGTACTGAGGATGCCTGGTGAAGCAACTGTTCTGTGTTTTAGAATGCTTATACGTGCTTGTCATGCGTAGAGAAATGGGCAGTAGATAAAATGGGGCAGAGATGCAGAGGCTTGTGGGATTTGATCAGAAATTATTGTCAGTGACTCAAGCCCAGTCAACGCAATGCTTTCATTGCAGACATAATGGCTTACTCCATATTTTAATAATTCCTAATACCAATCCCACCTGATCACTACACTGAGGCACAAAACATCCTTCATGGTCCTGCTTCCTGGTCCCTAGTCTGTAAAAAAACCTCTCTTCTGCCTCTTGCTCAGGAACAGGAGATGTGACAGATGTAGGCCTGGGAAAGGGGCGTTACTACAGCGTCAACGTCCCCATTCAAGATGGCATCCAGGACGACAGATACTTCCAGATCTGCGAGACGTAAGAACCCACCACCCGGTGGCCCTTTGGGAACAAAGGTTTTCGGTGGTTCTCCTGCAGTTCCTCTTTTCTGCCCCACCTGGCATAACTCGCACTTGGGGCTCGCTCTGTCTCTCAATCAGATTGTTCTAGCCGAGCTGCTGGAATCGGCCCTGTGGCTTTTGAAACACGTCCGGGCTCCACGAGGAAGCAGGGCCATATTTAGCATAAATAATAATAACTAATAATAGTAATTTATTATTTTTACCCCGCCCATCTGGCTGAGTTTCCCCAGTCACTCTGGGCGGCTCCCAATCAAGTGTTAAAAACAATACAGCATTAAATATTAAAAACTTCCCTAAACAGGGCTGCCTTCAGATGTCTTTTAAAGATAAGATAGCTGCTTATTTCCTTCACATCTGCTGGGAAGTCTTACTCGCCGTCGCTACTGCCACTTGGCAGGCTCAACACTGAGCTCTAACCCGTGTCCAGTCAGCTTCAGAATGGTGACCGGGAGCGGCCGCCAAAACCATATAACACCGGTCTTGAAAGACCTACACTGGCTCCCAGTACGTTTCCGAGCACAATTCAAAGTGTTGGGGCTGACCTTTAAAGCCCTAAACGGCCTCGGTCCAGTAGACCTGAAGGAGCGTCTCCACCCCCATCGTTCAGCCCAGACACTGAGGTCCAGCTCCGAGGGCCTTCTGGTGGTTCCCTCCCTGCAAGAAGCCAAGTTACAGGGAACCAGGCAGAGGGACTTATTGGTGGTGGCTCCTACCCTGTGGAACGCCCTCCCAGGAGATGTCAAAGAGAAAAACAACTACCAGACTTTTAGAAGACATCTGAAGGCAGCCCTGTTCAGGGAAGCTTTTAATGTTTAATAGGTTATTGTATTTTAGTGTTTTGTTGGAAGCTGCCCAGAGTGGCTGGGGAAGCTCTGCCAGATGGGCGGGGTATAAATAATAATAAATAATAATAATAATAATAATAATAATAATTAACATTAACCTCTGCTGCCAGTGGCTCCCTGCCTGGCTGCTCTCCGGGTAACGGGGGTCTTCGTTCCTTTCCCTGCAGTGTCCTGAAGGAGGTCTACGCAGCGTTCAGCCCTGAGGCCATCGTCCTGCAGTTGGGGGCGGACACCATCGCTGGTGACCCCATGTGCTCCTTCAACTTGACCCCCGAAGGGGTCGGCCGGTGCCTGAAGTATGTGTTGCAATGGCAGCGTCCAACCCTCGTCCTGGGAGGAGGTGAGTAGAAGAGGCCGGGAGGGCTGAGTTTTAGCACACATGAAAAACCTTTTTTAATAATATTTTTATCAGGCTTCCATTTCATGATAGTTGAATACATCCTTGTTAATCACATTGGTTTTTGCTCGTACGAGCTGGTCGACTTCCCTCCCTCCTGCCTCGTGGTTTTCATAATTCCTTTCTTTGTCATAGCATTTGTACCTCTTCTTATTTACATTTCATTCCTTCCAATTATCACGTTTCTAATTAAATATAAAAAGGTAAGAATCCTTAACATCACAGGTCGTCTTAACTCAACCCTGCTGATGTTGTTAATTGTTTGCAATTGTCCTTCAAATATTGTACAATTTTTTTTAATTAATAATTTGGCTGTTTATTTTATTTTATTCTTTTTAATTGTATTATGATTTGATGGATTTGTTAATTGGATGTTCTTATTAGAAAACTAATAAAAAATATTTATAAAAAACACCAAAAACAAATATTGTACAAATTTACCTCCGTCTTTTTGGAAAGCTTGATCGCACTGGTTTTGGATTTTTCCCATCAGTTTCGCCAGTTCTGCATATTCAGTCATCTTCACCTGCCAGTCTTTTATCGTCAATAATTCCTATTGCTTCCGTTTGGGACTAAAAGAGTCCTTGCTGCCGTTGTTGCATACGTGAACAGTTTTTGGTCTCACTTTGAAATTTCTTCACCTGCTACTATACCTAATAGAAATGCTTCTGGTTTTTTTAACAAATGTGCTTTTATACAATTTCTTTAACTCATTCTTTAACTCCTCTTTCTTCCCTTTCCGGACTTCCTGCTGCTTCCCTCCTGGAGGCAGGAGGCTACCATCTCGCCAACACGGCTCGCTGCTGGGCGTATTTGACGGCGGTCATCTTAGGGAAAACGCTGCCCTCCGAAATCCCAGATCACAAGGTGAGGCCTTGGCTAGCCGTTCCCTTCGCTGCGCAGAAGAACCGACCCATTCCTCTTGGGCAGAAACCCCTCCCAGCCTTTTGCTAAGAGTCTTTCTAGTAACAATAATAATATTATAATCTTATTATTTATACCCTGCCTATCTGGCTGGGTTGCCCCTGCCACTCTGGGTGGCTTCCAACAGAACATATATAAAAATAGTGAAATGTTAGACATTGAAAACTTCCCAAAACAAGGCAGCTTTCAGATGTCTACTGAATGTAACACAGCTGCTTATTTCCTTGGCATCTGATGGGAGGGCATTCCAGAATGCAGGTGCCACTACCGAGAAGGCCCTCTGCCTGTTTCGCTGTGACTTCGCTTCTCACATTAGGGGAGCTGCCAGAAGGCTCTTGGAAGTGGACCTCAGTAAGAATACAGTGGTAGCTTGGTTCTCAAACTTAATCCGTTCCGGAACACCATTCAAAAACCAAAGCGTTCCAAAACCAAGGCCTGCATTCCCATAGAAAGTAATGCAAAATGAATTAATCCGTTCCCTCCCTGCAAGAAGTGAGGTTACAGGGAACCAGGCAGAGGGCCTTCTCGGTAGTGGTGCCTGCCCTCTGGAACGCTCTCCCAGCAGATGTCAAGGCAATAAGCAACTATTTTACTTGTAAAAGACAATTGAAGGTGGCCCTGTTTAGGGAAGTTTTTAATGTTTGATGCTGTAATGTTTTAAATACTTGGCTGGAAGCCGCCCAGAGTGGCTGGGAAAACCCAGCCAGATGGGCGGGGTGTAAATAAGTTGTTGTTGTTGTTGTTTTGCTTGTGAAGTCAGAAGCTCGCATGCAACATGGGTTTACCTCCCTGGGTGCGTCTTGCCTCGCTTAGATCTGCCAGGAGCGGCTCCTGTTTCCTTCCTTCACCCTTTCCTTCCTCCTCTGGCAGTACTTCACGGAATACGGCCCTGATTACGTCTTGGAAGTTACACCAAGCTGCAGGCTGGACCGCAACGAGCCGCAGAGAATCCAAGAAATCCTGGGCTGCATTAAAGGTGAGTCCTGCCCTCCTCACCTGGGAGAAGGAGGTTGCAGGTTGCCAATGAGCCTGGCTCCCAGCAAAGGGGCGCCATCCGCTGGCAGAGCACCTGAATTGTGCGCAGAAGGGATCAAGTCCCAGTTGTCACAGTCCGGTTCATAGGTAATCGAAGTCCTGGCTGGGGACGTCAGGACCAGGGGCAAGATGGCGGGGAGGGAGCAGGAACGGGGAGCTAGAAGCCAGGAGTTAGGAAGTCAAGAGTCCAAGGGTCAGGAAGCAAGGAGTCATGAAGTCAGGGGTCCGAGGGTCAAGAAGGAAGGAGTAACGAAGTCAGGGGTCCGAGGGTCACGAAGCAAGGAGTCACAAAGTCAGGGGTCTGAGGGTCAAGAAGCAAGGAGTCACAAAGTCAGGGGTCCGAGGGTCAAGAAGCAAAGGGTCACAAAGTCAGGGGTCCGAGGAGCAAGGAGGCACAAAGGCAGGGGTCCGAGGAGCAGGGCGTCACAAAGGCGGGAGTCCAAGGGTCAAGAAGCAAGGAGTCATGAAGGCAGGGGTCCGAGGATCAAGAAGCAAGGAGTCACGAAGTCAAGGGTCTAAGGAGCAAGGAGTCACGAAGTCAAGGGTCTAAGGAGCAAGGAGTCACGAAGTCAAGGGTCTAAGGAGCAAGGAGTCACGAAGGCAGGGGTCCGAGGATCAAGGAGCAAGGAGTCATGAAGGCAGGGAGCAAGGAGTCATGAAGGCAGGAGTCCGAGGGTCAAGGAGCAAGGAGTCACGAAGGCAGGGAGCAAGGAGTCACAAAGGCAGGGGTCCGAGGATCAAGGAGCAAGGAGTCATGAAGGCAGGGAGCAAGGAGTCATGAAGGCAGGAGTCCGAGGGTCAAGGAGCAAGGAGTCATGAAGGCAGGGAGCAAGGAGTCACAAAGGCAGGGGTCCGAGGGTCAAGAAGCAGGGGGTCACGAAGGCAGGGGTCTGAGGATCAAGAAGTAAGGAGTCACAAAGTCAGGGGTCTGAGGATCAAGGAGTCAAGGAACTAAACACAACAAGGCAGGGAACATGTTGCTGTGGGAAAGAGCTGAAGGGAAATGCTGACCTTATATCTCTTCCCAGCTCTTGCCACCAGGTGCTCTGAGTTACCAATTGGCCTCACCTGTGCGGCCGTGCCTTGCCTCTCCAGAACAAACTTAGGAAGGCCCCAGTCCTGCAAAGTCCTACTGGTCACAGGGCCTGGCTCCTGCACGCACTCTTGACACCAGTGTCTCCAGATGGGATTGTAGAGGTGGAAGGGGTCCCTGGGGCCATCTAGTCCAATCCCCTGCAGTGCAGGAGTCTCAGCTAAAGAATTGCTCCAGCCCCTCCTTTAAAAAACCTCCCGCCTTTCTTCTTTGCGAATTAGGCTTTGCGAATGTTGCCCAGGTGGCCTCAGTGGCCCGGAGTGCCTTCCATCAGCTTCGGCTGGTGGCCCAGCTACGCCCCTATCTGGACAGGGACAGCCTAACTACTGTTGTCTATGCTCCGGTGACTTCAAGGTTAGATCACTGCAATGCCTTAAATGCCAGGCTGTCTCTGAAGACGGTTCGGAAACTCCAGCTAGTGCAGAATTCAGCAGCCAGGTTGCTTACCCGACGGTTTCACTGATCCTGATCCGACTGCACTGGCTACCGATTAGTTTCTGGGCCCAGTTTGGTTATCCCTGCCCTATCTGGACAGGGATAGCCAAATTACTGTTGTCTATGCTCTGGTCCGTATAGTTCAAGCTATGGTTTTCGCAGTAGTGATGTATGGAAGTGAGAGCTGGACCATCAAGAAGGCTGATCGCCGAAGAATTGATGCTTTTGAATTATGGTGCTGGAGGAGACTTGAGAGTCCCATGGACTGCAAGAAGATCAAACGCATCCATTCTTAAGGAAATCAGCCCTGAGTGATCACTGGAAGGACAGATCCTGAAGCTGAGGCTCCAAGACTTTGGCCACCTCATGAGAAGAGAAGACTCCCTGGAAAAGACCCTGATGTTGGGAAAGATGGAGGGCACAAGGAGAAGGGGATGATAGAGGACGAGATGGTTGGACACTGTTCTCAAAGCTACAAACATGAGTCTGACCAAACTGCGGGAGGCAGTGGAAGACAGGAGGGCCTGGTGTGCTTTGGTCCAGGGGGTCACAAAGAGTCGGACACGACTAAACAACTAAACAACAACAACATGCTCTGGTAACCTTAAGGTTAGATTACTGCAATGCATTATACGTGGGGCTGCCTTTGAAGATGATTCGGAATCCTCAGCAGGTGCAGAATTCAGCAGCCAGGTTGTTCACTGGAGCAAGACGGTTTGAGCATATTACACCGATCCTGGTCTGGCTGCACTGACTACCGATTAGTTTCTGGGCCCAATTCAAAGTGCTGGTTTTGACATATAAAGCCTTAAATGGCTCAGGACCGCAATACCTCAAGGACCGCCTCTTTCCATATGAACCTACCCGGAACCTAAGATCATCTTGTGAGGCCCTTCTTCCTGTGCCTCCTTGAGAGGTCCTGAGGGTGGCAACACGAGAACGGGGCCTTCTCTGCAGTGGCTCCCTGGGAAGATGCTCTCCCCAGGGAAGTTCGCCTGGTGCCTTCATTATACACCTTGAGGCGCCAGGCAAAAAGGTTCCTTTTAAACCAGGCCTTTGGTTGATCTTATTGACATCCAACACCCTTTTAGAATGTGGCTTTGTGGGGGTTATTGAGTTATTGCTTTTGGTTTGGTTTTATATGTTGTGGTCTTGTTGTGAACGGCCCTGAGACCTCCGGGTATAGGGCAGTGTATAAGTTGAATAAATAATAATAATAATGTTTGCAGGCAACCTGAAGAATGTGGTGTAGCGGAAGAGGACGGATCCTGTCTTCGCTCCTGCCGAAGGCCTCCTGGGAGAGCAAATTCGCTGGTTGCCCCTGCCGGATCCTTGAAGAAATCCTCTGGGGGTCTCAGGAAGCCCCCTGGCCACCAACCCATCACGGCTCCGACTCATTGCCCCCTTTTATAAAGCGGCTGGTTCTTGGGAGGCGTTCGATGGGGTTGGAGCTGGTTCTTTTTTTTAACAGAGGGGTCATTTCCTTCCATGGCCTGGTTTGGCTGTTAGAAAAGCTTTCTCTCCCCCTCAGCTAACTAAAATGTCCTGCGCAGCCGAGGTGGGTTGTGTCTTGTTGTTGGTTGTCTGCTCTGAAAATAAAAGTGTTTGATATATTTCCTTTTTGTCCTTCCTCAGTTCTCTGCCGTTTCCCCAGCTGGTTGGGGAAATGATTTGCAGCAGCGAAAAGTCTAAGCATCTCCCGTTTCTACTCTCTTCATCCCAAAGTAAATTTTCAACTTTTAAGGAAGGCTACAGTTACATGCTTGCCTCCAACATCTAGTTTAGACCTAAGTGATTTAGGTTTAGAATATGAATAATGCGCTGATAAAAAGAGGTTGGGTTACTCTTAAGGTTTTTGTTGTTGTTGTTCTAAACATTTTGTCTCTCAAACTCTTTTGAGTCTCAAACTCCTGCCCAAAAAAACCTGACCGAAATTTGTCCTCTAATTCCTGTAAGTACTAGGTCCCTGCCTGTTTGAAGGAGGCAGTGGTAAAACTACACTGGCACCTTGGTTCTCAAACGCCTTGGTATTCAAACAACTTGGAACCCAAACATTGCAAACCCGGAAGTAAGTGTTCCGGTTTGCGAACTGTTTTCGGAAGCCGAACATCCTCCGTTTTGAGTGCCACACTTCCGTTTTGAGTGTTACGCTGAGGTCTGTTTTTGCTATTTATTTTGTGTTTTTATGGTTCTTTTTGTTTTGTTTTTGTGACTGAGGTTTCATATCTCATGGGGCAAATTTCCCAGAAAGGGGGCTGGCCTTGGACCTGTCAGGAAGCTGGAGGTCTGTGGGTGTTCCTCTCAGGTCCAGGGTTTCAGGCCTAATAGGTGGCCTTGTATTTGCAAAGGTATGGCAAGGTAGTCGTACAGGAACGCTGGATCCATTTCTGGGAACCTGCAGGGCAGAAGGTTGAGAGAGAATGTTAGGGAGTGTCCAGAAATTGGGAGAGAACATAGACTTCGAGTAAATCAAGTATTTCCTTTCCTGTTTTGGAGAGGGAGACAATTACGAGGAAAAGCAAAGAAGAGATTTGATAAATACGTAAGCAGAAGTATTTTGAACAAGCCATTCTGCTTTTGCCAGTAGGGTGTCTGTCTGTCTGTCTGTCTGTCTGTCTGTGTCATACAGAACCCTTGGTTTGTGAGATCTTTGTGACGTTTGAGATGTTTTCTAGCATTCCCCACGCCTGCATGAATGAAACTTCACTGAAGCCGCCTATCAAAATGCTGAATTCTGCATTTAAATTAAGTTCCAACTTTTTCCATGGGGCAGAGTTCCCTGTGCCCTACTCTGGGACAAAGAACCACTCTAGACTTTGCCCACCGACCCCAGTGGAGGTAACAGTTCAAAAACAAAAATGCAGCCCAGGTGATACGAAGTGCCAAGTGTAAAGAGGAAACTAGTGGGGTTCTCTCTCTGGAGCCCCATCTCTCCCCGTCCTCAGTTTCCTTGCCAAGCCCTTTCTGCACAGGAATAAGTAAGTCTGTCCTTTTCATTTTTTGTCAGTTTCCCATTTCCCCATTCTTGAGTTCTCTATATTTCCACATCAGTTTGTGATTCTTGGTGGGTCTGGTTACCGTATTTTAGCTCCTCCTGAACATTCATCAGCACAAGGCCAGTAAAGGGAGATGAGAGCCGCAACCCCAGAGTTGTCCATGACTGGACCTAACAGTCAGGGGTCCCTTTACCTTTACTATCAACCAGTCAACACACTTTTGCAAGGCAATTCCCCCATATACAATGGACCTTTGCATGTTACTTTTGCAGATGTTAGCATTTTAAAGCACACTGGTCTAAAACACTGAGCCTTGGGCTTGCCAATCAGAAGGTCAGCTGTTTAAATCCCCGCGATGGGGTGAGTTCCTGTTGCTCAGTCCCTGCTCCTGCCAGCCTAGCAGTTCGAAAGCACATGAAGTGCAAGTAGATCAATAGGTACCACTCCGGCAGGAAGGTAAACGGCGTTTCCGTGCACTACTCTGGTTCACCAGAAGCAGCTTAGTTCTGCTGGCCACATGACCCGGAAGCTGCCTGCGGACAATCGCCAGCTCCCTCGGTTTATAGAGCGAGATGAGCGCCGCAACCCCAGAGTCGTTTGTGACTGGACTTAACTGTCAGGGGTCCTTTACCCAAGTATGGTATATGTGTTTTTGCACACACTTGGTTGGAGAACTGCATTGCAACATCCAGAGTGTCTGAGGGCGGATTTGTTTTATTTCCCCTCAATTCCTTGAATGGAATGGGTTTTCCTTCCCCAGTGTCTCCTCCTGCATACCTGAATAAGAAAGAGAGACACATTCACTTGAAGAGATTGAGTGGCTGATGCTCCGGCCATCCCAGAGGGGTTGAGAGAAGACAGATCCATCGCTCCATTCCCAGATCATATTCTGGAGAGAGAGAAGGAGAAAGGAAGGTCTTGTGATAAAAGGGGAATGCAAGCCCATTGCTCCCCACATCCCCAGAGGGGACACAGCTGGGGAATCAGCGCAACTGACAAGGCCAAGGGGTTCCCATCCTAGCTTCAGGAAGGTTGCTGCATCCTTTAGAACATATTGTTGAACCACCACACTTCCCCTAAGAAATGTTGTTATTTCTGTCCTGGCCTCCACTGCAGGAGATCAGAGCAGCATTTTAGCTTGACAAGCGCTTGGTTAGGTAGGCTGGAAGATAAGTGACTTGTCCAAGGCCAACTAGTTAGCTTTATAGTCGGGAAGATTTGAATATCCACAAAGATTTGTGGTGTAGTCCCTACACCACACCAGCTCTCATCATATGGCTATGAACTACAAGTCAGCATAATTACACCTTTTGCCCAGGATAAGGTCTAAGGGTGTGCTAATAAGACCCACATTGCTGCTGCTAAAAGGATCTGGGTCTGGTCAGTACCTGATTGGGATACTGGGCATACTTCAATGTGTGCATCATAGAAGATGCAAATGTATTAAATGGAACAAGCTATAAATTGCAATGTGAATTATAGTAGAGTTATATTGTCCCACATTGATATAAAAGACCACAAAGATGATAGAAAAGGTCTCATCTAACACTCCTTCCACTCATCTGAATTTACATATATTTTTATTTTCATGATCAGAACCTGCAATCCCATGTATACTTACCCGGGAGTAAGTAACACTGAACTCAACTGGGCTTTACTCAGGACATGTATAGGATTTCAGTGTTAATTTATTTTTGCCGGAGCCATAAAGGTGAAAGGGGACTGACAATTTGTACAGTGTTGGGGAGATGTCACAGAATCTGTGACTTTATAGATAGCGCAATGAGAGTTGGCAAGGAGGAAAGACAACGAGGATCTGGAGCTGGAGTTCCAGAACCTTCCACAGAGCCACTCCGAGAAATAATCCCATCTCCAAATGAGGACTTCAAGGTTTGACGTTTGGGGAAGGAAGTGGCTTCAGAGGGAAGTGAGAGCCAGTGAGCTATATCTGAAGGAGCTCAAGGGAGCTGAGCGGCTCGTACAGTCAGCATCTTCAGAGAGTCCTAAAGGCACCTACCAAAGTACCACGGTCAGCTACCAGGCCGATCCAGACGTTGCTGGAGCCATATTGTCGCAGGTAACTGTAAACCACATTTGCTTCCCTTGCAGAAAGAATGGAGGCCAGCTGGGACCCATGTCTCCTCTGGCAGCTGACCTGCAGAGAGAAGAAAGGGGGAAACCAGTGAGATGCTGCCCAGAGCCAGGATTCCCAAGGAGTTGGCCCTTGCTCCTCTCTCGCTCGCTCGCTCTTTTTTACAACTTTTTTTGTTATTGCAAAGTAAATACATCAATACTAAACCATACATAAAGAATACAGTCAAACCTCGGGTTACAGATGCTTCAGGTTGCGTTTTTTTCAGGTTACAGACCGCTGAAACCCGGAAGTACTGGAACGGGTTACTTCCAGGTTTCAGCAGTCGCACATGCACAGAAGTGCTAAATCGTGCTTTGCGCATGCACAGAAACACAACCTGTGTGTGTGCAGACGCACCGCTGCAGGTTGCGGATGTTGCGGGTTGCGAATGTGCATCCCGCATGGATCACATTCGCAACCCGAGCAACCAAACTGTAATATAAAGGGGGGGGGATAAGAAAAGGGGGGGGGGGAATGCAAATAAAAGTAGACAGTAAAAGAATAAAGAAAAGTATAATATTTCAATACACTAACACTATTTTACAAAATAATAGTAGTAATAGACTTCCATCACTCACAACACTTCCTATCACATTTCATATTTTATCTGCATTTCAGTATTATTTTCATCTTAATATATGAATATGTATATATCTCATAGCTGTCAACTTTCCCCTTTTTTAAAGGGAAATTCCCTTATTCCGAATAGGATTCCTCGCAAGAAAAAGAGAAAGTTGACAGCTATGATATATGTATGTTTCCCCTTTTCCATTCATGAGGTCATTCTAGACACAGCCAAATTTTTACATTAGAACCTTGGCTTTCTAAATCACCATTCAAGCACTTCCATTCCTTCTTGACTGTATTCATTGGCTTTCATCTTATTAAAGGTAAAGGTAAAGGGACCCCTGGCCATTAGGTCCAGTCATGGCCGACTCTGGGGTTGCGGCGCTCATCTCGCTTTACTGGCCGAGGGAGCCGGCGTACAGCTTCCGGGTCATGTGGCCAGCATGACTAAGCCGCTTCTGGCAAACCAGAGCAGCCCACGGAAACGCCGTTTACCTTCCCGCTGGAGCGGTACCTATTTATCTACTTACACTTGATATGCTTTTGAACTGCTAGGTTGGCAGGAGCAGGGACCGAGCAACGGGAGCTCACCCCGTTGTGGGGATTTGAACCGCCGACCTTCTGATCAGCAAGTCCTAGGCTCTGTGGTTTAACCCACAGCGCCACCCACGTCCCTTCTTCATCTTATTATATCCATCAATTTCAACACTTCAACGCTAGTGATCTTTGCTTCTTCCAGTACACTGGCATTAGTTTGCCTGTCTTCCCAAGTGATGTGTAAAATTTTTCGGAGACACCGTTGATGGAATCTTTCGAGAAGTTGGAGATGGCGTTTATAAGTGGTCCATGTTTCACAAGCAGACAGGAAGGTTAGTAGAGAACTTACATAAGGACTCTATACTGGTTCTTGGATACCCCATAAGGGAAAAGGAGCAGATTTTTTTTTTCTTATAACAACAGTATCTGTTCCTGGAAGGGAGCAGAATTGGGCAGAGAAGCCTTTCGTTGTCCCTCTCAACCCGGGATGGTGGAGTTTCCTGAGATGAAAGGGCTGATGAAAGAGCTCAGATCAAAGGGGAGGAGAGCAGGTGGAATCCACAAAGAGGGATTAGCAGAGCTGGACAAGAATGATATGGGAAAGGATTCTGTACTTCCCAGCTGTGGGTCTCCAAGGTAAAGGAGCATTGTTTGCCAATTGCGTTTCTTGCTATTTCTTTGCAGTATTTCCTGTAATTCCGAGAAATGGAACCTATCATTCCCTGCCACAAATCATTCCCAGCTTATCTCCCAGCTGCTACCTCTGAAAGTGAGCCTTGCATGTTGTCTCACCATAAAACGGTCTTTTTCAAGAGCAAGTTTTCCTACTGATATCAGTCATGTGGTTTCTCACCTGTTTGCATTCTGACAGGTGGGATGCTCAGGTTTGTTTGCTTAGAAGCCATCATCGCCACCCCTCTTCCTTTAAAATGGTCCAAGGGTGGGTGAATATCCTTCAGAATTTGGTCCTTGGACTGCGCCACTCCAGACCAGCCGCCCAGGAAGGGACAAGCAGAGAGGTGAGTCTTGTCACCCCCAAAATCCCCTCCTTCCTCACTTGACATCCTTGCGTTTCTTGTTAAGGCACTGGTAGTGAAAACAGGTAAGCAATGAGCTCCTTGCTTGCGAGGAGTAAGAACAGTGGGAGGGAGATCTCTGTTCTGGAGATTTTTCTTACAAACCGCAACCCAGCTAACTTTGCTTTCCGTATGACTTGGAAACTACTGAACCTGGCTGCCGTGCTGCGGCAATATTTGATGTTGTCAAAGCAGATGAGATAGTTTGGGTCTTATAAGCAACTTAGCATTGCCTGTTTTTTGAATTTTGAATGATCACAAGCTCGAAGCCCAAAAAATACACACACACTGGACCCATCATTTCTGGAAATGCCAGGCCCTTCGCTGGGATGAATGTTGCTGACACTTTCTTTTCCCAGGAGAAGCAGAAGATGGGGCAAGTGGTCTACCTTGGACTCTGCCTGTTGGGCTGCCTGATCCTGAACCCTTTGGCAGAAGGTGAGCATTAGGAGAAGGGGCAGATCCAGCTGCTGCAGCTGTTGGTTTTGGAACTTTGCTGTGCGGTGCAACGGGTTGGTGCTTCTGGCTCTTAAGCAGGAGGTTGGGGGTTCGAGCCCAACTGTGGGCAGGATCCTGCAGCGCAGGGAGTAGGGGGGGTCTCTTCCAACTCTACAATTCTGTGGTTCTGTTTCTAATCAGTTCATTAGATCTGTGTAGGTTTCCCTTTGTAAAGCTGGCAGCTTTTTCCTGGCCTTGCTGCTCTTGGTAGTGGCTCCCTATCTGTGGAATTTCCTCCCAGAGGGGGGATTTATTGGTCCCCGCTGTGGAAATAAAAAACGTTCTTGCTTTATGCTTTTAGACTTTGCTGCATGTTTATTTTAAAGAGGCAGTTCTACAGCACTTCTATGTATTGTAAATTAGTAGAAGGTATGAGTTACCACTTTTGCTTGGATGAATAAATAAAGAGAGTGATTGTTCCTAACTGGGAAAAGCACTGAGTCTCTTCCAATTAGCTGTCTGTCTGGAGCTGCTCTCCGCCCCTTTTTAAAATGATGGAAGAGCAGCACTCAAAGGCTTGGGGGGGCGCGCTGGACCAGCCTCCCATTCTCCTGAAATCTCTCCCCTTCTGGCATAAGTTTTGGGTCTTTGCTTTCGTCTTGTGTATGTTTGTTAAATCACCAGTGCGCTTCTTCCATCACCATCACTAAGTAAATCATTCCCTCCCCTTCTTTCCATTAATCCAGAAAGAGTGCTGTTTTGCAATAATAGAAATCTTTCAGCTTGATATAACCATTTTACACTTAGGTGTATATGTCTGTGTTGTTGTTTTTTTTAAAAAAATATGTTTACTTTTTGAAAAATTGAAAAGAATATATAGATAAAAAAGTATAACAATTTTATTTGAAAGCACCAGCGGCGTCTTATCTTGTCACACTAGCTGGATGGCTGTCACTATTGCACTGGACATTGCACTGGACATTGGCTCCCAGTACGTTTCTGAGCACAATTCAAAGTGTTGGTGCTGACCTTTAAAGCCCTAAGCGGCCTTGGTCCAGTATACCTGAAGGAGCGTCTCCACCCCCATTGCCAGAAGGAACCTCCCGATTCCTAACGCCAGGGCTTCCTTGAGGGGCTCCATCTGTCAAGGAAAGGGTTGGTGGTCTGGGGGATCTATTCCAGTCTCAATCCAATTCCTCACAGGTGCCGCCAATCGCACCCAGAGCGCTCGCACTCCCTGCCCTGCAGGAGCCGTCTTCTACAGAAAGTACTGCTACGAGTATTCTAGCTCCAGCCGGTCGTGGGATGATGCCGAGGTAAGTTTCACCAGGGGGAATGAGAAGAAATAAGAAAGTTACTAGGAACTTCACATAGCAAAAGACCAGAAATATACCTTTTGGGAATATTGAATAGTGATATTTCTAGAGAAAATACTAAATTCTTTCTGTGGCGAGAATCCTGGTAGCTAAGTACTGGAAGAGTAACCAGGTACTGACCAAAGAGGAATGGTTATTTAAATTATGTGAATATTTGGAACTGGCCAAATTGACGGACGTAACAAGACTAAAGCCAGTGATTACAGTCAAGAAGGAATGGAAGCGCTTGAATGATTATTTAGAAAGACAATGTTCTAAGGTAAAAATTTGGCTGTGTCTAGAATGACCTTGTGAATGGGAAAGGGGAAACATACATATATACATGGGATGCGGGTGGCACTGTGGTCTAAACCACTGAGCCTCTTGGGCTTGCCGATCAGGTTGGCAGTTCGGATCCCTGCGACGGGGTGAGCTCCCGTTGCTCGGTCCCTGCTCCTGCCAACCTAGCAGTTCAAAAGCATATCAAGTGCAAGCAGATAAATAGGTACCGCTCTGGCGGGAAGGTAAAGGCGTTTCCGTGGGCTGCTCTGGTTCGCCAGAAGCCGCTTAGTCATGCTGGCCACATGACACAGAAGCTGTACGCCAGCTCCCTCGGCCTATAGAGTGAGATGAGCGCCGCAACCCCAGAGTCGGCCACGACTGGACCTAATGGTCAGGAGTCCCTTTACCTTTACCTATATACATATCTATATATTAAGATGAAAATAATACTGAAATACAGATAAAATATGAAATGTGAAAGGAAGTGTTGTGAGAGTGATGGAAGCCTATTACTACTATTATTTTGTAAAATAGTGTTTATTGTACTGAAATTTTATGCTTTGCTTTATTCTTTTACTGTCTACTGTTCTTTGCATCCCCCCCCCTTTATTATTTTTTCCCCTTTATATTATTCTTTATGCATGCTTTGGTACTGATGTATTTACTTTGCAATAATAATAAAAAATAGTTGTAAAAAAAAAATTCCTTGTTGGGAATCCTGGCTGTGGGCAGCATCTCACTGGTTTCCCCCTTTCTTCTCTCTGCAGGTCAGCTGCCAGAGGAGACATGGGTCCCAGCTGGCCTCCATTCTTTCTGCAAGGGAAGCAAATGTGGTTTACAGTTACCTGCGACAATATGGCTCCAGCAACGTCTGGATTGGCCTGGCAGCTGACCGTGGTAGCCACCACGTGGTAGGTGCCTTTAGGACTCTCTGAAGATGCTGACTGTACGAGCCGCTCAGCTCCCTTGAGCTCCTTCATCTGTAGCTCACCGGCTCTCACTTCCCTCTGAAACCACTTCCTTCCCCAAACGTCAAACCTTGAAGTCCTCATTTGGAGATGGGATTATTTCTCGGAGTGGCTCTGTGGAAGGTTCTGGAACTCCAGCTCCAGATCCTCGTTGTCTTTCCTCCTTGCCAACTCTCATTGCGCTATCTATAAAGTCACAGATTCTGTGACATCTCCCCAACACCGTACAAATTGTCAGTCCCCTTTCACCTTTATGGCTCCGGCAAAAATAAATTAACACTGAAATCCTATACATGTCCTGAGTAAAGCCCAGTTGAGTTCAGTGTTACTTACTCCCGGGTAAGTATACATGGGATTGCAGGTTCTGATCATGAAAATAAAAATATATGTAAATTCAGATGAGTGGAAGGAGTGTTAGATGAGACCTTTTCTATCATCTTTGTGGTCTTTTCTATCAATGTGGGACAATAGAACTCTACTATAATTCACACTGCAATTTATAGCTTGTTCCATTTAATACATTTGCATCTTCTATGATGCACACATTGAAGTATGCCCAGTATCCCAATCAGGTACTGACCAGACCCAGATCCTTTTAGCAGCAGCAATGTGGGTCTTATTAGCACACCCTTAGTGGGTCAAAAGGTGTAATTATGCTGACTTGTAGTTCATAGCCATATGATGAGAGCTGGTGTGGTGTAGGGACTACACCACAAATCTTTGTGGATATTCAAATCTTCCCGACTATAAAGCTAACTAGTTGGCCTTGGACAAGTCACTTATCTTCCAGCCTACCTAACCAAGCGCTTGTCAAGCTAAAATGCTGCTCTGATCTCCTGCAGTGGAGGCCAAGACAGAAATAACAACATTTCTTAGGGGAAGTGTGGTGGTTCAACAATATGTTCTAAAGGATGCAGCAACCTTCCTGAAGCTAGGATGGGAACCCCTTGGCCTTGTCAGTTGCGCTGATTCCCCAGCTGTGTCCCCTCTGGGGATGTGGGGAGCAATGGGCTTGCATTCCCCTTTTATCACAAGACCTTCCTTTCTCCTTCTCTCTCTCCAGAATATGATCTGGGAATGGAGCGATGGATCTGTCTTCTCTCAACCCCTCTGGGATGGCCGTAGCATCAGCAACTCAATCTCTTCATACGAATGTGTCTCCATTTCTTATTCAGGTATGCAGGAAGAGAGACTGGGGAAGGAGGAGGAAACCCCATTCCATTCAAGGAATTGAGGGAAACTAAAACAAATCCGCCCTCAGACACTCTGGATGTTGCAATGCAGTTCTCCAACCAAGTGTGTGCAAAAACACATATACCGTACTTGGGTAAAGGACCCCTGACAGTTAAGTCCAGTCACAAACGACTCTGGGGTTGCGGCGCTCATCTCGCTCTATAAACCGAGGGAGCTGGCGATTGTCCGCAGACAGCTTCCAGGTCATGTGGCCAGCATGACTAAGCTGCTTCTGGCGAACCAGAGCAGTGCACGGAAACGGCGTTTACCTTCCTGCCGGAGTGGTACCTATTGATCTACTTGCACTTCATGTGCTTTCGAACTGCTAGGCTGGCAGGAGATGGGACCGAGCAACGGGAGCTCACCCCATCGTGGGTATTCGAACCGCCGACCTTCCAATCGGCAAGCCCAAGGCTCAGTGTTTTTAGACACAGTGTGCTTTAAAATTCTAACATCTGCAAAAGTAACATCCAAAGGTCCGTTGTATATGGGAAAATTGGTTGATAGCAAAGGTAAAGGGACCCCTGACCATTAGGTCCAGTCGCAGACAACTCTGGAGTTGCGGCGCTCATCCCGCTTTACTGGCCGAGGGAGCCGGTGTACAGCTTCCAGGTCATGTGTTCTTAAAATGCGGATGAATGTTCAGGAGCTAAATAATCAAACCCACCAAGAATCACAAACTGATGTGGAAATATAGAGAACTCAAGAATGGGGAAATGGGAAACTGACAAAAAATGAAAAGGACAGACTTACTTATTCCTGTGCAGAAAGGGCTTGGCAAGGAAACTGAGGACGGGGAGAGATGGGGCTCCAGAGAGAGAACCCCACTATTTTCCTCTTTATACTTGGCACTTCTTATCACCTGGGCTGCATTTTTGTTTTTGAACTGTTACCTCTACTGGGGTCAGTGGGCAAAGTCTAGAGTGGTTCTTTGTCCCAGAGTAGGGCACAGGGAACTCTGCCCCATGGAAAAAGTTGGAACTTAATTTAAATGCAGAATTCAGCATTTTGATAGGCGGCTTCAGTGAAGTTTCATTCATGCAAGCATGGGGAATGCTAGAAAACATCTCAAACGTCACAAAGATCTCACAAACCAAGGGTTCTGTATGACACACACAGACACACACACCCTACCGGCAAAAGTAGAATGGCTTGTTCAAAATACTTCTGCTTACGTATTTATCAAATCTCTTTGCTGCTTTTCCTTGTAATTGTCTCCCTCTCCAAAACAGGGAAGGAAATACTTGATTTACTCAAAAGGAAGTCTACATTCTCTCTCAATTTCTAGACACTCCCTAACAATCTCTCTCAACCTTCTGCCCTGCAGGTTCCCAGAAATGGATCCAGCGTTCCTGTACAACTACCTTGCCATACCTTTGCAAATACAAGGCCACCTATTAGGCCTGAAACCCTGGACCTGAGAGGAACACCCAAAGACCTCCAGCTTCCTGACAGGTCCAAGGCCAGCCCCCTTTCCCACCTGCTCTGTCCACCTGCAGGAAATCTATTCCCTCCCCTCCTCTATTGGCCTGGAGCAGAAAAAACAAGAGGGGTTTCCCCAAATAAATCCAGTTTGGACTCTTGAGTTCACTAAGACCTAGCCAAATCCGAAGCCTGAGGCTGTGAGCAACAGTACATCTCTCCAAAGTGGGAAATTTGCCCCATGAGATATGAAACCTGTCTCACTTTTCTGCAAAGAGATGCTTTTGTGGACTGGTTAGCTGAGTAAATGAGGCTTTCCTTGTGCTTTGCAAAGTGATGGGGCCAACTTTGGAACCCCCTTTCCCAGACCACATCATAGAAATGCTAACCTTTGCAAGCTGTCTGCTCTCCCTCTCTCTGGCCAGCTCCCGTCTTCCTCCGTAGTGACAATAAACCTCCTTCTGTGCATGCAATTCTGCGTCCATGTCCTCTGTATTCTTGAAATAGTTGTTTATTGTGACATTCAGATCCTACCTTTCCCCCAAGAAGGTCCATGTGGCAGGCATGGTTCTCCCCCAACCCCATCCTATCCCAACCCTAGTTTGGAGAGTCGCTTCAGAAGGATTTCACAGCCAATGGTATCGAAAGCCGCTGAGAAGTCGAGGAGAATTAACAGGGACATGTTTCCCTTGTCTCTCTCTCGACAGAGGTCATCATACAGGGTGACCAAAGCAGTTTCTGTGATATTATATATTATATATATTTCCTTTTTGTCAGTGTCTCGGCCAGCTGTGGGTGCCTCAAGCAGGGAGCAGCTGCCTCCCAGCTCTGTGTGTGTCTCAGGGAAAGGGGGGGGGCTGCTCTGTGTTTTGCTAGAAGTTAAATTGCACATTTTGGGGGGGAGGACAGCTTTCTTTTTGTGTGCTTTGCATTGAGATTTGTGTTTCCAGCTCAGCCAGGGGAGCTGGGGCTGGAGGGCTAGCTGTGTGTGTGTGTGTGTGTGTGGAAATGTTGTAAACAAAATCTGCTCTTATTCCCTTATGGGGTATCCAAGAGCCTGTATAGAGTCCCTTGTAGGTTCTCCATCGGTAGGAGGAAATAACAGAGGCCAACCAGAGAATATTGAGCAGCAAAGCAGCTCGTAAGCCGGATCTTTATTGATCTGTTGCAACAGGGTGCTCCCCTGAGGAGGACCTCGAACCAAGGCGTGCCCGCCCTTATACAGACATTTTAAATTCCCTCCCTGGAGCTCAAGACCACCCCTCCATACATCATACATACATCACAGAAATTTGAATGTTGTTGTTTTTCCTGTCTGCCAGGTTATCTGATAATGCCTTATCTGATTGCCTTTTCCTGGTAGTCTGCCCATTCCTTTGAAATGGTGATTACCCAATTCGTGTAACAAGGAAGGTTTTTTTCCCACTTCCTCCTTCCTTGCAGAGAAACATTTGGTCAGCTTGGGAGTCAAAATTGTTTCAGGACTGTCCTCCTGTGCTGCTTCGGACAGGTGGTTTATATATTTATGTACGTGTTTGCTTGGTACATTTATTATATATCTAAGACCTTAAAATTCTTATAACAGAAACCACTCACCCACCCACCCCCCACCCAGACAACAACAGGCTCCCAACTCTGTGTAGGTCTATGTATTTTATTGTCTCTATCTCTTTTTGTGTGTTTGGCATTGAGGCTTGCATTGAGCCCCAGCCGAGGGAGCTGGGGCTGGGGGGCTAGCGCTGTGTGTGTGTGTACGCGCCCTCCAGGCAACAGCGGGCTCCCACCTCTGTGTATGTCTACGTATTGTCTCTAGCTTAGCCAAGAGGGGCTGAGGCTGTGAGTTTTCTCCTATGTTAATCATGTATAACCCTCCCCTTTAGTGATGTAACAATGATGTAGCGATGATGCTCCACAAACTATATGCTGGGATAAGGTTGCTGTTTAGTCATTTAGTCCCATATGCAGGTCCTTTGTGAGTGTAATGATCTTCTGTCTAGGACCATCAAGGTTGGCATGCCAACTGGGTAGGTCTTGCTGCAGCTGCAGGGGTGTTGGCTGCCTTGAGTCAAGTCTCTCCCCTTTGATAGTCCTTCCTTCATGGTGTAAAAGTTCACATACACGCCATGCATTTAAGACTGATTTCCTGCTGAGTTCATTGCTGTGAAGAAAATAGTGGACTCTGAGAGGAACACGTCCCGCACTCCATACATCTAAATGGGTTCTCCCATGTGAGAGTCCCTGGATGTTCCTTAAACACTCCAATGTAAATAAAGCACTTTCTGCAATCTTTCCATTTAAACTGCTTCTCCTCTTTGAGTTTGTTGATGGTTTGTAAGGTTTCAACTATTAAAGTTCTTCCTGTCCATGAGTCTGTTGATGTAGGACTTCCACTAGGACTGAACCTCTGTCTACTTTCCTGACACTTACATGGTTTGTCTCTTGTGTGGGTTTGTTGACATAAATCAAGGGTTCCACTCTTACTGAAGTTCCTTCCAAATGCCATACATTTAAATGGTTTCTCTCGTGTGTGTCTGCTGATGTTTTCTGAGATTTCCACTCTCACTGAAGCTTTTTCCTCAATCCATGCATTTAAAAGGTTTCTCCCCTATGTGAGTCCATTGATGTACGGTATATTGAGGTGTCCACTCTGACTGAAGCTCTTTCCACACTCCATACATTTAAATGGTTTTTCACTGGTGTGAGTCCGTTGGTGTATTCTGAGGCTTGCATTCTCACTAAAACTCTTTCCACACTCCATACATTTAAATGGTTTTTCTCCTGTGTGAATCCGATGATGTATATTGAGGTGTCCACTCTGACTGAAGTTCTTCCCACACTCCTTGCATTTAAACTGTTTTTTGCCCATGTGAGTCTGTTGATGTGTTCTAAGTTTTCCACTATCAGTGAAACTTTTTCCACTCCCCATAGCTTTAAATGGTTTCTCCCCTGTTGGAGGTCATTGATGTGAACTATATGTGCTCATTCAATGAAGCATATCCCACATTTCACACATTTTAATTTCTATGAGAGCCAGTGTGGTGTAGTGGTTAAGAGTGGTGGACTTGTAATCTGGTGAACCGGGTTCTTGTCCCCGCTCCTCCACATGCAGCTGCTGGGTGACCTTGGGCTAGTCACACTTCTTTCAAGGAAGTCTATCAACCCCACTCACCTCACATAGTGTTTATTGTGGGGGAGGAAGGGAAAGGAGAATGCTGGCCGCTTTGAGACTCCTTAGGGTATTGATAAAGCGGGATATCAAATCCAAACTCTTCTTGTATTCCTAATGAAATTAAAGGTGCCCCATCTCTCGGAATTCTGACTCTCTACTCCATCACCTTCTTCAGAGTGGGAGCAAAGGAAATCCTGTTTGGGTTTCAAGGAAGAGAACAAAGGGAAAGAGAACACATCAGCCGCCATTAGCACCTTCTCCTATTTCAACGTCTCCTACATTCCCCCACCTCCTACCCATGTTCCCAATTTTTAGGAAGTGAAGTTGCAATGTCATCAAATGATAGTAATTAATGAGTAACTTACAAAATCCTCAATCAGTGTTAATAAAGCAGCATGATATTTTTAAAAATGATGTGCTCTCTGATCTTGTGCCCGTCTTCTGACGCAGGTCTATCCTGAAATGACACTGAAAAACAGGGTATTCAAGGCAAATAGATAAACTGTACTTAGTGGAATATGTAGTACCTTGAAAATGTACTATTGATTTATTTATGGCCTGAAGTTGTGCTATTTCTGTGGACATGAATTTATTTCTGTTCTGTCTCAAATATCATTATTATACAATGTCAGGGGTGTTAGGGGAGCATTAGTTCCTTTGGTGGGGGTCACGCTGGGCACCTTTTAAGGTAATTTATCCACCATTGGTCCCCACCCTGCACTCAGCTCTCACCTGTGGCTTCCAGAAGCTGTCAGCATGCAATAGGGGCCACAATCCCAAGTACGGCTTCAACCGGCCGGCTAAGCCAGGTGAGGATACCTGATGGGTCTCAAATCCTTGGTGGGTTGGGGAATTCTGCTGCAAGTGAAGGCAGGCCCTGGTGGATGGAGAGGAGGAGAACAACAGTGAATCCCACAGTCAATAAAGAGATTCTGCCCATGCTGCAGAGGAAAGTGAAGGGCAGATGGGGTTCATCAACCTGGGAAGGGTGCTCCTCGAGAAAGAAAACTCTGGCCCTAAACCTTTGCTGCCTCATGAGTTATCTTCAGGAAAAGAAAAGGCTACACAAATCCAGAGTAGAGTCTCTAAGACCAGCCACTCCTGCAGCCAAGCTGGTGCCTAACGTACTGCTCTGCTTTCCTTGGGACCATATAAGCCAGGCTGAGAAGGGGGTCTTGTTGTCTAGGCAGCCACAAACCCCCAAACACACTGTCCAGGCTCACAGTGCTGCTAACACAGCAGTTTCAGGGGGAGGGATGAACTCAGACCTGTGTATCAAACTCTCTCCAGTGTGGAACAAGGAAAACGAAGCACTATTTACATCATAAAAAGGTAAAGGGACCCCTGACCATTAGGTCCAGTCGTGACCGACTATGGGGTTGCGGCGCTCATCTCGCTTTACTGGCCGAGGGAGCCAGCGTACAGCTTCCGGGTCATGTGGCCAGCATGACTAAGCCTCTTCTGGTGAACCAGAGCAGCGCACGGAAACGCCGTTTACCTTCCCGCTGGAGCGGTACCTATTTATCTACTTGCACTCTGACATGCTTTTGAACTGCTAGGTGGGCAGGAGCAGGGACCGAGGAGCAACAGGAGCTCACCCCGTCATTGGGATTCGAACTGCCAACCTTCTGATCGGTAAGTCCTAGGCTCTGTGGTTTAACCCACAGCGCACGTCACTGTAAAAGTATTTGAAATACTTGTCTTTTGAATAAAAGATCACCAAGTATCTGGTGGCCCTTTCAAAGCTAATGAAAGTCTTGTGCCTGGAGCTTTTGGGGGTGCAGGAACAGGAAAGCTTCTGCCAACATTATCCTTCCAATTGGGATTCAGGCCTCATGATGGGATGGAAACTGCCCTGGTTGTGCTGCTTGATTATCTATGATGGGCTAGAGTCCGAGGGGAAAGCTGTTTACTGGTTCTGCTGGATCTCTCAGTGGCTTTGGAGACCTTTTGCCATGGTATCCTTCTGGACCCTCTAGGGGAGCTGGGGGCACTGCTATGCAGTGGTTCCCCTCCTTCTTCCTGGGCCATGTCCAGAAAGTGGTGTTGGGGGATGAGTGTTCTGACCCCTGGGCTCTCACTTGTGGGGTGCCTCAGGGCTCCGTCCTCTCCCCCATGCTTTTTAATATCTATATGAAGCTGCTGGGGGAGATCATCAGGGAGGTTTTGGCTGGTGTTCACATGCATGTGGATGATACCCAGCTCTTCCTATCTTTTAAACTGGAACCAGTGAGGATAGATAATGCCCTGTTTTGGTGCCTGTAGGTGGTTTGAGGATGGATGGCGGCTAACAGATTGAGGTTGAATCCTGACAAGACAGAAGCACTGTCCCTGGGGGACAGGTGGCAGGCAGACCCTACCAGCCTGCAGACTGTCTCACTAAAGTGGTGCATTCTCTGGTTATCTCCTGCTTGAACTACTGCCATGCGCTCTATATGGGGCTACCTTTGAAGGTGACTCGGAAACTGCAACTAATCCAGAATGCGGCAGCTGGACTAGTAACTGGGAGCAGCCGCCAAGACCACATTTCATTGGTCCTAAAGGATCTTCCCTGGCTTTCAGTGCATTTCCAAGCACAATTCACACTGTTGGTGCTGACCTTTAAGTGTCATGGCTGCATTTTTCAGAAAAAGAAAAGTGTTGATCTAATGTATACAGATCATTCTTGGTCTATTGGTTCAAGAAGGTTCTGGTGGTTTTACTCTGTGTGATTCAAAGTGGTGTTTTCTCTAGCTGGAACATTTTAGCTGATAAGGGAGTTTCCTTTCTGCTGAGAGCAGGTGGTGGGATCAGTTCTTATGAGGTTATGCTGAACCTTCCTTGTTTCCAGGCTTGTTATCCAGTCCCAAGGTTACTCTGACATGGAATTTTTTATAAATCGCAGTATTGAAAGGCGCCTGGTCCCACTTCCTAATCTGCAATTCTCTACTCTGCTTGTCTGTTTCTTACTTGAGTGCTGTTTTGATATACCAAGTTAGGGTTTTACTGTAAGTTACGTTTTTGCTAGCTTTTGCCTTCAGTGCTAAATTTCTCTGCTGAATGAATTTTTTGCTGCCTCTGAGTGTTTTTTCCTACTCTGCTAACTATATGTCGGTCTTGGAGATCATTATGGAGGAGCAAGATCTGCGACTTAAAGCCCTAAACAGCCTCGACCCTGTAGCCCTGAAGGAGCGTCTCCACCCCCATCCTTCAGTCTGAACACTGAGGTCCTCCTCTGAGGGTCTTCTGCTGGTTCCCTCCCTGCAAGAAGTGAGGGTACAGGGAACCAGGCAGAGGGCCTTCTGGGTGGTGGCACCCACCCTGTGGAACACCCTCCATTCAAAGGTCAAGGAAATGCACAACTATCTGACATTTAGAAGATAGCAGAAGGGAGACCTGTATCTGGAGGTTTTTAATGTTTGATGTTTTACTGTCTTTTATGTGTACTGGAAGCTGCCCAGAGTGGCTGTGGAAACCCAACCAGATGGACAGGATATAAATACTACAATCATTCTTATCATTTTGTTATTTTTTGTAGTTATTTTGGAATTCGTACTGCAACATCAGCTCACGGAATGTAATGGGTGGAGAAAATCACAGGGTTGTTGTAAATGATAATCCCACCCACAAACTCTCATTCACATACAGTCTGTAAAAAAAATTGGGGGGGGGGTGTCACACACCTCACCTGTCCTAATACTGGCAGTCTTTGGCCTATATAAGCACACCTTGTATGTAGAGCCTCCAGCCACAGGGACTGTCTATAATGAAAATGGGTCCTTTGACTTGGAAGATTCATGCAGTTGCTGTCATCGGATGCTGATGGGTTGAATAAGAGGAACAGAAATGCTTTTGACTTCTATATCAATCCTGAGAGCCATTCCATGGACTCTGCACCCCTGTTTCTGATGACAGGTGTACATTATCCTCAGCCTCAATGAACCATGCAGTGGAAAAGACATTAAAGATGGAAGCCCGAGAGAGAGGAAAAGGTTTCTGGCTGCTTCCTGGGTGGGATTGTGGAAACAGAGAACGGCTTCTGAAAAGGGCTCTCCCCTCCCCTCTTCCTCTTGGAATTTCCTCTCCTCTCCAGGAGGACCCAAGGTTGGATTGGGCAGAATCACTGTGTTTGGACAGGGCAGAGGCTTATGGGGTGGGAAGAGGATGGAGCTTGCAGAAAGGAAGGGGTGGTGGGGACAGGACCCCCCACTTTCCAGGGATCCCTCTCTGGTTGCCTTGAAGGGGGGGGTCGATTCTTGGGTGGGAGGGAGCCGGCCCCTTTGGAGATTCCTCGTGGGCGCACGATGGAGATGTCTCCCCAAAGACTGGTCTTCCTTCCCCGCCCCACCGCCAGTGCTTCGCTTCCTTGCCCCAGGGATGCTCCCCTCCCTCCTCCCCCCGGCTCCCCCCACTCTGCATTTTAAGAATGGGATTTACGGACTTTCTGTTTTATGAATGGGATTTACGGATAACCGAAACTCACCAATCAAGAGCACTATATTTTGACAGCTAGCCAACGGGGGGAATCCGTAGACGGCTGAAACTGCCTCCAAACCAGCCTTTCAGCTCAGCCTTTGCACAATTGTTTCAGCGCCCTCCTGCTGCTCAAACTATGGGCAAAGTATATTAAATATAGCCATTTTGGTTTTGATTTCCTAAAGTTGCTACAATGTTACAAAGATTTTCTGAATGTATCCTTTCAGCTTGACTGCTCAGGGAACGATACCTAAATTTATAAATTCATATAAAATCCATACTTTAACCGATTCTTCCCATTCCAACGCCGTTTTAACTCTTAAGAAAAAGTAAATATAGGCTTCACCCTCCTCCATGACCCTGGAAGCGGATAGCCACGTAGGCAGTGAGAACAGGGCCTCCTGCCATAATCCCCTGAGTGTGAGAGCACGTACACTTCGCCCCACCCAGGGAGTGACCAAGGGGCGACAACAGACTTCCACAGAGGCAGCTGACCAACCCAGGTGTCGCAGGAAACCCCCCTCCCCCAATCATTCAGTTTTTACAAACTTGACACACACTCACACACTACATACGCTACACTTCTGTTATAAATTCATAGAAAATCAGTTCTTTTTACTCCATGAAGGAAGCACTACAAAATGGGGAAGGTCTGGTACAGGGCAGCCATAATCCCTTAACTGTACCAGCACATACACAGGAGCCCTGACCAGTTGGCATGGCAACCTTGATGGTCCCAGACAGAAGACCATCAAGGACACAATGGACTTGCATATGGGAGTAGATTCAACATGGACTGGAACAAAGGACAATGATCAGATCTCCCCTCTGGGGGCAGGAAACGGTCAACTCCCCTTTGTCTTCTGGAAGAGACTCATGGGCAGGGGGAAAGAGGAACCAGCAAGGTGTCAAGATACTCAGGTTACTTCCACAACCCCTCCCTCAACCCCTCCTGTTTGTGATGTGTCAATGATGTAGTCATGATGTAGTTGTGATGTAGTTCCAGGGGTGTAGTTTGGAGGATTAGTAGTTAATAAAAGTTGGGGTCTTCTTTTGTTCGGGACTTCCATTTTGCTTCATCTTGTTGTGGGTGGGAGTCCTGTTGCGACAGTTTCCAATAAAGGCCAAGCCTACAGGCTGCTGTTTTGCTCCAAATTGTCCTGGTTGGTGTCTTTTTTGTCCAAGGGAGCCCTCAGATTCCTCCGTTAACACAGGTGTTCTGAAAGCCCAGCTCAGGAGAAGCCCTGAGGGCAAGGATGTAATTTGATTATGAATTGATTTTAGAATGTATTTCAATTAATTGATTGTGATTTTATGTAAACTGTGTTACTTTTACTGTTGTTAGCCGCTCTGAGCCCGGCTTTGGCTGGGGAGGGTGGGAAATAAATATATTTTATTTTATTCATCATCATCATTATTATTATTAATATTAATATTATTATTACAGTGGCACCTCGGGTTACAGACGCTTCAGGTTACAGACTCTGCTAACTCAGAAATAGTACCTCGGGGTAAGAACTATGCTTCAGGATGAGAACAGAAATCGTATGGCGGTGGCACAGCAGCAGCGGGAGGCCCCATTAGCTAAAGTGGTACCTCAGGTTAAGAACAGTTTCAGGTTAAGAACAGACCTCTGGAATGAATTAAGTACTTAACCTGAGGTACTACTGTATTTTGTCGATAGTTTTATTGTTCTTTGGGTGATGGGTACTGGAGAGGTGTCCAGAGATGTATCTGATAGAGTGACCAGCTGTTGCACTTGTGTAACCCTTTGATACATACTAGGGAAGATGCTACTCAAAAAGTATTCTAGGTGAGGGGGGGGGAGTTTTAAAAGTCGATGTAAATTGTCCAGGGTTGCTCAAACAAATAGAGATGCAAGGAGCTCCAAAAGGACCTCTCCAAATGGCGTGAATGGGCAGAAAATACAGCATCATAAAGTGATGCAAAAAAACCTACACCCATTAATATAATGTATAGGCTCATGGGTATGAACTGGATTTCTCTGTGTGCTCTAGGAGACCAGGGTAGAGGGGAGCTGGTCGCAGCAGGAGGGGGAGTCTCCCTGGATGCTTCAGCTGATGGCCTCCTCTGATGGTCTCCTGGCCCCCTCCTCTCCTCCCTCTCAGCCTGAACTGCTCTCTGCCCCAGCCTCTTCCTGCTCACCAAACCCTGTATTCTCTTCATTTTGCAACACCTCCTCTCCCATTCTGCTCCCTTTCCCCCCTCTTTCTGCTCTTGTGCCTTCTTCCCTTGTGGGTTTCCCAACTGGTGCCTCCCCCCCCCCAACCTAGCCAGTCCATGACAGCAACAGCAGCAACAACAATAAAATCAGTAGGGTAGTAATATGCACTGTGGTCTTTGTCAGCTTCGCCTTTGAGCCAGTACCACCGACTGGGCTCAACCACTTAGCCCCGACTGGGCCAGGCGAGCTGGGGTAGCACTTCCAGAGACCTTCTTCTGCAGGAACAGGTCTAAGTGCTGTGGACTCCCAACTCAGAGCTGTGAGCACCGAACTCACTTCCAGAAGACAGTCGTGCACAGCAGAGTACAGCAGAGCATAAATCACTCGGATGACAGCGCTGAAGAATATCTTCTTTTATTCACTGCAGCTACTGTACTATACAAACTATATACAAATGGAGACGCTGGACTGCACTGAGTGTTACAGCTGCTTTCTGCAGCGACCTTATCTACACAGAGATAACACTCAGTCTCCCCTTTGAAGTGAGGCTGGAGTGGAATAAGTAGCAAGCACAATCCGCCCCCTCCTCTCTGGAAAATCAGCAGATTCTTACAATGGGAGGGGTGAAATCTCCTCAGTCCTCTGGCAGGAAGACTCCCTAGCAGCATGATTGACTAATAACTTCTGGGACTATGAAAAAGTTCTATCTTCTCCAAACCCCAGAATAAGCAGGAGCTCTGGGGTTGCCCCATGGGGTTCATGAGTGAAGATGGACCCCCCAGGAGACTTCCCTGGTACCCGCAGCCCCACCTTCGCATTCTTGAAAATTGAATTCCCATTGAATTTTAAGTTTTTTTCAGAACGTGCAGGAGGCAGGGATGAAGTTTTGTTGAAGAAGATGTGTGTAGAGATCATGCGGTGGTGGGGGTGACAGTAAAGGTAAAGGTAAAGGTACCCCTGCCCGTACGGGCCAGTCTTGACTCTAGGGTTGTGCGCTCATCTCACTCTAGAGGCCGGGAGCCAGCGCTGTACGCAGACACTTCCGGGTCACGTGGCCAGCGTGACGAAGCTGCTCCAGCGAACCGGCACCAGAGCAGCACACGGAAACGCCGTTTACCTTCCCGCTATAAAGCGGTACCTATTTATGTACTTGCACTTAAGGGTGCTTTCGAACTGCTAGGTGGGCAGGAGCTGGGACCGAACGACGGGAGCTCACCCCGCCGCGGGGATTCGAACCGCCGACCATGCGATCGGCAAGTCCTAGGCGCTGAGGTTTTACCCACAGTGACAGAGTTTGGTGCAAAAACCAGTCTGACACATAAATACCCATCTTGCATGCGTGAGTACAGCAACTCCAGGGCCTTATCCAAGCATCGGTGGGGTAGGGGCCACATGTAGAGCAAGTCCCACACTGACGTCAAAAACACACACAGAGGCAGCAGGAATTCTTCAGTAATAGTTTACTGAGCTTTCAAAGCATACAGTTCTCACTGGGTCCACAGTGAGGCACAAAACTTAGCTCCTGAGAGCAGATCCAGTTTCAGCAGTAAAAAAATACAGCACACAGGATATCTAACTCAAGCACACAAACCGGCAGAAGGGAGCAAGGGAGGAAAGAGGCTGGACGGACACAGGGCAATGGATGTGTGTGTTTTGTTTCCTGTCATTTTGGAGAGAAGTCAGCAACTCAGCACCTGCAGGGACTTCACGAAGCAAAGCTTTCTGCCGCTGCTTGCAGGCACATCCCAGAAACACACTGTAATCTGCGGTGTATTGCCCCATATCAGTTGTTCTTCAAAGGTTATTGCGATGTGGTCTAGAAACCGGTATTGTTCAAGATATCAATATATCGCCCAGCCCTAATCCTCACTCACCACCAACAAACCAGATTCATCCTCTCTATCAAAAGGTACTTTACCTCTTAGATTATACTCACATTGTTTGACATTGCCTTCAATATTTCACTGCTGTTCAGTTTTACATATAAACACAAGAACTTCAAATACACGGCGTGTGTTTAAGACTGATTTCCTGCTGAGTTCATTGCTGTGAAGAAATGAGTGGACACTGAAAGGAAGACGTCCCACACTCCATACATCTAAATGGTTTCTTCCTGTGAGAGTCCCTGGATGTTCCTTAAACACTCCATTGTAAATAAAGCACTTTTTGCAATCTTTTCATTTAGACTGCTTCTCCTCTTTGAGTTTGTTGATGATTTGTAGGGTTTCAACTCCTAAAGTTCTTCCTGTCCATGAGTCTGTTGATGTAGAACTTCCACTAGAACTGAACATCTATCTACTTTCCTGATTTTTATGTGGTTTGTGTTTTGTTTGAGTTTGTTGACATAAATCAAGGGTTCCACTCTGACTGCAGCTCCTTCCACAGTCCATACATTTAAACAGTTTGTCCCCTGTGTGTCTGCTGATGTTTTCTAAGATTTCGATTCTGACTGAAGCTCTTTCCACACCCCATGCATTTAAATGGTTTCTCCCCTGTGTGAATCCACTGGTGTACTTTAAGGTCTCCATTCTGCCTGAAGCACTTTCCGCACTCCAGGCATTCAAATGGTTTCTCCCCTGTGTGAGTCTGTTGATGTCTTTGAAGGTGTCCACTCTGCCTGAAGCACTTTCCGCACTCCAGGCATTCAAATGGTTTCTCCCCTGTGTGAGTCTGTTGATGTCTTTGAAGGTGTCCACTCTGACTGAAGCTCTTTCCACACTCCATACAATTATATGGTTTCTCCCCAGTATGAGTCCGTTGATGTGTTCTAAGGTTTCCATTATCAGTAAAGCTCTTTCCGCACTCCATACATTTATGTGGTTTCTCCCCTGTATGAGTCCGTTGATGTGTTCTAAGCTTTCCATTATCACTAAAGCTGTTTCCACACTCCATACATTTATATGGTTTCTCCCCTGTGTGAGTTCGCTGGTGTATATTGAGGTGTCCACTCTGACTGAAGCTTTTTCCACACTCCATACACTTAAATGGTTTCTCCCCTGTGTGAGTCCGTTTATGTATATTGAGCTCTCCACTCTTACTGAAGCTCTTTCCACACTCCATACATTTATATGGTTTCTCCCCTGTGTGAATCCGCTGGTGTAATTTAAGGTCTCCATTTTTACTGAAGAACTTTCCACACTCCAGGCATTCAAATGGTTTCTCCCTTGTGTGAGTCCGTTGATGTATTTTGAGGTTTCCATTCAGACTGAAGCTCTTTCCGCACTCCATACATTTATATGGTTTCTCCCCTGTGTGAGTCTGTTGATGTCTTCTAAGGTTTCCATTATCAGTAAAGCTCTTTCCACACTCCATACATTTATATGGTTTCTCCCCTGTGTGAGTTCGCTGGTGTATATTGAGGTTTCCATTCTGACTGAAGCTCTTTCCACACTCCATACATTTATGTGGTTTCTCCCCCGTGTGAGTCCATTGATGTGTTCTAAGTGTATCACTCCGACAGAAGCTCTTTCCACAATCCAGACATTTAAAAGGTTTTTCCCTTGTGTGAGTCCGTTGATGTAAACTTAAGTATCCATGTTGACTGAAGTTCTTCCCGCACTCCCTGCATTGGAATCCTTTCTTGCCCATGTGAGTCCACTGATGTGTTCTATGTTTTCCACTATCAGTGAACCTTTTCCCACACTCCATACCTTTAAATGGTTTCTCCCCTTCTTGAGATCGCTGATGTGAGCTATGTGTGCTCATTCAGTGAAGCATATTCCACATTTCACACATTTTAATGTCTATACCTAATGAAACAAAAGTGCCCCATCCCTCAGAATTCTGACTGTCTTCTCCATCACCTTCTTCAGAGTGGGAGGAAAGGAAATCCTGTTTGGGTTTCAAGGAAGAGAAGAAAGGGGAAGAGAACACAGCAAGCACCATTAGCACCTTCTCTTATTTCAACATCTCCTACTTTCCCCTGCCTCCTACCCATGTTCCCAGTTTTTAGGAAATGAAGATGCAATGTCACCAAATGATAGCAATGCATCAGCAACCTTTCATAATCCTCAGTCATCTTTAATAAAGCAGCATGATCTTGGAATACAGCCTTTTCAAATCAATTGTTTCCTCAAAGGAAAGGCAGCTGCTCTCTTTCCATGAAGAGGCCCTCTCTTTCCATGGTTCATCATCCCTTTGGACATTCCCCATCCTCTGCATCATAATCCTCCATCCACCTCTAGATCTCCATGAATCACCTGCACAGTCTCACTGACCTCAGGAGGTCCATATGGGCCATTGTGGGAGGCTCAGGCCTACATCTCTTCCAGGGACTGTGGTCTGGGTCAGTCAGAGAACTAGTGACAAGGCTTGGTGCTTGGGGTCAGCTGAATGGGTCTCAGGGAAGCTCCTGTTCTTGGAGATGGACCTCTGTCTACATGCCTCTCATTGCATGGAGAGAGCAGGAGAAGCAGAAGAAAAGCAGCTGGCGCATCGGAATCCCAAACGGAAAAACCCACCCCAAAGGTCCTTTATAATGATGATGTGCTGCCTGATCTTGTGCCCGTCTCCTGACTCAGGACTATCCTAATCTGGCACTGAAAAAGCTGGATATGAAAGGCAAATGGATAAATGTACCTAGTGGAAATTTCATCCTTGAATATATAGTACTGATTCATTAACAACCTGGTGTTGTGTTATTTCTTGAGATATGAATTTATTCCTTATCTGTCTTAAATATCATAATTATAAAAATTAAAAAACAAAGTGCGAGACTGGCTTCATTATTATCAGATAATGGAGGCATATAATTTGGACAAGAAAATTGGCTTCCAAGTGGAAAAATCAAAATTGGAAACAGAACTGTTAGAACCCAAAACCAAGATTCTGTCAAAGATGTATAACTTGCTGTTGAAATGGAATACTCAGGATGAAACGGTGAAATCAGCTATGATTAAATGGGCACAAGATGTTGGACATAACATAATGATGGCTGACTGGGAACAGTTATGGACCACAGGTCTGAAATTTACGGCATGTAATGCCCTAAGAGAGAATATTATGAAAATGATTTACAGGTGGTACATGACACCAGTCAAGCTAGCAAAAATCTATCATTTGCCCGATAATAAATGTTGGAAATGTAAAGAAACTGAAGGTACATAATTTCTTTCACCTTTGGTGGACGTGCCCAAGGACTAAGGCTTTCTGGGAGATGATTTATAACGAAATGAAAAGGGTATTTAAATATACCTTTCTGAAGAAACCAGAGGCCTTTCTCCTGGGCATGGTCGGCCAAATGGTGTCAAAGAAGGACGGAACTTTCTTTATGTATGCCACAACAGCAGCAAGAATACTTATTGCAAAGTATTGGAAGACACAAGACCTACCCACTCTGGAAGAACGGCAGATGAAGGTGATGGACTACATGGAATTGGCAGAAATGACTGGCAGAATCCGAGACCAGGGAGAAGAGTCGGTGGAAGAAGATTGGAAGAAATTTAAAGACTATTTACAGAAATATTGCAAAATTAATGAATGTTAGAATGATGTTGGAATGAAGCTAGGTGGTTTAAGCAGTAATGCTATAAAGGTGTATGTAAAAAGGATTGATAAGAGATGAAAATTTAAAGTTATAGTATATTAAGTTAAAGGATCATGAGAAAACAAAGAGGGAAAGAAATTGCTGACTTAACTAATTGAACTGGAATACAAAAAAGGGAGGTATGAGGAGGTCAGGGAAACAAGGATAGGAATGTAAGCTATGGAAAGATTGATCCATTTTTCTTTTTTTCTTTTAAAGTGTTTTTTATTCTTTTATTCTGTATTTTTCTTGTATTTTTACTTTTTGTTTTTGTGTAATTCTTTTTTTCTCTGAAATTTTAATAAATATCTTTTTTTAAAAAAAATTAAATATCATAATTATAGATGTCTTGGGGTGTTACGGGAGCGGTAGTACTTTTGGTGGAGGAAATGTAGTCCGCCTTCTGGAGTAATTTTTCCACCATTGGTCCCCACCCTGCACTCAGCTTTCACCTGTGGCTTCCAGAAGCTGCCAGAATGCAACAGAGGCAGCGATCCAAGCAACAGCTTCAACCGGCCGACTAAACCAGGGAGGATACCTGATGGGTCTCAAATCCTTGGTGGGCTGGGGAATTCTGGAAAACAGAAGCGCTAATAACATCATACATCACTGTAAAGGTATTCAAATTTTTTGTCTTTTGAAGAAAAGACCACCAATCATCCAGTGGCCCCTTCAAAGCTAATGAACGTCTTGTGCCTGGAGCTTTTGTGGGCTGCAGGACCAGGAAAGCTTCTGCCACCATTATCCTTCCAATTGGGATTCAGGCCTCATCATGGGGCTGAAACTGACCTGGTTGCGCTGCTTGATGATCTCCGATGGGCTAGAGACCAAGGGGAAAGCTCTTTCCTGGTTCTGCTGGATCTCTCAGCGGCTTTGGAGACCTTTGACCATGGTATCCTTCTGGACCCTCTAGGGGAGCTGGGGGCCCTGCTATGCAGTGGTTCCCCTCCTTCCTCCTGGGCCATGTCCAGAAAGTGGTGTTGGGGGATGAGTGTTCAGACCCCTGGGCTCTCACTTGTGGGGTTCCTGAGGGCTCCGTCCTCTCCCCTATGCTTTTTAATATCTATATGAAGACGCTGGGAGAGATCATCAGGGGGTTTGGGCTGGGTGTTCCCCAGTATGTGGATGATACCCAGCTCTTCCTCTCTTTTAAACTGGAACCAGTGAAGGTCCTGTGTGAGTGTCTGGAGGCTAACAGATTGAGATTGAATCTTGACAAGACAGAAATACTGTCCCGGGGGGAAGTGTGGGAGACTCTCTAGATCCGATTGGGGTAACTGTGCCCCAAAAGGACTAGGTGCACAACCTGGGCTTTATTTTGGACTCACAACTGTCCATGTAGGCACAGGTCAATTCTGTGTCCAGGGCAGCTGTCTGCCAGTTCCATCTGGTATGCCGGCTGAGACCCTCCATGCCTGGAGACTGTCTCCCCAGAGTGGTGCATCCTCTGGTGATCTCCCACTTGGACTACTGCCATGCGCTACATGGGGGCTACCTTTGAAGGTGACCCGGAAACTGCAACTAATCCAGAATGTGGCAGCTAGACAACAGAATGGGAGCAGCCGCTGAGACAACATAACACCAATCCAAAAGGATCTTCACTGACTCCCAGTACATTTCTGAGCACAATTTGCATTGTTGGTGCTGACCTTTAAATTGCCGTGGTTGCATTTTTCAGGCATAGAATCCTGTTATGCCTTCAGTAACAAATTTATTTGCTGAAGGAATTTTTTGCTGTCTCTGAGCATTTTTTCCTACTCTGCTAATTGTATGTTGGACTTGCTCTGGAGATCATTGTGGAGGAGCAAGATCATTGACCTAAAGCCCTACAGCCTCACTCTCTGTAGACCTGAAGGAGCGTCTCCACCCCCATCGCTCAGTCTGTACACTGAGGTCCTCCTTCGAGGGTCTTCTGCTGGTACACCCCCCCACACCCCGTGAGAAGCGAAGTTGCAGGGAAGCAGGCAGAGGGCAAGGAAAGGGGCAACTATCTGACATTTAGAAGACAGCTGAAGGCAGCCCTGTATCAGGAGGTTTTTAATGTCTGGTTTTTTACTGTCTTTTATAGGTACTGTAAGCTGCCCAGAGTGGCTGGGGAAACCCAGCCAGATAGGCAGCGTGGAAATACTACAATCATTCTTATTATATTGTGATTTTTTTGTAGTTATTTTGGAATTCGTACTGCAATATCAGCTCAAGAAATATTATGGGTGGAGAAAATCACAGGGCTGCCATACACTGTAATCCCACCCACAACTTCTCATTCACATACAGCCTGTAAATTTGGGAGGTCGCACATCTCACCTGGCACTCTTTGGCCTGTATAGGCACACCTTGTATGTAGAGCCTCCAGCCACAGGCACTGTCTACCATGAAAATGGGTCCTTTGACTGGGAAGAATCTCAGCTTCTCAGTCACTCTGACACTGCCAACAAAGAATAAGAGGAACAGAAATGCTTTTGAGGTGCACCTTCTATATCAATCCTGAGAGCCATTCCATGTACTCTGCACCCCTGTTTCTGATGACAGGTGTACATTATCCTCATCCTCAATGAAGCAGGCAGTGGAAAAGACATTAAAGATGGAGGCCTGAGAGAGAGGAAAAGGTTTCTGGCTGCTTCCTGGGTGGGATTGTGGAAACAGAGAACGGCTTCTGAAAAGGGCTCCCCCCTCCCCTCTTCCTCTCCGGATTTGAACTGCTGCGTCTGGACAGGGCAGGGGCTTATGGGGTGGGAAGAGGATGGAGCTTGCAGGAAGGAAGGGGTGGGGGGACGGGACCCCCCACTTTCGACGGATCCCTCTCTGATCGCCTTGAAGGGGTGGCCGATTCCTGGGCGGGATGGAGAAGCCAAGGCGGCACCTCCGGAGAATCCCGCCACGATGGAGACCTCTCCCTACAGACTGGTCTTCCTTTCTCTCTCTCTCCCCCCCCACGCCAATGCTGCCCTTCCTTCCCCAGGGATGCTCCCCCCGACTTCCTTGACCCCCCTCCCTCTCGCTCACCCCTCGCCCTGCGTGCCCCATCTCTCCATCCAGAGGACGCCCCCCCCAACACCAGCAACACGGGGGTCTCTATCCAGGCGTCTCTCGCGCCCGTTAACCCATTCATGACCCGCCTTTCTCTATGCGGAGCCCACAGGGCCCCAGGGATGCCTGTGCGGGGGAAACGGGGCAAGGAGGTCCTCGTGGGGCCCTCCTGGGTGGGGGCACCATGTCCGCCCCCGCCAGGGCGCCTAAGGGGCCAAGGAAAGCCCCCTTCGCAGTACACGTGCAGGGATCCAGGCCCTGCCCGTGGGGCCCACGAAAGGCGCTTTGGGGAGCTTGGAGGGGGTCTCTGGATCTTTCTCTCCCCTTCCCCCGCGACCCCTTTACCTCTTTGTCCTCGCTCGCGAATCTCCTTTCCTTTCCTGCAACATCCACGGGGGGGGGGGTTTCCCTGCCGCCCCTCCTCCCCTTTCCGAAAGCGCGCCCCCCTAGAGCTACGGCGCAGAGCAGCAATCCGCCTTAGAAGCTCCACTTCCGGGAGAAGCAGGCAGATTGAGAGGGGGGCTCATACCCCCCCCTTATTCCCGTAACAGAAGGCAGATGGCGAGGAGGAGGAGCAACATATTGGGATGGGGATTTGGGGTTGTGGGGGCGGGGTGAGGGAAGGATGTGCCGGGAGGGGAGGGGAGGAACAGGGGGGAGGGAGAGGAAGGTTTCCCTCCTCCCCTCTTCCATCTGTGGATCAGGAGAGCGGGGGAGGGGATGATCGTGGCAATCCAATTACTAAGTGCCCCCCCCCAATGTTTATATTGCAAAATCCTTCCCTCGCCCACCCCACGCCACGAGCCGTGCGTCCGTGTTTTAGGTATTGGTGCTCTTCAGACCAGGATGGGGGGGACAGTTATACGACTCCCCCAAAACCCCAAGTCCCCACCACAGCCTCAGACTAAGGCCAGGACAATGACCGTTGACACAAGCACCTTCCATGCACAACAGCAAAGAGGCTCAGAAAAGCAGCCTATACAATTGTAGCAAGAAGAGGATACCATGAATCGGACTGTTTCCTCCGACTATCCAATACTGTATAGAAAACTGTAGAAACGTCAAATAATAGCCAAGTCAATGGTTTGACGGATTTCCTGGGTTCCAACGCCTAATGACTCCTCTGGAATTGGGGGATCCAATTCATAATCCATGATCCCTTAGGAGGCAGGAGGGGATCAAGGACAGCACATGCCCCAGGCAGAAATCCATCGGGATGGTGGATTGAATCCTGATGCATTTAAAGCGTTTAAAGCAAAGCAGCTAGTAAGCTTGATCTTTTATTGATCTGTTGCAACAGGGTCCTCACTCACCACACGCAGGAGGGAGGAGGAACCCAGAACAATGGCGCACAAGGCCTTATATAGACATTTTAAATTCCCTGCCCTGGAGCTCAAGACCATCCCTCCATACATCATACATACATGACATAAGGGGTGTAACCCCAGACCACCCCCCCTCCATACATCATACCTACATCACAGAAAGGGCGGTTTACAGCAGAAATCTGAGTGGTTTGTTTAGGTCCTGTCTGCCAGGTTACCTGTTTAATGGTCACTTGATTGGATTCCCAGGGGAGCCTGGCCAGTCTTTTGTAATGATAAATACTTAGTTCCTGTGCCAGGTTACAGGCTCACACCCTATTCATATCTTAAATGTGCCCTTAAGAAAGGATTTGTGAAGGAAAAGACAATGGGCAGGCTCCTCCCATCTCGTCCTCTCTTTTAAATTGGAACCAGTGAAGGCAGTGAATTCCCTGTGTGTCTTTCTGGAGGTGGTTGGAGGATGGATGGCAGCTAAGGGATTGAGGTTGAATCCAGACAAGGGAGGCAGGTGTGGGGGAGGCAGGTGTGGGGGAGGCAGGTGTGGGGGACTCCCGGTTCCTGATGGCGTAACAGTGCCCCTAAAGGACCAGGTCATCACCTTTGAGTATTGGGGTCAGTGCCCCTATTCCTCCAGCAGGAGCGATTGTGGGGCTTCCTCGCCCACTTCCATTCAGCTCCGCCATTCCCAAAGGGGAATTCTTCTTCAGCCATTGTGGGAGCAGACCGGCTAGAAGCTGAAGCGGCTTCCCTTTGAGTAGGATTTACTTCACTTTCTGCTGACCTCAGTCTCTTGGATTGTGGCCAGCTGTCCTCTTCCATTTCCTTGAATGCTGACCAGTGTTGGATATGTGGGGAAGCAAAATTCACCCCAGACCTTTTCCGCAGGGTTCCCTCCACAGCACAGAAGGATGGGAGGAGGGAGGAACACGTACTAATAAACGAACACTCCTATGAATGGAGAGAAGCAGAAAGTGGAGTCCCCTATAGATCAGTATTGGGACCCATGGCTTTTCAACTTGTTCATAAATGATCTAGAGTTAGGAGTGAGCAGGGAGGGGGCAAAGTTTGCTGGTGGCAGTAAATTGTCCAGGATTGTTCAAACAAAGACAGAATGCAAGGAGCTCCAAAAAGAGCTCTCCAAACGGTGTGATTGGACAGAAAATACAGTTCATTGTCAACAAGATTAAAGTGAGGCATGTTGGGGGGCAGGGAAACACCCTCTTAATATCATGTGCAGAATCATGGGGTCTCAACCGGGTTTCTCTGTGTGCTCTAGGAGACCAGGGGAGAGGGGTGAGGGAACAGCTGCAGTCGCCTGCGGTTCCTACGCAATGTTTGCCATCTTGTATGTTGATTGCCCTCTTAGAAGACAAAGTCCAGCAACTGGAGGAACGTGTAGCTATGCTCCAAAGAATTAGATTTAGGGGAGCTGGTCGCAGCAGGAGGGGGGGTCTCCCTGGATGCCTCAGTAGCCGGCCTCCTCTGGGTCTCCTGGCCCCCCTCCTCTCTTCCCTCTGGGTCTGAACTGCTCTCTGTCTCAGCCTCTTCCTGCTCAGCAAACCCTGTTTCATCCTCAGCTTGCAACACCTCCCCTCCCATTCTGCTCCCTTTTCTCCCTCTTTCTGCTCATCACTATCCCACCACCAGTCCCCAGGATCTGAGCCTTCTTCCTTTGTGGGTCTCCCAGCTGGTGCCTCCCCCCCCTCACCCAGCCAGTCCATGACAGCAAAAGCAGCCATAGCAGTAAAATCAGTATGATACACTCTGGTAGGAAAACTCCCTAGCAGGATGATTGAATAATAACTTCTGGGAATATGGAAAAGTACTATCTTCTCCAAACCCCAGAATAAGCAGGCGCTCTGGGGTTGCTCCATGGGGTTCATGAGTGAAGATGGGCCCCCCAGGAGACTTCCCTCATAGCCCCTCCTTCCCCATCCTGCAAATAGGCTTGGGGGGAAATCTCCCATTCAATTTCAGTATTTCAAGTTTTTTTTCAGAATGTGCAGGGGGCAGGGATGAAGTTCTGTTAAATAAGTAGTGTTTGGAGATCATACGGTGGTGGGGGTGACAGAGTTTGGTGCAAAACGGTCTTGCATGCTTGAGAAGAGTAACTCCAGGGCATGAGCCAAGTATCGGCAGGGTAGGGGCCACGTGTAGAGCAAGTCCCACGCTGAGGTCAAAAACACACACAGAGGCAGCAGGACTTCTTCAGTAATAGTTTACTGAGCTTTCAAAGCATACATTTCTCAATGGGTCCCCAGTGAGGCACAAAACTTAACTCCAGAGAACAAATCCAGTTTCAGCAGTAAAAAAATACAGCACACAGGATATCTAAGTCAGGCACGCACACCGGCAGAAGGGAGCAAGGGAGGAAAGAGGCTGGAAGGACACAGGGCAATGGAGGTGTGTCTTTCGCTTCCTGTCATCTGGGAGGGAAGTCAGCAACTCGGCGTCTGCAGGGGCTTCATGAAGCAAAGCTTTATGCTGGCTATTCCAGGCAAACATGCAACACAAAAACACACGCTGTGATCTGTGCTATATTGCTATATCAGTTGTTTTTATGGGGTTTTTTCTGTCCCCCCCCCCAAAAAAAATATTCATTTTATAACACAAATAAAGAACACAAACAGAAAAACAAACAATACAAACAAAGTCTTGTCATATCCTTATTTTCCTATACATTGTGAAGTGGGCTTCCCCAAGTCCCACCTATCTGATTTTCATTTTACTTCATCTTTAGCAATTTACATATATCATCGTTTCTAACAATATTTTTTTTTAAATCACACTTAAAATAACTTCACATTTTATCACTTACAAATAATACTATTTTAAAATACATTATCTTCTACTTCTAAGCCTGCAGCATATATCCACTTCCAAAGCTATTCTAAGATTTAAATATTAACATATTTTTTCAAATATTCCTTAAACTTCTCCCTATCTTCTTCCATCATCTCTTCTCTCTGGTCTCAGAGTCTCCCGGTCAGTTCGGCAAGTTTCATATAGTCCATCATCTTCATCTGCCCTTCTTCGTTAGTTGGTAAATCTTGTTTCTTCCAATTCTTTGCTAGCAACATTCTCACAGCTGTTGTGGCATACAGAAAAAAAGTAACACCCTTTTTGGGTATTTAACCCCCCACTATACCAAGTAAAAAGGCTTCTGGTTTTTTAACAAATGTGTTTTTCAATACTTTCATCAGTTCATTATAAATACTTTCCCAGAAGTCTTTTTCCTTGGGGCACGTCCACCACATGTGGTAAAAGGTTCCTTCTTTTTCTTTACATTTCCAGCATTTATTATCATGAGTATGATACATTTTTGCTAACCTCACTGCTGTTAAATACAATCTATACATCATTTTCATCAAGTTTTCTCTTTATACATTACAAGCTGTAAATTTGATTCCTTTTTCTACAATTTCTCCCAATCCACCATCATGATATTGTGCCCCACATCCCTGGCCCATTCACTCGTTACAGATTTCACTTGTTCATCTTTCGTACGCCATTCCAGCAATAAATTATACATCTTAGATAGGTTTTTTTGTTTTTGTATCTAATAATTCCCTTTCCAGTTTGGATTTCTCTCTTTGAAAACCAATTTTCTTATCCATTTTAAACACTTCATTTATCTGGATGTACTGGAATCAATCATCTAATTTTTCTTTCAACGAATCATAAGATTTTAATCTAAATTGGTCCCCTACTTCCATCAGAATAGCATTATACTTCAACCACGTATCTTTCATATTCAACCTTTTATGGGTCTGAGCTTCCAATGGTGAGCCAAATCACTTCTTTTTCAAGGGTTCTCGCGATGCGTCAGGGAATGGTCGGAAGCTGAGTATGGGGGAATGCATTCTCAGGAAGATCAGCTTTCCTGGGAGCTGCAGGGGGGGAATTCTCCCCCCTCTTTTGCAGTGGTCTCAGAAGCAGGGAGTGACACCGATACAGAGCAGATTAGACAGGAGTTACCTAGTTGGAGATAATGACAAGAGAAACAGACTCAGCTGTCCCTGAAGCAGGAATACGGATTTCTTCTGAGTTTCTTGCTGTGAAGAAGAGTGGACTCTGAGAGGAACTTGTCCCACACTCCATACATCTAAATGGGTTCGCCCTTGTGAGAGTCCCTAGATGTTTCTTAAACATTCCATTATAATTAAATCACTTTCTGTAATCTTTCCATTTAAACTGCTTCTCCTCATTTCTGCTGATGGTTTGTTGGAGTTCAACTCTTAAAGTTCATCCTGGGCATGAGTCTGTTGATTTAGAACTTCCACTAGAATTGGACCTCTACCTCTGTCTAACTTCCTGACACTTATACGGTTTGTCTCTTGTGTGAGTTTGTTAATGTAAATCAAGGGTTCCACTCTGACTGAAGCTCCTTCCAGAGGCCATACATCTAAATGATTTCTCCCATGTGGGTCTGCTGATGTTTTCTAAGATTTCCACTCTGACTGAAGCTCTTTCTGCACTCAATGCATTTAAACAGTTTTTCCGCTGTGTGAGTCCGATGATGTCTTCTAAGGGTTCCATTATCACTAAAGCTCTTTCCACACTCCATACATTCATATGGTTTCTCCCCTGTGTGAGTCCGTTGATGTATATTGAGATTTCCACTCTGACTGAATTTCTTTCCGCACTCCATGCATTTAAATGGTTTCCCCCCTGTGTGAGTCTGTTGATGTCTTCTAAGGTTTCCATTATTACTAAAGCTCTTTCCACACTCCATACATTCATATGGTTTCTCCCCTGTGTGAGTCCGTTGATGTCTTCTAAGGGTTCCATTATCACAAAAGCTCTTTCCACACTGCATACATTCATATGGTTTTTCCCCTGTGTGAGTCCGTTGGTGTGTTCTAAGATGTCCATTATCACTAAAGCTCTTTCCACACTCCATACATTCATATGGTTTTTCCCCTGTGTGAGTCCGTTGATGTGTTCTAAGATGTCCATTATCACTAAAGCTCTTTCCACATTGCATACATTTAAATGGTTTCTCCCCTGTGTGAGTCCATTGATGTGTTCTAAGTTTTCCATTATCACTAAAGCTCTTTCCGCACTCAATGCATTTAAATGGTTTTTCCCCTGTGTGAGTCCGTTGATGTCTTCTAAGGGTTGCATTGGAACTGAAGCTCTTTCCACACTCCATACATTCATATGGTTTCTCCCCTGTGTGAGTCTGTTGATGTCTTCTAAGGGTTCCATTATCACGAAAGCTCTTTCCGCACGTCATACATTTACATGGTTTCTCCCCTGTGTGAGTCTGTTGATGTCTTCTAAGGGTTGCATTATCACTATATCTCTTTCCGCACTCCATACATTTATAAGGTTTTTCACCCGTGTGAGTCCATTGATGTATATTGAGGTGTCCACTGTGACTGAAGCTCTTTCCACACTCCATACATTCATATGGTTTCTCCCCTGTGTGAGTCTGTTGATGTCTTCTAAGGGTTCCATTATCACGAAAGCTCTTTCCGCACGTCATACATTTACATGGTTTCTCCCCTGTGTGAGTCTGTTGATGTCTTCTAAGGGTTCCATCATCACTAAATCTCTTTCCACACTCCATACATTTAAATGGTTTCTTCCATGTGTGATTCCATTGATGTCTTCTAAGGTTTCCATTCTGACTGAAACTCTTTCCACACTCCATGCATTTAAAGGGTTTCTCCCCTGTGTGAGTCCGATGGTGTGATTTAAGGTCACCATTGTGACTGAAGCTCTTTCCACACTCCATGCATTTAAAAGGTTTCTTCTGTCTGTGAGTCTGTAGATGTATATTGAGTTGTCCACTGTGACTGAAGCGCTTTCCACATTCCATACATTCATATGGTTTTTCACCCATGTTGAGTACGCTGGTGTAATTTAAGGTTTGTATTCCGACTAAAGCTCTTTCCACATTCCATACATTTAAAAGGTTTCTCCCCTGTGTGAGTCAATTGATGCATATTGAGGTGTCCACTCTGACTGAAGTTCTTCCCGTACTCCTTGCATTTGAATCCATTCTTGCCCATGTGAGTCCGCTGATGTGTTCTATCATTGAAAGTCTTTCCACACTCCATACCTTTAAATGGTTTCTCCCCTTTTTGGGTGAGCTATGTGTGCTCATTCAATGAAGCACATTTCACATATTTTAATGTCTATATCTAATGAAACCAAGGTGCCCCATCCCCTGGAAGTCTGACTGTTTTCTCCATGACCTTCCTCAGAGTGGGAGGAAAGGAAATCCTGTTTGGGTTTCAAGGAAGAGAACAAAGGAAAAGAGAGCACATCAGATGCAATTAGCACCACCTCATATTTCAACATATCCTACATTTCCCCGTCTCCTACCCAGGTTACGGATTTTTAGGAAATGAAGATGCAATGATATCAAATGATGGTAATGCATCAGCAACCTTTCATAATCCTCAATCATCATTAATACAGCAGCATAATCTTGGAAAACAGCCTTTTCACATCAATTGTTTTCTCACAGGAAATGCAGCTACTCTCTCTCCATGAAAAGGCCCTCTCTGTCTCTGGTTCATCGTTCCTTTGGACATTTCCCATCCTCGGCATCATAATCCTCTGCCCAACCCTGTTTCCACCTCTAGATCTTCATGAATCACCTGCACAGTCCCAATGGCCTCAGGAGGTCCACGCAGACCATTTTGTGAGACTCAGGTCTACATCTCTTCCAGGGACTGTGGTCTGGGTCAGTCAGAGAACTAGTGACAAGGCTTGGTGCTTGGGGTCAGCTGAATGGGTGCTCAGGGAAGCTCATGTTCTTGAAGATGGACCTCTGTCTACATGCCTCACATTGCATGGAGAGAGCAGGAGAAGCAGAAGGAAAGCATATGGCACATGGGGATCCCAGACGGAAACACCCACCCCCATTGTTCTTTATAATGATGATGTGCTGCCTGATGTCATTCCTCTGACACAGGACTATCCTAATGTGACACTGAAAAGCAGGATATTAAAGGCAAGGAAATAACTGTACTTAATGGCAGATAGCATTGTTGGTCCCACGCAGTTGAAAGAAAAAATTATAAGTATAATTCCAAGATATTATAAGTATAGTTCCAAGTATAAGCTTTCATGTGCATGTACACTTCTTCATATAGTGAAGGGTAGTGAGAGAATGGTAGTAGGAGTACCCTTCTGAGGAAAAACCCCACCCCAACCTCCCATGATATATAAGGGTCTGGTGACATCTGTTTCAGTGTATCTGAAGAAGTGTGCGTGCACACCAAAGCTTATACCTAGAACAAACTTACTTGGTCTCTAAGGTGCTACTGAACTATTTTTTAATTTTTTATTTCAACTGTGTCAGATCAACATGGCTACCTACCTGAATCTAGATGTCATGGGGTATTAGGGGAGCAGTAGTTCCTTTGGTGGAGTATATGTCATGCACCTTCTGGAGTCATTTTTCCACCCTTCGTGCCCACCCTGCACTCAGCTCTCACCTGTGGCTTCCAGAAGCTGTCAGCATGCAACAGGGGTTCAAGCAGCGGCTTCAACCGGCCGGCTAAACCAGGTGAGGATAGCTGATGGGTCTCAAATCCTTGGGGGGCTGGGGAATTCTGCTGCACCTGAAGTCAAGCCCTGGTGGATGGAGAGGAGGAGAACAACCGTGAATCCCACAGTCCAGAAGGCAGATTCTGCCCGTGCTGAAGAGGAAAGTGAAGGGCAGGTGGGGCACGTCCACTTGGAGGCTTGTTATCTAGTCCCAGGGTTACTCTGACGTTGAATTGTATATAAATTACAGTATTGAAATGCACCTGGTCCCACTTCATATTCTGATATTACTCTACTCTGTTTGTCTGTTTCTTACTTGAGTGCGGTTTCGGTATGCGAAGTCAGGGTTTTACTATAAGTTACATTTTTGCTATTTTTGGATCCTGTTATGCTTATTTGTCTTCAGTACAGTCATACCTCATGTTACGTTTGCTTCAGGTTGCGTGTTTTCAGGTTGCATCCCGTGGTGACCCGGAAGTACCGGAAAGGGTGCGCATGTGCAGACACGCAAAATGACGTCACGCGCATGCACAGAAATGAGAATCGTAACCCGTGCACGCGCAGATGCGGATTGTGTTCTGCTCATGTTGCAAACAGACCTACGGAATGGATCCCGTTCGCAACCAGAGGTACAACTGTAATAGATTTCTCAGCTGAATTGTTTTTTTGCTGCCTCTGAGCATTTTTTGCTACTCTGCTAATTATACATCGAACTTGCTCTGGAGATCGTTATGGAGAAGCAAGATCTGCAACCTTAAGCCATAAACAGCCTCGGCGCTGGAGACCTGAAGGAGCGTCTCCACCCCCATCGCTCAGTCCAGACAGGGAGGTCCACCTCTGAGGGTCTTCTGCTGGTTTCCTTGCTGGCAGAAGTGAAGTTCCAGGGAACCAGACAGAGGGTCTTCCGCCCTATGGAATGCCCTCCCATCAGAGGGCAAGGAAATGGGCAACTCTCGGATATTTAGAAGACAGCTGCCCTGGGATGTTTTTAATGTTTGATGTTTTACTGTCTTTTTTATGTACTTTAAGCTGCCCAGAGTGGCTGGGGAAACCCAACCAGATGGGTGGGGTATAAATACTGCAGTCATTCTTATCATCTTGTGATTTTTTAAAGTTATTTTGGAATTTGTAGTGCAATATCATCTCACGAAATGTTATGGGTGGAGGAAATCACAGGGTTGACGTAAATGATAATCCCACCCACAAACTCTCATTCACATACATTCTGTAAATTTGGGGAAGTCACACACCTCACCTGTGCTAATACTGGCAGTCTTTGGCCTGCATAGGCACACCCTGTCTGTAGAGCCTCCACTCTCAGGTATTGTCTATCATGAAAATGGGTCCTTTGACTGGGAAGAATCTCAGCTTGTCAGGCACTCTGAAATTGCCTTCAAAGAATAAGAGGAACAGAAATGCGTCTGAGGTACAACTTCTATATCAAGCCTGAGAGTTATTCCATGTACTCTGCACCCCAGTTTCTGATGACAGGTGTACATTATCCTCATCCTTAATGAAGCAGGCAGTGGAAAAGACATTAAAGATGGAAGCCTGAGAGAGAGGAAAAGGTTTCTGGCTGCTTCCTGGGTGGGATTGTGGAAACAGAGAACGGCGTCTGAAAAAGGCTCTCCCCTCCCCTCTTCCTCTCCGGATTTAAACCGCTGCGTCTGGACAGGGCAGGGGCTTATGGGGTGGGAAGAGCATGGAGCTTGCAGGAAGGAAGGGGTGGGGGGACTGGAACCCCCACTTTACAGGGATCCCTCTCTGGTCGCCTTGAAGGGGGGGTCGATTCCTGGGTGGGAGGGAGAAGCCAAGGCGGCCCTTCCGGAGATTCCTCGTGGGCGCCCGATGGAGACGTCTCCCTACAGACTGGTCTTCCTCCCCCCCCCCACCAATGCTGCGCTTCCTTCCCCGGGGATGCTCCCCTCCCTCCTCCCCCCGGCTCCCCCCACCCTTGGTCCCCTCCCTCTCTCCCGGAGTCTCCGCTGCACCCAGAGGCCCCCTTGGCGCGGCTCACCCCTCGCCATGCGCGACCCATCTCTCCATCCGGAGGGTCCCCCCAAGACGAGATGGGGAGGGACGGGGGGGGTCTCTATCTAGGCGTCTCTCGCGCCCCTTAACCCTTTCACGGTCTGCCTCTCTCCGCGCGGAGCGCACAGGACCCAGGGATGCCTGCGCGGGGGAAACGGGGCCGGGGAGTCCTCGTGGGACCCCCGTGGGTGGGCGCCCCATGTCCACACCTACCCCTTCGCTGCAGCCGTGCAGAAATCCAGGCCCTGCCGGTGGGGCCCACGGAAGGCGCTTTGGGGAGCTGTAGCGGAGTCCCTCTCTGGGTCCTTCTCTCCCCTCTCCCCCCCCCCCCGCGCGACCCCTTTGTCCTCGATCCCGATTCTCATTTCCTTTCCTTCAACATCGATGTTTTTTTTAGGGGGGTGTCCCCTGCCGCCCCTCCTCCCCTTTCCGAAAGGGCGCGCCCCTAGAGCTACGGGGCAGAGCGGCAATCCGGCGTAGAAGCTCCACTTCCGGGAGAAGCAGGCAGTTTGGGAGGAGGCTCACCCCCCCCCCCTTATTCCCGGAACAGAAGCCGGATTGGAGGAGGAGGAGGATCCTGATACTTTAAAAGGAGAAGCCCAGGAAAGCCTTGCAGCTAGGGGATGTGTAAATACTATTATGGTTCTTATTGGAAGAGGGTAGTTAAAAGGTGTGAGAAACTGGGGTTGTTGACAGGAGTGGGTGACGGGTCCACGTTTCTAAATGCCGAAGACTCCTAATTTGTGACAAATCTGTGATGCATCGAAGATGCTGTTGAAAAATGTATTGTGGGAAATGGGGAGAGGTCTTAAAAATCCATGCAACCATATATGCTCAGGGCTCCTACTCTTGGTGTGTTTGAACCTTGTTGCAACACATAAAGATCAGGTCAACTGACCGCCCTTTGCTTCTTTAACTTGGCTGGATTCTCCTTCTTTTGCTGACCGGAGGGACCCGCGGGGAGGGGCACCCTGAGGAGCTGGGCAGCGGAGTAAATCCGCACCCCGGGATATTTTCCTTCTCAACTCTTTCCCACCAGAGCCTCACCCCCTTACCTAAAAGCCAGACACAACACAATGTGAGAGGATTGTGACTCCTGCCCTCAAGAAGCAAAATGGCTCCCCCTCCCCCCCCCCGGAGCAAAGCAACCCCGGGATGCTGAGGTCCCCCAATCCTTGAAATGAAAAGGGGGGGGGCCTCGGGAAACCTTCAGGGAGCAGGCGGGGAGGGGGCTGCCCAGGCTCCAGAAGCTCCTTCTCGCTGGTTCCTCCCCTTCGCCCTCCTGCTGCCTGCCTCCCCTCCGCTTCTACTGGTCCTTCGCAAGTGCGGGGAAGCTCTAGTCCCTCCGGCCCCCCTCAAATTCCTTCTAAGAGCCCCACGTTGCACGGGGCAGACTCACCTGCAGCGAAACAAAACGCAGCTGCCCTGGCAGAGTGGAGCCAGGCTGGGGCGCACCGTGGGGACCCCAGAAATGTGTCCCTAGAAGAAATGCGCCTCCCCCCTTCTCTGGGGCTCAAGTGCTGCCGGTGGGCTTCCCAGAAGAGGTCCCTGCTTGGCCCCTGAGAGGACAGGGGCCTCTTGGGTCTGATCCAGCAGGGCTCACCTGATGTTCTGATGCAAGTGGACCCTCCTTTGTCCTTCAGGGAGAACAGGATTTCCCAAACTTGGGTCTCCAGCTGCTTTTGGACTACTGCTCCCATCACCCCTAGCAGGTCAGGGATGATGGGAATTGTAGTCATGCCCTCCAGGTGGCTCTGGCCAGTGAGCCCAGCTGCATGTGAGCTGGGTGGGGGGAATTCCTTCCTGGTGTTATGGCAATTACAGGGGAGGGGGTTACCACGTGACATTAACCCCTGGGACGAGGAACCCCAAACCCCTCTCCCCTCAGTCCCAAAAGCACGGCTCACACATTGTATAAATACAGGAAAACACGGTCTCTGCATATTATGGATGGGATTTACGAACTTTATGTTTTATGAATGGGATTTATGAATAACCGAAGCTCACCAATCAAGAGCACTATGTTTTCACAGCTAGCCAATGGGTGACTCCATAGACGGCTGAAACTGCCTGCAAACCAGCGTTTCAGCTCAGCTTTTGCACGATTGTCTCAGCGCCCTCCTGCTGCTCAGACTATGGGCAAAGTATATTAAATATAGCCATTTTGGTTTTGATTGCCTAAAGTTGCTACAATGTTACAAAGATTGTGTCTGAATGTATCCTTTCAGCTTGACAGCTCAGGGAATGATACCTAAATTTGTAAATTCATATAAAATCCATACTTTAACCGATTCTTCGCATTCCAACGCCATTTTAACTCTTAAGAAAAAGTAAATTTAGGCTTCACCCTCCTCCATGACCCTGGAAGCGGATAGCCACATAGTCAGTGAGAACAGGGCCTCCTGCCATAATCCCCTGAGCGTGAGAGCACGTACACTTCGCCCCACCCAGGGAGTGACCAAGGGGTGACAACAGACTTCCACAGAGGCAGTTGACCAAGCCAGGTGTTCTGAAAGCCCATCTCAGGAGAAGCCCTGAGGGCAAGGATGTAATTTGATTATGAATTGATTTTAGAATGAATTGATTTTAGAATGTATTTCAATTAATTGATTGTGATTTTATGTAAACTGTGTTACTTTTACTGTTGTTAGCCGCTCTGAGCCTGGCTTCAGCAAGGGGTGCGGACGGGATATAAATATTATTATTATTATTACTACTACTACAGTGGTACATAGGGTTATAGACGCTTCAGGTTACAGACTCCACTAACCCAGAAATAGTACCTCGGGGTAAGAACTTTGCTTCAGGATGAGAACAGAAATCGCACGGCGGCAATGGTGGCGCGCCAGCAGCAAGAGGCCCCATTAGCTAAACTGGTACCTCAGGTTAAGAACAGACCTCTGGAATGAATTAGGTTCTTAACCAGAGGTACTACTGTATTATGTCGATAGTTTTCTTGTTCTCTGGGTGATGGGTACTGGAGAGGTGTCCAGAGATGTATCTGATAGAGTGACCAACTGTTGAACTTGTGTAACACTTTGATACCCCTCCCTATTTGTGACATACTAGTGAAGGTGCTACTCGAAACGTATTCTGGGTGAAGAGGGGAAGTTTTAAAAGTCGATGTAAATTGTCCAGGGTTGTTCAAACAAAGAGAGGTGCAAGGAGCTCCAGAAGGACCTCTCCAAATGGGGTGAATGGGCAGACAATACAGTTCATTGTCAAGGAGATTAAAGTGATGCATGTTGGGACAAAAAAACCCTACGCCCATTAATATAATGTATAGGCTCTGAACTGGATTTCTCTGTGTGCTCTAGGAGACCAAGGGAGAGGGGAGGTGGTCGCAGCAGGAGAGGGAGTCTCCCTGGATGCTTCAGTAGCCGGCCTCCTCTGGGTCTCCTAGGCCCCCTCCTCTCCTCCCTCTGAGCCTGAACTGCTCTCTGCCCCAGCCTCTTCCTGCTCACCAAACCCTGTTTCCTCCTCAGCTTGCAACACCTCCCCTCCCACTCTGCTCCATTTTCTCCCTCTTTCTGCTCATCGCCATCCCACCACCAGCCCCCAGGCTCTGAGCCTTCTTCCCTTGTGGGTCCCCCGGCTGGTGCCTCCCCCCTCCCCCCGCCAGTCCATGACAGCAACAGCAGCAACAACAGTAACATCAGTAAGATAGCAATATGCACTGTGGTCCTCTGGCAGGAAGACTCCCTAGCAGCATGATTGACTAATAACTTCTGGGACTATGGAAAAATATTATCCTCCCCAAACCCCAGAATAAGCAGTAGCTCTGGGGTTCCCCTATGTGGTTCATGAGTGAAGATGGGGCCCCCAGGAGACTTTCCTGGTACCTGCAACCCATCCTTCCCCCTCTTGCAGTTAGGCTTGCGGGGGGGGGGGGATCTCCCATTAAATTTTAAGTTTTCTTCAGAACGTGCAGGGGGCAGGGTTGAAGTTCTGTTGAATAAGTAGTGTTTGGAGATCATGCGGTGGTGGGGGAGACAGAGTGTGATGGCCTGGGAATCCGATTCAGAGGCTGAACCGGAGGAATCCCAGCCTGCACAGGAGTCCCCGCCTCCAGGGCCGGCTGAACTGGGGCAGGGCCTTGATTCTGAAGCGCCTGCACCTGTGCCGATCCTCAGGAGCAGGCACCAGGTGAATCCACTCTGGCTCCGGAGGTGGTTGAGGACTCAGTGCCTGCAGGTGAGTCTCCCCCTGGGCCCAGTAACCCTTCAGCCTCTCCTGAACTACAGAGGCTCAGGGCAGAGAGGCGAAGGGAACTGGTTTCTCCCAGGAGGAATCATAGAATCATAGAGTTGGAATAGACCACAAGGGCCATCGAGTCCAACCCCCTGCCAAGCAGGAAACACCTTAAGTGCTCGCCTTAAGGCCAGGAGAGGCGGGTCTCCTGGGGGCCGGGGCCGCCACTGGCCTCAGAGAAGATAAAGGCCAGTCAGCCCGGCCCCAGGTTGCGGGAGCAACGTCGTTGAAGAGCTGTTTCGGCCAGCACCCAGTCCGGTTCCCCCAGAGTTCCTGTCCTTGCCCGGCCCCTTGCTGTGGACCCCGCTTCGCCCGTGGAGGACTGTCTGCCGACCCTCGACTCAGGTCCTGGACCTCGCCCCACGGTAACCTCCCCCCTGGACCAGTACACAGAGTTTGGTGCAAAAACCAGTCTGACACACAAATACCCATCTTGAATGCTTGAGTACAGCAACTTAGCCAAGCCTCAGCGGGGTAGGGGCCACGTGTAGAGCAAGTCCCACACGGACATCAAAAACACTCACAGAGGCAGCAGGACTTCTTCAGTAACAGTTTACTGAGCTTTCAAAGCATACAGTTCTCGCTGCGTCCCCAGTGAGGCACAAAACTTAGCTCCTGAGAGCAAATCCAGTTTCAGCAGTAAAAAAAATACAGCATACAGGATATCTAAGCCAGGCACACACACCGGCAGAAGGGAGCAAGGGAGGAAAGAGGCTGGAAGGACACAGGGCAATGGATGTGTGTCTTTCACTTCCCGTCGTCTTGGAGGGAAGTCAGCAACTCAGCATATTCAGGGGCTTCATGAAGAAAAGCTTTCTGCCGCTGCTTGCAGGCACATCCCAGAAACACACACTGTGATTCACAGTGTATTGCCATATCAGTTGTTCTTCAAAGGTTATCGAGATGTGGTCTAGAAACCAGTATTGTACCAGATATCAATATATCGCCCAGCCCTAATCCTCACTCACCACCAGCAAACCAGATTCATCCTCTCTATCAAAAGGTACTTTACCACTTAGATTATACTCACATTGTTTGACATTGCCTTCAATATTTCATTGCTGTTCAGTTTTACATATAAACACAAGAACTTCAAATACACATCGTGTGTTTAAGACTGATTTCCTGCTGAGTTCATTGCTGTGAAGAAAGAGTGGACACTGAAAGGAAAACATCCCGCACTCCATACATCTAAATGGGTTCTTCCATGGGAAAGTCCCTGGATGTTCCTTAAACACTCCATTGTAAATAAAGCACTTTTTGCAATCTTTTCATTTAAACTGCTTCTCAAACCCCAGAATAAGCAGGTTGACCCATGGGGTTCATGAGTGAAGATGGGCCCACCAGGAGACTTCCCTGGTACCTGCAGCCCCATATTCCCCCTCTTGAACTTAGGCTTGGGGGGGGAATCTCCCATTCAATTTCAGTATTTCAAGTTTTCTTCAGAACACGCGGGGGCAGGGATGAGGTTCTGTTGAAGAAGAAGTGTTTGGAGATCATGTAGTGGTGGGGGTGACAGAGTTTGGTGCAAAAACCATCTTGTGTGCTTGAGTACAGCAACTCCAGGGCATGAGCTAAGTAGCAGCAGGGTAGGGGCCACATGTAGAGCAAGTGCCACACTGAGGTCAAAAAGACACACACAGGCAGCAGGACTTCTTCAGTAATAGTTTACTGAGCTTTCAAAGCTCAGTAAAAGTTATGACTGGGACCACAGTGAGGCACAGAACTTAGCTCCTGAGAACAAATCATTCATATGGTTTCTCCCCTGTGTGAGTCAGTTGATGCACGCTGAGGTGTCCACTCTGACTGAATTTCCTTCCGCACTCCATGCAATTAAATGGTTTTTCCCCTGTGTGAGTCCGTTGATGTGTTCTAAGGGTTCCATTATCACGAAAGCTCTTTCCGCACTCCATACATTTACATGGTTTCTCCCCTGTGTGAATCTGTTGATGTCTTCTAAGGTTGCCATTATCAGAAAAGCTCTTTCCGCACTCCATACATTCATATGGTTTCTCCCCTGTGTGAGTCCGTTGATGTGTTCTAAGGTTTCCATTATCACAAAAGCTCTTTCCGCACTCCATACATTCATATGGTTTCTCCCCTGTGTGAGTCCGTTGATGTCGTCTAAGGATTGCATTGAAACTGAAGCTCTTTCCGCACTCCATACATTCATATGATTTCTCCCCTGTGTGAGTCTCTTGATGTCCTCTAAGGGTTCCATTATCACGAAAGGCCTTTCCACACTCCATACATTTACATGGTTTCTCCCCTGTGTGAGTCAGTTGATGCACGCTGAGGTGTCCACTCTGACTGAATTTCCTTCCGCACTCCATGCAATTAAATGGTTTTTCCCCTGTGTGAGTCCGTTGATGTGTTCTAAGGGTTCCATTATCACGAAAGCTCTTTCCGCACTCCATACATTTACATGGTTTCTCCCCTGTGTGAATCTGTTGATGTCTTCTAAGGTTGCCATTATCAGAAAAGCTCTTTCCGCACTCCATACATTCATATGGTTTCTCCCCTGTGTGAGTCCGTTGATGTGTTCTAAGGTTTCCATTATCACAAAAGCTCTTTCCGCACTCCATACATTCATATGGTTTCTCCCCTGTGTGAGTCCGTTGATGTCGTCTAAGGATTGCATTGAAACTGAAGCTCTTTCCGCACTCCATACATTCATATGATTTCTCCCCTGTGTGAGTCTCTTGATGTCCTCTAAGGGTTCCATTATCACGAAAGGCCTTTCCACACTCCATACATTTACATGGTTTCTCCCCTGTGTGAGTCTGTTGATGTCTTCTAAGGTCTCCATTATTACGAAAGCTCCTTCCACACTCCATACATTCATATGGTTTCTCCCCTGTGTGAGTCAGTTGATGCATATTTAGGTGTCCACTCTGACTGAATTTCCTTCCGCACTCCATGCATTTAAATGGTTTTTCCCCTGTGTGAGTCCGCTGATGTGTTCTAAGGGTTCCATTATTACGAAAGCTCCTTCCACACTCCATACATTCATATGGTTTCTCCCCTGCGTGAGTCCGCTGATGTGTTCTAAGGGTTCCATTATTACGAAAGCTCCTTCCACACTCCATACATTCATATGGTTTCTCCCCTGTGTGAGTCCGCTGATGTGTTCTAAGGGTTCCATTATTACGAAAGCTCCTTCCACACTCCATACATTCATATGGTTTCTCCTCTGTGTGAGTCCGTTGATGTCTTCTAAGGTCTCCATTATTACGAAAGCTCCTTCCACACTCCATACATTCATATGGTTTCTCCTCTGTGTGAGTCCGTTGATGTGTTCTAAGGGTTCCATTATTACGAAAGCTCCTTCCGCACTCCATACATTCATATGGTTTCTCCCCTGTGTGAGTCCGCTGATGTTTTCTAAGGCTTCCATTGAAACTGAAGCTCCTTCCACACTCCATACATTCATATGGTTTCTCCCCTGTGTGAGTCCGTTGATGTATATTGAAGGTTCCACTCTTACTGAAGCTCTTTCCGCACTCCATACATTTATATGGTTTCTCCCCTGTGTGAGTTCGTTGATGTGTTCTAAGGTCTCCATTCTGAATGAAGCTCTTTCCACACTCTATACATTTAAATGGTTTCTCCCCTGTGTGAGTCTTTTGATGTCTTCTAAGTTTTCCATTATCACTAAATCTCTTTCCGCACTCCATACATTCATATGGTTTCTCCCCTGTGTGAGTCCGTTGATGTATATTGAAGTTTCCACTCTTACTGAAGCTCTTCCCACACTCCTTGCATTTGAATCCTTTCTTGCCCATGTGAGTCGGCTGATGTGTTCTATCAGTGAAAGTCTTTCCACACTCCATACCTTTAAATGGTTTCGCCACTTTTGGGGTTTGTTTATGTGAGCTATGTGTGTTCATTCAATGAAGCATGTTGAACATTTCACACATTTTAATGTCTATATCTAGTGAAACCAAAGGTGCCCTTTCCCCTGGAAGTCTGTCTCTCTTCTCCATGACCCTCCTCAGCGTGGGAGGAAAGGAAATCCTGTTTGGGTTTCAAGGAAGAGAACAAAGGAAAAGAGAGCATATCAGATGCAATTAGCACCACCTCATATTTCAACATGTCCTATATTTCCCCTGCACCCTACCCAGGTTCCGAATTTTTAGGAAATGAAGATGCAATGATGTCTAATGATAGTAATGCATCAGCAACCTTTCATTATCCTCTATCATCATTAATAAAGCAGCATGATCTTGGAAAACAGCCTTTTCACATCAATTGTTTTCTCACAGGAAATGCAGCTACTCTCTCTCCATGAAAAGGCCCTCTCTGTCTCTGGTTCATCGTTCCTTTGGACATTTCCCATCCTCGGCATCATAATCCTCCATCCACCCCTGTTTCCACCTCTAGACCTTCATGAATCACCTGCACAGTCCCAACGGCCTCAGGAAGTCCATGTGGACCATTATATGAGACCCAGGTCTACATCTTTTCCAGGGACTGTGGTCTGGGTCAGTCAGAGAACTAGTGACAAAGCTTGGTGCTTGGGGTCAGCTGAATGGGTGCTCAGGGAAGCTCCTGTTCTTGGAGATGGACCTCTGTCTACATGCCTTGCATTGCATGGAGAGAACAGAAGAAGCAGAAGGAAAGCAGCTGGCAAATGGGAAACACTCCCCCATTGTTCCTTATAATAATGATGTGCTGCCTTATCTCTTGCACCGTCTTCTGACACATGACTATCCTAATCTGGCAGTGAAAAGCTGGATATTAAAGGCAAATGGATAACTGTACTTAGTGGAAACTTCATCCTTGAATATGTAGTACTGATTCATTAACAACCTGAAGTTGTGTTATTTCTTGAGATATGAATTTATTCCTGATCTGAGTGTTTTTTCCTACTCTGCTAACTATATGTCAGTCTAGGAGATCGTTATGAAGGAGCAAGTTCTGCAACCTAGAGCCCTAAACAGTCTCGGCCCTGTAGACCTGAAGGAGTGTCTCCACCCCATCCTTCAGTCTGAACACTGAGGTCCTCCTCTGAGGGTCTTCTGCTGGTACCCTCCCTTCAGAGGTCAAGGAAATGAACAACTACCTGACATTTAGAAGATAGTTGAAGGGAGACCTGTATTAGGAGGTTTTTAATGTTTGATGTTTTACTGTCTTTTATGTGTACTGGAAACCCAACCAGATGGGCAGAGTATAAATACTACAATCATTTGTATTATCTTGTGATTTTTTTGTAGTTATTTTGGAATTCGTAGTGCAATATCAGGTCACAAAATGTTTTGGGTGGAGAAAATCACAGGGTTTCCGTAAACAATAATCCCACCCACAAACTCTCATTCACATACAGTCTGTAAATTTGGGAAGGTCACACAGCTCACCTGTGCTAATACTGGCAGTCTTTGACCTGCATAGGCACATCCTGTCTGTAGAGCCTCCAGCCACAGGCACTGTCTATCATGAAAATGGGTCCTTTGACTGGGAAGTATCTCAGCTTGTCAGTCACTCTGACATTGCCTATAAAAAGTAAGAGGAACAGAAATGCCTTTGAGGTGCACCTTCTATATCAATCCTGAGATCAATTAAATAGGTTCTGCACCCCTGTTTCTGATGACAGGTGTACATTTTCCTCATCCTCAATGAACCAGGCAGTGGAAAAGACACTTAAAGATAAAAGCCTGAGAGAGAGGAAAAGGTTTCTGGCTGCTTCCTGGTTGGGACTGCGGAAACAAAGAGCCGCTTCTGAGAAGGCCTCCCCCCTCCTCTCTTCCTCTTTCCTCTCCTCTCCAGGGTGAACAATGGTTGGACTTGGCAGATTCGCTGTGTCTGGACAGGGCAGGAGCTTATGGGAGGGAAGAGGATGGAGCTTGCAGGAAGGAAGGGGTGGGGGGACTGGAGCCCCCACTTTCCAGGGATCCCTCTCTGGTCGCCTTGAAGGTGTGGCCGATTCCTGCGCAGGAGGGAGAAGGCAAGGCGGCCCCTCCGGAGCTTCCTCGTGGGCGCACGATGGAGACGTCTCCCCAAAGACTCGTCTCCTCCCCCCAACCCCACCAATGCTGCGCTTCCTTCCCCGGGGATGCTCCCCTCCCTCCTTCCCCGGCTCCCCCCCACCCTTGGCCCCCTCCCTCCCTCCCGGACAGGGGGGGTCTCTATCTAGGCGTCTCTCGCGCCCCTTTACCCTTTCACGGTCTGCCTCTCTCCGCGCGGAGCGCACAGGCCCCAGGGATGCGTGCGCGGGGGAAACGGGGCCAGGGAGTCCTCGTGGGACCACGTGTGGGGGCCCCACGTCCACCCCTGCGAGGAAAGCCGCCTTCGCTGCAGCCGTGCAGAAATCCAGGCCCTGCCAGTGGGGCCCACGGAAGGCGCTTTGGGGAGCTGGCGCAGAGTCACAGAATCACAGAATCATAATGTTGGAAGAGACCACAAGGGCCATCGAGTCCAACCCCCTGCCAAGCAGGAAACACCATCAGAGCACTCCTGACATATGGTTGTCAAGCCTCTGCTTAAAGACCTCCAAAGAAGGAGACTCCACCACACTCCTTGGCAGCAAATTCCACAGAGTAAATTCCACAGAGTCTCTCTCTGGGTCCTTCTCTCCCCTCTCCCCCCCCCCCGACCCCTTTACCTCTTTGTCCTCGATCCGATTCTCATTTCCGTTCCTTTCATCGATGTTTTTTTTGGGGGGGGGTCCCCTGCCGCCCCTCCTCCCCTTTCCGAAAGGGCGCGCCCTTAGAGCTATGGCGCTGAGCGGCAATCCGGCGTAGAAGCTCCACTTCCGGGAGAAGCAGGCAGTTTGGGAGGAGGCTCACCCCCCCCTTATTCCCGGAACAGAAGCCGGATTGGAGGAGGAGGAGGATCCTGATACTTTCAAAGGAGAAGCCCAGGAAAGCCTTGCAGCTAGGGAGATGTGTAAATACTATTATGTTTCTGAATGCCAAAGACTCCTACTTTGTGATAAATCTGTGATGCATCGAAGATGCTGTTGAAAAATGTATTGTGGGAAATGGGGAGAGGTCTTAAAAATCGATGCAACCATATGTTCAGGGTTCCTACTCTTGGTGTGTTTGAACCTTGTTGCAACAAATAAAGATCAGGTCAACTGACCGCCGTTTGCTTCTTTAACTTGGCTGGAGACTCCTCCTTTTGCTGACCGGAGGGAACCGCGGAGAGTGGCACCCTGAGGAGCTGGGCAGCGGGGGGAAATCCGCACCCCGGGATATTTTCCTTCTCAACTCTTTCCCACCTGAGCCTCACCCCCTTACCTAAAAGCCAGACACAACACAATGTGACAAGATTGTGACTCCTGCCCTCAGCAAACAAAATAGCTTCCCCCGAGCAAAGCAACCCCGGGAAGCTGAGGTCCCCCAAACCTTGTAATGAAAAGGGGGGGGGCGCGGGAAACCTTCAGGGAGCAGGCGGGGAGGGGGCTGCCCAGGCTCCAGAAGCTCCTTCTCGCTGGTTCCTCCCCTTCGCCCTCCTGCTGCCTGCCTCCCCTCCGCTCCTAGGGCTGCTTCGCAAGTGCGGGGAAGCTGTGGCCCCTCCCCCCCGAAGTTCCCTTAAAAGCCCCACGTTGCAGGGGGCAGGCTCACCTGCAGCGAAACAAAACGCAGCTGCCCTGGCAGAGTGGAGCCAGGCTGGGGCGCACCTTTGGGACCCCAGAAATGTGTCCCTAGAAGAAATGCGCCTCCCCAGTCGGGGAAAACCCCTTCTCTGGGGCTCAAGTGCTGCCGGTGGGCTTCCCAGAAGAAGCCCCTGCTTGGCCCCTGGGAGGACAGGGGCCCCTTGGGCCTGATCCTGCAGGGCTCACCTGATGTTCTGATGCAAGTGAACCCTCCTTTGTCCTTCAGGGAGAACAGGATTTCCCAAATTTGGGTCTCCAGCTGTTTTTGGACTACAGCTCCCATCACCCCGAGCTAGCAAGACCATTGTTCAGGGATGATGGGAATTGTAGTCAGGCCCTCCAGGTGGCTCTGGCAAGTGAGCCCAGCTGCAAGTGACAAGGGTGGGTGGGGGATTACTTCCTGGTGTTATGGCAATTACAGGGGAGGGGGTTACCATCTGACATTATCCCCTGCGGCGAGGAACCCCAAACCCCTCTCCCCTCAGTCCCAAAAGCACGGCTCACACATTGTATAAATACAGGAAAACACGGTCTCTGCATATTATGGATGGGATTTACGAACTTTATGTTTTATGAATGGGATTTATGAATAACCGAAGCTCACCAATCAAGAGCACTATGTTTTGACAGCTAGCCAATGGGGGAATCCGTAGACGGCTGAAACCTCCTCCAAACCAGCCTTTCAGCTCAGCCTGTGCACAATTGTCTCAGCGCCCTCCTGCTGCTCAGACTATGGGCAAAGTATATTAAATATAGCCATTTTGGTTTTGATTGCCTAAAGTTGCTACAATGTTACAAGGATGTTCTGAATGTATCCTTTCAGCTTGACTGCTCAGGGAATGATACCTAAATTTGTAAATACATATAAAATCCATACTTCAACCGATACTTCCCATTCCTGCGCCGTTTTAACTCTTAAGAAAAAGTAAATTTAGGCTTCCCCCTCCTCCATGACCCTGGAAGGGAATAGTCACGTAGGCAGCAAGAACAGGGCCTCCTGCCATAATCCCCTGAGCCTCAGAGCACGTACACTTCGCCCCACCCAGGGAGTGACCAAGGGGCGACAACAGACTTCCACAGAGGCAGTTGACCAAGCCAGGTGTTCTGAAAGCCCATCTCAGGAGAAGCCCTGAGGGCAAGCATGTAATTTGATTCTGTATTGATTTTAGAATGAATTGATTTTAGAATGTATTTCAATTAATTGTGATTTTATGCAAACTGTGTTACTTTTACTGTTGTTAGCGGCTCTGAGCCTGGCTTTGGCTGGTGAGGGTGGGATATAAATATATTTTATTTTATTCATTATTATTATTATTATTAATAATAATAATAATAATATTACAGTGGTACCTCGGGTTAAAGACGCTTCAGGTTACAGACTCTGCTAACCCAGAAATAGTACCTCGGGGTAAGAACTTTGCTTCAGGATGAGAACAGAAATTGTGCGGTAGCGGGAGGCCCCATTAGCTAAAGTGGTACCTCAGGTTAAGAACAGTTTCAGGTTAAGAACAGACCTCCGGAACGAATTAAGTTCTTAACTCGAGGTACTACTGTATTATGTCGATAGTTTTATTGTTCTTTGGGTGGTGGGTACTGGAGAGGTGTCCAGAGATGTATCTGATAGAGTGACCAACTGTTGCATTTGTGTAACCCTTTGATACCCCTCCCTATTTGTGACATACTAGTGAAGATGCTACTTGAAAAGTATTCTGGGTGAAGGGGAAAGTTTTAAAAGTCGATGTAAATTGTCCAGGGTTGCTCAAACAAAGAGAGATGCAAGGAGCTCCAAAAAGGGTGAATGGGCAGTAAATACAGTTCACTGTCAACGAGATTAAAGGGATGCATGTTGGGACAAAAAAACACAAACACCTGTTAATATCATGTGCAGGATCATGGGGTCTGAACCGGGTTTCTCTGTGTGCTCTAGGAGACCAGGGGAGAGGGGAGGATCTGAGCCTTCTTCCCTTGTGGGTCCCCCAGCTGGTGCCCCCCTGCACCCTTCCAGTCCATGACAGCAACAGCAGCAACAACAGTAGCAGTGGTGGGGGTGACAGAGTTTGGTGTAAAAACCAGTCTGACACACAAATACCCATCTTGCATGCGTGAGTACAGCAACTCCAGGGCCTTAGCGAAGCATCGGTGGGGTAGGGGCCACATGTAGAGCAAGTCCCACACTGATGTCAAAAACACACACAGAGGCAGCAGGACTTCTTCAGTAATAGTTTACTGAGCTTTCAAAGCATACAGTTCTCACTGGGTCCACAGTGAGGCACAAAACTTAGCTCCTGAGAGCAAATCCAGTTTCAGCAGTAAAAAAATACAGCACACAGGATATCTAAGTCAGGCACACACACCGGCAGAAGGGAGCAAGGGAGGAAAGAGGCTGGAAGGACACAGGGCAATGGATGTGTGTCTTTCGCTTCCTGTCGTCTTGGAGGGAAGTCAGCAACTCAGCATCTGCAGGGGGTTCACAAAGCAGAGCTTTCTGCCGCTGCTTCCAGGCACATCCCAGAAACACACACTATGATTCACGGTGTATTGCCATATCAATTGTTTTTCAAAGATTATCACGATGTGGTCTAAAAACCGGTATTGGACAAGATATCAATATATAGCTCAGCCCTAATCCTCACTCATCACCCGCAATCCAGATTCACCCTCTCCCCCTCACTATCAAAAGGTACTTTAAATCTAAAATTATTCTCCTGATTGTGAGACATTACCTTCATTATTTCATTACTATACCGTTTTACATATAAACACCAGAACTTCACATACGCATCATGCATTTAAGACTGATTTCCTGCTGAGTTCAGTTCTCTGAAGAAATGAGTGAACACTGAAAGGAACACGTCCTGCACGCCATACATATAAATGGGTTCTTCCTTGTGAGAGTCCCTGGATGTTCCTTAAACACTCCATTATAAATAAAGCACTTTTTGCAATCTTTTCATTTAAACTGCTTCTCAAACCCCAGAATAAGCAGGTTGACCCATGGGGTTCATGAGTGAAGATGGGCCCACCAGGAGACTTCCCTGGTACCTGCAGCCCCATATTCCCCCTCTTGAACTTAGGCTTTGGGGGGAAATCTCCCATTGAATTTCAGTATTTCAAGTTTTCTTCAGAACACACGGGGGCAGGGATGAGGTTCTGTTGAAGAAGAAGTGTTTGGAGATCATGTAGTGGTGGGGGTGACAGAGTTTGGTGCAAAAACCATCTTGTGTGCTTGAGTACAGCAACTCCAGGGCATGAGCTAAGTAGCAGCAGGGTAGGGGCCATGTGTAGAGCAAGTGCCACACTGAGGTCAAAAAGATACACAAAGGCAGCAGGACTTCTTCAGTAATAGTTTACTGAGCTTTCAAAGGCTACAGTTATGACTGGGACCCCAGTGAGGCACAAAACTTAGCTCCTGAGAACAAATCATTCATATGGTTTCTCCCCTGTGTGAGTCAGTTGATGCACGCTGAGGTGTCCACTCTGACTGAATTTCCTTCCGCACTCCATGCAATTAAATGGTTTCTCCCCTGTGTGAGTCTGTTGATGTCTTCTAAGGGTTCCATTATCACGAAAGCTCTTTCCGCACTTCATACATTCATATGGTTTCTCCCCCGTGTGAGTCCGTTGATGTATATTGAAGTTTCAACTCCTAAAGTTCTTCCTGTCCGTGAGTCTGTTGAGTTAGAACTTCAGCTAGGATTGAAACTCTACCTATTTTCCTGATATTTAGACAGTTTGTGTTTTGTGTGAGTTTGTTCGCATAAATCAAGGGTTCCACTCTGACTGGAGCTCCTTCCACAGTCCATACATTTAAGCAGTTTCTCCCCTGTGTGTCTGCTGATGTTTTCTAAGTTTTCCACTCTGACTGAAGCTCATTCCGCACTCCATGCATTTATATGGTTTCTCCCCTGTATGAGTCCGTTGATGTGTTCTAAGGTTTCCGTTATGATGAAAGCTCTTTCCGCACTCCATGCATTTATATGGTTTCTCCCCTGTGTGAGTCCGTTGATGTATATTGAGGTGTCCATTCTGACTGAAGCTCTTTCCACACTCCATACATTTATATGGTTTCGCCCCTGTGTGAGTCCGTTGATGTGTTCTAAGGTTTCGGTTATCATGAAAGCTCTTTCCGCACTCCATGCATTTATATGGTTTCTCCCCTGTGTGAGTCCGTTGATGTATATTGAGGTGTCCATTCTGACTGAAGCTCTTTCCACACTCCATACATTTATAGGGTTTCGCCCCTGTGTGAGTCCGTTGATGTGTTCTAAGGTTTCCGTTATCATGAAAGCTCTTTCCGCACTCCATACATTTATAGGGTTTCTCCCCTGTGTGAATTCGTTGATGTTTTCTAAGGCTTCCATTATCACTAAAACCGTTTCCACACTCCATACATTTATATGGTTTCTCCCCTGTGTGAATCCGCTGGTGTAATTTAAGGTCTCCATTCTGACTGAAGCACTTTCCACAATCCAGGCATTCAAATGGTTTCACCCCTGTGTGAGTCCGTTGATGTATACTGAGGTGTCCACTCTGACTGAAGCTCTTTCCACACTCCATGCATTTATATGGTTTCTCCCCTGTGTGAATCCGCTGGTGTAATTTAAGTACTCCATTCCGACTGAAGCTCTTTCTGCACTCCATACATTTATATGGTTTCTCCCCAGAATGAGTCCGTTGATGTTTTCTAAGGTTTCCATTATCAGTAAAGCTCTTTCCGCACTCCATACATTCATATGGTTTCTCCCCTGAATGAGTCCGTTGATGGTTTCTAAGGTTTCCACTGAAACTGAAGCTCTTTCCGCACTCCATGCATTTATATGGTTTCTCCCCTGTGTGAGTCCGTTGATGTATATTGAGTTGTCCATTCTGACTGAAGCTCTTTCCGCACTCCATACATTTATATGGTTTCTCCCCCGTGTGAATCCTTTGATGTTTTCTAAGGTTTCCACTGAAACTGAAGCTCTTTCCGCACTCCATACATTTAAATGGTTTCTCCCCTGTGTGGGTCCGTTGATGTGTTCTAAGCTTTCCATTATCACTAAAGCTTTTTCCGCACTCCATACATTTAAATGGTTTTTCCCTGTGTGAGTCCGTTGATGTATGTTGAGGTGTCCACTCTGACTGAAGCTTTTCCACACTCCATACATTTAAATGGTTTCTCCCCTGTGTGAGTCCGCTGGTGTAAACTTAAGTATCCATTCAGACTGAAGCTCTTTCCACAATCCAGACATTTAAAAGGTTTTTCCCCTGTGTGAAACTGTTGATGTAAACTTAAGTGTCCATGTTGACTGAAGTTCTTCCCACACTCCCTGCATTGGAATTCTTTTTGCCCATGTGAGTCCGCTGATGTGTTCTAAGTTTTCCACTATCAGTGAAACTTTTCCCACACTCCATACCTTTAAATGGTTTCTCCCCTGCTGGAGTTTGTTGATGTGAACTATGTGTGCTCATTCAATGAAGCATATTCTGCATTTCACACATTTTAATTTCTATTCCTAATGATACGAAAGGTGCCCCATTCCCTGGGGTTTGAAGTGTCTTCTCCATCTCCTTCTTCAGAGTGGGAGGAAAGGGAATCCTGTTTGGGTTTCAAGGAAGAGAACTAAGGGAAAGAGAACACATCAAGCTCCATTAGCACCTTCTCCTATTTCAACATCTCCTACATTCCCTCACCTCCTACCCATGTTCCCAATTTTGAGAAAATGAAGTTGCAATGTCATCAAATGATAGTAATTCATGAGCAACTTTCAAATTCCTCAATCAATGTTAATAAAGCAGCATGATTTTTAAAGAATGATGTGCTGTCAGATCTCGTGCCCGTCTTCTGATGCAGGACTATCCTAAAATGACCGTTAAAAGCAAGATATTCAAGGCAAATAGATAAACTGTACTTAGTGGAATGTGTAGTACCTTGAAAATGTAGTATTGATTCACGAATGGACTGAAGTTGTGTTATTTCTGGGGACATGAATTTGTTCCTGTCCTGTCTTAAAGATCATAATCATACGATTTCATGGGGTGTTAGGGGAGCGTTAGTACCTTTGGTGGGGGACATTGTCGTGCACCTTCTGGGGTAATCTATCCACCATTGGTCCCCATCCTGCAGTCAGCTCTCACCTGTGGCTTCCAGAAGCTGTCAGGATGGAATAGGGGCCACAATCCCAGGAACGGCTTCAACCGGCTGGCAAAACCAGGTGAGGATACCTGATGGGTCTCAAATCCTTGGTGTGTTAGGGAATTCTGCTGCAGGTGAAGAAAGGACCTGGTGGATGTAGAGGATGAGAACAACAGTGAATCCCACAGTCAAGAAGGCAGATTCTGCCCATTCTGCAGGGGAAAGTGAGGGCAGATGGGGCTTGTCAACCTGGGAAGGAGCTCCTTGAAAAGGAAAACTCTGGTCGTAATACTTTGGTGCACACCCACACTTCCTCGTGTTTGTTTGTTTTTTAAATGATATTTATTAAAATTTCAGAAAAAAAGAATTACACAAAAACATGAAAAGTAAAAACAAAAAACAGAAGTAAAAATTCAAGAAAAATACAAAATACAAAGTACAGAATACAAGAATAAAAAACACTTAAAGAAGAAAAAAAGAAAAATAGATCAATTTTTCCATACCTTACATTCATATCCTTGTTTCCCTGACCTCCTCATACCTCCCTTTTTTGTATTCCAGTTCAATTAGTTAATTCAGCAATTTCTTTCCCTCTTTATTTTCTCATGATCCTTTAGCTTAATATACTATGACTTTAAATTTCCACCTGTTATCAATCCTTTTTTACATACACCTTTATAGCATTACTGCTTAAACCACCTAACTTCATTCTAACATCATTCTAACATTCATTAATTTTGCAATATTTCTGTAGATAGTCTTTAAATTTCATCCAATCTTCTTCCACCGACTCTTCTCCCTGGTCTCGGATTCTGCCAGTCATTTCCGCCAATTCCATGTAGTCCATCACCTTCATCTGCCATTCTTCCAGAGTGGGTAGGTCTTGTGTCTTCCAATACTTTGCAATAAGTATTCTTGCTGCTGTTGTGGCATACATAAAGAAAGTTCTGTCCCTCTTTGGCACCAATTGGCCGCCTATGCCCAGGAGAAAGGCCTCTGGTTTCTTCAAGAAGGTATATTTAAATACCTTTTTCAATTCATTATAGATCATCTCCCAGAAGGCCTTAATCCTTGGGCACGTCCACCAAAGGTGAAAGAATGTACCTTCAGTTTCTTTACATTTCCAACATTTCTTATCGGGCAAATGATAGATTTTTGCAAGCTTGACTGGGGTCATGTACCACCTGTATATCATTTTCATAATATTCTCTCTTAGGGCATTGCATGCCATAAACGTCATACCTGTGGTCCATAACTGTTCCCAGTCAGCCATCATTATGTTATGTCCAACATCTTCTGCCCATTTAATCATAGCTGATTTCACCGTTTCATCCTGAGTATTCCATTTCAACAGCAAGTTATACATCTTTGACAAAATCTTAGTTTTGGGTTCCAACCGTTCTGTTTCTAATTTTGATTTCTCCACCTGGAAGCCAATTTTCTTATCCAAATTATATGCCTCCATTATCTGATAATAATGAAGCCAATCTCGCACTTTGTTTTTTTAATTTCTCAAAGCTCTGCAGTTTCAGTCTATCTCCATCTTGTTCCAAAATTTCCCAATATTTCGGCCATTTGACCTCCATATTGAGCTTTTTCTGAGCATCCAAATACATTGTTAAACCCTTCTAAATCCAAAATGTCTGTGTTTTCAAGAAGCAGCCATTCTTTCAACCAGCAAAAAGCTGCTGATTCATAGTAAAGTTTAAAGTCTGGCAGGGCAAATCCACCTCTTTCCTTTGCATCTGTTAGTATTTTAAATTTTATTCTAGGCTTCTTGCCCTGCCAAACAAATCTAGAAATATCTCTCTGCCACTTCTTGAAACAGTCCATTTTGTCCACAATTTGCAATGTTTGAGATAAAAACAACATTCTAGGCAATACATTCATTTTTATCGCAGCAATACGACCCAGCAGTGAAAGCTTCAAATTGGACCAAATTTCTAAATCTTTTTTCACTTCAGCCCAGCATTTTTCATAATTGTCTTTAAAGAAATTCCCATTTTTTGCTGTCAAGTTAATCCCCAGGTATTTCACTTTCTTAACCACTGTTAAACCTGTCTCATTCTGAAACCTCTCTCTCTCAATCGGTGTTAAGTTCTTCTCTAAAACCTTGGTTTTTAACTTATTCAGTTTGAATCCTGCAACCTGACCAAATTCCTGAATCAGTTCTAAAACCCTTTTGGTACTAGATTCTGGCTCCTGTAACGTCAATACTAAGTCATCTGCAAATGCTCTCAATTTGTACTGTTTGGCTCCGACTTGTATACCTTTAACCAACTGGTCCCTTCTAATCATATTCAGCAAAACCTCCAGGACTGATATAAAAAGCAATGGGGAGATTGGGCAACCTTGTCGTGTCCCTTTTTCTATCTTAAATTCTTCCGTCACCACATTATTTACAATTAATTTAGCCTTTTGTTCTGAATATATTGCACTTATACCGTTTTCAAAGCCTTGGCCTACCCCCATACCCTGTAAGTTCTTCTTCATAAAACTCCAAGAAATGTTGTCAAAAGCTTTCTCCACGTCCACAAATATTAAAACTGCCTTAGTATTTATATTCACTTGTAATTTTTCTAAAATACTGATTATGTTTCTCACATTATCAGATAGATGTCTACCCGGGAGAAAGCCTGCTTGGTCTTTATGTATCTCTTCCACTAACACTCTTTTTAGTCTTTTAGCCAAGATGTCTGCAAAAATTTTGTAATCCACATTGAGCAATGATATGGGGCGGTAGTTCTTAAGCTGCGTCTTTTCAGTCTCTGTTTTCGGTACAAGTGTGATATACGCTTCTTTCCACGACTCTGGTGCCCTTTTCCCATCCATTATTTCATTACAGACTTCTTTTAAAGGTTGTACTAACCATTCTTTTAAAGATCTGTAGTATCTAAAAGTCAGTCCATCCGGTCCTGGAGATTTACATAATTGCATATTCTGAATGGCACCTTCTATCTCCTGTTCAGTTATTTTATAGTTCAACATTAATTTATTTTCTTGAGAGATTTTTTGTAATCCATTTGTTTTCAAAAATCGGTCTACGTCAATTTCTTTCTGTGGCCCTTGTGTATATAGTTGTTTAAAATACCTCTGGAAACAATTCCTAATCTCGGCTGGGTTCTGTATATTCCTTCCTTCCACTTCTAAATTCGTAACTGTATTTAATTTTTGTCTTTTTTTCATTTGCCAAGCCAACAATTTCCCACATTTATTAGCCGACTCAAATGTTTTTTGTCTCATCTGTTTAATTTTCCATTCTATCTCCTGATTCATCATTTTCATATATTGTACTTGATATAATTTTATTTCTCTCAAAATCTCTTGCGACTTAGGTTTTGCTCTCAATTTCTTTTCACCTTCTTTTATTTTCTCCAAAATTTTATCCTTCTTCTCCTTTTGAATTCTCTTCTTTAATGCGTTCTGTTGTATCAAGAACCCTCTCATAACAGCTTTGCTAGCATCCCAGATTACTCTTTTTTCACATTGGTGTTCATATTTATCTCAAAATAGTCTCTCAAGGTTTTTGGGCCTTTTATACACTTCTTCATCTCTGAATAAGGTGTCATTCATCCTCCATCTGAAGGAACCAGTTGGTGTTAGCTTCATCTCCATCTTCACAGCATTATGGTCGGAGCAGGTTTTTGGGCAGATTTCCACTTTTGTTATCTTTGGTGCCATTCCTCTAGTTACCCATATTTGGTCAATTCTTGTCCATGTCAGTTTGGCTTCAGAGAAGAAGGTTCCCTCTCTGGCCAAGGGATTCTTTGTTCTCCAAATATCAACTAAGTCCAGGTTGTCTGTCATCTCAAAGAAAGTTTTCGGTAATCTGCCGTCCTTAGGGACTACCTGTACTGCTCTGCTTTCCTTGGGACCATATCAGCCAGGCTGAGAAGGGGGTCTTGTTGTCTAGGCAGCCCTGAACCCCCAAACACACTGTCCAGGC